ACACTCGATAAAAATATTCCCTACCTTCTATATTTCCCTATTAAAACCCGTGTCAACAGATCCTCTTCCAGGATAATCCGCTACGCCACCCCCTCCGGTAGAGACTAAAGAATAAGAAGAAGAAGAATACGTAGTAGAAAAGGTTATTAATAGATACTAGAGGGATAATAATACTTACTATTACAGGATTCGTTAGAAAAACTACGGTCCAGCTAACGACTTAGATATTCCTACCGAAGAATCCTCTAGCTTTACTTAATTAGCAGCGGACTTCCATTTCACGCATCCTCATAGAGAACATCCTAACCACCCGCTACACGGTACTAAAGGGCCTCGCAGGAGCTTAGTAAAAGAAAAGAGGGGATAATATTACGGGTTTCTAGCGCGTTCCTTACAGTTCTTACCAGCAAGCGCTAGCTAACGGTTTATCTTTATTTATTATTTACTAATTATTATTTATTTATATTTCGCTTATTATCCCTTACTTAGCGCCTAGCGCCTACTAGCGAGCTATATATATAGCCGCCGCCTCTCGTTCTCTTCCTTTCCTCTTCGTACTACGTCTTATAGTTAATCCTATATAATCTAATTTAAATCCGCCTTATTACCGTAACACTACTCTTTACTAATTAAAAATAGGATACGGATACTTTAAGTCCTATTTATATAGATTTTCTTACTCTAAGATAGATCTCTATACGTATAGACCCGCTAAATAAACCCCTAGATATCTCCTCCTAATGTATCCTCTCTATAACTCTCCTAGGAGAGCTCTAAAGAATACCCTCGAGATAAATAACCCTAGTTTTTAAGAGGTACTTACCGGACTAGGAATCCTAGCTACGCTAGAATTCCTTAAATAAACGAGGATAGCTACGCGGAAATAGCGCCTTAACGACCTTCCCGAGGGGGAGTAAAACTTCTATAATTCTGATCTACTCCTTTCTATTTTATCTTCTCTAAAAACCCCTTTCTTTCCTTCGTTTTTATTACCTCGGCCTAGATCTAACTATCCCTCGTACTACCTCGCTTTTATCTTATATTTAAACCCTCTAGCTAGTCTTAAATAGACCGTCCGTTATAGTTTCTAACTATATATAGACGTAAAACGAATTAATTAATTAATTAATTAATCTTTAGGCCGTGCTAAGCTTTATACAATACTTATAACGGTTTAAGAATAGAGATAATCCTATAGTATAGAACCTCTATACTACTATCTCCTCCTACCTTACTATCCGCTCCCGTTACCTTCCTTTTTCCTCCTAGATTAATAAATTACATATAAACTAGTAGTAAAACTCTTAAATAGTCGTAGCCTATATATCGCTTAGGGCGATAGGTTAGGGTAAATAAATATAACTTAACTCAACTCAATTCTAATACCTAGGATAAAGAGGCCTCGTTATAATTATATTATTCGAGTATTAGGAATAGTATTACTATTATCTAGGAATAGTCTTAATAGAGTTTTAAGAGTATCTCCTAAGTAGCTAGTAGTAACGCGAAGTTAAATACTAGCACGTAGTAAGTATAGTATTCCTATAGGAATTATTTATAACCGCGGTTACCGGGCCTTTAAATAAAGGCTTAGCGAACTCGGATTAGTAGTTTAAAGCGGACTCTAATCCGTCTCATCCGTCTAGACGCCCTTACGGTTATAACTAGGTTTGTTTTTATTATTGTTATGCTCTTAATAAAGTGGAAAGCTGACGTTGCTATTTTATAGAAAATTCGCAGTACTGCGTATACCTCATTTTCGATTTTCGGCATCTCAACTATTTTAATTCTCGGAAGCCTTGTTTTCATTACATCCTGGACTCTTGAACCTATTCTCAGCTGGGTGCAAAAGCGATACAATTTCGACACATATTCGCGTCTTGAATAGTGCACCAACGACACCCTACAGCTACAGTGCCTTGCGCACGAACAGTTAGGCATGGGAACATAGAGCGGTGCTACAAATTCGATTCCCATAACAGATAAAGGCGAAAGACTAGCATACCTGGATCTTGCCGACCTCAAACACCCAAGACTTAAAGCCCCTCCGCCTCCTTATATGAGTAGACCAAGACCGGCACACTCGGGATCACCCTCACAAGCATCTTCATCAAGCTGAAGGTACTGTATTTGTACCTTAGCAGGATCACTCAATGCGAGAGGGAAAGGCAACGGCCCTATAGCGTTTATGCTGAAACTTTTTTTTGGTATTTCTAGTTGTAAACGGAGCGGATTGAGCCGCTAAATTTGTACAGTACCTTGCTTTAGTAAATTGATTTTTAGAACTTGAGTAAGCGGTTTACTGCCCTTACGGGTAGCAAAGAACCGGGGTCGTTTCCTGCTCTCAGATGTGGATAGAACCAGGCCGGGCTCGCCCACGACAGAAATGCCACAACCCAAATGTACCCAATGATTTGCCTTAGTCGCCAATGCTGAGACCTTGATCCTGCAACCCACTGCGCGCCATCCTCCAACATAATTCCAAGTGCCTGTGCCGGGAAGAAAACGAGTCCGCCGCCTTCCTTGCCCGATACACCCATACCACGCTCGCAGATAGCGTGGATAATACCGGAGATGAGAAAGGCCGAGAAGATGCGCGTGTACCGGGAAAGCAGCGTGCCTCGCGGAAAGCGGAGGATTTTATCAGCGACAAAGTCAGCGTGACTGATAAGACAGCTGCGGAGGCATGAGTGCCATACGACTCCCCAGAAGTTGCGAAGTGTGTAGCTATCCTTGACTGAGCCGAAGAGCTGCGGACGATCGCTTGGGGAGCTAAGACCCGTCGCAACCAGGGCGATAGCAATCAAATTAGAGACGACGAGGACATAAAGAAATCCGGTAAACCAGTAGGATACAGATCCGATGATGCGAAAGGCGATGTCCTTGGAGGACATGTTCTTAAACAAAAGTGATTGTTTATCGGAAGTAATCAGGGACGGAGCCGGTGCAGGTGCGGAAATGAATGCGTCGAGGATGATGTAGGTGACGAAGGTTGTAGCCAACCTGCACCGAAGGAATTGTGCTCGCGTAAGGAATGTAGTCTTGACATTTGGTACCTGCCATTTCGTTCCAATGCGGCGCATGTTCCAGAGAAGTGAGATTGCCCCCACAACACGACTGATTGCGGTTTTACCCGCAGGAAGAGGAGGATTTTGGTGCCAAATTATTTCTGAAGCGCTAAGAAACTGGACCGGAAGAGATGCAGCGGCGAATCCCCTCCAGTGAGGATTGTCACACCATTGGAAGAATGTGATCTGCAGCGCGTAGGTGAGAGCACACAATGTGGCTACACTCGTGAGGCGAGCCACGATGGCCAGTCGCGGTATGAGAAGTACGGTGACTGCATAGACTGTAAGGAATGCGATCTCTGTGATTCCGAACCCAAAGGCTCTGCCGACGGAAGTTGAACTAAGGGCCATGTTGAAAATGACAATGCGGGACCGAATGTTTCATATGAAGTAACTAGAAGATACCAGCATTTTATATAATAAAGCCAGAGAGGTGTGAAAGGGGCAGAAATGTCGATCTCAGGTAAAGAACAAAGCTCACCTTTTCCATGAACCACTTCATTAGTAGCAAGATTTAACAAAAACGAGTGGGGGCCGGGGCCAAAACATTGTTACCCGGAGAATTTTCGGTCACTCCTAAAAGCCTGACTCCGATTCAACGAAAGACTCAGTGTGCATGCACGTGAATTTTTCTAATGTCGGAATAGAGACGGAAGCCGTAGGAGGGCGGGGAAAGAAGAAGAAAGTAGGTGAGGCGCGTGAAGACAGGCCAAAAGAGTGGTCAGAACGAACTCCTACCGAAAGCTTGGGCCGCCAGGCTTTGACCAACGCGTAAATCAGTGTCAAGTATGGAGATGACCTTCTCACCGACCGGCAGCTCCGCGGAGTTATGCGGCCTTAGTAGCTGTGAAACACCCTAAATCGCGTGGGGGTGGCCGGGTCTTGGTTTGCAAAGATGGGGCTCAGCGGCGTAACACGTCTGTCCCAGGTCGAGTGCAGCTAGCTCCTTCCACAGAACATCGTAAGACCTTTACCGAATTGGTTTAGAGGGGGGACAGCATTTCGTAACTCAGTGAAAGCGGTTGGTACCGGTGGTTGAACATGGACAGCAGGACAAGAGCGGTTGTTTGAGGAATGAAGTTAGGCAAATCCGGCCCGAACCGACAAGAGGGGCACTTCTTAGCGCCAATTCTAGTCCCTAAGCTATTTTTAGACGACAACCTCACAGCATGGTCCCAACGATCCAGCGTATCCCATCATCATCTACAATGAACACGAGCGGGCGTGATCCAATTCTAGATGGCCCTTACTCTGACCAGAGGAGCTGCTATCTGCTCAAACTTTCCCTCGAACTGCGCTTACATATTTGGGAATACGTCTGCCCCCCTGGTCAATATTCTGGCATGCTGAAGGGCTTGTTTGGTAACGAACAATGTCTTCAACTACATTCGTTAAAATGTGAATAGTTCTCGCTTACTCCCACTAAGTCTTGAAAGTCTGACCGAACGTGCCTTTAGACAAAGACATAGTCGGAAGAGAGTGTGGCTATGAACCGCCTGAATACTACGAATATGTTCCAAATCGCGCGCGAGAGGAAGGCCACCCTTCTTTGCTTCTCTCTATCGGGCAGACTTGTCGAGTAGTGTAAGTAGATTAAGCTGCTTTTCTATTTAATTGCGGCTGATCCGTGAAGCAACAAGGTACCAAGATGTTATCCCATTGCTATACGGCAATCACACTTTCATCTTCTTCTATGAAAAAGACCTAATCTCATTTCTCTCCAATATCCCCTCTACTCACCTTCAGTTCGTCCGCCACGTGGTTCTTAATCTGTATCTCAAGCTGGAGAAACAGCGCACCGCGGGCTGGGCGTCTCAAAAAACACGGCCTATCCGCACGCGCAGCACTACCCCTCAACGGCAGGCTAGAAATAGAGATTGGTCCGCAGCGGTTGAGAAACTTCTCAGTCTTCCGAAGTTGAAAATGCTCAATGTCAATATGGATGATAATCACATTCGCCAGCCGAAGAGTTTAGGATACACAGACGAGCTGCGGCTGAAATCGACGGTCGAGCTGCTACGGTCATTCACGGGGAAAAGAAATCTGGTGGAAGGCAGGTGGGTGGTTTTGGTAGGGGCAAAGTCGGGGCAAGAGCTAACCGATTATGTCGCGCTGCTTGACGCCACGCTACAGGACGAAGGAATCCCTTTCGAGGCGATAGATCCTCATAAGCTGACCCCACCGTTTCCACCTACATTCATTCCGTCTTATATGATGGATATGATTGTGTGCTATGCGCTTCCGCCCGATGAAGACGACGATGACTTGTAGATACTTCAATATCTGATATTGACCTTTTGTAATAAACCGAACAGGCTGTTATTTCTTTCGTATAGAGCCGAAATATATGAGAGTTATAGACGGCAAATATCATTCAAGCCCAGAATTCTACTTAGCTATGCTACTTAATTGCTATCTAGAGTTGTAGATAGGTGAAATAATTAGAAGGGCCTGGCGGAGCGAGAGTCAAGTTACAATGCATGTACTAACAAACTTGAAATCAGGCTAAACAGGACCAGGCAAGCTGTAACTATACCACCGAACGAAAACCTCAAAACAACGAGTATAAGAGCAAAGACAAAATTATCATAGGTCTACCTAAGAGCAAGCTACCTACCCTAAGCAGTAGGCGAACCAATCCGGTTCATGAGAAAACTCAGACTCCATCGATCAAATCCCTCCCTACTTCTTATTGTACCGTTGTGTTTTCTCACTCCAGTACTCGTTTCCCGACATCTGATACTCTAGCCCGCTTATGTATCTCGCTATGTGTTCTCCACAGCCCTCATTGAGGCTCTTTTTCTCAAGCTCCTTATGCATGACCTCCCACTCTCTGCACATAAGTGCGAGAACACGCTTTGAGGCTTCGTAATCAAGGCCGCTCTCGTCGGCCAAGACCTTAACACCGTTGCACAGACAAGAGCCCTCTAGATGACCCATCTCGGCCTGCTGCAGCTCCTTGTCGAAGCTGTAGACGTCGTTCATGACCGCTAGGTGCTTGGAGCAGATCTGTTCGAGTGGGTGTACGGACTCGAGTTCCGCAGGCGAGAGATGCAGATTCATAGCGTAGCGTTGCAGTGCAAGTAAGAACCTGTGATCCAACATGTTAATTAATTATGAAGCCCAAATATTTGGGTGAATGGGAGAAGGGTTTAACGTACGCTCCTCCCACGTCCCGCTCACGGTACTCAAGATAGCGGCCTAAGCCGGTGGTTTCGATCCGCGACTTTTCTGTCTGGGCGCGCATGAAATCAAAGGTAGGCTCGAGCATCTGCTCGGTCAGGACGGGGTCGGACTTGCGCATCTCCTCCCAGATTTCGTGCATCATCCACTCGCACGGGATGGATGGGTTGGGTGCGGCAGTGCCAGACATGATTGGCATAAGGTGTTCATTGTAGGCCTTGCCGTCATCGAAGCTCATGTCCTCGAGGAGGTCTTGGTGCAGCGTACCGTTAGCACATCATCCTAACATTTCGATACGCATGCTTGCTCGGATTCACAATAAGACACTTACCGTCTATCAGGAACAAAATTGTAATGAGGCGGCAGGCCGAGTGGATCCTGTCGTCCAGGGCAAGCGGGAAATTCATGCATGTGGCATAGGAGTATCCATCGGTGCCGATTTTCTTGCGCGCCTTCTCGTTCTCAAACGGCCAGTGCTGAAGGAACCATCCTTCGACGTCGGCGGTGACCTGAGGCTCGAGGGGATGACGCTTGTGAACAAGGCGGCTTGGGATAGATCGCAGGATGTAGCAGCTGTCGACGGGAGAGGAGATGGCCTTTGGCCCGCCCAGTGAAGTGGGACCCGGCTCACTGGGGTGCTCGGTGGACAGCATTGTGGGTTAGATGGTGAAATTTAGAAAAGTTAACGTATAGCGGCTTGCTCTGCTCGAGAAGGGTTGGGCTGGGCTTTATCTTATATCCAATACCAAAGGCGGCAACAGGGCATGCTTGCAAGAGGAATGGACGTAGGTTGATGCAAGTCTTCCTGAGGTAATCATATATCAGCGTAGACATTGCGTAAAAGGCCTACAGCTTAGTAGACTGCTAAAATCCAAAACCCAATCAATCAAGTCTGACTATCTATCCGGGATTATCCGATTCTTACTCTACCGTCTGAATCGGGAAAGCCGGAGTTCTAGGGCTAAAGCTTACTCAACACTTTTTTCCCGCATGCCCAATAGCAATTGAATCTTGCTTCGCTTACAAACTCCAAGGAGGCATAAACATCTTCCGGAGATGGAAAATGCTGCAATGCTTACTGTTGATGGTTGTTCTCTCCTTTCAGCTGCATCCGGACCACGCGTTTAAAGGGTGGTAGGCTGCGGATTAGAAAGAACCTCAATTCTGAATTTCTAATTACTATGAAGAGAGGCTTCGAGATTTTAATTTACTGACAACTCACCCGATGACAATTCCAGAAACTAAAGTAGAAAGTTAGGAAGTTATCGTCTGTTATAAACAACCAGAAAGTAAAATCGCGGATGTCTCCACAGCACAATTACCTCCAACGAAATCACAAAGTCCGTCCCTCGCCACGAGTATCAGTCAAGGCTTGCTGCGCCCTCGTCATGGTGGTGCTCTCGATGCGAAGCCACTGAGGTTCCAACTGGGCGAGAGACTCTTCAAGCTCCGTGTAACGCTCACCCTGGGTGAAGATGACGCGTCCGTCCCAGTGTCCCTCGCCCTTGACGTCCACGTCCGTATCCTTGGTGTAGGGCTCGACGAGTCCTGATTCTTTTGCAGCTGCCGAGTAAACGATGGCGCGGGCCACGGCGTTGATAGTGATGTCTTCCGGGCGCAGGACGACACGCAGGGAGCGGACCTGGCCTACAATCTGCGGCCATATCAGTCAGCGTTTATAGCTTCATGTGGGGGGTGTCAGGTGGACTAGAGCAGCTTTGGACGGGCAAGGTTTGTTCGGGCACGTAAGCGGTAGCGCTGGAGGCGATGACAATGCTGCCATGGTCTTATCGCGGCGCATGTTGCTGAGGACCAGATTGACGGTGTTCAGGGTACCACGCATGTTGATGTCGATGACGGCATAGCTAGGCGCCTGCAGGTTGCCCCGTTTGTCGAAGGAACCAGCAAAGTAATCATACTGCTCCGGTAGCTCCTTGCACACGCCAGCGTTGACGGCGTTGACGGCGTTGAATGCGGCACAGAGGTTGGCCTGAATCGGTGGTGTTGCAACGGAAGAAGGTGAGGTTGTCGGGAAGCTGCTCCGCGGTCGAGAGCGTGGACTTTTGGCGCCGCGTGACGCGATAAGACGCGTTGGGGGCGGAGGATCAGCGGCCAATCAAAAAGATGTAATCCTGGTACCTATGAAGGATGCAATCTGCAGTGCCCTTACATATATGTGCCAGCCTGGCCTTTAAGCGCTGAGTAAATACCTAACAAACATGCACATTGACATTGTCAACACCGCTCGCCTCTTTCCCGCCTCACGTCAGGCCCGGCAAACGACCAAGCCGCTGTCCATCCTCGACGCCACCGTCCTGAATTTCACTCCCGCCGAGACTGTCCTCGTCTACGATGAGTCTACTCCCACGCCTGTCGTCGTGCGCGCTCTTGAGCGGGTGCTAGACAGCTACCCGCAGTGGAGCGGGCGTTTGCACCAGCTGCCTTATGACGGCGCCACCCGCCGCCATGGCCGCCTGGCGTTGACATGGGGCACCGCCGATGACCCGGGAGTCATCTTCGCTGAGGCTCGCACCGATGCGACGCTGGCCAGCCTGGTGCCCGCCGAGCGTGAGCGCGACTGGGACGCCTCAGCCTTCCCCGCGGCGAAGCTGGTCCCGGACACGCCCGTATCGACGTCGAACCTCGACGAGGCGCTGCCCAGTGTCACCGTCCAGCTGACGAACTTTTCGTGCGGTGCCATGGCCGTCGGCGTGCGCATGGCTCATCCGCTCGCCGATGCGCAAACGTTGTCGATTTTTTTGCGCCACTGGGCAGCTGCGACTGCTGACATGATCTCCGCCGCGCCCACTCCACTCTTCGACCCGTCTGCCCTCGATTTTCGTGCACAAGCCGCATCGCCGGATACTCCCTCGCTGCCCTTCCATCGCTACGATTGGTGGATCTCGAAGCCCGACTCGGTGCCTAACGAACTTCGCGATGAGCCGCATGATCCGCCAGGCGATGTTATGCCCTGGGCCGAGTGGGACGTAGGAGGGCCCGTCTCGCACTACGTCCTACACTTCTCGGGCATTGAGCTGGAGCGCCTCTGGAAGGCAACGGCCAAAGGCACCCATCTCAGCCGTCTCGATGCCCTGCTCGCCCACTTGTGGTCGCGTATCAATACAGCTCGTGGTTTGGAAGGCGATGATGGTGCCGTTCACCTCGACTACACACTAGGCTTGCGCGGGCGGGTTAATCCGCCTTTGGATGACGGTTTCGTTGGCTCCCCTCTCGTCATGGCTGCTGTGTCTGCTTCAGGCCGCACCGTCTCTGCCGCGCCCGCCGAGGTTGCCCGCCTTATCCGTTCCGCCGTCTCTTCCTTTACGCCGCAAGCTGTAGCTGGCCACCTCTTTAAAAAGCAGCAGGAGCAATCGCCTCAGCGTATTTGGCAGGCCTTTTTGGGAAGTCGCCACGTCCTGGTCACGTCGTGGATCCACACGCACCTGTACGGCGTGCAGTTCATCCCCGGCCACATCCCGCGTTATGTCGAGTGTGTCATGCCAAAGTGCGATGGCTTGTTGCAGATCATGGACGCGAGGCCAAATCCCCACCTGGGTGAGAAGCGGCACTGGTCGGATAATGGCGTTGATGTCCAGTTGCATCTTACTAAAGCTACTATGGAAAAGTTGCTAATAGACCCGGGTCTTCGAGGGTAGGCGGCGTCCTGGGAGAGTTACAAAAACAAGATATGGCGGAAGGGAATATAGAAGCCTCTAACTTTCTCTGGGTACGTACTACTGTAAATAATTTATTTATCAGGATCCCGCGGGTATTCAATCAGCACCCCTTCGTACAGATATGAAACACACTAGTAACGACACAGCTATATCGGTTCTCAGGAAATATGTCAATTTCTTGCTCCATTTGAGCCTACTGTCTTTCCCGGCTATAGCTTGAGCTACCTGTCCCATATAACAATAAGTCGTTCAAAATGAGGAAGATCTACTGAACTTTCGAAATGAGAGCTGCCTCTTACCGTACCGCCGATTTCGACTCCAGAATACAGTCAGCGTGGCAAGGGGGCTGCTTAGCAATGATGAGTTGGACTTCCAACACGGCATTTGTTGCGGCTTACAATGTTGCGGTGACGATCTAATGAGCCCTAACAGATGCTGTCAACTAATACAAATAGTGCTTTCATTTAGTTCCATAGCGGAGGCATACTGCTCTCGTGGTTGTCAATACCAGCATCATGTCCGACAATGTTCGCTATCTTCCACCGCGGCTCCAACCGATATTCTCCGTCAACGAAGCAGTATCTGGAAGACTATCCCTCTCATTGGCCGTTCTCTGCATTGTGTTGATTACCGTATATGCCAACCACAATGCCGCACGCCAACGTCTGGCATCAGAACTGCCGGTAGAAGCAAACGATCGAAAAGCAACCATCAAGAGCCGCAATCATTTCCGTAAAAACTCTAAAGCAATACGGCTACAAAGACTCAAAGCGGAAAATCAGGAGTTTTATTATATCTCTCCTGCTCTCAGCCGGCAATTCATGGCCCCGACCAGATTTCCACTCAAAACTGCACTGAGGCTTGAACTCGATTCCACTAGCATAATAAGAGCGCAATTTAATCGATATTTGGAGGATGTCTTAGTCGGTCTTCGGGATACGAGCCTCAGAGAGAAGGCTCGTGGGGCTATAGATGTCGATGGCAAGATTACCGAGAAAGCCGTATATCAAATGCTCCCAAAGTTTGATATGATAAAAAGTCAACACACTCACCCGGAGTATGTTTTTCCTTCTGCCATCTTGCTATAGTTATAGCTTTTGCTAATAGTATACTACTTCTAGACGTTCCTTCACTGCTCAAGAGATTAGAGCTATTCTTTTGTATCTCCTTGAAAACTTCGACTCAAAGTTTTCTCAGCTCAGACAAAAACCGCAGGGTCTCCGTTTAGGACATTAAAGCTGCAGTAGGATCTCTAGGCGGATATTATGTAACACGAAAAGAAACACCAATTCTTCCATCCTACATTTATTCTCCTCGATTCATCTGCATGCATATGTAACACAACAGGATACACAATCCTTAAACCATACCCTGGCTCCGCTCCTCGATCAGTCTTCATGCAGAGTTTGAATAACAAATGCTTCACGCAGTGCAACGCTGATGATAATAGTGTCTCACTTCAGCTGGTCAGCTGAAAGGTTCAAGAAAACATGTAAATGTTTTCCTTTGGCCGACATTCAGCATGAAAACCCAGTGGTAAATGCGACGTAGACTTAGGCATCTTCATATAATGGCAGCCCGATTGCTATTGATCGTGTTTTGCTGGGTACTCTCGTCACAAGCGGCTGTCGTATGGGGCCCAGTCGTCGACCTTGGCTACGAACTACACGAAGCAACCGTCAATGTAAGGAAACCATCAATGAAGCTACAGCTGTTGCACGCAACTAATCTTGGGACAGGAAACTGGCAACTATTACAATTTTTCCAACGTACGCTATGCGTCAGCGCCTGTCGGTAATCTACGATTCGCAGCTCCTGTGTCACCTCCGAAGGCCAAAAAGCCCATCATAAATAACGGACAAACCACCTTCATATGTCCACAAGGCATCCCTTACTGGTCGAATATCGCGTTTGCTCGTCTAGCAGGCCGAAATGTGTCTCTCGGTAATGAAAGCGACTATAAAATTGCCGATATCCCACCAGTTGATCCACGCACGAACGAAGACTGTCTGTTATTGGATATTACGGTGCCAATGAGTGTTTTTGATGGCCGAAGAAGGAACATCAGCGGAGCACCTGTGCTTCTCTGGTTCCATGGTGGCGGTTTTGTCCTTGGAAACAAAGGCGGATGGGGTAATGGTGCTGGCCTTGTCGGGCGTTCTCTTGAGAACAACCAGTCTGGAATTATCTATGTGGCCGCAAACTATCGTCTTGGCCTCTTTGTAAGTTTCAAATTCCTCGACGTGAACTAGTGAAAAGGTTGTTAACTTCTCGAAAGGGTTGGCTATCTGGGCATGATTCGATCACTTCCAATGCCGGACTACTAGATCAAAAACTTGCCATCGAGTGGGTGAGGAAGCATATACATCTCTTTGGCGGTGATCCAAACAAAATATCTGTCATTGGCGAGTCTGCTGGAGGGGGCTCATTGATGACACTCATAACTACTAATGGCGGAAATAACGGCAAGGAAGCGTTGTTCTCACGAGCGATACTTCAGAGTCCATGGCTTCCTCCGTTGCGTGAGGAATCTCAAGCAATTGCATTGTACAACCAGGTACTACAAGCAGCAGACGTTTCGAGTCCGGATCAGTTACGTGATGCACCATCCGAGACCTTACAAACAGTAAACAGCTTGCTTATCGGCAGAGCTCCGTTTGGAACTTACGTCTTTGGTGAGTAGTATCTCCATTGTTTGAGAAATTAATAATGAACCACGAAGCTAAATCAGTACTTGGATTAGGTCCTTTGATAGATCACAAAACAATTCCCGATGATCCAAGAAGATTGCTTAAGAATGGATCGTTCAAATTGACTATCGGCCTTATGATTGGCCACAATTCTAATGAAGGAGCTTTTTTCACACCTCCTTCTACGACTGCAAGCTGTTCCTTCGAATGCTTCTTCTCCCGGGTGCTTCCTCAATTATCCCAGGAAACACTATCGTATATATCCAGCTCTTTATACCACTTTGGACAGTCTACCCCAACAAATAACATTACAAGTATGCGAGAACAATACGAACTGGCTTACGGCAACTTTTCTATCAATTGCAATATTGAATACCTCAAGTCGGCATACCAGGACAGGCTGTACGCCTACATTTTCAGCCAACCCCCAGGCGTACATACGACTGACTTGCTATTCACCTTCTCTAATGTGGCTGACCAAGGAGATGGTGTAATGGATGATGCATGGCTAGCAGTTATTATGCAGCGATATTTTGTCAATTTCGCTCTTTCAGGATCACCCAACACTCCACTGCCGGTTCCAGAGTTCCCTCAATTCTCTAACAACTCTATGGTTATGAACTTCAACACGGTGGGATTTGGTGCGCGACAGGATGACGTCGATGAACAAAAGTGCAAAGGGTGGGAGTGCTTGCTAGGATACTAATCCGCTTCACTACTGAAGCTTTTCAGTCTTAATCCGGAAAGGTCTAGGCACACTGTTGTTTTTTAGGCTGTTATCACCTGGTACCTTCATTTTGGACAAATTAATGTGTGGAAACTGGCGGTTCCTTGAGTGTCTTACGCTTAATAATCTTTAACTCACAAAGAATGGATATTTAAACCACACCCAAATCCGGGTAAGCGTTGTGTGAAAACATATGAAAAAACCTCAAATATTTTAGAGGCTTGGTATGTATAGTATTTCGTTTACACATGTGGCTGTTGGGTATCTAAACTTAGAAAATCCTTATTTACTAGCCAAGTGATGCCTCTGCCCATCCAATGACAAGCGCAGCAAGAGTTAAAAGCCACGCCGCTACACCAAAAGCACCTTGGACGTCTCCATGCCTCATTACAGCCCACACTACAGCGAAAACAATACTTCCCAGCACAAAGAATCCCATCAAAAGCAACCAAACGCGATCCGCAAGGAAACCTTCGACAAGATGGACACCCCATGCAAGCCCACCTTCAACTTTCTGGCCTCGCTTTTTGGGGAAGCGAGCGTACGCAATTACTTCACTGTCATGGTCCTCCGGATGCATGAACATATGCATTAGGTATTTGTCGCCTACCGGAGGTATCAATTCATCCGGTGCATGGTCGTAATCGTAGTGCTGGCTTCGTGGCGGCATGTCGGGGCATTTGCGAATATCCACAACACGGTTTCGGTATGCTTCGAACTAATGACAGACTGTAAGGAACATTGTTTTAAGTCTTGACATGTATATTGCGCAGAGTACTCACTTGGACGAACTTGATGCTTGTTAGGCCCCGAAGGCGTAAAATTCTCCACCATTTTCTGTTTATATGCGAGTAAAGCTTGCGGATTTCCATTGCGAGGTCTTTGTCTGAGCGTACTCTCGGGTCTGTCACATCGATATGTGAGAGCTTCGTCGTCAAATAGCCTTCTTCTATACAAGTGAGGAGCCATCTTTGCACCGGGTTGACCATCCGCACAAGGAAAGGGTTACTAGAGCGAACTGCTGTGGGACTGTAGCCGGAATTCGAGAAACTGCTGCCTTGTGATGAACACGTAGTTGCTGGCGAGGGCGTTGCCAAAGCCGAACTACCGCTCCATATGTTGGTGCTGCCTGGAGAGGAAGAAGTGCTCGCTGATGACGAAGTAGGAGCATGAGCTTGAGGCCTGTTGAGAAATGTTTCAAACTCGCGTGCAGCTCCGGGTCGCCGCTCGATGTAGTCATCATAAAGTTGCGCACCGCAAGTCTGTTTACAATATCAGCATTTATGTCGGTTTTAGCAGGCAAACGGGCTTATTCACGCATGTCCATCGCACTCGAATGTGGTCTTTTGGGATCGGCTTCTCTGGTCCATAGAGGTCATGCACGCCAGAAGCCAGTTTTTGTAGCTGTGAAAAGGCAGCAACTGAAGCCTGGTATATAAAGGCGACCAGTGTGTTTCTGGGTGGTGGAGCTGACCTTATCTCGCGGCTTGAAAGCAACGAGATTGCGTCAACCGGGCTCAATGGTGCTGGAACGTTTATCGTAGGGAGCGTCCACTCCATTGTCCCGGTACTGTTTGTTGCGTGTGTTTGTGATGATCCTTGAGGTACCTGCGGCGATGAGGGGCTGTCGCCAGTAGTAAATCGGATAGCGCCCTGTCCTTGAGGTATTATCCCGCTTTCATTAGAGAATTTAGTCGAGACTGCAAGTTTAGGGAGAGCGCCGAGATCATCCTGAGAACCGTCAGGCGAGCGGAAGTTTTCTGTTTGTCGTGATAAAGGTATGTTTCGTTTAACCGCTTCTTCCGAAGAAGTGATTTTCATCAATGCTTGTGTCGAATTAGGAGAATGTTCTTCGGTTCCCTCATTGTTCTTATCGGGAGCTTTAGCGGAGAATGCATCGGCTCTTTCTAGTGTTTCACGGCTTCGCAAGGCTGACAGGTTTGGTACTTCCGGGCCGTTAAAAGAAAGGTTGCTGTGTCTCGCTACAAGTCCCATATTTACTTCAGAAAGAGATGTCGATGCGGGTAGAGCTTCGGCCTTAGAACTTGAAACCACGGACGGTGTATCTTCACCTGCCCTTTTGCGGTCGCCGTTGTGTGCCATTACTCGATTCGATGCTCTCTCGCTAGGTGTGTTGTCCGGAGAACGATGGTTGTTGGCCGAGTCTGATAGATGTTGCAAAGACTCACATAGCCTACGAGCATGTTCATCAAGTGAGCTCGGAATGCTAGTTTTATTTCGGCCCTCAGATGCGGTTTGATGGCGAGGACGAGCATCGTGCCTTACAGGATGACGAACAGAAAGTCCTCTAGCAGGTGTAGGAATTATGCTGAATGAACCTTGGTCGTCGCTGTCCTGTAACTGAAGAGCCACTGAATCTCCTGGAGCTTCGCTGATTAAAGGTAGGGAGTCCAACTCTGGGACAACATACTCGTCGGTCGTTATCTTTGGAGGTTCGCGGGCTGGTAATCGGACCTCTTCGGCTTCATTTATGTCTTTGTCCGACACTAATCTTTTGGACACAAAGTCAACTTCTGAATGTCCGCCATTACCTGAGCCTAGAGTCGGTGATAGAAGCTGACCAACTGGATATCCTCCTTTTGGCGAAGTGGTTGGCGGTTTGCGGGTAAGATTGACCCCGGGCAAGTTCTTTCTGCACTCCTCGCAAAAGTAGTTCTCAGGAACCATAGACTCTTCTGAGATGCCCACGCAGCCACCATGTTGCCAGATCTTGCACTCATCGCACTGGATGAAAAGGCCGCCCCCATCGTCGGCTGACAGGTCTCCGACCGCCAGATCTTCGTTACCTGACGGTGGCCCGGGATAATCCTGATAACCGCAGATGCAGCGTATAATCTCCGACTCGCCGTTATCATCACCAGCAGTTTGCGCATCTCCGTTGCTCATATATGAAGGCGGCGGTGATGTCATCGGTTCTTGTATTGAACCGGACGTGCTCTGGCTCGGGCCTTGGCTCCACTCTTGGGACGACTCGTTGTCATCCTGTTGAGGAGTTGAGTGCCGCATATCCTGACATACAGATTCAGCAGCAGTGATATGCCCTTTTTGAGGAATGGGACTGCGGACGTCCTGGAGTTAGTGTCAGCTGCTGCCTATAAGGCTTGGCCAAAAGATGGGGTGTTTCTGGCGCAAGATATTTGCAGCACCACGAGCGCTTACCATTGCAAACACTAAGGTGAGCATTGCCCCATTGGATAGTGGAACGTGAGGAGAAGATGATTCTCATTCGTTATTCCCCAAGGGATAATGGCAGCTTCTTTATAAGTCTTCAGATGTGAAGGCAGTGCTGCTGCGCCACAATGCGGGTTACGATGATCTGCGCCATGTACTACGTGAGATAACAAGATTTTGGCCCCATCCTCCGCGCCTGGTTTGCACGTTGCCTAAAAAGAGAATGAAAAATAGGTTACTGGCCTATCTTCCAGTCATAAGTGAACGTATAATTAGGTTTCAAAAGATTTACTTCATAAAAAGATTTTACAACTTGAAGGCGCGCCAGAGTAGAACATGATTGCTGTAAATGCAAAAAATCATTGCCGCAAAAAGGCCTTGCCTCGCTTATACTAGGTATGGTAGCGAATTAGCCCAAGACACCGAAATATACTCTGATAAGCTCTGCCCTATACCTTTAAGTGAAACAAAAGATGATGGATATTGATAAGGCGCTTATATAGTACTATTATCTGCTCCTCTTAGCTCCTAGCTATATCTGAATCTCTCTTATCCCTTAAGCCATTCTCCGAAAAATGACAGCTTCCAGTTAAGACTGCGTTTGCTTAGGCTACATTATCTAGGTGAACGTCATCGCTGCATTTGGTGATATTCCGTTACTAGCAGCTCTGCTTGTCTAGAAGCGCTACCCGTGAGCAATAATGGCAACTCAGCAGTAACTAATTTGCATAATATCAATCACTTAATCCGGTACCACTGCACAACCTCTAAATAAGATACTTGTGTAAAGACCAGGAGATGTAATTGGTTTTAGTAGCTGTGATTCCGTCCCGAGGCTAGCAGGGAATCCTGAAAATCACAGTACCTTATCTATACAAACATCTCCGTCAACATCTACTTTTTTTCTTCCCGGAACCCTTATTGTACCCTTGGTACCTTTGATCCCACAGACGCTCACTCTTACGCCGCCACTCTTCTCCCTCCGTCACTCCGCCTCAATACCGCCTCCTGGTGCTGGCATTCTACCCTTGACCCACTCCACGTCTACGTCTCTCGTGACCGAAACAGAAGGCACAAATTCCCATGTTTTGTAACCCGGGCTTGTTGCACGCACGCCGAGCACATACTCAGACAGTACGTAAGTGGGCGCGCCGCCCCAAGGGTGTGCGTGCGAAGTGTACGCGTCGAGCCCCGGACGGCCGTCTCCGTAGACGTATTCCCAAGCTGAACCGGTAGCGAACAAGTCATTTGTAACCATTGCCGGCCACAACTGATCAAGCAAGACCGATATAGCATTTGAAACTTGTGGAGGAATTTTTATTGTTGTGTTGGTAGCATTTACAGACGACAAAAATGCGAAGTCTTCGCTTGTCTTAAGTAGAGCTTCAAGCAAGAAGCCTAGATAGTTTGGTGATAACGATGTTTCATTTGCGGGAGTCGTTACGGTTGACGTGCTCTTGTATCCGATCCCGAGGCGCAGAGTGTCAAGAGCGGCAATTGCAGAGGCAGCTCGCTCTGTAGGTGCTACTCCTGACAATATAGCGAAAGCGATGTCGTTGATAGAGAAGCTATCCAAATTGTCGATCGATTGGACGTAGGTACTAACTTCAGCATTCCATAGCTGAGTGTTGACGGCATTCTTGATGCTGGTGGCTGTCGCTTCCCAGGAGTTGGCGGTGTTATTCTCGCCAACTGCACGAGCAAGAGAAGCTGCTTTGTTGAGAGCAAGTACAAAGGATGCCGATGGAGCGGTTCCACTTGGGAGACCAAGGAAGAAGTAGCCTGGATAGGGTCCGGTTGATACAAGGCCAGAGTCGCGATCAACAACAAGAAGAAGAGCTTCGACGAGTGTTTTCAACTGCAACCAGTAGCTTGAGAGGAAAGAGTAATCCCCGCTAAATTGAAAGTAATCTGCAATGGCGGTCACATAAAGGAATTGGTAATCCATGAGGTTGTATCCGGCCGAATCTGTGCCGTAATTTGGTGAAGCACCCATGGCTGCAGACATTCCAGAGAAGCCAGCGAACGAGGAGCCCGACGGTGCTTGCCACTGGAAAGCATACGATAGCGTTCCAGTGGAGAAGTCCGAATCATTTGTGCTCGCTCCGATAATCCGCTGGGTGTGGTAATAATCACCGGTCCAGACCAAACGATCTCTCTTTGCACCGTCCAGGCAGACATCGTGTGTACTGTCAGAGACGCCATACTCTTCTAGAGTGGAAGCATCGGTCAAGTTGTTTCGATAGACCACTGTTCCGTTCGCGGCCTTAACAATGACGTTAGTGTAGTAGGCCTCCTGGTCTTGGAAAGGCCCAAATCCCCATGTTCCTTGTGTTTTGTCGCCGGAAGATGCGCGATTAGATTTCCAATCGGCCGGAGCAAGGCCGTTTGATACAAAGACAGAGCCTTGTCCATCAATTGAGATGGTATAGCCAGTGGCGTTAACGGATGTGGAAATTTTGTACCACACATCCTGTTTTACATCGAATGGTCGGGTATAATAAACGTTCGGACCCGTAATCAAGGTCGTTTGATTGACAAGGCTCCAGCCAAAATTTGCAACAAGTGTGTTGGGTGGAAGAAGGGTCCGATTGGTGTTGAGAAAAGTACCTTCCGGATATTCACTTGTAAGCACAAAATACGGTCCATAGCCCTTGAGTCCTGCAGCAGCTCTCCATCCGACACCGCCGCGGGCAATCTTAGTCGAGAAGGTCAACGTGTAATTGCTGAACGAGGTCCCGAGAGTGGACTGTGCAGGGGCTTGGCCGCGAATAAAAGCTCCATCTTCAGTGATTTTCCAAGTCGAAGGCGCGGTCCCTTTGGCAATGCAAGACAGTTGTGTGGATCTTACTCCCAGCGCCCAGACCTTGTTGTACATATCGTTGGAGCTTTCAAATTGTCCGGGCAAGTCTTCCGGCGCCCTGATGTCATTACCGCTTGCAAAACCAACGCCGCAGATGGTCAATCTTTCTTCACTGAGAAGTTTGAGGGCCTGCCATCTCTGTCCTCCCTGAATAAAGAATGATTGTTGTCTTCCTGTGGACGAAACATCAAAAGTCTCAATTCTGAAGGTATTGCTTAATCCGTTTGAATAGGTCCAAGGCCCGTCGGCTTGTGGGAGGTCTAAGCTTGCTTTGGCCTCGGAATATCTTGTTTCGATTTGGATACCAGAAGCAGTTATGTTCGAAATATCGATGAACGGGAACCCTCCAACTTCGTTTCCATAATCTAAAGTAACGGATGGATTCGATGCAGTCAGAGTAAAACAAGTTGATGAAGTAAAGTTGGATGTTGTAGATGCGTTGCCGAAACTGTATTTTTGGGGGTAGATGTCGGCTGCTCTATACAACCAATATCAGTGAAACGTAAGACAGTAGTCCCATGAATTTCAGGTTTCCTAAGACTTGAGCCTTACAGTTGAACTTACTCGGAACCAGTCACAGTAGCAACAGTCGTAAAGAGAAGTACGACAAGAGTATAGATTAGTTTCATAAGTTTAATAGCCATGTCCAGATTTTGCGTAGGACTTTTTAGTTAAACAAACGATGTCTTAAAGGTAGTAGTTTTCGATCGCCTATTAACAGTATACTAGCGGCTCCCGGGCCATTAAATATCTCTTCAACTGTATCACTGTTAGTGAAATACGAACACGATTCAAGTTCCCGTAATCGCAAAGAGAGTTTTGCCGAATAAACTTGCCAGGTATATAATGGGGAAACTGCCTTGGCAATGCGGGGAAGCTGGGGGATAAGCCTCGGTAAGGTGCGGATCACGCGCCCGAATGATTAATATCTAATTATTACCTTAGCTTCTAACACCGGAGCTCGGGCTTTTAAGGTCTCCGTTTAATAGCTCTAAGTTATGATTTGCAACGCAGCTTAACCCTTAAAATTTTAGGTAAGAGTGTTGAGGTGACCGCATCGGGAGAACAAGGGCCGAGATATTGGTTTGTATCACCAAACAAAGAAAGTCGCTTCGGCGGTTTATTCCCGCCTTACCGACTATTCGGCTTATAGGTACATTTAGGTTTTATGTAGTAGACCTTTAAATTTTATTTTAAGGCCTCTCATATACTACTATTAGACTTTTTATTGCAGACAACGGTTGTTATAAAGAGATATCCATTTCTCTTTACGTAAAGAACTTTATTAAAATAGAAGAGAAAAATAGCGTTAATAGTTACGAAAATATCTATCATATTATATGGAAGAAACGAATTTCTCATACAATCTTCACCGTTTCCGTCTCACAACTCTCAAAAAACGGCCTTCCACTACAGCTATTTTCGGAACGTACCAAGGCAAAAATACCTATCCTTATCCAAGCATTCCCTTCTGTCGTCGGAAACAAGAGTAGTCCAGCCATAGCTTCCGGCTCGTTTTCTGTCTTGGGTATGCTCCCAAGAAAAAGCATTTTCAAACTTATAGTTATTTCCCTCGTCGCAAAATTATCAAGGTCACAGTAGCTGACGTACTCTCCACCCACTCTAAAAGAACGAAAAAGCCCCATTGGCCTATTATCTGGCGCATTAGTTATTTGAGCAGCATCCATGGCGTAACATTTCCCTCGGATCAATAAGTGGCCCCCGCAGATCCTTCCGAACGGATCGGGACCCATTAGGTCCATCTTGGCTTCCAATACTTCGCTCTCGGCATTTATGTTGTTCGTACGCGGCTGTTTATGTGGTATTGTTCCTAATGATCGCACCCAACTCCAAGACGGGGCAACGTAAGTCTCTGGTGCCACTATTGAAAGAATGAAGACGGTGAATGATCCATAACGTGTGAACTTCTCCCACAACAAATCGGAAAAGATGGTTTCTAACCACAATCCCGCTAGATATGTCCCCCTAGTCTCTGCCTGGACAGCTTTTGCAATTCCTGACAATGCAGGGAGGGCATCTTCGACGTAGGTTAATTTTCGCCACTGGTATGCTGGCCGGACAAGTCTGTCCCAGTTTCCAGACCTAGAAAGATCACGAACATCCACGTCTGCGAATTGCTGAATACTTTGCAAGAAGGGGTGTCTTTCGTAGGTTCCACACTCTGGAAGAACCCGGCCGTCAGCCATGAGTGTCACTTGATGGGGACCGAAGAAAATTTTCCGTTGAGACAGAAGCTCTTCCTGGTATGTCCAGCCCCTTTTGCACCAATCCGAATTGTCGTGCTCATTTACGAATGAGACACGGTCTTTGAAAGCAGACGAAGATTGATCTTGTAGCCAGATATGCCCGGAAATACCTTTACCCAACGAAGACGTATATGGAATCAAAGCCCGAGCGTAGTCATGTGGTTGTGCGAAACGTTCATGGACCGAACTCGCTCGTAATGCAATGACTGTGACATAGCTGCCTTGATAGATTTGCGCCATTTTCGATGCTTCAGTGTTCCAATCTTCCGGGTCGTCTTGAACTATGCAAAGCGCATCAATCCAGATATATTGTAATCCAAGCTTTCTAGTAACGGCAATTGCGTCTTTGAAGGTGTCAGGGGTTTCGTCAAGAATTATCCTCTCCATATGGTGTCCCAAGGAACTTTTGTTTGTCTTGAGAAAGGGTATATGGGGATCGCCCCAGCAGTAGCTTAGTGTTGCGTATCGAAGCGGTCCAGTGCCTTTAGGAAACAATACTAAACGCGGATCCTGAAATACAGGTCCCTCTCCAACGTCGAGTAGCCTTGTTGGTACGAAGTCGTCTGTTCTTTGTGCTTCCGAACACAAATCGCTTTCTTGGAGCCATGCGGATATCCTCGCTATTCCTTCATCAGAGAGCGGGTCGGCGCATGGGATGTTATTATCCATAATACGCAGCCACGAAGAAAGTTGCCCTTAAAGATATGGTTAGCACATTACCCGCGCTAAGGCCAGTGCAATGACATACCTGGACTTGCATATGTCTTAAAATACAGAAAATGGGGTTCTAGTCTCTCCAGAGATATAGCTATCACAAGCCCACGAAGCTCATTCGTGGGGCTCTCGTCTTCATCATCACGTATGATTGCTGATGGTAAGAATTCCTTCTCCCATTGGTAGAAGGCACCTTCTATAAAGACATTGACCGTGTCGGAGCTATTCAAGTGTGCGGGGACCTGGATTACTTTGTCCTGGATCTGCTTTAAGATTGAAGACCGGAGCAACTGGCAGAAACTGCATCCGTTTTCGCTGCCTTCCTTTAAGCTCGGTAGTCCTGGAAGCACGTCCTGCCTTTCGTACGGAATTGGACGGCGAAATTCCCGTTCCCAGAACTTCAACTTGCGCATCTTTGGGACGTCACCCGACCCATCCTCATCCTCATCGCTGCTATAATCTTCCCACTCACTTCCCTCCGACGTAGATTCTTCAATGTTTTTTCCAAAAAAGCTTGATGTCGGAGTTCTCCGCGTACTACCGGGTCCTCCCGTGCTTTCCAGTTCCTTATCGACGGAGCTTCTCACAGGAACAATGCTTTGATCTTCAAGTCCATGCTCTTGTTCTTCAAGTCCATGCTCTTGTTCTTCAAGCCCATGCTCTTGTTCCTCGAGTCCGTGCTCATGTTCCTCAAACCCGTGCTCTTGTTCTTCTCTCTGACCACTTCCGCATTTTCCTTCACCTTCTTCGCTGTGACTTTTGTTTTGGTCATCGATTTCTGAGCTGTCAATATGAAATCCTAAGCTGTCCACCGAAGAACTATTCCTACTTGAAATATGGTAACCATCGCTATCGCCATCGGAAAAGCCAAACAGATCTTCGTCGAAGTACATGAGTTTTCGAATTAACAACTCTCCGGAGACGAAGCTGAAATTTCTAGCAACCTTCCCCCCAAATGCGACGTCATCAAATTGTATGACCTTGCAAATGTCGCAGAGCCAGGGCCCTTCCATGTCTGCAGGTTTTTCCGACATGATGAAGTGATTGAGAAAAGCGCAAATTTGCACCGAAAAAGACATCGATCATCGCCAGATATATATCCACGCAAAGTTGTCAGCAGCTGAGCTGACACTTACCCCGCATCTCACAAGCATGGGTGCACATCATGAGAACGACAACCTCCTTTCCGTGTGACAACGCCAGATGCGCTCTCGAATGCGCTCTCGACTCCGAAAGCGAATCGGATTTCGTCGTCCTTGACCGATTTGTTAAATATGCCAAAGCCACACAAGGCTGCGTCAGCCCAACGCACACGCGATTTTCAGCGGTCACCCCATTCGGGGTCTCACTGCATCCGAGTTCTATGGCGAAGAATTATTGCATGGGGTCCTGCCAGCACCATGCTAAGACTTTGTGGACTTCGACTTTGTAGGTCGTGGCTTATAGGCACGGCCCCGGATGATTTCACCACCCTACGTGATTGATTCACGCTGCCAACGCGCAATTGTGTAATCCTACGACTTACTATACGCGACTAAAGATAAGCTGAATTACTATAGACGCATATATCCTATGATATCGTTAGTAGGGAGGCATAGAAGATAAGGGCATAAAGAGAAAAGCGTGAAAGGAAGAAGTATACAAGGGAATAGCACTAGGTCAATGAGGTAGAATTAGTACATATAAATATAATGCTAAGCCAAAGAAGTACTAACAGTTGCCTATAACAGGAGGTGGTGAAAATAGCTAGAAGGAGTAGTGAAACTCACCGGGGCCTATAGGCACAATGATCGAAAACTACTGCTAACACATCAACAAAGCTAGCGGATCCAACGCTGCACACAACAAACAAACAAGAGTAGCAAAAAACCTTAGCAGTAGTAATAAATACCATACATCATTATCATTACAACCACCAACTAACGAGCAGCCACCACACCCCACAATCATCATAAATCATAAGCAGCGTCCTCTCCCTCTCCCCTCCCCACCACACCACACCACACTCCGCAACCAACCAAAACATTAGATCGTAAAAGTCTTCTCATCCCTAAAGTCCCTGCTGGAGAAGCCGACACTAACGACAAACTCGCCCTCAGGGACGCGCCACTCCTGGGCGACAACATCCCAAACGCTCAAATCGCGGCGCATCAGCTCGAACCTGACCTGCTTCTGCTCGCCCTTCTCCAGCGGCACCTTCTCGAAGCCGCGCAGCTGGCGCAGCGGCGTGCCCTCGCCCGCAGCCGCGGGGAGCCTCACGTACAGCTGGGGCACGGCGGCGCCGGGCAGGTCGCCGGAGTTGGTGACCGTGGCCGTGGCCGTGTACAGCGTGTCCCAGAGGGCGGGGTTACCGCCGGGGGCCGCCTTCGCGACGGCCTTGGGGAGGCCGGCCGCAGACGCGTTCGATACGGGTGTGATGGCCAGGTCCGCAAGCTCGAAGCTCGTGTACGAGAGGCCATGACCGAAGGGGAAGGCGACGGAGAGGTTGTGGTAGTCAAAGTAGCGGTAGTCGATGAGCAGGCGCTCCTCGAAGTCCGCCTGCCAGGCGTTGGTGTCCTTGGGGTCCGCGACCTCGCGCGTCACGTTGGCGAAGTCGTAGTCCGAGACCTCGTGGGCGATGGTGTAAGGGAGCTTGCCCGAGGGGTTGACGTTGCCGTAGAGAACGTCGAGGATGGAGTTGCCGATTTCGTTGCCCGGGAGGTGGGCGGCGAGGATGGCGGTGACGTTTTCGTTGTCGGCCCAGGGGAGGACGTTGAGGCCGCCCGAGTTGGTGATGACGACCGTGTTGGAGCAGTTGCGCGCGACTTCGGTGACGACGTCGTCGCCGTCCCAGTCCAGGTGCAGGGTCGTGCGGTCCTCGCCTTCCGACGCCCACGTCTTCACGAACACGAGGCACACGTCCGGCTGCGGGTAGATTTGCTTCAGGAACCCGCCCGAGGTCGTCAGCTGCGTGTTGTTGAGGATGTACTGCACGTTGGTGCCGTCCTTCTTGGCCTGCTCCTTGATGGCTTCAAGTGGGCTGACGACGTAGTTGAGGCGCGCGGAGCCGGATCCACCGCCCACGGGAAGGCAGCCGTACTCGTAGTTCTTGTCGTGGTAGTAGAGACCGGTAGTAAGATCGCCGGCGGCGTTGCCAAAGACGCCAATGCGCTTGGGCGCCTTGAGGGGCAGCGTGTTGTTCTCGTTCTTGAGGAGCACGATGCCGGCGGCGCCGAGCTCGCGGATCAGCTTGCTGTGGTTGGCGCGGACGTCGACGTCGGGCTCGCCCAGCGCCTTGGCCTTGTTCCAGTCGTCGTACCAGCCGTCCTGCTTGTCGAATTCGTTGACAGAGGGGTACTCGCCCATGGACGGGTCCACGAGCGGGAAGTCCTTGTCCTGGCCCAGCAAAAAGTACGGCGTCATGACGCGGCGCACCATGTCGTTGACGCGCCACTCGGGGACGGTGCCGTTGTTGACGGCCTCGGTGAGGTTGGCGCCAAAGTAGGTCGGCACGCCTGGGAGCGTGGGCTTGAAGCTGATGCCGCCGGGCATGTTCATGTCAAGGCCGGCCTCAATGGACGCGACGCCAGAGTGAGTGCCCATCCAGTCGGACATGATGTAGCCTTGGAAGCCGAGCTCGCCCTTGAGGATGCCGTTCTGCGTCTTGGAGTTCTGGCACGCGTACGAGCCGTTGATGCGGTTGTAGCTGCACATGACGCTGGCGACGCCGGCGCGGACGGCGTTGGCAAAGGGCCATACGTACAGCTCATGCATGGTCCTGTCGTCGAGGTTGGAGGAAACAGACATGATCTGCTCGTCGTACGGGACCGCGTTGGGGTCGAACGCCTCCTCGGGGTTACGCTGGGTCTCCTGTTCGTAGGCGATCCAGTGCTTAGCGTTGGCTTGGACACCAACAGACTGCACACCAAGAATACTCTCTTCCATGGCGACACCGGTGAGGTAGGGGTCGGGAGAGAAACCTTCCCAGTTCCTGCCGTTGTAGCCGCTACGGCCGAGGGGACCTGCTACCGGTCCCAGGAAGACCTGGGAGCCCTTGCCCTTGAACTCCTCGGCAATGTACTTGCCACGGAGGTGGATGAGGTCTCTGTCCCACGACGCGGCGGCAGAGAGACCAGCAGGGAAGGCGCTGGCATAGTCAGCCTGGCGGACGGCGAGAGGACCATCCTGAAGGCAGAGACCCTTGAAGCCGACGCGAGGAATGGGTGCGATGTTTCTTTGAAAGCGGTCAGTAAAGTGGTTTAGCCATGTTCGGGGGGTCGGCCGCTTACCCAACGCATGGACCAGGGGCGCCGGTGAGCATGACGGCCTTTTCCTCGAGAGTGAGGTTGTTAGTGAAGGCCTCGGCCTTTTGCATAGCGGCCTCCCAGCCGCTAAGACCAGAGGCTTCAACGCCGGTCATGTTTGCTGGAGAAGATGTTAGCTATATTCCACTGTAGTCATCCATGCGGAACCACTCACGGGAAGGGTAGACGGGAGGGCTGTTGGTGAAGAGAGAGTGGTCCCAATCCTGGGCGGCATTGCCTACGGCGGCGACGGCCGCAGCGACGAAGAGGTCCCTCAGAGGCGCCATTGTGAAGACTGAATCAACTTGTCCGAGGTGCGTGGCCTCTAGATGTCAGCGGGCAAGCCCTCCTCTTAAACATGTCGACGGAGCATCGTCGGCCGCAGTATAGGCCGGAGGAAGCAGTTCGAATGGTGCCCGACGGGCGTGACGGGAAGTGAGGTGCAACGTCATGCCGTGACGGGATGGAGGCTCTTGTGCTAGCGGGCGGAGGAGTGCGCCCAAAAGTCCAAGATCGCGGAGCGGGGGCTCCACTCTCCCCAAGCCTGCTGACCCCGTAACCGATTGTTTCCATTGTCTCTCGATGTTGTCGGAAAATGTTGTCCCGACAAGACGTCTAGACCATGGCCACCATTGACCGCATCGCAGACCTACCTGGGTGCCCGGGTACAGCAGCAAACCACCTACCCAACGGCAACCCATCCAATTGAGCACTTACCGCTCCCCGCTCAAGCCTTCGCGCAGGAAACAAGCTCCCGACCCGACGCACCGCGCGCGCCAAGGCAAGCAGTTCGCGACAGTCGGACCGTCTCTCCCCATCATCCTCACGCGAGGCCGAAGCGGCGGCCACAAGGCCAAGGCAGGTTTGCGTGGAGTCTCCACCACTCGCTTCCCCGCGGCCGAACTTCTGCCGCGCGCAGTAGTGGGGTGGGTGGGTGGCAGCATCGTCAGGCGGGCAGACTGGACGGCACGGCACTCGGAGGCAGTCATCGGCAAGGCTGTTTTGTCTGTAGGTTGTCTGCAAGTCGTTGTTGTCGTTAATGTCGTCTCTCCCGCGCCACCAGATCCAACCACCGCAGCGCCGGGTGACGAGGCTCGAGCTACCTAGGTGCTTGGCAGTACGTAGAAGCAAAGCCAGGAAAAAGAAAAAAAATCGTGATGTTAGGTAACGCGAGGGCCACCCGCACCCCCACACATCCGCATCGTGACATCCCACACGCACGGCCGAGCCTCACTAGGCAGGAAACGTCGTCTTCTCCGCTCCAAGGTCCCCCCTCTCCAGACTTCTCCCGCCCCGACAATGTCCCGAATACTACCCTACGTCTTCCACGAGACGAGGCGGTCAACGGGTGGAGTCCCCAATGCGGCAGCGCACCCGACGCGGGGGGGACGCCCAATTCCACCCCGGGGGGCCCCCGCGGCGCCGAGTCTCCAGACTTGCCTTGTCGCGTGGACGCTAGGCACGTCATGGCGCCACACCATGGAAACACCCGGACCGTTCGGCACTCGCGCCTCAACTGCCGGCGCCGAAGGGAATGGACAGGCACGCACGAGAGAAAGAACGAAGGAGGGGGAAAAAGACTCGACAGACAGACAGATTTAGGCCCTTCACTCAACACCACTACGCTAAGCTATCCTAGCTAGGTACATGCACATGCTACGAATACCTACTAGCTACTACCAGTACATCTACTTACTCTACCTACCAACACTCGACCCTACGCCGTTTCGTCAACTAACGTCCAAACGTCCATCCACCCATAGTCTGCAAAAAACACGCACAAGAAACGAAAAAACGAAAGAAAAAAAAAAAGAACGATCCACCCAATCCACTCACTCCATCCTCACCTCACCCCCTCGCATCCATCCCCAGTCCCCAATCCCCAGTCCCCACCCCCCACACGCCACCATCTCTCGCTCTCTCACTACCGCAGCATTCCTTCCATACATCCCTGCCCTTGCCTACTTACTCCCTACCCACACAACGGACACGTGAACTCGCGCTCCGGCGCACCCGCCGCCACCGCCTCCTCACCACCACGACCCGGCTCGGGCTGCGCCCGTTCCACGCACCCCCGATGCCAAAGATGCCGGCACGCAAACACAACCAGCTGATCCAGCTGCAGCAGCTGCGCCTGTGCATGCGCGCCATCCGGGGAATCTGGGCTGTCGACCTCCTTGGCCGTGTCCCGTCCCTTCCCCTTCCGTAGTTTACTCGCCTCGTCCCCATCCCCGCGCAGGCTGCGCTTGCGCCCAACGGCGCGGCGCTCGCGCTCCTGTCGCCGCTCCCAAGCCTCCCACACGCCGCCGCCTGCGCCTGGCCCCCACACCCGCCCACTGCAGCCCGCGCACGCCTGGCCCTTGGGCCGCCAGCCGCGCTCACGCAGCTGTTGCACTTCGTCGACGCGCGCGAACACGTCCGCCTCTAGGAACCGTGTCGCAAGGCCTAGCAGTGCTTCCTCGAACGCGTAAGCTGCGAAAATGTCGGCGAGCACGGCGCGCAGGTCGGACAGCGAGGGCGAGGAACGCGCCGCGCGTGCCAAGAAGGCACGCAGGATCCGCAGGAACGAAGCAGAGGGCTGATGCGCGGCTGTGGCGCTGCGGGATGGCGGTGCAGGACGGGCGCTGGCGTCGTTGCTGCTTCCTGCCGTGGCTACTCCTTGCTGCTGCTGCTGCTGCTGCTGTGCCGCCGCCTTGGTTGCCGGTCCCGCGGCCATCGACGCCAACAGCGCGGAAAAGGTTTGCTGCACGTCGGCCCGCAGGCTGGTCGTGATCTTCGTCGTGTCGATCGGGGGCGCGCCGTCGTGGGATTTAGCCGCCAGCTGCGACGCGGCGAGCGACACGGCGCGCGTCATAGTGACCGTGACGTCGATGAGATCGAGCCAGAGCAGTTCATCCGACTCGAGATGCTGCTCCGATTCGCCGTCGCCGCTCTCCCTCCGCTCCGCTTGTGGCTTTCCCGTCGTCTGCTTGGCTTTGGTTTGGCCTTGGCACAGCCAGATGCCAATCTTGGTGTACTTTTGTACGGCTTCTAGAAGGTCGGCCGCCGTTTCCTCCGTGTTCGCTGTGTCGGGGCTCTCGGCCGCGGCGTCGAGCAAGCTGACCAGGGCGGTCTCGAGCGTTCCCACGTGCTTGACCAGTCTATCCATTGCGTGCCGAACAAGACCGCCTTGAGCCATCAGCACGACTGCCGCGTCGATCACTCCGCTCTCCTCCATGGCCGGCAGAACATGATCTAAACGGAGGTTGCCCGAACGAAGGACTCCAACGTAGTCGGCGACATGCCCTGGATCGAACTTGCACATCAATTGCACGTAGCGCTCCGTGAAATTCGTCATGACTTCCAGCGGTAGGTCCGGCTGGGCGGCCTTGACCTGACCATTTGCTTCCAGCAGTGCTCGAAGGAAGAGAAACTGCACGTATGAATCCGCGTCCAGTGCGTCCGAAGCATCCCTCAATAGCGATGGCGCATTGACTCTAAGAGTTCTTGCCGTCTGTGCAGCGTCGATGCTGGCGAGTTCAAATGCGTGTGCTGAAATGACAGCGTGAACTTCGGCCACCTGCTTTTTGTTTAGGCCTTTGTTGGGTCGAAGTATGTCTCTGATGCAATCGAAGATGGCAGCTTTGTCTTCAGTGTCGTTGAAGTAGGCCTCGAGCAGACGCGGGTATTGCTTTGCGCCGCTGAAGACGAACTTTAGCACGCGGTGGAAGCCAGCGCGCTCGAAGAGCGGCACCAACGATTCGATGTCGGGGGGATGGTAGACCGAAAGAAGATACTCGACGCTCAGTTGACAATCATCTGCAACTTCGTCCGACGGGTACTCGCACAGGCCTTCGACAAGTTTGTGCAGCGCGCTTCCAGGGAGAATGATGTACTGGGGAAATTTCGGAAGGTTTCGCGCAACAAACATGTTGAAGTAGATCGTATCCTCCGGTTCGAATTGTCCATCCGACATGACGCCAAGCAGGATATTAAGGATGTATTGACGCGTCGGTCTCCACGCAGGGGATCGTTCCCTTGACGTCCCGTTCGTCATACCATTTGGAGTAGATGCGTGGTCTCCGTTCAGGTAACTATCCTCAAAAGCCTCGTTCAGCATGCTCATGAAGCTTGCTGCATCAAATTTCAAGATCATTCGCAGATAAGGAAACGAATCGGTGGATTGATCGTCTGTCGGTGGACAAAAGATCTCGCCGCTTCCTCTTGGCCATTCGACAAGTTTTCCAGAAAAGATGTACGAGTATAATGCCGCTTTCGCCTCATCTGCGTCTTGTTCTACCATCGGTAGGCCGTTCGGGTAAATCCTACCTGTCAACGTAAAAGAAAGGTATGGAAAAAGTTTCATCGCAGAGTCCATGTCTTGCTCTCCTGCAGTCCCGTCTGCATCGGCATTCGCCAACAACTTCTTGACTATTGAAAAGAGATCAATAAGAGGGGTGATGTAATCGCGTACGGCCTGGGTCCACACGTAGACTAGGGCATCGTAGAGACTGTACTGCTTGCAGAGTATTGTCACCTGATTAATATCAATCGTGGAGGTTTCCAATCTGCAGATCATTTCTTCAAGCCGCTCTGCTCGGCCTTGAGAAGCGTAGTACGTGATGAGATCCTTGAGAACGTGTGGTGGTAGCGATGGAATCTCCTCGTCGACAATGTAGGGCTCTAGGACGTCGAAGAACGCACTCTCCGATGAGGCGTTTTGGAAAGCTTCGTATACATCTTCGAACAAAAATTCCAGCTCTTGCATGCTCAAGCAAGCGGAAAAGCTGACAGATGCAAGTGCTAGCAGCCGCGGATGCGATGCCTCCTTGTCTTGCTGGTCCTTGTTACGGGAAAATGTGAACTTCAACGAGGCAGAGATCATCTCTACAAGCTTTTCCTGCACAAGAGCATGCCTGGCCACATCATCACTGGGTAGCCCCACTGTCAGTTTGTCGGCGTCTCCGTTGTAGTATGAAGTAGCGAGCTCGATCGAGGCGATGTAGTCACCCTCTTCCATGAGCGCCAAGAGTCGGTCGGCCCAGTTGGACAGCGTGCCGATGGAGACGTCGTTGAAACCGAGGAGAAACAGTCGTCCCTTGTAAGCTCGGAATGCCATGTAGAAAGCGTCGGCCACCACGCCGTGCATCGACTCGTCCATTTCGTCGTGCTGCTCGACGACAGGATGCAGTTGGCGTGAGAACAGGTCCCGGTGATAGATGTGCTTCTGTAGCAAGTCAAATGAGTCTGTCATTCTGAGGCTGTTGTCCTCCAAGATGATCAGCCGCTGACTTATCGTTAGCACCCCCAGAACTGATCTACTGAGCCACTGCACCGCTACTATGGCTTCTTCAGTCCGCCATCTGCTGCGCGTTCGGAAATGGAGATTCGGTGGTTTGTCTTTCTCCGGCGTATCGTGTGCGTCAACGTCCAGCACAGTCAGGATGTTTGACCAGCAATATACTAGCTTCGTCTTAGACACGGCCTGCGGCTGTTCACCACCCGTTCCTTTCAGTTTTACTGCGGGGAACCAAGCGAGACAGCCACTCAAAGCGCTGTGCGGAGCAATTTCTTTCGGCCTTGTCGCCTTATGCTGCGTCTCTGCGATCGGCGTTGTAGACACAACTACCAGGAGATATGGAGTCAGGAGTGCTGTTAAACCCAAGCCATCTGTCGGCTGCTCGACGTTGCCAAGGGGAAGAGGCGAGAACGCCAGAACAGAGCTCGGTTTTCGTGGTTGGTCCATTTCATGAGCCAGAGGGGGGTACCTTCCAAGGATGCGGGCTGTCTTGACCGTCCTACCGACTGCACCAAGACCCCTGGTTGCCAGATGGGAGAATGCCATGCCGCCTTCATCAGCGGAAACTAGAGCCGTATGGCGTGTGCCGAGGAATCCAAGATGCAGAACCGCCGTGTCCGGGACATGTCCGTCCGCTTGCCGGTTTTCCAGTTGTCGCTTGTCGAGAGGTGTTATGTGCAAAAATGGTTTCGCTGGTCTAGCCAGTTCCCATGTGAAGATATTCCCCGAAGCATGGCCGCCGGCAATTGTGGTGTGGTCAGCTGAGAAAGCCAGGGAAGTTATGCTGCCGGATTCAACCGCTATATCAATGAGCATCTGCGAGTGCAATGGAATATGGCTGATTTACCTTTCGTGCCAGGACCAACAATCGATTTGAGGGTTTGGTGATAGTCAAAAACCAAAATCAAACCCTTGGAGGTCCCGACGGCGATTGATGCCGCGACAGCAAGGCATGTTGGCTTCCCGAAGTTGCGTTTTCCTATCTCCGAAAAAGCTTGACCCGTTATTTTCTTCAGCTTCGTCCACCTCACTACTTCCCAAGGAGGCTGCGGGGTGTCGGTGTCATCTTGATTCAAGAACGCGGGGCTGGAGACAGAGGACTGTCTAGATCGAGGCGACAGGAAACCGGGCGAATCAGCCCTGGGCGAGCCTAACGGCGAGGGCGAAATCCTAGAGGAGAACCGGCGCTCAAAAGGTTGAAGAGAGGCGGGCCGCTGGGGGCGGGCAAAAGATGCAAATGAAACGGGGGTACTGCTGGCGGGGGAGGTGAGGCCAGATCCCTGGGTGATAGTCAGAATTGCTCTAAATCGGTGCCGGAGGAGTAGCGCACTTGCACGGACGGGGTGTCATCAGGCGTCGAAACCGAGCCGTCAGGGCTTGCGTGTTCATATGAAGCCGTGCGATCGGGCAGTGAAGCAGGCGGGCTCTCGGGGGCCACATCCTGCTGTTGTTTGGCCTTTGCGTATGCGCCGTGGAAGGTGGTGCCATTGCTGCCTGCGTTCTGGTCCGCCAGCAGGTTTTCCTTCTCTTCGGCCAGAATGTGCTTCAATTCGCTGTCTGGCCTTCCCGGGAGCGGTGCGCCGTCCTCCAGCGCTCCGTTGACCTGTTCCACATGCACATCGTCGCTGCCACGGCTGACGTCGTTCTCTCCGTCTGCGGAGCTCATCTGGCGCCTCCGATGCTCATCGCTCCACCAACGGACTCTGGCGACGATGCGCTACCAAGGATGGCGGATGGGACGGGCGACGGGGATGGACGCGGGGCAGCTCGGAAGTTTGGGCGGGTGGGTAGTGGTGTCGGTCGACGATGTGGGCGCGCGGGATGACGGCAACGGGGGGGCAGCAGCGCGTGCGTGTGGGGAAGCTCTCAGAAAGGGTCAGCCTCATCTCGGAGCATTTACAGTCGGGCTTCTAGAACAAACCTGGGGGTGCGAGAATGGGTTCAAGCTGGCAGCGGACTTGCAGCCTTCGCCAAGGTGGTGCAGGGACCCAGGGCGCGAAGGCGGTCGCGAGGGCCCGAGCGGGCTGATGCGCGACTCTCTCCCGGGATCCGACTCGACGCAATCATCACTGCGCAACACCTAATTTCCGTCGTTGCCATTCTTTATCTAAATTGTTTCTAGTTCTAGGCCCTCCAACTGTCGTCATTCCCTTTCTGTCTGAGGCTTCCTCGTGTTCCGACCACTCTGAAACCCCCTTCGTTCGAGCCTTCCCGTGCGTACATAGCCACCCTTCCTTCCCGTGCTTCCTTTTGACCTTGAAAGCCTTCTTTGCCCTCCACATTCATTTCTCTTCATTTCATCTCTTTTCCTACCCAACCAACTAACTACTCTCACGGTTTTCATTTCCTTTTTTTCTTTTCTATTATCGGTCTGGTACACGATCAAAAACAAAAAAAAGATATGCTTCTCCCACGTCAGAATGCGGATGCCAGCTTCGACGAAGAAGAAGCTGGCTACGGCTACTCTGGCTTCTGGTTCACCAAGGTACCTTCCTTCCGTGCCCCCGGCCACCATGGGACTCTCGACTAACTTCATGCGCCCCCCAGACCGGCTATGCGATCAAGTATGCCATCTTCGGAACCATCTGTCTTCTCTTCCTGGCCTGGTTCATTGGAGGCACCTTTCATGCTCGCCGTCGGATGAAGCAGAACCTTCCTCCCCTTGCATATCACCGCGTAAGTACTTGGCTCGAGCGGGCGGCACGCGTCCTCCTCTGAGAGAACGCGTCACTAAACCTGCGACAGTGGCTGTTCCCCCGTGAGTACCGCGCACGGTTTGAGCCCCGACTGCAGGCCGAGTACGCCGTCTACCAGATCCAGACCCCGTACGGCTACCAGCCTTGGCCCGGAGCAGCCGGCTACTACGGCCAAGGCTACCCTCCGCCGCCGCCGGCCTACAACAACCAGGACGTGCCTCCCACCTACCAGCCGCCCCCAGGAGCGTCCAAGGTGGCTCCCGAGCAACAGTATCCGACTCAGTTCGCGACTCAGTACGCCACTCAGTCGCCTGCTTCGCAGAACTTCTCGAACCACTACCCCCCCTCGCCCCTCTACGCTCCGCCTCTTGGCCCGCCGCCCACTCCTGGCTTCGTGGCGCCCGAAGGCCAGCAGACCAATGGAGTCATCTCACAGGACCCAGCTCCCCCAGCGCAGGCGCACACGGGAACCTCCAACCCTTACCGACTCTAAAAAAGAAAAATCATTGCAACACGCGACGCTTTAAATTGTCAAAGAAAGAATGAGATCAGGAACACTAACCAGTCATGATACCTACGTGCCGGCACGGAGGTGCTTGCACCAGTGCTTAAAGAAACTCATGGGGCAGCCGAAATGCGCCGGAACGCTGAATGAGTACTACAATTTAGACTTAATTGGCTTGCTATCCGTTTTCATAAGTATCCTGTATCGTCGAAATAAATTTGTTTTGGCGTTTGGTGGTTAATTATCTGGTCGGCCGTGATTGCTTGTTCCGTGAATTATTTATCTTGAGCGCTGGCAGTGCAGGTGTTTGCGGAGCTTGGACACCACCCACGCCGCAAGTCACAACCGCAACCACCTTCAAACTACACAATCCTACTGTCCCAGTCCTCCTCTTCCGTCGACGGCGCGGCCAAATTCCGCGCAATCACATCGGCCTCGGTGTACCCGCCCTTGAAGGGCACCGCATCCTTGACCGTCCTCTTCCCGCCCTTCTTCCACGCAGGCCTCTCCCCGCGGGACACGCGTCCCACGCCCATCTGCCGCCACTTCCGCGGCGGGCGCACACCCGACGCCGCCAGCTGCGTCCAGATCTGCTCGCCGCGCTTGTTCCACCGCTCTGCCCGCTCCTGCTCCTCCTCCTCGCTGGGTTTCCACTTGGACCTCAGTATGCGCCGAATCGCGTCGGGACTGACTTTGAACTCCTCGGCTAGGAGGGGCGTCGTGAATTTGTAGGGGTCTTTGGCGTGCAGCGCGCGGATACCCTCTAGCGCTTCTGGAGAGAGGCGCTTGCGTGGCCGCCATTCCTCGCCGCCAAGCTTCTTGCGCAGCGCATCCTTGTCGATCTGCCAGTGCTCTCTTGCCTTCTTTTCGTCCTCCTTGGCCTGCCTATCCACCGCAGCGGCCTTCTTCTTCTCATCGGACCATCTTTCCTTCTTCTTCGATTTTGTGGCATTCTCCTCCGTCTTGTTCGGCTCGCGCGCTGGCGCATTCGCGTCTGCTACACTCTGCCTTTCCGCCGCGGCTGCCCTCTTCTTCTCCTTTGACCATTTTTCCTTCTTCTTCATCTTCTTCACTGTGGGAACGGTCTGGTCTTCAAGCTCGATCGGCGCGGGTGCTGTCGCATTTGTATCCGCATCTGCGCCTGTAGTGGCTGGTGCGGCCTGGAATGAGACAGTTGTCGGATACTTGTTATACCGCTCAATCTTCCGGCGCTGGGTCTTTGTCAACCTCGTTTGTTCGCTGGTTGGGGCTCCTTTGAGAATGTCCTCGGCGGCATCGTAGGCCTCTGCGATCTGCTGCTGATCCGACTCTTGTATCTGCTCGACAGTGTAGGAATTATTGCTCTGCGGCGTTGCCTCTGCTGAATTATCGCTAGAAATGGTTTCCGAGGAAGCTTGTGACTGTTGCGAGCGAAGCGGAAGTCGGATGTTGAAGGCTCTCAGTTGGCGTTGTTGCGCGACCAATTGAACGTGTAGGCGCGGCCTTGGGCGGACGTTGACAGGTGTGCCAGAAGCGCCTTCAACGAGGACGCTGATGGCACGGCATGAGCACCGGAAGCAGGCCATTGCGCAGTTTGTCGGTTGGAGTGGCGACAAGTGCTGTGTTGGTGGTGTCGCGGCGCGAAGTATTGATTCTTTTCTGCGACGAGCATGACTCGTGCAAGGTTTCTGGCGGCCAGCGGCAAAAGCTACCCAGATGCCAGACATGGGATGGACACATGGAATACATTCTCAGTATATTCAAATGATTCTTGCTGGATTCCAGAAAACGCCTGGGTATAATACAGGTTCCAAAGCTGGTCATGCGTTGCCCTCAGTCCATATCCATTTTATCGACGTCGTCCATTGTGTCCTCCCCTTCTACTGCCATGAAATCGTCATTCGTCGCATTCGTAGCGCTCGTCGCAGCGTCGCCGTCCCCGGGAGCTTGGTGGTTCTCGCTCGCCCTGGCTCTTGCCTCGATGATGGCCTTCCTCACGCTGTCCTTGTCCTCAGGGACCGTCAGGGAGCTCGGGACCTTGTAAAGCACGAGCTGATTATCGCGGGTCTGTTGGAGATCCTGCCCCACTAGGAGGTGTTTCGGGATGCGCGCGAGATGTTTCTCAATATCGGGGAGAAACACAGGCTTGTCCTCGTCTGACTCGATCTCGGCGAGCTCCTTATCTAGGTCGTAGATGTAGATCTTGTCCTTTGTATCCTCGAGCTGCATCCAGTCGTCGTCGCCGCCTCCATCGGCGGGCCTGGGCGGCGGGGCCTCTTGGGGTTCAAGCGTTGGCGGGGGTGCGCGCGACGAGGCGGCGACGGGTATGTAGAGCTTGCCATTGCTGTCTGCAGGAAGGGGAGAGTTGGTGGTCAGCGAGCTGAAATGCAATGTCATGGAGGAAGGGGCTGAGGCGTGCTCACCTATGTTTAGAAGGTCGAAGCGTTTGGCCAGGCGCTGGTCGTTCTCCAGGGCTTCGGCGGCAGACCGCTTGACGCCGTGGACTTTGGGGGTGGCTATCGACATGACCTCGGGGCTGCTCGCCATTCCTTCTTCCCCATCACTTGCGGATCTCACTCGCGTCGGGCTAGGGTTATTAGACTGCCAATTCACCCAACATAGCAAAGGCTGTGAATGCTGACGAGAGTTTGTCGACGGAGCCGGGTGAGTCACGGCGCGGCTGGCTATTTGAAGGCGCGCTCGAAGCTTCTACAAATTCCTAGCAACATCACCACCGCATCGCGCCTCGCCTCCACCCACACCACAAACCCTGTAGCTCTGCGCTCGCACCGCTCCACCCCACGACAACGACCTGCGCCCTACCCCGCGCCCCTCATCCTCCCACCGCCGCGCACCATGGCGTCTCTTGTCGACCAGCAGCATGAATGGTCCGCCGCGCGCGTGCGCAACACCTTCCTCGACTACTTCAAGAAAAATGGGCACACCTTTGTGCCCTCGTCGTCGGTCGTCCCGCTGTCCGACCCCACCCTACTCTTCACCAATGCCGGCATGAACCAGTACAAGTCCATTTTCCTCGGCACCGTTGACCCCCAATCCGACTTTGCTCAGCTCAAGCGCGCCGCCAACTCGCAAAAGTGCATCCGCGCCGGTGGCAAGCACAACGATCTGGACGATGTCGGCAAGGACAGCTACCACCACACCTTCTTCGAAATGCTGGGCAACTGGAGTTTCGGCGACTACTTCAAGAAAGAGGCCATCCAGTTCTCGTGGGAGCTGCTGACCAAGGTCTACGGCCTGGACGGCGACCGCCTGTACGTGACATACTTTGAGGGTGACGAGAAGCTCGGCCTGGAAGCAGATACCGAGGCCAGGGATCTCTGGCTGTCTGTCGGCGTCGCCGAGGACCACATCCTGAAGGGCAATGTCAAGGACAACTTCTGGGAAATGGGCGACCAAGGCCCTTGCGGTCCTTGCAGCGAGATCCACTTTGACAGGATAGGCGGCCGCAACGCTGCGCACCTTGTCAACCAGGACGACCCCAATGTTCTCGAGATCTGGAACAACGTTTTCATGCAGTACAACCGCGAGCCTGATAGGTCCCTCCGGCCGCTGCCCAACAAGCACATTGACACTGGCATGGGCTTCGAGCGTCTGGTTTCCATCCTGCAGGACAGGACGTCCAACTACGACACGGATGTTTTCACGCCGTTGTTCAAGGTCATCCAGGAGATCACCGGCGTGAGGGAGTACCGCGGCAAGTTTGGCGACGAGGACCCTGATGGCATCGACACTGCGTACCGCGTTGTTGCTGACCACGTCCGTCTGTTGACCTTCGCCATTTCTGATGGAGCTATTCCGGACGCCGTCGGCCGTGGTTACGTCGTTCGCAGAGTTCTGCGGAGAGGCGCTCGCTACGCGCGCAAGTACCTCAACACCGACATTGGCAACTTTTTCTCCAAGATTGTGCCGACGTTGGTTGAGCAGGTCGGTGACATGTTCCCGGAAATCAAGAAGAAGGAGCAGGACGTAAAGGAGATTCTTGACGAGGAGGAGCAGGCGTTCGCAAAGAGCTTGGACCGTGGTGAAGTCATGTTCGACAAGTACGCCAAGCAGTGCGAGGAGCAAAAGACCAAGAAGCTGTCCGGTGCGGACGTCTGGAGGCTGTACGACACGTACGGTTTCCCCGAGGATTTGACGCTCATCATGGCTGAGGAGAGAGGCCTTACCATTGATGACGCTGAGGTCAGGGAGGCTCAGGCTAAGGCCAAGGAGGCCAGCAAGGGCGAGAAGAAGGCTGGCGCTGCCATTGTCAAGCTGGACGTGCACGCCATTGGCCAGCTTCAGGAGATGAAGATCGCGCCGACCGACGACTCCGCCAAGTTCGGCAGGGACAACATCAAGGGCCAGATCAAGGCCATCTACCACCAGGAGAAGAAGTTTGTCAAGTCGACAAGCGAGATCCCCGAGGGCGAGCAGTTTGGTCTGATCCTGGACAAGTCCAACTTCTACGCTGAGCAGGGTGGTCAGGAGTATGACACGGGCAAGATCATGATCGAGGGCGAGCGCGAGTCCGCTTTTGATGTGCAAAATGTCCAGGTCTCGAATGGCTACGTCTTCCACACCGGTCACCTCAACTACGGCTCTCTCTCCGTTGATGACGAAGTTCTCTGCGAATATGATGAGCTCAGACGCAACCCTATCCGCACCAACCACACCGGCACGCACGTCCTCAACTACGGCCTGCGTGAGATTTTGGGCTTCGAGATTGACCAGAAAGGTTCGCTCGTCGCTCCGGAGAAGCTGCGCTTCGATTTTTCGCACAAGTCCGCTGTGACGGAGGCCCAGATCAAGAAGATTGAGGAGGTGTGCTCGGGCTACATTCGTGACAACCGGTCCGTCTACGTGGAGCCCATTGCCGTTGCGGATGCTTACAAGATTCGTGGTGTGCGCGCCATCTTCGGCGAGAAGTACCCTGACCCCGTCCGCGTTGTCTCCATTGGTGCTCCTGTTTCCGAGATCATGAAGGACCCCGACAACGAGAAATGGGAGAAGCTGTCGATTGAGTTCTGTGGTGGTACCCACGTTAACTCGACTGGCGAAATCAAGGAGCTCGTTATTCTGGAGGAAAGCGGCATTGCCAAGGGCATTCGTCGTATCATCGCTGTCACGGGTCAGGGCGCCTATGACGTCCAGCGCGTCGCTGCTGACTTTGACGAGCACCTCACCAAGCTGGAGAAGATGCCGTTTGGTGCGGATAAGGAGGCTCTGGCCAAGTCGACCCAGACGCAGCTGAATGAGCTGTCCATTTCTTACGTGACTAAGGAGGCTTTCCGCAAGCGCATGACTGCGGTCTCCAAGGCCATCTTGGACGAGCAGAAGAAGGCGTCCAAGGCCGAGAACAAGAAGGTCTTGGATGCTGTCACCGGCTACTTTGAGAAGAACAAGGATGCCAAGTTCCTCGTCCAGAAGCTCGACTACTCGCCTCACGTCAACAAGGCCATTACGGAGGCCATCAAGCACGTCAGCTCCAAGAGCAAGGACAAGACTGTGTACCTGATCTCTGCCAGCACGGAGGAGGGCAAGGTCGCTCACGGTTGTTACATGGGTGATGTAAGTACAACCTTTCTCCTTTCTCTGCACTCTTTGCACAATAGACGACTAACTTTGCAATAGCACTTCGAGACCCAGGGCGGCTCTGCCGGCGACTGGGCGAACCAGGTCTCGGGCGTCATTGGTGGTAAGGCGGGTGGCAAGGGCAAGACTTCGATCGGCCAGGGCACCAATGCCGACAAGGTCGATGAGGGTGTCGAGCTCGCTACCAAGTACCTGGAGAAGTTCCAGCTGTGAGCGCAGTCATAACCTTCGCATCTGCGTTATTTGCGAGTTGCATGATTTTATGTTGAACCGAAAAGCAAGGTCGTTTTCCTCTTTGTAGATAGATGAAGGAATTTGTCGGAGACCTGTACTCGTTGGCTACGAAATGGTACGTCAAATGGAATGGATTCACGCAGAGCAAACTGCCATTACAGGCATGTAACGTGCACGTGAAAGGCATGTGACTTGGCGAAGTGGCGATTAGACTTAGCTACCTAGCGCGACTTGACACAACTGACATCAGCACCTTTCCACGCACCATGACTCGGCAACAGCATGGTGTTGGAGCAACAGAAACCCTCAAAGCACAACACCTTGCTCAGATATCTGGTCCCGAGTCCCAAACCGACCAAGTCCAAAGCCAACGATGACGAACTCGCGAAGCGCCCCGCGAAACGCGTCAAGCGCACCACAAACACCGACGAGAATGGGGACCTAGTCTCCGCGCCACCTTCTCCAAAGCCACCTGCCAATACTGCCGTCGAGCCTTCAGATGAAGCTGTGGAGGAATTGCCCGCGTCGCAGGTCCAAACGGATCTGGAGAGCGCACTGCCGCCTATCGAGACGGACAAAGAAGCCATCGAGGCGTACGAGGCAGGCCGCGCGGCCGAGCAGACGGAAGAGCAAGCTGGAGGTCGGAATTGGGTCAAAGGCAGGAGCTCCATCTATGTGGACGCCTTCAACCTGGCGCTGGACACGGTGCTCGAGGACGAGAGCCACTTGTTCGACGAAGCGGAGACGGAAGTCTTCCGTCAGTGGCGAGAGCTTGGATACGAAGCGCAATATTTGTGAGTCGGATTTGGAGAAGATGGTCTGATAGGGCAGGGCTGACTTTGTACAGGTATGTCCGTCTCTTTCTTCGCAAGACGTCTGCCTGGCATCGCGTGAATACGTTGGGTTACCATGGCGATATAGCGGACATCGAGTCTGCCATTGAGACCCTTCAACAGATCAGAGAACTACCGGAGTCGAATAATTCTGTTCAAACCAACCCCGGCAAGCTGGAGCCTCCAGAAGGAACCGATCTCGGAACCTCGTTTGCTTTCGCGGACAAGTCGGAAGAGCATATTGCGACCTTGGAGGAGGCTTCGTCGTTATTGAGACTAGATGAGCTCAAGGGTTTGGCGAAAGATGCAAAGGTCCAAGGTAGGAACAAGACGGAGCTGCTCGACGCATTCCGCCGGACCAGCCAACGGCAGGCTGGCCTTGGATGGGTTGGTCTCAAGAGATCGGATACTGGGGCATCTATCGAGTCAACCGGCACTGAAAACAATGACCGAGGACTAGAAGAAAGCCCGCGACTAGAAGAAGCGAGTCGTGATGCACACTGGATCCGAACAATCCTGGCTGAGACCGGATCTTGTATACGGCTGTCCCTGGCGCCGTACAAGCTGTTTGAGCGCGTGCATCTCGTTTTCTACCGCTCTACTGAATGGACTGAAAAGTCTTTGACGACCATCATCCTTGCAAGAATAGCAAGACGAAATTTCCCTGAATACATAGTCTCACGATCCGCGAACATATTTGCTTCGCGCTCGCTGTTGCTCGAGTTTGAAGCAGCGCTTAGAACGCAGCATCGCATTGACAGCATACTGGAATTTAGCGGAAATCCCGGAAGAGATGGCTTGCAAGCAGTATTGGACGTATTCGAGGAGGTTTATCCGCGATGGCTTACGTTGCTTGCCGAAGAGCAAGAAAAAGAAGACAGCATTTATCTCAGCGGAGAGGGCGCATATCTGCGTCGCCTATCTCCCGCATGGGTCTACACGCGCATCGTTCACAAGGGTGCTTATGTCCTTGGAAAGCTGAAGGAGCACAAGCGGGAGCATGAGCTTCTGACGGAGTTGCTCACGCAACGTCTCTTCCATGCCTCCAGGCGTGGGATGTGGTATCAACGCAAGGCACTCCTGGAAGAACACTACATGGCTGCCCTGACAGCTACTGAAGGGCGCGGAGAAGAAGCGCAGAAACGGCATTGGAAGCAGATTTCGTTGCAGACGTGTGAAAACGGCCTGCAGGACCCTCTGGTTCATCTGATCTATCACTACGACCTGCAGAAGCGGGTCATCAAGCTCGAAAAGGCCCTCAAAGTCGCGAAGCGCTTCCAGCATAACTTTGGCCACGTGCAGCTGGCCGCCCCGGTGGAGGTCACAGTTGAAGGCATCCGCATAGAAAAGGAGCCGACAGCCAGCGCCACAGGCCGCCGCGGCGCCAAGACAGTTTGGCTCAATGAGCAGGAAGACAACTCCGAATGCAGCGTGGAAGCCATGTGCCTGGCGCACTACCGCGCCCAAGGCTGGAAAGGCTACCACAGCGAAGGTGGCATCGTGCGCACGCTGTTCGCCTACCTCTTCTACGACATCCTCTTCAGCTACGTGCCCAACGTGTTCCAGACAGCCTTCCAGACGTGCCCGCTCGACCTGCACACGGACGGCTTCTTCGCCGCCCGCCTCAGCGCCATCAACCACCGGCTTGCGGGCATCAGCAACGGCGAAGCCGCCGCCCACGTCCGCGCCGTGTGGGACGCGCATGCGGCGCGCCGCACGTGCGTCGTCGGGCTGGACTGGACCTTTGCGCTCGAGGACCTGCTGCAGATAGCGCGCTGCTTTGACGGCGCGGCCCTGGCGGCCGTGTGCAAGGTGCTGGCGCAGGAGTACGGGCAGCGCGGGGGCGGGGTGCCGGATTTGTTTCTGTGGCATGAGGGGAGGGGGGAGGTCATGTTTGCGGAGGTCAAGAGCGAGAATGATCGCTTGAGCGATACGCAGAGGCTGTGGATTCATGTGTTGACGGGGGCGGGAGTCAGGGTCGAGCTGTGCAATGCCGTTGCTAGGGAGGTGAGGGGCGGATAAAGTTGGAAGTCGGGTTGTCACATGTCACTGGCAGGATTATAGAGGGAGGTAATTGACCACCAAATATTTCCAACTTCTATTACAGGGTACAGGTAGTTATATACATTAAACGACAGCCGAGACAGTAGCAGCAACAGCAGTCATAGCGGTATAATCATCGGGTAGGTAGGTAGACAGGTAGCAGCAAGCAGCGAAGTCTCGAGACGAGCCGCTTAGTTGTAGGTGCAGACCTTGGGGGCATCGACCTTGTCGGTGCGGATGGAGAACTCGTGGCAGCTGTCGTTCTTCTTGGACTTGGCCTTCTCGGCCCAGATCTGGTAGACGTCGGCCTCCTTGGAGAAGGGCTTGGCGTCCGGGTAGACGGGGCAGGCGAGCCACCTGCCGCCGTCGTAGTACAGCTCGGTGATGTCGGCGCCGCTGACGCGCGAGAACTTGTCGTGGATGTAGTCGCCGCCGTTGCCGGGCAGGCTGCCGCCCTTCTCGAGGTAGCGGAGGGCGCCGTCGGCCGCGCCGGAGATGTCGACGTAGACTGTTGGGAAGAAGCGTTAGTGACCATGTTCAGTGTAGTGGTGGTTGGTGATGGTAGGTAGGTGGTAGGTGGTAAGACTTACGCTGCTGGGCCTCGCCCAGGTTCTCAGAGTAGGTGCTGAGGGAGCCGCTGCCGCCGTTGAGCTCGACGGGGATGTCGCCGCACGACGAGTCGGTGGCCTTGTTCAGGTAGAAGAAGCCGCCCTGGGCCTTGACCTCGGCGTAGTTGATCTCGGGCGTCTCGACGGCAATCGACATGCCGATGAAGGGGCCGGAGTCGGGGAAGCGGGGGTCCGCGACGGCCGGGGCGGCGAGCGAAGTGCCGGCGGCGGCGAGGGCGGAGGCGAAAACGGTGGCGGTCTTCATTTTGATGGTGGTTGGTGGTGAGGGTGGTGGTGGTGGTGGTGGTGGTAGTAGTAGTAGAAGTGTGATGTGGTGGATGTCGACTTCAACGGCGCGCAGTCGCGCAGTTTATATATCTTCGTAGCCTTCTGGAAGGTCGGCCATCAGGTGTCCAGTCGCACAGGTTCAGACGTCATGCTGCTCGCACGCCGGCCCGTCCGCTCGTATTGTCTGGGGGGGCGCCGCAGCTTGGCGCCGAGCGAGGGGATACGAGAGTCGCCTGGTCTGCGCTTTCTTCTGACCGGCTCGCCGGCGTGCTGGCAACAGAGTTGGCCACGGATCCGGAGACGGCGGGAGCTTCGATTAAAGTCGCGAGAGAGCGAGAGAGCATGTGAGACAGAAAGCGGGAAGGCGGGAGGCCCAAGTGCCCAAATGTCTAGCCCTATGTACCAGCTACGGTCCTTTTCCAGCAAGAAAGTTGGGCCGCCTGTCTATTTTTGCCCAGCGCGGGCGGCGGGTTGCGGGCTTGCGGGATTCCTGCGCCTCTCCCGCCCGCTACCAACGCCACCGACGTACCGAGTCGGCGCCGTCGCCTCACCAGCATCTCTCACGGACGCTTGACGTTCATGCCGTCAATGCCAGCACACTCGCACGCACACACACACACACACACACACACGTTCTCACGAGTTCGTTTTCTCCTTGCGTTCACATCCATGTACCTACCTCGTACAATGCCCGCTGCGCTGCGATGCTAGCGCCATGTTCTGCCTCCTGATCTGCGCGCAGGGACGCCCTCGCTCGGTATCTTATCGGGCAGCGCTCTTGCATGCTCCGTCGACAACCGTCTCCTCGCACGACGTCCGCCGCCGCTTTCTAGCTCAGTAATGTACATAGTCTGCTTGCTCCACGAGCGGTGGTGAGAGCTACCTAGGTCGCCTCGATCGTGCCTCTGTGTCGTGACGTGCCCCCGCCGTTGCCACTCCCCCTCCCCCCGCGTCGTTCGTATTTGCGCGCGCTAGTCACGGCCCAGTTGTGATCGACTCGGAATCGGATATATACTCGTTCGCGCGTTTCGATCCTTCGTATTCTGTAGGCCTGAGGGGTGGGGAGATGTTTCTAGAAAGCGCCTGCGGCCGTCTCAGGGGCTAAGCATCAATCGACCGCTGCACGAGAAGTCTCGTCAACGACTTCTTCCTCGTGGTAGGTGACTATCACTCGTTTCTTGGGAGGTTGTTCGAGAAAAAATTTAAGAATCGCCCGGGGTGGCATGCCCCGGGAACGGGTGGATCAGAAGATGCAATGTATTTTTAGGCCTATGCCCGCTCGGCGCAGGGCCTGCGACCTGGGCGACGCAGTGCATAAACGAAGCGAAGCGACGCAGACACGGACAGGACATGGACATGGACATGGACATGGGCAACAATGGACGGACGGCGACTGTCGCGTGCAAAGCCAATCGGCGTGCTTGCCGTACGTGGCTGCGGGACGAATCGTCCCTCGAGCAATTGCGAACCTGTTAGTAACAGTAACGGATATTTGGTGCCTTCGTATTAGGTAGGAGAGAGAAAGAAGCATGTGAGTGGACTTCTCTGTCCATCACATCACGAGTCCCTTGCCATGTGAGAAGGAAGGCAAGGAGAGAGAGCAGAGCGAGCAACCCTCTTCCACGGAACCATCTCATCCACGGAACCTACACCACAGTCCACACGCCCGCGCCAACCCCAACGGCTGCCCCGGCATGAGCACCAGCAACGGCGAACAAAGCCACCGCACCCCCCGCTTCCAGCTCCCAGCCCTGCCCCTCTCTCTGGCGATGTGCACAGTACGGATACCTAGGCCCTACCAGTGCGGACACGGACCCTTGACCAGCACAGCGACCAGCACAGCCCTACGAGCTAGCTGCTGCACCCTCCCCTATTGTATGTGTTGTATAGGTAGCTGCTCGCGCCTCCTACTATTGTACATACGAGCAAAAACGCAGCCTAGGCCGCATCGGGGCCGCGCTAAGGGCGTTGTAGACAGATGCTGTGTCTGGGCGCTCGCACGGGCTGGTACGGGCTGGCACGGGCCAAGGCCGCCTGGTGGTCGAGACGCGAGCCAGCGCATGCTTTGGCTGTGAGGACGGTGGACGGTGAACGGTGGACGGTGAACTTAGGGCTGTCGGGGGAGCGGATGCTGGGTTTCCTTCCCCGTGTGGTGGGGTAGGCTGGCATCGGGGAGAGGGGGATGGAAGGGGTGTGATGGGGAGAGAGGGAGGAAGGTAGGTGTGCTTGGAGAGAGTTGACTGAGTGAGGAAGCAGGTTCGAACGGGATGCCGGAGATAATGGTGGATGTTGTTGTTGGTTGATACGACGCGATGTCAGCCAAGCCGTATATCCTTCATCGACCAGTCCGCAGCATCAAACGACGCCTTATGGATCTGGCCGATCCTTCGGCGATACGCAGTCCCTTGCTCCCAGCGGACCAGCATCACATTATAGACGTCCCACGAAGAGGTCTCGAGAAGATCCGCCGAGCATAGAAGAATGTTGGCGGCGTCGTCGTCGTGCGGCTTGACGGAGACGTTGATCGGTTCTCTCTCGCCTCCGGTCTTGGACAAAACGATGAACTCGAACGGTACTTCCGGGCGGGCGATGATATCTGTGGCTGTAGTATGTGTCAGATGGACGCTCCCGATCCAGGTCTTCCCGTCGAGAATCTTGTAGAGACCGGTATACTCGCAGTCGTAATCGTTGGACATGATGAACTGGTTCCAGCAGAGCGCCTCGATGGCAAACATGGCTGCCATGGTCTCGAAATCCGCCTCCACCATCGGGAGAGAAGATGAGGAACCAAAGCCAGCACTCCTCAGCACGCCGCCCTCATACTCCAACGCCCACGCCCCCACAACACGCGCACCAAGCACCCCATCCCCATCGCCAAACGCCTCGAACCGCCCCTCCCACGACCAGCTCGGAAACAGCTCCCCCCCTCACCGCCCGCCCGCGCCGCCGCACCCGCCCGGCCGGAAACTACAGCAGCCCGCACCCAAACGCGTCTCCCATGCCTACGGCACGCCCGCGATGGCGCGCAGCCCGTCCGCTTCGAAGCGAATCGCGCGCCTAGAGTACTCGCGCAGCACGACGGCAGGTGCGGCAACACGTTGCTCCATTTGTATTTACCAGGGCCTGGCTACGTTTGGTACGGAGTTGAGTGATGTGCTGTTTGTGGCCTCTTTTTTGAGAGAAGAAACCTCTTCCTGCTTTGCCGGCTGTGCTTACAGGCTAGTTGCTTAGCAGTTTGGGGGCCAAACAGGTCCTTTAACCCGTCACACGAGAGACAGGACCATGGCGGCGGATGAACCGATAGCGTGGGAAATTCGAATTTTCTCGACAGCCATGTCTTCAGTTTTATTGCTTTTACTATAGAATATTATTGATTTGGAGATATCAGATATGTAAATTCGTAAAGAGGTAGTAGATATATTTCGTTAAAGCGCCTTGCTCTAAAATTTGAACAAGACTATATAACAGTTTTGTTTTTAGACTTCACATATGCACTCTAACCTGATCGCGGTGCAACGCTCTTTGAAGTCTTTTATATATCAATATCAAATCCAAGAAATAAAAAATAGTAATTTCTTCCAGAACTTCCAATCGTAGCTATCTCACCGACACTAATTTCAATCTTCGTGGTCATTCTCCACTTCCGGCTCAACAATCTCAACGCCCCATCTCATCTGCCCATCACTGCCCTTGAACCAGTCCAAGCCCGCCATAAGCCCTCTATCATCGTCTTTCAGTCCAGAAACTCCTCTTTCCCGGATCATCTGCAACAGTTTGTCGCTTCCGGCAACCAGAATCAAAACGTCTGCTACGCATTCGATATCTCTATGCAGCCTCTTGAAGTGCTTCCGCTGCACCACGGCGATGCTCAGCACGGTTATGATGAGCCAGATTAAGATGGAGACGCTGAGCCAGACTGCGGTGGTGTTTGGAGCATTTCGACGCGCGTGGATACCTCGACTGCGGCCGGACTTTTCAGGTCAGATAATTTGCTTGCGTTGACTTGCTCATAAGTATAACTCCCTTTCATCCGAGCACTGACGAAATGTTGGAAAAATATTGAAAATGTTTTGTTAGCCATCTTTTCCATGATATTCCGGTCGAGGAGGGCTTTAGGGTCCTTATTAACCATCGAATACATGGAATAAGTCATAAAGTCGAGATTGAGGCCTTTTTTAGTGTCGCGAAAGTTAAAGGTCATGTCGTTCAAATCTTCATACCCAAAGACAGGATTTTCCTGGTGGCTAGCTATACCATAATATGAGGCTGCGAGCATAGAGTCCAAAAACATAACTCCGTAACTAGGCTGCGTCAGCAGAAGTATGAACCACATAACATCTTCAGTCTCTTACCTTATTCTGACGGTATAAGAAGTGCTACCAGGAGAATCTTTTTGTTCAAGCCATACATATTCCCAAGCTTCATCATCAGCTACTGGCTGGTCCAAGATCTCAAACTGTTCTACACGGCTACTGTATCGGTTGATTGAGATATGCGCTGTTGCCTTCTCAATGATTGGTTTGCAGTGGAGCGCTTCCATTGAGGGTACTTCCTGAAAGAGCAGATAGAACTCTTCGTCATAAGTGTCTTGGATAAGGGAACTTTCCTTCCCGTAAATCCATTTTGTCGTGAAGTTCATGGAGTGTTGAGAATTCTCGTAAACCCATGTGTTTGGTGACCAATACCCAATGGCTGATCCTTTATCCAGGTGCTTAGTGTCGTTGTCACAACACAGTGGCCATGCTGGCGATCCGAGGATTGACGTGTCCAGGAGGTAATGCCCGGAGTCGTCTTCTGAGTCATGCCCAACCTCGTAGCCGACTTTCCAAGACAATTCGTCAGAGGTTCGATGATGTTCGGTTATCCAGGCGGAAATGTTATTTAATTCTTCATAAGGGCTGCATTCCAAACGGCCTCTGATGGCAGTTGTTGTCAGGGAGGCATTGGTTGCCAAAGCCATAGTCAAATTGCTGTCGGTTTGAAGTTTGGTTGATACTGGAATTTTAGACAGATCGAGCGGAATGAAGCTCCATCCATCACGGCTCCAAGCAGGCTCAGACCCGTTGAGTGTAGCCTGAATGGTCGCACTGTATAGCCAATTGGTAGAAAGCTCCGCGTACAAACTAGTAAGAATGCCGCTCTCATGTGGAAGAACCTGAATCTCAGGGGTGGGGAAATCTTCTCCATAAACGGTTGTGACCGGACGCAGTCTGAGGTTCCGCTCTAACGGAAAATTTTCAAAGCGAATTCCAGTCCCGCGCTGGAGTAATGCTGACATCGTGATAGTAACTAGAGGTCCAAATAAGTTTCAGTCATAACTCTCTGTGATGGAAGTACTCACAGATTGAGCATAGAAATGTCCCAAGGGTAAGCGAAGACAAAATCCAGTGTCTATTCCAAGCTGACTTTATAGCTGCATATATCCAGTATGACGATTCGTATGACAGGCCGATTCCTTGAGGAACCGGTTTAGGAGTTTCTGCCATCGAAAGATAAGGTTGTAGTCGACGGAACGTTGTGTCCATGGCACCCCACCATAAGCCAACTACAACAGCTAGCAAGGTTGGTAAGGTAGAGAATGGTGCAATCATAAGAGTTTGAGTCTTCAGTATAGAAACGCTTCCCTGGTACACAAATGTTTTATCGTAAAGGAGGTTTTTCTTGGAGAAATCGTTAAGTATAACGACACTTATGAGGAGGGCAATGAGGAAAATAACGAGAGCGATGATCGTTCTTAAACGGAGCACAAATGGCCTCCAATCGCTTAGTTTTTTGCTTTTTTGCTTTTCTCCTATAACAGAACTAGTTAGACAACAACAAACACCTTTTGAACTTGCTCCGACGTACCTATTTCAACTCGTCCGGCTAATGGTGCTTGTTGGAGAGCTTTTTGGCTAATATAATATCTTCTTGGGCGCATAGCGTCGATGAAAATATTTTTAGAATTCTGATTCAGTTGCTGCAGATCCAGTTTTGCATTTGACCCTGAGGCGATCAATGATGCCACTCCTATAGTTGTCGAAGGATCCATGCTCAGTCCAAGTGGACGTGATTTCGAGCCTGACAATTTTGCAGTCAGTAATAAGAGGCAGGTAGAGACGAATAGTATTAGTGATAGCGTAATGGCAACTCCGGAAAGCACGATAATCCGTTTTTCAACCTGGATCACTCTACCTTGAACATATTCTTCTTGGGAAGTGTCGCTTTGGAGAAGGGCGTACAGAAGCATCTCGCCCAGTATTCTCTGTCTTATTTTCTTGGCTTTCATTATAGATCCGGTGTCGGCGATCATAGTAGACAAATTGTAGTCGTAGGAGTCTCCAAGGATCTTTGAAAATCCAGAAAAAAGGGGGTGACTCCTCATATACGGCGCCCAGTCTCCAGTAGGTACTACTTTCTGAAATTCGGTAATGTTCAGGAAGTCCTCCGGCATCTCAGTTCTTTGCTTGAGAAATTCTTGGTGCTCGAACTGCGTTTCAGAAATCCCGTTTGACGAAGACGCGGTCACCGTCATATTTGCCGTGTAGTATTTTGCCTTACAAACGTAACTGGAGACCTGTACATTTGCCTCGTCTAGCGGCCCATAAGAGAAGAAAAGCTCTCTGTCTCCACAATCTTTTGAGAAACTTGTGAGTATATTGCCTTTTTCGAAATGTGACTGAACAACTGAATCCCACGGCGAGTTATTGAGTTTCTTGAATTCAAACCAGAAAGAATCTCCTGACTCGACGAGCGGTATCTGACCATCGTTGAAGTGATAGTAGTTTAGATCGTTGGCCATACTATACTTGCAGCCATCATCCGACGCTAGAGTTATTGAAATCAGCTGACGGTCTGTATTAGTCGCCGTCTTGTTAGAGTAGCCGCCGTGGGTGGTATTGGATACGGTGGATCTTGTGATTTTCGTAAGATGCATGGGTTTGCAATCCAGCTCTGTACTCAGTACAGTCGTATCAGCCCGCCAGAGTTGAGGTGAGGTGGTAAGAACCGGGCCCAGAGCAGGATACTGTAGATCCGATGGCCAGAATGGGAGTATTGAAAAATCGTCTGACACCCATGCAGATGTTGATGTGTTTTGTAGAATGTGGGCCATAACGTTCAAGTAGGTTTCTCTCCCAGCGTCAAGATGGATAGCAGTATCTGTTTTAGGTACCATCCGTGTGAAATTAACCGTGTTCGACGTTACCACCTCCTTGGGTTCCAAAAGAGATGGCGATAATGGAGATACCGCTAGGAAACCGATTATGTTGAGCAGGGCAGACGTAACGAGTATCCAACTTCGTCTCCCGCTCTTTTTCTTAGACAGGCCATCTGCCAGCGCGTCCCACCAAGCTCCTGGGCTCCGCAGTATCGTCGAAATTCCTGGTGCACCCCCAGGCCAAGCCATGCGAGCGAAAGGCTCAGTCCTCTTGATGTCGTTTAAAAGCATGGCTGTGAGCTGGACGTAAATGACGGCGAAGAGGGAAGGGGCAAAGCGCCATCCGAAAAGAATGATTGCAGAGCCATCATCCGCTACTAGTCCATAATTTTTGGCGGAAAGATAGTACAAGAGTATGACAAGAAGTAGTAAGGCAACCGCATAGGTAGTAAGGAGGCAGAAGAATTGCCATCGAAACGTGTAAGGCTGCCATGCAGGGTCGGAAAGTCCTTGATCGCTCTTTGTGATGTTGGCTTCTGCTTGTGTATCCGAGACTTTAAACACCAATCGTCAGCTTACTGGACGTGATAATACTGGAATGTCAACTGACTAGTTGTGGAAAAGTTCGTGGGTGTAAGAGTTTGATCAGGATCTTCAGAGACGTTAAAGATGGATCTTCGGGTGCTGTCTGCGTGATCCAAATCATAATTTTGCTGAGGGACCTCGCTATCAGACAAACTCAAAGTGTTCGGTGTTTGTATTTCGTTGACGGAACAGGTTTGTTGCACGTCTATGGTTGTCTGCCTCGAATCCAAGGAATCCCGAGTTTCAGAGACAGGCGAGAAATCAGTAATATCCGCACTGCGTGGATTCCGGGAGCTCGGTGAGTAGTCGTTCGGTATGACCTGCAGCTCGCTCAGTTCAATTCTTTCTTCCGCCTGTTGGTTGTCCATGTCCATTTTCTGATAAAGATTGATAAAAAAACGGCTGATAGCCAGATACTTAAGAATATGAAGGCATAGGTTGCCTCTAAATATTCGACGAAACGACGTGCCTAGTACCGGCTGCCTGGAACGTTATGCACTGTGATATTCTTGTCGTTTGTGACTTCAAGGCTGTGCTTGGTGTACCGTACCACAGCTTGTGGAACACCTTGACCGGACAAGGCTGTATTTACTACAGTTACACAACGTCTCAGGCTGCAAGCACAAATGTTTGCCTAGATTCAAAAATAAGAGGAGAAAAATATGTGACTTTGACGTTATGCCAGGTTACGGTGAAATAAAATTATCCAGTTGGCCTGTTTTTTTATTCACTACAAGACAGCGAGTCTAGATCTTTGTCATCTTTCTTCAAAATGTCGCCAGACTGATAAGCCTCTATGTAGCTATATATTATGCTAAAAGCCAGCGGATGGTATAATTAAGCACTTAAGCGCACCTTAACTGCCACGGAAAGTACAGGGTCAGCTCCAATCCTCGCAACCGAGACATCAAGTGCATACAATTGTTGCATCAGAGGGCGAACCTAGACTGGATGAGTATTGGAACAACACACTCACCGACAGATTTATATTCTTGGCCCAAATGAAGGTCGCGTCCTCTATGAGCAAGAAAGAGAAAGAGGGGAATAGGAAAATTCATATGCAAATGCAAAGAAAGCCCAATACCAACAGCACAGACCATAGACCTCCGTCAAATGTTAAAGTCTTCATCCCCGCCATGTCCGACTCAGCAAATCGCACCATTCCTATCCAAAGATGAACCAACAAACCCGCTCGTACCCAAAACCGAAAGATCCAAAAAGATCCAATTATCACAGCAAAACCTACTCCCTCCCTTCCTCCTCCCTCCTCACATCCACCACCACGACCAACACAAAAGTGACCGTACAAAGCTGCACCACGCACAACAATCAGCCTTACCCACAACTCCTCAACAGACACCTAAACTCACCACCAAAAACCCCCCCATCAGCCCCAGAATCTCCCACCCACCCGTAACCGCCTTCCCCCTAACGAGCGCATTCTGGAGTCGCCAAAACCGCCACGCGCCTAACAACATGACGACCAGACCCGCGGCAATAAACGTCGCCGCGAGCGGGACGCCCAGCACAAAGAAGCCGAGCAGCGGGTCCGGGCGCGGCGAGTGCTGCAGCCGGAAGAGCTGCGCGATCATGACGCCCGTCATGCTGAGGGCGAGGCTGGTGCGCAGGTAGCCGAGGAAGGTGCGCTCGAGGGCTGTGTGTGGGGGAGCGTCAGCGAGCACGGAAGGAGCCTGTGTGGTGAGGCAAGTGTGTGCGATGTATAGGTACTTGCCTAAATGGTCCCGCTGCCCACCCGCAGGCACCACGACACTGACCTGCCGGCGCCAGAAGCGCGCTACGGGGCCTTCCGCTTTCCCACTCGTACTCGTACTGCCAGTTGCGCTCCGCACCGACTCCGCTCGATCCCCATCACCATCCCCGTCTCCGTCCCCGTCCCCGTTTCCTCGCTTCCGCTGCCGCACGGCCCGCAGCTCCGTAGCCTCGCGGTCCGGATCCGGCGCCGGATCTGCGTCGCCGTCCGTGTCTGTGTCCCGCTCGCATCGTCCCGCACTCTCTTCTTCTTCTGCTTCTTCTTCTGCTTCTTCTTCTGCTTCCTCCTCCTCCTCTTCTTCTTCTCTTACTCCATTTCCTCCGCCATCACGGTCGTGCTCATCACTTCCCCCCGGGAGCGCGCGCAGCGTCCCCACCGGCGCAGGCTTCATGCGGCGCGCCCCCGCCGTCTCGGCCAGCGGGGGCGCAGTGAGCGGAGGCGGAGACGGGAGCGGGAGCGAGGGCGCGGCGGAGCCAGGTCCGCTGGCAGGTTCTGGCTGTTGTGAATGGTGGGTGGTGGGAGCAGGGTGCGACATGGGGGCGATGGAGAGGCGCGTTCATTGGCGCGCGATGGTGTGCTTTTTGGGCGGGATGGCGAGCGCGAGGGAGGCTACGCAGGCTAGGCTCTGTCGGGCGAGCGGGAGGGCGGGGGTGGGGGCTGCTGACTTATGCGCGGGGTGGAGGGGCGGGTTGCCGTTGCATGTGGCGGGGCGGGGCGGGTCGCGCCGATGGGGGACCATGGATGCTTATAGGTTTAACGGTGCACGTATGTATATATGTATGACTACTTCATGTGTAACCACGGCAGAGCAAGCAGGCGAATGGAAATCATCATTGACGAGCTACCTACTTCGCACACTCCAGACTCATACACACCACCCCCAACCGCAGACTAGAGATAGCCCAGCCCCCCGCCGCCCACAAACTCCAAATCGCTCCTAACGACCCACTCGGCGACGCCGACCTTGGCGCACGCCTCCCTGCGGCGCTGCTCGCCCAGCTCGCTCCACCTAGCCAACACGGCCCCATCCACAACGCCCCTCCCGCCAAAGCCCTCGCTCTCGACCGCGCGGTGCGCCCGCGGATTCAGCCCGCACCAGTGCTCCAGCCCCGCGCTGTTGACCAGGAACGTCTGCAGCGCGCCCAGCCGCCGGTACATCTGCTCGTCGACGGGCGTGAGCAGCGTGAGCGCGCCCGCCTGCGTCGTCAGCAGGAGGTTGTGCGCCGAGCCTGGGGGTGCGAACGCCTGCTGCTGCGCGTCGACTGCCATGGCGTCCTCGTCGGGGTTCTCCGCCTCGTCGAGCGCGTTGATGCTCGGGCTGAGGGTCGAGGGGAGCAGCGTCATGCCCGTCGTGAAGTGGCCCGTATGGAAGGTCGATTTGTTGAGGAGGCGTTGGCCCGAGAGGGACTTGGGGTCTGTGCTGGTGTTAGTTGCGAGGGCAGAAGTGGCATGGCAATGAGGCTACTTACGCTCCGGGTCGTATTGCAGGATGTGCAGGTTGCAGTCGGCGTCGGCTACGACCATGTACAGCAGCTTTTCGTGAGGGAGGAAGTCTGCGGCCATGACCTCCATGTGCGATCGGCTCTTACCGAACAGCAGCATTTTGTAGGGGTCCTCCTTTTCAATTTATTAGCATCTCCAAGTCAGACGATTAAGGGCAACACTTACGGTGTAGCCAGTGAACCATAACCCCTTCGCCACGTCGGCCAGCAACAGCATACCCGTGCCTTTCAGCTCCTTCGCCACTGTTACATAGCATTGCATGTCCATGAAGGCAACGGGCAGCAGCGTGCCATCCTCCTTCAGTCCTCGGACCATACACTTCTGGCCTTGTGCCATCAACAAGAAGCCTTGGCTTCCCACCTCTGTGATTGCGGTGACGTTGCCACGGACCTCTTCCTTGGCGATAAGCTTGAGCTTGCGGTTTGTCTCAGGACGACTAGGCTCGGGCACCACGTTGATGACCTCAAAGATGTAGATGCAGCCGCGCGACGGCAAGTCTTCGCCGCGGATAAAGCCCGTTCCGACGGCGATGAGAGGCTTGCGTTCATGTGTGTTTTCGGAGGTTTCGAGGTTAAGGGTCTTGATTGTGAGAACGGTCTCAGTCGGTTCGAGTTGGAATCTATGGTTGTCAGCCCGCGGCGCCAAATGAGGATTCAGGGTATTTACTCGTCGATGATGGACCAATTCTGGGGATCAAAGACCTTGATGGTCCCATGTTCCACTTGAGGCCGGAACGCGATGTCTGGGGACAGTTAGCACTCAATCAAGAAGAACAAGCAAAGGACTTACTCTCGTCAAGCCAGTCGTGATGGTGCTCATCCTCTGGAAGAACAAAATCTTGCTTGGCCGCCAAAGCAACAACATACGCATCTTTCTGAGCGTGATACGTAATGGCCTGGATATCTTGGCCCATGTGTACCTTTCGGACAGCCCAACCAATGTCTCCAAAACGATAGTGGCGAGGTAGCTGGCAAACACGCAAGACGCCCTAAGAAAATGCTGTCAGATACATTCAACTCTATCCAGTCGAGCATTCTTACCTCAACATCCACAAAGGCAAAGCCCCGATCACAGCCTGCGGTGTGGAATGCAGTCAAGTTCTTTACCGCCCCGCCCTGCAATTTGAGTACCTTCGGGGTTGTGCATGCCTCTTTCAGCACAAAGCTAGGACTTGTGCCAGCCATGAAAACGGTGCTATAACCGCCAATATTTGGCAAAGCGGTCAAGAGGCTTTCTCTGCTCGTACTTTGTTCATCTGATTCCAGGCCGGGTTCTTCAGAATATTCTGGCAGACGTGGCTGAGAGACCTTGAGCCAGCAAAGATTGGTCGTGAACGACTGGGATGGTTCCCGAGCAGGATGGTGGTACGGTTGGTAAATGACAAGATCGTTGGCGGCAGTGCGAACCTGTTCTGGTTAATATTTTTCCTTGAGATCCCTTACGATGAACTTACTATCAGGAAAGGACTCTTGGCAGTTGAGTCGCCCAATTCCGTCACCAGTATCTCCGTCAAAGCAGCTTTGGCAGCAGTTCGGCGGGGCGAGAAATCTGCAGACAGAATGCGTGGCAGGAAAGTGAGACTCGCAACGACATATGCTGGCTTCGCCAAGTTCGGTAATTCAAAAACCTAATAAATTCAGTGAGTACAAATATCAGCACCAAAACATTAGTGAGCCTTACGTGCATGCCACCCTCGTCGCTAAGGAGATGAACAAGCGGCTTGCCACCAGTGACAGCCGACTTGAAAATGCATCCTGATAGCCACTTCGTGGCCAGCAGTGCATCGCCTCTATCCATCTCCTCCATTTCGCCGTTTGCGCTGGCTTCAAGGACGATGACGCTGGAATCATCTCGGAGAATCAAAACGTACGGATCCGCGAAGCTAGCGCTGATAATGCGAAGCTCATTGCCGTTTTCATCTTCCATTGGAAGGATCTGGTCAAGTCCTAGTTCTGTAATCCCAGTCAGTTACAGACCAGTCCGAATCGTTTCTGGGTGGCGATGGCAGTATTTGGAAGGAAGCACGTGCAGGATACAGATCATCGCGGGGAAAAGATGTGAACGAAGAATTGTATTGATCCTATAGTGACATGTTCTGCCGGGCTTGCCACAAGGAAGCGGTTGTTTTGCTGAGCCCGATTTGAGGTCACAAGCCATGGCTTTGAAGGCAGCATTGAGGGTCCCTTGGCCAGTGCGTGCCGCAACCCGCACTGAACTTGTGTGCAACAGATTGAGACCAAAGATTCTTTGGGCGCTTGACTTGTCTCGGACCTACTGTTTGAACGGAGGGTGTAGAAGGCCCTGCTCAGAGAGCAGGCGGGGAAGGGCAAACAGAAAGAGGACTTACCGGAATCATAGCTTCTAATTTCATTCCTCAGGACCTGCACAATCCTGGTGCCCTGTGCAATGATGCCCACGGAAATCGTCGCCGCATCTTCCCTTTCAAAATCTCCCTTGGTCGTCTCCTCGAACCCATTGGCCTTGATCTCATAGATTGCGCTCTCCTCGCCGCCCTCTTTGTTCGCTCTGGATACAATCAAAAACTGATCGTAGTCGACATCCGCCGCCAGATTTGCTTCGGCATCGTGATCACCTGTTGGCACCATGCCTTTCGGAGCAGGCTTCTTTGCATGCACGCTCCAGACAGCACGAGCAGTTTTGTAATCCAGTTTGCGTAGAACGGTGGGGTCGATTGCGCGATTGGCAATGGTGAGAGCGGCAGCTTTATCACGACCAGTCGAGAGAATGAGATCAAGCTGTTCGGGGGATTTTTTAGAAGGGCCAGAGGCGGCAGGACTTCTATGACTGCCCAGAGCAATCTCGTTGATCGGGCCCAGACTAGGCAGCACATCATGGACACGGAATGTGTAACTTCCTGGATCGGTCGCGTCGGTGGAGGCGGCGCTTGCTTTGGTAGTCGTCGCGCCATCGGCATACAAGTCGTCTTCATCCTCAAGGTCGTCTTCATCAAATGACAGATCGGCATCGTCCGCAAGCATTTCAGCGTGCGAACGCTTTCTCGACAATTGAGCCGTCTTTCGCGTCCATCCAAGCACTACAGAATCACCCTCTTCACTGCCAAGGAACATTCTACCACGTCCAAGGCTGCTAGCGCACGATGCTGCTGTCTGGACGACGAAGCCGCCCTTGTCCTGAGTGACTCTCCGAATGGATAGACCGGAAACGGACCGACCATCCAATTTGAAGGACAAGATAGCCAAGCTGCCGTCTCTAAGAATGATAAGCATGTCGCCGTTGTCAGAGGACAACTGCTCGATTGCGCAACCTTCCAGACGCATGGCTAAATCGGACTGATCCGCCATGGGGAAGGCAGAGGCTTGCTTCGAGAAATCATTAACGCCAACCGCGTTCGTCTTACCGGCCTGATCAACATGAACGATCTGGTTTCCGCCCACAAGCAGAGCACCTCCCACGGGAGGAGGCAGGGAAACAACTCTGGAGGTATCATAGGGCAGTCCAGAAATGGAAAGTAGGGCTGTGGATGCCTTTTCTTCCAGGTCGAGGGTGAAGACGGTATATTTCAAGACGTCCTTCCGTTCGTGGAGCAGTGAGGCAGCCGCTGCTTTCGACGCCGAGATGATACCGAAAGTTGGCTCACGATACTCATGCAAAAAGTCGAGATGTACAGGATGGGTCAGGGTCGGATCCAACTGAGGCAATGCAAGGGCGAAAGATGCTTTATAGGGGGTCTGCGCGGCACCGTCTTCGCCATTGGCCGCCTTTTCCTTTGCTGCTGGCGCGTCCATCGGCTCGTCAAAGTCCGGATCATAATCTCCCTCAACGAGATCGTCGCCCAGCTGTCGGAAAGGCAAGATGGCCAAATGACGCGCGCCAAACTTGAGAGCCGCGCACCTGCTGCTTGGATCGGCGGCCAGGAAGTTGTGGTATTGATCCAGATCCGCATCCCACGGGCTGCCCTGCAGCTCCTCGCCCTCGTAAAAGTGTATCGAGATGGTGGAGACGGCGTGGTTGGACGGATCCCATTCGACCAAACTCAGTTTCGCGTCGCGAAACGCAATGAGAAGGGCATCGGCGCCAGACTTGGTATCAAGCGCTTTTACACGTGCCAATGAGAGAACAGTGCCAGCGAGGGGATATTCGGCCACGAGGACGAGTTTGGTAGTGTGCTCGGTGCGCTGCACGAAGATGTCGGCGGGCTCGGAGGCGTCAGCGCCCGGCGAGGTGGGAGTCGGGCCATCTTTGGCAGGCTGATTGACCTCGGTGACGACCGACTTAAGCTCAAAGATCTGGAGCAGCGATGTCTTCGCGACAACGAGGTTGTGCGATTTGGGGCCCAGGAAGGAGCAGTGGACGGAGTGGGTGACGGCGGTGGGCGGGGTGAGCTCGGAGTAGACCTGCATGGTGGGCGGTTAGCTGCGACAGGCCGTGAGCATCGTTTGAAGGTCGAATGGCGAATGGCGGCGGAATGCGGTCTTTGTGTTGAGGCTCGAGACCCTGCGCGTGTGAAGTTTGGCGTTCCGGTGCCGCTGGTTTCCCGACGCGACAAGTGCCAAGCCGATCTGCTGGCCAGAGCTCCACAACAAGGCCCCCCAACGTCATCGTCGCTCATCATGATTTACACCGTCTCTGGTCTCGCATCCTTCCTCTCCAAAACATCAAGCCTACAACTCACCATGGCTTTGATCCAGACCAGTTTGATCTGGGTGGCCTACGCCGTCGCCGTTGTCATTCTCCTGGCAATCGCTTCGGTCTTCGTCTACATTTACCAAACGCCGCGCGATCGCGCCGCCTCGGTCACGACTGTATGCATATTCACCACAAGCGCCCTGCTTGCGACCGTCCTTCTCCTCCCCGTCGACGTCGCCCTGGTGTCCTCAACCACCCACTCAAAGTTAGGTCGCAAAAAAGACTGGGCTACGCCTGATCATGTCGACAACATCGTCTTTACCCTCAAGGTCGTCTATTACACCTTGTATTCGCTGGATGCGCTTCTCTGCCTTTTGGTGGTGCCATTCACCTACTTTTTCTACGAAGAATACGATGAGGCTGCCGAGGAAGAAGGCAGACAGACGATCGGAGGCCGGCTGTGGGGAGCCTTCAAGTACACCATCGCTTTCATCGCTTTGGTCGTCATCCTGTTCCTTGTTGGATTTTTCGTGCCCGTCGCCAAGAACACTAGGCACAGCAAGAATATGGACCTGGACTACTTCAAGAACTTGCTCGCCGAGAACCGTAAGCGCACTCCATAACTAGTATCCAACTGCAATCTAGCTAACGATCTTCCGTCACAGATGGCGAGAGGGCTCTGACGTTCGCTCTCGGTCTTCTCATGACCCTTGGTACACTTGTTTATATCCTCTACACTGCTTCTGGCCTGGCGCTTCTTCCAGTCGCTATGATCAAGTCTGCGCCGGCCATGTCCGCACCGACTCTTGCCGAAAACACTGCCGCACAACTCGATTCCAATCGCGAGCGTCAACGTCAGCTTGAAATGCGCAATGAAGGTCGCAGTGGATTGGATACTCGTGATCGTAGAGAACTTGAAGCTCTCGTTCGCGAAGAGCGGACTCTCATACGGCGTGAGCGCCTCGCTGTCGAAGCCAGCGGCGAGGAGCGCAGCTGGTTGATGAGGGCCTGGATCAAGATTGAGGCCATCTTTAGGCCTATCAAGCTCCTTGGAGGCATTCTCCTGATGGTGCTGGCACTCTTCATCTGGACTTCCATGCTTATTACTGGCATCGACAAGGCGAAAAACTCCATCTGCAAGGCGGGATGTGGCTATATCCTTGGTCACATCAACATCTTCCAGCCCATCAACTGGATCTTTGTCGTCTCTGCCAAGGTCTTCCCTGTTGACTATGTTCTCTTCCTGCTGTTGGTATTCTTCCTCTTTTCCGCCTCCGTCGTTGGCGTCGCTACGGTTGGTATCCGCTTTCTGTGGATTACTATTTTCCGCATCAGGAAGAGCCACACCAGTCCGCAGGCTCTGTTGATGGCCACTGTGCTTCTCACTCTCATCGTCTTGGCTATCAACTACTCGGTTGCCATGATCATTGCACCGCAGTACGCGACTTTTGGTCCTCAAACTTTCTGTGACCGTCCTTCGGTGCCTGGTATCCAGCCAGACTGCTCGAACCACCAGAGTGCTATCAGGCACTGTACTGAGCTGGCTGAAAACCCTGCTGCACGGGAAGTATGCACTCCGAGTGTGGCCAGCACGTTCATCAACCGAGTCACTGTCAATTTCCCATTCTTTGGTGTGCTTGACTTCTGGGCCCAGTTTGCTTTCCTCGGTAAGAATCCTCCGATATCTTGGTATTCAGCTCAACTGACTGTTTATAGCGGTGTACCTTATCGTGTTCGTTACAACTCTCTTCCGCACACCGAGTCTCGACACCGACCAGCTCGATGCCGATCTCGAGGAGGAAGAGGAAGAAGGCCTGCTTGCCAGCACTGGACGCCGTTTCAACGCCACCTGGCAAGACATCACTGGCCGCTCGAAGGCCAGGGCTGCCCAATACGGCTCCACTGATGGTGGTGATAACGGCCGGGGCATTGGTTCTGAAACTGGAACTGACAGGGACACCCAGTGGTGAGACTGGTATACCCATAATGATGAGTGAAACACTCCCCTCACTCTGTACGATGTTAAGAACAGACATGGATTAATGCCGGGTTGGGAATTTTTATTTCTATAGAAGGTATCACGATATCCCGACGGAGTTCTGCCAGGGTTTCGGTGGGCTTTAATAAGCCGATGGAATTCTGGTAAAGTCTAATATGTACAAACCCGCCGAATCATATCTGGTTACCCGTCTAAAGTTTATGACTTTCTTTTATGCGCATTTGTTGATGAATTTAGTTCTCGAATATCTGCGTAAAAGTAGAAAGAGGTATCTATGTACCAAAAGTTTAAGGTATGGTGGTATTAAGTTCGACACTGGCATTGCAGCGCGTCCATTGGATAACAAAATGTCTACACGTCTACTCTGTTCCTTAATCACATTTCGGATCCCCGCTATCCGTCCGACGACTGCTATTACAAAAACGCTCTCAACCACACACAATTGCGACCAAGGCATAAGCACCAACAACCCCTAACACACATGTTACAATGGTCATCCCAATACCCAACGATATATTCCAGTACTCAGTCCCCTCCGCGCCGTTCTCAGGGCTGCAAGACGCAGGCCCCACCGCCAGCGCCCTCACCAACCACGGTACATACGGCATCGGGATCTTCTGCCCCAACAGCAACGCCAATGCCAACAGCGGTCATGAAAACGCAGGAAACGACACGCTAATCCTGCTCGACTCGACCGCTTACCGCGTCAGTGGTGGCGGTGGTAGTGGTGGCAAGAAAGGCGCTGTCTCAGTAGCGGCGCCCGAAGCAGGCCTCCCCTTCGCGATGGTCACGCCGTTCGCACCCACCTGCCGCAGCGCTATCAACGGGTTAAATGGGATCGAGGCGCTGGAAAACGAGTTCAAAGAGATGCCGAACTCGTATGTTTCGTTTCGGATTAAGGCGAGGTTCGAGAGCGTGCTGCTGGAGCGGGACGACGGCGAGGTCGTGCGAGATGTAGAGGGGACGATTTTTGGGTTTGCGGTCCCGGTTTGGGCGGCGCCGGTTAGTGGGAAGGGCGTAAGATGCTGTTTTTTGGGGGACGGTGTGGGGGGTGAGGTCGGGGCTTGGGAGGTGAGGGGGGAGGTGTTGATTGAATGGGCGAAGTGTGGAAGGTTTCATTTGGGGTTTCCGCAGGGGAAGGCGTGGGAGGGGGTACACGTTGCATAGAGCGGTGGTTGTAGTTGTATAATAATTGGCTGTGACAACAGCTGCGTATGTATCCTGGTACATATGAGGTGCAGGCTAGAGACCGGTTGGTGCCTGGGGAATGCGGCTATTCGACTTGGTACTGGGGCAAGTTTACCATCTTGCAGTGACTATGTTCACCAAAACTGTACCAGACCAAGCCTTCGAGGACATCATTTGTAGCACGTACAACCGCCACAGCAGCACTGACCACACACTCGTATGCTTATCAGATGGAATCGATCATATAATTTTTTTTTATTTAAATCCCATCTCCATCAGCGTCTATTCCATTCATTTTTCTCCCATTTGTCATCTCACAGTACCAACAAGGAGTAGCAGATAACAGACAAGGTAATTACCTTGGCCATAATGAGGCCTATTGCGAAAAGCACGTCCTTCTGGTTGGTTTGAATCCGTGCTGACCTGTGGTTAGGACCCTGGTTTATGATCTGCAGATCTACGGGCTAGCCCCCACGAACTACCTACATGAGAAATTGCTGCAGACGAGGTCCACATTAGACGCATGATGTATTGCTGTGTATTTGGTGTTGGTAGTTGCCAGTGTTAAAGTTTGGGACCGCTGGTTTCGTGCTCAAACTAAGGACAGCCAGATGCATGCGGTCTCTGCGTTGTGGCATGACTTAAACAACAGTGAAGTATTTGACTATTTTAAGCATGATATCTCTGAAATTAATACGAAGTATCGACTCAAAATGCCTTTAAACGAGCCAGGATTGTCGACAACAGGATTCATGAAGAAGATATAGATCTTCAGCAAAGAGCTACGCACGTAGGCATCCATCTTTCCAAGAAACTACAGTGCGATAATTGCTTGTGGCACTTCTGTTTATGTAAATCCATCCTGTGTAAACAAAGGATCATGCAAGTTCGCGCGTCCAATATAGTAACGCATTTTTTTGTAACAGCAATAAACCATGGGCATTCCGGTAAATAAAACTTCTTATGCATTTATAATTCGTTGAAGCACTAAGTCCCTCTGGTAGTCTAGGAAATCCTGACAACTATTGAATACTTTCAATTAATCTACAGTCCCAGGCACCACCCCTACAAGCATGAAACTTTGGAGTAAAGCGCGGCATTAGGGAGCGGATGTGAATACGGTGCCTGTCCCTAGGTCCTAGGTAGCGTGGATAGCGGCTCGGAGCTCGCGTGTATTGGTGGATTGAAGGTTAGCGTCGAACGGAAACTTTGCCGCGAAAGGAACAGCGCGAAAAGCTTGGTGCGACGGCGGGCGGCGGGAGCCGGAGAGGCTTCAAGAATCCACGGGTACCTTCACCTCCTCGATGACCGTCACGCTGATCTCGAGATCCTTGAGCGGGGGCAGCTCCACCTCCTCCACCACCTCCTCCTCACCGACAGAGTCGATATCACTTTCTCCACCGCATGCGACAAACAGTTTCGGTTCCTCTCCTCCCGGGCGCATCACTACGCACGTAGGGCTCTCCAGATCTCCCCTGAGTACTGAGGTCGTGCCCTTGCCATTGGCGTCGATGTCAATCTTCCACAACACGCCACTCATGTGGCCCACTGTGAAGCACGACTTGCCGTCTTCCGACACGGCCAGGCCATTGCAGTGCAATAATGAAGCTGTGATGATCTCGACAGGTCCCGTAGTCCGGACGCCCACATCGTCGGCCAGCTCCACGGGGACACGACAGAGTAGGCCTGCGCTGGTGTTGGTGTACCAGACGTAGCCGTGCGATATGCGTATGCGGTTGATGCCGAAAAAGTCCTCGTCCGAAGCTATCTTCATTGTCTCGTCTTCCAAGAAGACCGACACCTCGCCGGTCTGCGTGTCCACCCGCCAGATGCGGCATTTATAAGAGTCGGCTACCAGCAGCGCGCGGGGACCAGCCGCGGCAATGGCGACGCAGAAACCCGCGTCGGGCAGGTCGGCGATTTTTGATACCACCGGTGCGCCGTCCTTGATCGCGACGCGCCAGATGCAGCCCGAGTCAAAGCGCACATTTTGGAGATCGCAGCTGCCGGCGATCACTGCGTATTCTTCCTCGTCGCCGCTGTCCATGGGGCAGATGTTCATGGCGCCCGTGGCGTCGGGGAAGGTGTGCAGCAGTTCAGGGTCTGTCTCGTGGTCTGAAGGGTCCAGTGTGTAGAGCTCCGGCTTGTCAAGGCGCGTCCCGAGTAGGGTGCCATTGGGACGGACGGCGAAGCCCTCGAACCAGGAGTTCGGAGGGAGGTGAGAGACGGGTACCACTTCGTAGCTGGGCATGGTGTCTGGTGGTAGGATGAACAGTGAAAAGTGAAGGAAGAGGTTTTGGCTCAGAAGCTGCCATTGTGGGCGAGATTTGTACTAAGTTGCTTCCCCATCGTTATACGAGTCGTACCTGCCTGTAGTTGAACGGCTTTAGGTTTAATTGCTCGGTCGGTTTGGAGGCCGCGACACAGTATCCACCCATCAATGTATCGTACCACAGTGTAGCACGGGCGTTTTCAGGAAATAGCTCCGTAACAGATGATTGATCCTCGGCATCGGGGTCTAGTCATGAACGACCGAGCCTTTCCCGCTTTGGCTCCCACTTGCACGTGATGACCGCGAGTCATCGCATTTACGGAGCCATTTTGACACAGTTGAAGGGGAACACACGCTCTCTTGCCGCAGTCGAGGCCTCCGCTGAGGCCCCCCCGCCAATCCCCCATCTATTGATCGGGGTCAATCTTTCCTTTTGTAGCTAAGTCGATCGTCTGTCTCTGCGCGTTCGATCACGATCGTATCCCCTTACAGGGGCTGGTCTCTAGTTCGCACATTGATCAGCTTTTCTGTGGATTACTCATTGATGAAGATGGACTAACTATAGCGTCGATCAACGTTCGCGCAGTACAAGGACGATACAAGGATTATGCTATTGGTTGGGGTCGCCTACCCTTGCAAGCCGTTTATACCTCTACGCTTATTTTTGTACCGGCCGAGACCAGCGGAGACGAGACCAGCTGTCACCACCGGCTAAAAGCCAAAGTCCATGAAGCTTGTGGCAAAGTTATTTATTTTTTGCATCTAGACCCGGCTTATGTCGACTCTCTTACTTCCGATTTCAAATAAGCAATTAAGAGACTCAGCTGACAGAACGCATCTACAACAAGTCCAATAGCAGCCACTCGAATTATCGTTCGTTTTCGTGGCTGCTTACTTGGTGAAGTCAAGTGCTTGAATGTAGGCGGATCTTTCAAAAGCAACTCTATAGTCAAATGTCGTCAAATCCCGATTGAAATATGTTAGCCAATATCCACATTTCCGTCTGTAAGAGGAAGACTACAGATCATACCCGAAAAGGGACTTCATTGATATTATAACCAGAAATTCTACATCGTCTATTCTATCTAGTTTTTTGAATCTTGATATGTTTAGAGGAGGGTGTCACTCTGGAGAACTTGTAAGATCAGCTGAATCACTCGGGTAATTTTTTACTGAGTTTTCTCACAGTTTGACCCCAAGGACGTAGCAATCATTGGACATGCTTGCCGAGTTGCAGGAGGAAACAACTCTCCGGAGCAACTGTGGTAATTCCTTCTGGATAAAAAGGATGCTTCGGGAGAGGTTCTTCGCCAGCGATGGGAGCCGTGGCTAAAGAGAGACGCCCGCAATGCCGAAGAGATTAAGAAAACAATTTCCAAAGGATATTTCCTTGACCACTTGGAGAACTTCGATGCCGCATTCTTTGGTATCTCTCCAAAGGAGGCCGAGCAAATGGATCCTCATCAAAGACTCGCCCTTGAACTGCCATGGGAAGCTCTGGAGAATTCGGGAATAAATCCCAAGTCACTCGCTGGCTCGGATACGTCTGTATTTATGGGCATCGACTCGGACGACTATTCCAGGCTACTTTTGGAAGACATACCCAACATCGAACCTTGGATGGGAATTGGTACAGCACACCACGGTGTTCCCAACCGGACTTCGTATCATCTCGACCTCATGGGCGCAAGTGCGGCAGTCGATGCAGCATGTGCCTCCTCGCTAGTGGCCGTTCATCTTGGACGACAAGCCATCTTGACTGGGGAATCTCAAATTTCCATTGTTGGTGGAGTCAATGTACTTTGTGCTCCGGCATTAACTCAGATGGCGTCTGCCTCTCATTCGATGACGACGCTCACGGGTACGCAAGAGGAGAAGGCGGAGCAGTTATCATCCTCAAGCGGCTTTCCAAGGCGATTTCAGACGATGACAATATTCTGGCCGTCCTAAAAGGCTGTGCCATTGCCCAAGATGGCAAAACAAACGGCGTCATGGCACCAAATGCTAAGGCCCAAGAATTGGTAGCCAGACAAGCTCTCGAACGCTCTGGAATTGACCCTTTAACAGTGAGCTACATTGAGGCCCATGCAACTTCAACATCCTTAGGAGACCAGACGGAGATTTCTGCTCTCTCTGCCGTGTATGGCACTGGACGGCCCGCCGGAGCTCCTGCTTTCATTGGATTTATCAAACCAAATGTTGGCCACCTCGAAGCAGCGGCTGGTGCGATTGATCTTATCAAGGCTATTCTGGCTGTCAACAAGGGCAAACTTGCACTTCAGGCCAGGCTTAAAAAGCTGAATTCCAAAATCAACTGGGATAATTCGGGTCTTGAGGTTGTTCGCGAGGCCTGTATGCGGCCGAAGCAAAGTGTCCCTCGCAGAGCTGCTGTATGCTCATATGGCTATGGTGGCACCGTTTCTCATGCCATCATTGAACAAACACCTCTGAAATGTTCAACTGTTTCTTCTATAAACCAGACTGTTGAAATCGCCGGTCCAGTCATTTTGACTATTTCTGCACCGCATGAGAAGCGGTTGGCTACACAAGCTGCTTCCCTAGGCGACTGGCTTTCTGATGTTGGTAAAAATGAAACTGCAAGCTATTGCCGCCACTCTGGCCTTACGCCGCGCTCACCTCGACCACCGCGTGGCGTTCGTGGTTGATAGTCATGAAGGCGCAGTCAATTCTTTGACCGCTTTCGCCAACGGAGCCGCAAATAAGTGGAGAGTAGAAGGTAGACCCTTTAGTGCAAGCACAAACAAAGACGTTGTATGGGACTTCTCGGGACATGGAGCACAGTGAGATGCTATGGCAAAGATCTGCTCAGAATTCCCGTTTTCTACAAGATGATATCTTCCCTGGAGGGGATAGTACAGCAAGAACTCGGCTATTCGGCCATACAAGCATTAGAAAGCGGCGAGTTCGCCGATTCTGACAAGATCCAGGTGCTCACCTACATCGTTAAAGTCGGTCTAAGCCAAGTCTTGAAATCGAAGGGAGTGGAACCTCACGCAGTCATTGGTCATTCGATGGGCGAGGGGTTGCTGCATCTGTTGTTGCCGGTTGCCTCACTCCGGAAGAAGGTGCTCTTGTTACGACAAGACGGGCAAAACTCTTTGCGAAGGTGAAAAGACTTGGTGGAATGGCATTTGTCAACAAGCCGTTTGATCAAGTTAAGGAGCAGCTCCGTGGTAGACGCGATATTCTACCTGTTGTCTTTTCTTCACCTTCATCCTCTGTTGTCAGTGGAAAGATTGCTGCCCTCCAGGAATATGTGGAGAGCCTCAAAAAGGAAGGAATCAAAACCGTCTTCGTCAAGACAGACATCGCGTTCCATAGTCCGATGATGGAGGAGCTTGCGGTTCCTCTCGCCGAAGCATTGTCTGAGTCTCTCAACCCTCTTCCGGCGAAAATCTCCATCTACTCAACCTCACACGCCGACCCGCGCACGACGGTGAGTCGAAACAGCGAATATTGGATCAACAACATGACCAGCCCGGTCCGGCTGACATCGGCTGTGGACGCGGCGGTTGATGACGGGTTCCGAGTGTTCCTTGAAGTATCGACTCATCCGATTGTACTTCACTCCATTAACGAGTCACTCGCGGCACATGATCTGGACGAGTAAGCTGTCATTCCGACTATGAGAAGGGATATGCCCGCCGAGAAAAGCATTTTGCTTGCCATTTCACAGCTTCACATGAAAGGTTCTCATGTAGACTTCAAAGCTTTGTTTGATTGGCGATGGTCGCCTGCGGTCCCTGGTACAAAATGGTGCCACAAACCTTACTGGCGAGAAGTCGAAACCGGCCCTCCGAATACAGAGATAACACATAGTGTTGAGAAACACATGTTGCTTGGACTTCGCACTTCCATAGCTGGAACTAAGACTGTTCTTCACACGACAAAGCTTGATTGTAACAGCAAACCCTACCCTGGAACCCACCCAGTGGATGACACCGAGATCGTTCCTGCTGCTGTATATATTAACACTTTTCATTATGCAACTGGATCTTCCGTTTTCTCTGACATCAAGCTTAGTATGCCAATCGCAATCAGTAACGAACCACGAGACATTCAGATTATTATCCAAGGCGAAAGCCTCAAGGTAGCCTCGCGCCTGGAACAGGACGGGGTCATCGAAGAACATTCCTGGATTACACACAGTAGCTGCCGTTATAGCTCCACAAAACCACCTCAGGACGGACACCTCTTCGATATCCATGCGGCCAAGGAACGGATAGGGACGGTGTTTCCGAATGAATTCATGATTGAGTACCTCAACAAAATTGGCGTTACAGGGATAGCATTTCCATGGGCCGTCATAGAGCACTATGGTAACGTGGATGAGATGGTCGTTAAAATCGATTTTGATCCCGAGCATGCGTCTGTTACCTGGGACGCCAACTCTTGGGCCCCTCTTCTTGACGCTGCAACATCTGTCGGCTCGACTGTTTTCTTCAGTGACCCTAAGTTGCGCATTATTTCACAAATCGACAAAGTATACATTTATTCGCAGGGACAACCTCCGAAGTCTGGTTATATGTATATACAGTCGTCAACCGACAACAAGAGTGCAGCTGCGAATGTCACGATCCTCAACGAACAAGGAGAGTTGTTGGCCGAGTTTCGGTCTATGAGGTTTTCCGAGGTCGACGGTGCTTCAGGAGCAAGCGGAAGTGTCGACAGCCTTGTACACCAAATTGCGTGGATCCCGCCGAAGTTCTCAGAGAACCCTCTCAACCTGGACCATGCTGTTCTCGTGTCAGAAGACTTCGCTGTACTTGAACAATATAGCAAACAACTAAAACAACAGACACGGAGTATGTTCCAGCTGCAAGGGGTGAAAGATTTGGAGCAGGAAGACATACTCGGCGCTCTGAATAAGAAGAGTTCTGCCATTGTGTACGTCCCCGGCTCCGTTGGGCATCTGGAAGATGTTCCGGCAGCAGTGGAGAGGTACATCTGGGAAGTAGTAAGTATCGTCAAGCTGATTACTAACTCTTCGCTCGCCGCCAAAGTCTTCGTTATCACGAACAGAGTTTTTGCAGGAGAATCGCCCACTGCGCTTGCCCATGGGCCCCTGTATGGTCTTGCCCGCATTGTTGCCTCGGAGTATCCAGATCTCTGGGGTGCCTTGGTCGACAACGAAAACTCGCTCTTTCCAATATTAGCAGTCAAATACGTTCAAGAGCAGGATGTCATTCGTGTACAAGACGGGCTGCCTAGAGTTGCACGTATGCGTCCGCTTTCGAGCGAACAGTGCTACGCACTTGACTCCACGAAGACCCTACTTCCGAAGCCAGAGGGTACTTATGTTGTTACTGGTGGCATGGGAGCTCTAGGGCTCGAGATCTGCTCTTTCCTGGTGGAGAAGCGGGCTAGGCGCATTGTGATTGTCTCACGCAGAACTATTCCTCCTCGCCGGACATGGCATAAAGCCTCGGGCCCGATGGTTCCAATTATTCAAAGGATTCGGGACTTAGAGAAGCTTGGTGCAACTATCCATGCTTCATCGTTGGATATTGGCGCTGAAGATGCCCATGACCTGCTGCTTGCAGAGATTGACTGCCTTTCACTTCCTCCAGTTCTCGGAGTTGTCCATGCGGCCGGTGTTCTTGAGGACAAGCTTGTTCTTGATACGACTGTTGATCCGTTTGCCCGTGTACTAAGACCAAAGGTCTCCGGTGCGTTAACGTTGCATAAGGCATTCCCCTCTACCACTCTCGACTTCTTTATCCTGTTCTCTTCCATCGGTCAGCTTGTGGGAACTCTAGGCCAGAGTTCCTACGGCAGTGGCAATGCTTTCCTTGACGCATTGGCTGTGCACCGCAGGCTCCAGGGAGATAACTCCATTGCTTTTCAATGGACCGCGTGGCGCGGTTTAGGAATGGCAGCTAGTGCAGACTTTCTTACCGTGGAGCTGCAAAACAAAGGCATCACTGATATCACTCGCGATGATGCCTTCCGCGCTTGGGAGCACATAGACAAGTATGACATGGATCATGCGGTTGTCTGCCGTACTCTACCAATCAACGAGGATGAATCTGTCGCGGTCCCGATACTGGAGCAAATCGTCGCCCGACGTGCTGAATCCCGCCCTGCGGAATCTAAAGAAGAAAGAAATGCTAAGCCTATATTAAGGCCGATCTTGCCTCAAGACCTAAGGGGTTGGATTAGCGTTAAGATCCGTGAGTGTGTTGGTGCAGTGCTAATGATTAACGACATTGAAAAAATCGACCTTCGGACTGCCTTCTCCGACTTAGGCATTGACAGTGTCATGACTGTCTCCCTCCGGCAGAAGCTCCAAGCCGTTATGAAAGTAAAGATTCCACCTACGTTGACATGGAATCATCCTACGGTGAATCATCTTGTTGAATGGTTCTACAAGAAGTTGAGGGAGGTTGCACGGAGATGAGTACTCGAGTAGTTAATCTATCTTTTCACAATGTTGACAAGTTCTTGGTATCAAGCTCCACAAGTTAACCTGTTATCTGTTTATGGAACCGGAGTAAACTCGATTCCCAGATTTGTATCTCTACTCTAAGTAGTAGCAAGCAAGTCTAAAATTCCATTTAATATTCAAATGAGATTGATCAAATGGCCAATCCAAGCTCTAAGAAACGTAGCTGAAGATATTAGGCTTGTCCTTTACCTTCCGTTTCCTTTTCCTTCAAAGCATATTGAGGAATCTCTTCACCTTCCCTCCACACATACTGCGCTCCTATATGGTTAGGCAGCAACCGCTTTTGCCCAGCCTTTCCATACACATTCTCTCGGAAGGTTCCTCCCTTGACCGCGTAATCATCCCAGAAAAGCCCACGGCGCCTCAGCTCTGGCAACAAAAATTCAATGATATCGTCGAAGGTCCCCGGTACAGTGGCGTAACTCAAGTTAAAACCGTCAACATCAGCAACCTCCACCCATCTCTCGATTTCATCAGCAACCGTCTTAGGACTGCCGATGATCTTTGGACCGTTCCCTCCAATGACCAGGTACTCGGCAATCGCGTTCTTGTTCCATACCTTTCCTTCTGATCCAGGAATAGTGCTGGCCCAATGGTTTACCATGCTCCTGATCGCTGGCTGCTGCACGAAACGGAAGTCCTCTTCATCACCCCATTTGTTGATATCAATCCCACTCCATCCGCCGAACAAGGCCAGAGCACCTTCTCGGTCACCGTAGGAAACAAGATCCTGGAATTTGGCCTGCGCCGCCTCATCTGTTTCGGCCACGATGACCAGCGCTCCGCCGAGTACCTTGATATCCTCAGGATTTCTTCCCGCCTCTTTCGCCTGCTCCCTAATGCTTTCAACACTCGGTTTAACCAATTCCGGTGCATGTCCGTTCAAGAAAATCGCTTCAGCATGTCTTGCCGCAAACGCCTTTCCAGCTCCACTCGTTCCCGCCTGCAGAATGAGCGGAGTACGTTGCGGACTCGGCGACGTGAGTGCCGGGCCAGGCACCTTGAAGTACTTGCCCTCGTGGTTGATCTGCCTCACGCCTTTGGGATCGGCATACCCGGCCGGACCCGGGTTGACGGCATCGTCCTGCCAGCTGCCCTCCCACAGCTTGTACGCGACATGCATGTATTCATCAGCAATGCGGTACCGCTCATCGTGCTCGATCTGTGTGTCCAGTCCAAAGTTTCTTGCCGCGCTGTCCAGATAGCTCGTCACGACATTCCAGCCAATGCGGCCGTTAGTCAGGTGGTCGACCGTGCCAAAGCGACGAGCCAGGGCGTAGGGCGTCTCGTAGGTGGTCGAAGCTGTGACGCCAAAGCTGATGCTTTCTGTCGCGGCAGCCAATGCTGGGATGCTGTACAGCGGGTCGTTGATGGGGAATTGGGCTGCAGCGGGGATGGTGGGGTTGAGATTCGCCGGGCCCTTGTAAACATCGTAGCCACCGAGCACATCGGCGAAGAAAATTGCATGGAATTTTGCTTCGTCCAATTTGCGAGCTAAGGAGATCCAATGGGAAAGGTCGTTGTATGAGGTTCCTTTGTCGCCGGGATAACGGAAGAGGCCGGGGTTCAGGTGACCCGGCGCCTGCATGGCGAAGGCATTGAGAATAAGCTGTTTTTTGGCTGGCGGAGCTGCCATAGTGAAGTGAAATTCGTATGAAATTTTTTGCTTTAGTGATTTGTTTGAGGAATTACTCTACAAGCCGGGCAACTCCAGTTATAAGTTCGCGAGAAGCATCACGACTTCGATTTGTGTTATTCTGCATGCGTTACGTGAGGGGTAGATGAAATTGCGTGATCGGATGAATGATTGTATAACAGGGATCACAGGCTCCGCTGATTAATTCTGTCAATCACAGTGATAGTTGAAAATACCAAAGAGGGAAAATTTTAAGACCAGTTGTGCTCACCAAAAGACTCATTGGAGATTTAGAAGCTTACGAAATCTGTCTATGTAAATATATAGATACTATTTTCATTCCTACCACGGATACTTTTCATTGAAATTTACGTTTGTACATATTCAGATACACTAAGACTTTACGTCCACCGCTGGCTCTATCCTTTCCACGTCTTCTGCAGAAGTGGAGTTGCTCGTGTTCCGTCCAGGCATTTCCACCTCGGCATCCGTCACTCTCCAAGCTGCCCAGAAAGTAGTAGGTACACTGACCCAGAAAACGACTGCGGCAACAATCAAGTTGGTCATAAGTGATGCGCTCTTGCTAGCTCCAACTCCGTAGGAAAAAGTACTTCCCAAGCTCTCACCAGCACGCAGAATACTGGTAGTGTAGGCCAACGTCGCAATATCAGAGTCAAACGTCCCAAGAACCCAATATTGCCAGACACTTGCGATTTCGTAGCCAATTCTGTAAAAGAAAAGTTAGTGCTAGCTTTTTGAAGATATCCAAGAGACCTTACCTATAGAAAATGTAGACCCCCACAGCCCTTCCGAAACCAGGGGAATCGATGTCTAGCTGCGGCGAAGTCTTTGCAAGGTCTGCCTGCAGCACAAAATTCCAGATCCAGGTGGCGGTGTAGAAAACTGTGATAAGGAGCCAGCTGTACCGTGCTGTAAGGGAGCGTCTTCGTGTAAGGCCTGCATAGTCTGAATCTAACAACCAGCCGAATCCAAAGTCCACAATGAGACTGAGAACCGCAACGATAAAGCCGGCGAGCGTTCGGCCCCGTACGGAGAAATACGCTGCGAGGTAGTTGCCCTGGTATGTCTGGCCCCACTGCGCGGAGATGAAGATTGGAATAAGAAGGTAGATATTACGCAGTTTGAAAGTAGCCCAGAGATCTTTGAAGTTTTGCTTTATGGAGAGCTTGTTTGCCGCGAAAATTGGTTTTGTGCCGTCAGAGCGGATGAGTTTGTCTGGAGGTGCGACAGTGAGAGCCATCGGCAAACCCACACATTGCAAGGCAACGAGCACCAAGAATGTTTTTGGGCTGATGCTGCCCTTTTGATTTCTGTCCATGTTAAGTGCAAGCTGGATCGAGGTGCTGATAAGAGAGCCGATTTTGTTGAGAGCCAACCAGATAGAGACTGTAATTTGTTAGAACGTGGCTTATCCATGTGCATTACAAAATTCGTAGACTTACTGTAAAACCCTCGGCGCTCTAGTTCTGGATAGCCTACAGCCAATGCTGCTTCCGAAGTCCACAAGGCTGCAGCTGAAAATCCGCACGTTGCCGCTCCAAAGATCAGAAACCACTGAGTACCAAATACCGAATTGCAATAGAGAGCAGCACTGTAAGGCGCATAGCCAAGCGTGCCGAACACAAGTACCCATTTTAGATTGAAGCGGTTTCCCAGGACGGCCGAGAGTGGTGCGCAGAAGACCATAATGGCAAAGGTGACGACATTGGCTGCATTGACGAAGAAGGGAGAGGCAAGACCGCCCGCGCCTAGATTGTTCAAAGCTGTCCAAATGCCGGGCTGAGTGAAGCTGACGAGGCCGAGCATAATGGCTTGGTAAAGTGTTCCACGATAAAAACGGTGAAGGTGCCTGAGGACACCGTCGTGTTTGAGTTGAGCGGCATTTTGGGCTTGGGATGATTGTCCCATATTGGACACTATTCAAAGTGAGGGTAAGAATGCCAAAGAACTTCAACCACTGCAAGGTCTACTTGAATGACAAACTTATAGCATATGGGAATCTGAGCCTCATCGGTATGGAGGGACGGATACACTGAAACCAAAGATTTTTCCCTGAGACCTCAATGGGCTAGGCGAAATTGCAACATCCCTGGGGCATGAGGTGCCATAGATTGCTGCAAAAGGTTACGCAAAAATACTTGGAAAATCTTTCGCGGGTCATTCTGTCAGGAGCTGGTCGTGCCTGAAAATCGCTGGACAGTGCCGAGCCAGGCCAAAATCTGGAACCGCCCCATTAAACGTGATGTATTCAGACCCGCGGGATTTTCTTTATCCTTATGCAGAACGACAGAATTTGACATTACTGGCGGGTTTCCGAAGGTTGCTGTCGTCGCGATAGCCTACCCGATAGAAAGTACGGACTACGTGCCGGATTACGCGATATCGAGAGGATATGTTGCAAACAACACCCCGCTTCCCCAAACAGCGAACATGCATTGTGCCCCACGCTTATCATTGAAAGCCCCGCAATCGTCATTGGGATTCACATGCACGATAGAGAGCTGTCGGGTTCACTATCACGCAATCGACATCTCCGTCATCGGGCAGCGCGGGTGTGCCTGCGGTTGGTTCAGGGTCGCATCCGATGAAGGATTGCAACCCTTTAACAAGAGCATATGACAAGGAACTACGAGAACCATCTTTTAGGATAATGGCTTTTCTTACTTGACAACGAAAATCTCGTTAGGTTCCTGCGGATTCTGCTTCCTGTTCGAGCTTAAAGCGCCTTACATGCTCTTCAAGACTCACTTCCAAGCAATCGCATAACTTTGCTGAGAACATGAGTCTTCGGGTTTCATGGCCAAAAGCTATGTCTTTCACTTCTGTTGTTGTGGAGGAACAAAACAACAAGCGCAATCAAAGCGATAGCTTTGACTCGCAAGAGAAAACAGAAAGCTTGTTCCAGCGCGAGCCTCAACCCATTCCCCGGGTACCATCTCAGCAGAACGTTTTGCTTCTTCCGGCCCCGAAACAAGACTACGTCTTCACTCCAGATCATAAAGTTCCCCAGGTCCAATCGGATTCGGAGCTCTTGGTCAAAGTTCAAACAATCGGATTAAATCCAATTGACTGGAAAGCACCGTGAGTAACATCCCATACTGTCTCATGGATGCAAAGGACTAAAACGTCGCAGTGATTTTGGTTTTGGAATCCCGTCTCTTCCATACATTGCAGGGCGTGATGTAGTTGGCGTGATTGTCAAGGCGCCAAAAGCGCAGTCACGGGTACGAGAAGGAGACATTGTGAGCACTTTTCTGCTTGTTTACTATCTTTGGCAGTGCTAATATCTCCCAGGTTATTGCCATATCCACCGATTATCGTGATGTCCGCAAAGCGGCCTTCCAAGAGTTCACAGTGTCAAACTACTTCAACGTTTGCCGCGTTCCAAGTAGTGCTTCCAGAGATGCCAGTGCCTCAGTCGGTGTCGCGTTTATCGCCGCATCACTCTGTCTCTCAATTTGCTTTGGGGTAGATTTCTCTAAACTCCCAGGCCCAGGCCGCGGCCCAGACCTTCTGGGTTTGGTGAGGTCATTGGATCGAAACTCATTGCCTCAAGATGTAGTGGGAGAGTGTTTTGATGCTATCAATGTCAAGGAAATACCAGAGCCGGGTCAATGGATTGCGATATGGGGAGGTAAGCAATAGGCGTCATGAGGTGTAAGAATAAAATTTGGCTGATCAACTCCTGCTTCCAGGTTCATCAACGACGGCAATCCTTCTCTCTCAGCTCGCGAAGTTCTATGGCTTCCGCGTTATCAAAGTAGTCGATGTTGGCAAACATGGAGAAAGGCTTTCACAACGTGGAGCAGATCTTCTTGTCGATTCTCATGACCACGCCAGAGCTGTAGCTATCATCCGTTCCGTCACTGGAGGCAAGCTGCGGTGGGCTGTTGACACTATCGGGCGGGATACGGCCTCCAAACTTGCGGAGCCTTTGCAGAGTGAAGAGACAGATGGCAAGCGGAGCCATCTGGTGGGGCTTTCGGGTGTGCCCAAGACTCCTCAGCCGGGCGTCGTGTTCCATTCTGTTCCGATTAAGATACATCACGAAGTCCAAGCCGTAGGCGAGGCTCTGATGACTTGGTTGGAGAAGCTTTTGGCAAGGGATATCATTCAGCTGCCTGATATTGAGGTTGATGATGGAGGTTTGGAGGGCGTGAATGAAGCTTTGCATAGGATGCGGCGTGGAGAGATCTCGGGAAAAAGATTGGTTGTGCGTGTGTCTTAACTGAAATTTGAACAAAAATATCATTGATCACTCAACATCTGAACAAACCAACATAAACAGAATGGATCAAGCAATTAACTAATACAGTCGTTTAGTTCTGTACAGCAAAAGACCTTACTGGTACAGCGATGGCTATACCGAGCAATGTGGTTCAATTATTAAAAAAAAAAAATTTAGTTCACGTTACAATGGTTCGCAATAGAGACCTATTATGTGGCCATTAAATCTGAATTTAATTGAAGATGCTTAAACGTCCTACAATTTCAATTTATACCGTCAAGAGCTTTTAAAAGTATTTGGAAGTAATTTTTGTCCATTAAAAGGTGCCGTCTCTAAGCTTTAACCTTACTTGCTACCGTCCGCTCCTGCATCTTCCACATAAGGCGGATCCTCCTTGTACACGTCATACTTGTACTTACTTCCAGGATGATCATCCCTCAAGCCCGCCTGTCCCTTCCCATAAACTCTCTCCCGAGCAGTCAATCCATCCTCTTTCAGCTCAGGATAAATCCCACGAGCCCTCAACTCTGGCACCAGCAAGTCGACAACGTCCTCAAACGTGCCCGGTGTGGTCACATACCCGATATTGAAACCATCCAAGTCTGCTTCCTCGATCCACCGCTCAAGTTCATCTGCCACAGTCTTTGGAGATCCGACAGCCACTGTGCCCAGTCCGCCGATTGCAGCCTTCTCGGCCACATCCCTCGGCGTCCATTTCAGCGCATCTTTGTGTGTCGATTTGAGATCCTCTAGCCTCGACGTGACCTTGTGAGCTTCCAAAGAATCCTCAGTCGTGATCACTTTGTCGAGTGGTAGGCGCGAAACATCAATGCCCGTCCACCCACTGAAGAGTACCAAACCGCCAATCGTGCTGGCGTGTTTCTTGGCCTCCTCATACTTCTGCTGTGCCTCTTCGTCGGTTCTTCCAATAATCGGCGTGAAAGTCGCGAAGAACTTGATGCTCGCCGGGTCGCGGCCGTGCTCCGCAGCAAGGTTACGGATCTTCGCAATCTGAGGGCGCAAGATGGAAGGGGAGTGTGAAGTGACGAACACAGCTTCGGCATGCTTGGCTGCGAAAGAGGAGCCAGCTGCGGATGTGCCCGCCTGGAAGAGGAAGGGTGTACGTTGCGGCGATGGATCGACGATGTGGCGGGTTGAAAGGTTGAAGTACTTCCCCTGGTGGTTAATGTGGCGGATTTGGTCAGGGTCGAAGTAGGCATCATTCGCAGCATCCGCCAGCGTGGCTGTTGGGGACCAGGAACCTTCCCATAGTCTTATAAATTTCATTAGCAGTGAGCTTGTGTCAGTCGGGTGGAAAGACAAACTTGTAGAGAACACTGAGATATTCATCTGCTTGCTTGTATCGCTCATCGTGCTCAATTGGTGTGTCGAGTCCGATAGCCTTGAAAGCTGCTTTCTTCCAAGATGTCACGATGTTCCAGCCAAATCTACCTCCTGTCAAATGGTCAAGAGTCGAAAACCGCTTGGCAAGCAGAAATGGAGGCTCAAATGAAGTGCTGGAAGTTATAGCAAAGTTAAGGTTTTTCGTGACCGCAGCCATGGCTGATATGGGCTGTGACCATATCCTAGTAAGCTGAATTGTCTAGCAAAATTGTGTGAATAAATCCGTAAACTGACAATCGTGGGGTCTGTAACTGGCCACTGCGCAGCCCTCCGGATGCACTCATCCAAACTACCCTGGTAAGTGTCATACCCTCCATAGGTATCAGCAAGAAACAGTGCATTGATTCCGCCGCGGTCGAGTAGTTTGGCCAAATCGATCCAGTATTGCAGTTTGCGCTTGGTAGCAGATTTGTCTTTCGGGTCCTGTCTAATACTTAGCCCACGTCATATGAAACAATACAATAAAACTACCTTCCATTGGCCTGTAGAAAGATGCCCAATGGTGGACATATCGAAGGCGTTGAGCAGTATCTGCTTCTTGCCATCACGTGGCGTAGTCTTCGTCTCCTGGGTAGCCATGTTTGCACGAGATTCTAGCTGCTTGAGACGTTCGCTCTAGGTTTATGGTTATTCGTTATGACTTTATACGAGCCCATCTCGATCGAGCAATGGGTTATGCTGCCTGAGTTCCACCTCGTAACTCCCGGTGTCGGATGGGCAGCATGCAGTTCGCACGCCATTATTGCGTGTCTTTGGCAAATAAACCTGCATGGGTAGCATTATCAGTGCCGCGCGGTTTCACATGGGCGACGTCTCATGGGCCTGGAAGTTGTTGTTGTGACCTTGAGGGGTGCGGGGTAGTTGTGCAGGGCCCCGCGATACGATGACGTGCTGTCGGCACCAGATGGTGTCGGGATCGACGGTCTAAATTCTCTAGCTACTCACCACCAACCTCGGACTTCCGCCCGACACAATATCTCTCACAGAACTTCCCGAAGGAAAAATCAAACCGACACAGACAGTCATGCACCAGTCCTCCTCTAGTTCTGTCTACCGATGTCTTTGTTCGCCGATACCTGGATGTCTTGCGCCATCGGAGATTCGGTTTCGAGACTATGTTGCTTCTCATAAAGTCTCCTTGACACTCATCAGCCATCCAATTAAAGATTAATCAGGGTCGGAACCCACTTACTCTTGTCTATTGTGTAAGATTCTGATAAATTGAGTCATCACAATCAATGCTACGGCATTGGCCGCGGTAAAGGCATAGCCTTTTAGGAACCTTGGCGCCTCAACCGTCTTAAAAACCAAAAGTGGGGTCCAGGCAGTCGTTGATTGCGCGATGGCATTCATCGCGACAAGAGTAAAGGCACGCTCGTCAATGTCATGCTTCAGGATGTCATTCGCCCAGCCGTAAAGCACTGAAGACATGGCAACGGCTGAATATGTTGTGTTGAACGCGAACCACAACGCGGACTCCGGTACGTCCCACACAAGGAGAATTATCAGTCCAATCAAGTTCCAGACATGTGCGAGTGTAATTGCGCCGGCTCGTCCTAAGAACATATCGGATCCGAAGCAGATAAAAAGGACATAGAATATACCGATGCCGGGAGAAGAAGTGCCGAGCTGGTTAACCCTCGAGGCAGAGTACCGGTCCAAACTTTTCAGCCAGAGCAGATATCCACCAGCATTAGTGTTGTAGCAGGCATTCCAGAAGAAGATGGCCCACAGCACCAGTATCCAAAAGCGCCACCGCAAAAACACGCGCGTGACAATGTTCCACGAGAAGCCAGAACCTGGCTTCTGGCCAATGTCACCGGTTCGATGTTTCGCCAGCTCGACCTCTTCCTTTGTAAGGATGAAAAGGTTGGGCTTGTCCGGCGTTCCCGGCCACAACCAGATGCCAGCGAAGCCAACAGCAAATGTCATTATCGAAACGATAACGTACATCCAACGCCAGCCAGCAAGTCCGTTCTTTCCATCAAGATTTGCAGAAGCCGCGCTCTGGATAAGTCCGGAGGTTAAGGTTCCCAGTGTCAATCCGGTATAGAACACGCCACCCCTTCGGCCAATTTCGTACGATTTATACCAGGAACCTAGGACGTAGTGGACCGCAGGGAAGTAAGCGCTCTCCAATAAGCCTACGAGGAATCGATAAGCCATCATTTCGGAGTATCCTTTGGCTCGGTATTGCAAGAGAGTGAAGATTCCCCAGCCAATGTCGAGACCGGGTATTAACCAATGCATTGGGAGCTTTGGAAAGAGGACAGTGAAGGGTAACTGGCCGACCACGGCTCCCACTGTATACATTGTCTGCAAGTGGACCAACTCATTGCCATAAAATCCGAGGTCATCGGAAAGACCAGCAACATAGGCATTGTCTGGGTAGTACTGTTAGAAGCGACTCCCAAGGATTTCGAAGGGAGGCTCAACTGATGTTCGATTGATCAATGTATTTGATCCAATACATGATAACGGCAACGGGAACGATCAAGAGATCCAATTTCAGGATCAACTTTCTGTCCTCCTTCGAATCAGTATCAGCATACCAGCTGTACCATTTTGTGGGCCGAGTAGTTGCCATTGTACAAAACCGGCTTCTTCGTTTAAACAGAACAATTCCCGAGCCTGAAAACAGTATGTGGTAAAACGAGAAAGCACAGTGAGAAGGTTTTGAGAGTCGACTTCATCGTTTGCACTCAAACAAAAAATAAATAGGCTTGCCAAAAACAAGACATCGTCAACCCCTAATGCGGTTATAGCGTTTCCGTATGCCGTTCGAGCCACCGAGCCAATGCTCCAGGGCTATATGCGAGCAAATGCAAATATTCGCCAATGCCTGCCCAAGGCGTTGCTAGCCGCTTTCTATCGGAGGCCCGCAAAAGTAGATCGCCATGCGCGTCTTTCCTGCAGTTGATCAGCGGGGTTGGCAAAACATCAGCATAGTGAATAATCACATCATCTAGCATTGCCTGATAACTGACCAGGGTCAATGCGGGTCACCGAGGTTGTAATCAAGAAGCCCTTGACGCGGGTTCCCGAAGATGTAATCAAGAAGCCCTATGGTGCAATTGTGCTAGCCGCGCAGCTTCTCATTTTAGAAACCCATGCGCGCAGAGATAGTGGACCGTTGTCATTCCTCTTAAAGAGCAAACTACTCTGCTCAAGCATTTGGTATTAAAAGCAACAGATCGCTACCACATATTTGCTTCTATCACGCTTCACTTTCCACTCATCTGGTAACTGGCAATGGCGGAAGCCCAGGCAACAACCGCGATAAACAGAGGAGAGCCTTGGCTCCATGCTAGCGTGAAAGATAACGGTATCAGTATCAAGGAAGTGGAAATGCCGTCATCTGAAAGCTCGGATGCCGCTCAAGAGCATCCTCCCGCTGTAAATGGAGCCAAGGTGCACAAGATATCCGAATGGGATCCTCAGCACCCTCCGCTCGAGCTTGAAGAACATCCAATTGATGAGCCAAAAGGGATCAAGGTACGTCAAATTTACATTTGACCTCCACAGATTTTAATAAAGCTTAGGTGGCTGTCCTCGGCGCTGGTCTTTCTGGTGTTATAGCAGGCGCACTGCTTCCAGCGAAAGTCCCTGGGATCGACCTTACGATTTTCGAAAAGAACAGTGATGTGGTAAGTGCTGAAAGACCTACGGTAGTTTTTCATATTTAACAATTGAAGGGAGGAACATGGTTCGAAAACATCTATCCAGGTGTAAGATGCGATGTGCCGGCCAATGTCTACCAAACCAGTTTCGAGCCCAACACGCAGTGGACCGAGGAGTTTGCCACAGGAGGAGAAATTAAAGCATACTGGCAACATGTTGCGCGGAAGTATGGCGTCTATGAACGCACTAAGTTCAATTCTTTGATTCACCGTGCAGATTGGGATCCCGCTGCCGCGACCTGGAAGTTACAAATTGAGGACGTGAATGAGAAAAAAGTCACTGAAGAGACTTTCGATTTCGTCATTACCGCAGTTGGTCATTTCAATTTCTGGAAGCTCCCAGAATACCCCGGCATCGAGAACTACAAAGGTCACTTGCGGCATTCCTCAAACTGGGATCCAAACTTCGACCCCAAAGACAAGACCGTCGCTGTGATCGGAAACGGAGCGAGCGGGATTCAGGTCGTTCCAGAGGTCCAAAAGGTAGCCAAGCACCTTGACCACTACGCCCGCGGCAGAACTTGGATCGCTGGCTCTCTGGGCGGAAGAGACAGAAAAGCCGAGCCAATGTACTTCGCACCGGAACAACTGAAAGAATTTGAGGACCCCGAAAAGTACCTCAAATACCGCAGGACGCTCGAAGAAACATACTGGAGAAGATTTGCAGCTGTCTTGAAGAACACTGAGGAGAACGAAAAGGCGCGAAAGGAATTTACTACTTTGATGGCGGCAAGGCTGAAAGATAAACCCGAGCTGCTCGACGAGATCCTACCAGACTTCTCGCCACACTGCCGCAGACTTACGCCAGGCCCAGGCTACCTTGAAGCGCTTACGAAAGAGAACGTCAGTTTCATCAGCACGCGCATCAAGCGGTTTACCGAAGATGGTATTGAAACAGTTGACGGAGTCCACCGACCCGTCGAGGCTGTGATTTGCTCTACTGGTGCAAACATTGATTTTGCCCCGCCATTCCCGATCGTCGCGAACGGTGTCGACCTATCTCAGGCTTGGAAGAAAGATGGAGAGATAGGATATCCGCACACCTACCTTGGTGTCGCAGCGCCTAACTTCCCGAACTTGCTGTTCATTCATGGTATGTGACTTGAGTTTTCCAAAACATATTCAATTCTTGTTAACAATAACATGTAGGTCCCAACGGCACCGGTGTGGCCGGCAGCGTCCCCAACAGCTCCGAGAACCAGGTTACGTTCATCGCGAGACTCTTGCGCAAAGTCAGCAAAGAGCGGATCCGCACCGTAGCGCCATCGCAAGCGGCAGCAGACGATTTCTTGGAGTACGCCGACAGCTTCTTCCCCCGGACTGTCTTCAGTCAGAACTGCAGATCTTGGTACAACGGCGGGTATCCCGGTGGACGCATCCACGGAATTTGGCCAGGAAGTGCGTCGCATTTGAACTACGTGAGGAAGAATCCGAGGTGGGAAGATTGGGACTGGACGTATCCTAAGAAGAATAGGTTTGTGTCGTATTTTGGCAATGGCTGGACGAGGAAGGAGCAGGACCCGGCGGCGGACGTTTTGCCGTTCTTGAAAGACCCAAGCACTATTGATTTGAGAGACCATCATGAGAGGTGGTGGGAGTAGAAATAGATAGATGAAATAGCTGCTATTCTCTTTCTATAATTTAGAGACAATTTTGTCTTCTGCGTTTCTGTGTTTCAAAGACAGATTGAAGTTTAATTTAGAGCGTGAGGAATTATAACGTAGGTATATCACCAGCCGATTATCAATTAGGGTAAATAGGAATAATCCCAAAAAAAATCAATACTTTAATTCCTCTCAGATAGTCCTCTCTATATATCAAATTGATAACCTACAGTTCTAAATTCAATTTATCTTGTCGTAGACAAATTAGCACCGTAACCGAGAGGTTAGGTTTGTATAAGTAAAACGATAATTAAAATAAATATATCACTACCCCTTAGATTTTAAAGAGTCTTCTTAGTACTTCACTTCGGCGTGATCAAATAGTACAGAAGCTACTTAGATATTTATGATCTCGTATATGCAAGCCGCTAAAATGGATAGTAGGCAAACTTATCAGCCTTGCTGACGTGACATGGATGCAACACCACTATGATAAACCAAGATGTTTCTCTGCCTATTAGAAGATTGTGGCTAAGTTGGTGGCTTAAATGCGATTAAATCCATCCATTCAATGAATATAGGCTTGCAGCATTCACCTTTTATGGCATGAACCAAACCATTTCGTTTGATAAATGCCCTCAAGGCGGTGGCTGTTCTATTGAAGGCTCGAGAAAAGTACTAAAAATATGTTTTACTTCATCAAATCGGACCACACTGTATGCGCATCTAAGCCCAGCTGATATGGGCTTCTCTTCACACTCGGCAAACATAGTAGTATAAATACGGTCGTCGATTTTCACTTCAATCTCCAGCCTTCAATCATTCAGTAACCTTACTCTAAATTCTAATTTACTGTCACAACTCAGAACCGCTAACCTACTATGTTGCTTTTTCACCACCTCCTGTTGCTTTTTTCTCTGCTCTACGGAATCTGCACTGCCATTCAAGCTGTTCAGCGGAACAACAACAATGCAGTCCAAGAAACCCCTAAAGATAGAACTACAATGCATCGGCGAGAACTTGTTGCAGCTACCAAACTCTCAAAACTCGCACGGCGAAGCAATACCGTTGAACTGGCCAGCGCTTTTGACCTGGAATACCTTGAAGGTTTCTAAAACAAAAACTGTTACATTTAGTATGCATTTCAACTAACCTTTCATAGGCGGTGACTTTTATGGCAATTCTCCCTTAGGAGCCACCGTCCATGTTGAATCACACAAACCAGTACTCTTGTTGGAAGAGATCGAGCATCTACTAAATATAGTAGAATGTTCTAGTTCGACTATCTCGATGGCGTTTTTGACAGACCATGCTTCAGTCCCATTGGAAAAAGCCTTTGAACAACTCAAAGGCGGTTTTGTAGTGAGCTCTCATTACGGATGCAATGTGGCGGGAGCCCGAAACGTGTTTCGGTAAGATTCTGTGCTACATTTTCCCATCTAATGCTAATTAGAACGGTTTATAGTGTGGAAAGCTATGACATGTCTACGGATGAGGGGCACGTCCGTCTCTCCGTTAGCCGTATGTCTTGGGAAAATGCCTTTCCAAACTTATCAATCAAGATGAGCAGCACAAAAGAGAAAATTGTACATCGGCCACACGAAAACTTTCGGCGTCAGCTGACTCCAGCATCGGAAACAAGCACAAGTTCATCTGTTTCCAATCCTATCAATCCAGAAGAAACTAACAAAGCCTATCTGTCGATTGGCAAAGAACTCCTGGAAACGGCTTTAGAAATTCCAGCGGTTGCCAACATAGTACCACCCCCTTTTACGATTGAGTGCAAAGACTGTACCACGAATGGAACAGTTGATTTTGAATTCTTCGATTTCCAAAAAGATTGTAATTTGGAAGGGCTCCTCGACTGTATCAACGGAGTAAATGCAGCAGTAAAAGTAGAGGGATTCGAGGCACATGTTGAGCTGTCCGCGACTTTATCTCGAGAAGCAGAATTTGAAGCCCCTTTGTCTGCCCTAAACCTTGATCATAGTTTGGATGTAAGTATGTTCACTTATATTACGGCACAAACAGCTAACCACACGAAAGATTAAGGATTTAGGTTCTATTGAGCTTGGTTGGTCTCCTTCCATTTTTCTTAGTTACGAAATGAATGGAAATATCACATTCACGTACGGCTTCAAAGTCAAGGTTAGTCGATACCATGATATCTAGAACCCCCTTCTTAAAAACTTTTAAAGATTTATCAAAACTCCAATGGAACGCAAAGTTTGTACTATACTAAATGCATGTTATAGATGTCTTCTGCATTATCTATCAACCTTGGCATGAAGGATCAAACAGAACCAAACCGGATCGGCTTGTGGGTATCACTCATTATATGCATGCATCCTTTACTAAAGGTTATCATAGAGGCAAACTAAACGTCGAAACTATTCCGTTCCAAGCAGAAGCAAAAGTAGACAACATAACGTTCAGTATTGCTCTCCGTAGCCGCTTGAGTGCTTCTTTTACGTTCGAATCATCTTTTACCAACCAGAGCAGCATAGGCGTCAGTGCAGGAATTCAGCTCGACATGCCTGGCCTATCGACCAAAGTCACCTCTATGCAAGCCGTAGATGCGAACTGTCAGCCGCTTAAAGACTCAAACACAAACTCTGACGACAGAAACTTGATAGAGAAAATTCTCACGAATGTATACCGCTTCGACTCAAGCGCTATAATGAACGCTAGTGTCTTTAGCCAGGTGACTACCTCCACCGGATGTCCTGAAGAGTTTTAAAGTTAACCCTTTGCAGATACTATTAGCAGAAGAAAAAGTCTATCAGTTGGCTAACATGACCAAACCCCTGGGAAGCATCTGTATGAACTTCGACCCAGAGACAAAAACCTACAGCAAAGCCATAGATGTTGTGAGTGGAGCAAAGGACGATGTAAAAGGGAGTAGATCGAAGAAAGGTGCTGCCAGCCAAGTTGACAATCCGTTTACCTCCTTTCCCCTACAGTTCTTTACAAGCCCTTTGTTTGGTTTGATTCTTACAGCTATAGCTTTTGGAGCGATGTAGGCGGCTCCAAATTCAACATCGACATGCTTAACACTGTCATCAGAGAAGGGCCTAGGAGGTAACAAAAGAGGGTTGGCGAGGTACGCTCGGTGGTATTAAGCTGGTGCAGTTAAGCCCTTTTTGTTCGGTCTTTACTGTAACTACGATTGGAAACGTTGATTCATATAAACACCGGACGTCAGGCCGCAAACTTGAATACCTACTTACTCTCACTCACACCTCAGCTCTTATTCGATCCATCCCCTTACCCTCTCCTCGCACCATACTGCTTAGCAGCAAAATCTCTATACCTCCCCGCGCTCCTCCTCCTCAACTCCCTCCCCCAAACCACCATCGGCACACACGTCAAGACCAACAGGGCGATCAAACCGCCAAGCAAGCCAAACGCCCTCCCCGTCCCCATACCCTGCAACCACCTGGGCAGGACAAAGACCAGCACCATCGCCAGCAAATTCCTTACCGCCGCCACCGCAACAAACGCATCCCCAATGACATCGGTATAGGCATCGAGGGCATACGTCAACGAGATGTCGCCGACGCCACCGACGCCAAACCCCACGAGCCCCGCCCCCACCGCACTGACGACCCAGCTCCTGCCGTGCGCGAGCGCGAGCCCGTACAGCAGGACGCCGGCGGGCAGCGCCAGCGCGGGGAGCGGGTACATGCACAGCCGCATTTCGGGCTCGTAGACGCCTTGGTTCCAGCGCTTTGCGGCGAAGAGGATGAAGCGGTCGACGAGGGGACCGCCGTACAGCGCGCCTAGGATGGAGCCGATCAGGGGCGGGATGTTCATGTTGCCGATGCCGATGGTCGAGAAGTGGTAGGGAGGGAGGGGGTAGAGGAGGGAGGTGGTGGTGGCGAGGATCGAGAGCGTTGCGATGGATATGCCGTACTGTAGGGCAGTGAATGTTATTGCCGGGAGTGTGAACAGGATGGAGAGGGGTTGGGCGTAGTGCTGGCGGATGCTGTGGCCGGGGTGCGGGGAGGGTGTGATGAGGGCGAGACGCTGGCGGCGGGATTTCAGGGGGATGGAGTGGTTGATTGGAATGGCGCGGCGGGTGTGTGCGGGTTGGACGGAAGTGTCAGGGACGTCGGCTGGCTCGTTGTCGGTTGCGGTGGCCACGTCTTTCTTTGTGTCTGCCCCGGGAGCCGGGTGGGAGGTCTGTGGTAGTGGTTGCTGGGTTGGTAGGCCTTCAAGCGCTGGAGCGTATGCTGTTTCCTCGAGGAAGACTGTCATGAGCAGAGCAATGATTCCAATGAAGATGGCACAGTAGCGGTAGGACCAACGCCAGCCTTGCGATGCGCCGACGTAGCCGGTTGCCACGGGGGCAAGGTAGTTCTGCGATGCTGCGTCAGTGCATGCATACGTCTGGTCGAGAATAGTCTTAATCCTACACCTATCGTTACGCAAATGAGGTAGAGGCCTTGAATGGAGCCGCGCTGGTGCACGAAGAATAGGTCCGTGATCTGCATCATACTTAGCTACTGAAGGGGGTAATATGATTGCGTAGATACTTACCGTCACTTGAAAAAGTGTCTCATTAATCGCGCCCGCAATCCCACACAAAAACTGTGAGCCAAAGTATTCCCCAGTGCTCTGGATGCACGACTGCCACACATTACTCGCAAACAACACGAACGCTGTCCCGAGATATACGGGGCGACGTCCATACCGCAGCGCCAACGGCACGACCAGCCAGCACCCGATAGCCAATGCAGCCAGGTTCACCGCGAATCCGTTACTGAGGTTATCGTACGAGACACCGAGGTCCGCGTTCATGAGTTCCCAATTCGGTATTCCTACAGTGAGGCTTGCGAACACGAAAGTTGTGTAGAAGCTCAGCAGCGTAGTCTGTACGGCTTTGCGATGTGGGCTCCAGTTCTGTCCCAGTCTTAGGGAATGCAGCAATGATGGTGGTTCTGGGCCTTACCAAAGGGTCGTTGGGGTCGGAGGTCGGTGACGGTTTCAGGAACACTGTGTCCCCGACAAGGTCTTCCAAGCGCGTCGTCCCGGGCGGGAGTCTGCTCTCTGTGTTCGTATCCTCGAAATCCATGGTGTTCGATAGCAGCGGCAGCGGAAAGGCAGTGAACAAAGTTTTCTCCCCTCGCGGGCTAGCCGTCCTGATATCCCGCCGCCCTCCATAGCATTGCCCGGCTCTTAGTGCTGAATTACCGATCTTTACCAAGGTCCAGCAGCGGAACCTTCCATATTTGTTATGTCTTCGCGGTGATGGATCTTGTCCGTCGTGCCGTCGTCGAGGTATGGTGGCGATCGACGCCCTAAAACGCGGGGTATCCGGGGTTCGGCCAATCAAACCAATTTCCGCCGAGATAGCTTCATCTTTGATGGCGAATCATACGGTTTGCGTTGTTATCTGGGTGGTGGGCTTAGGATGTGATGTTAATGTCTATCGGACAGAGCGCTGAAGTTCCGCTTTCGAGGTTAAGTTGAAGTGGTTATTGGTTTTATCTTAATTATGTTTGGGTCGCATGACGCGGAACAAGCCAGCCATGTGGTTTTTTATTAGCATGTTATAATATACAGGGAGCAAGCGCGAAATCGGCGTTCATGCTAGGACAGTGTCCGTTACCGTCTTGCGAGGTTTACTATCTTACGAGATAATAATCCCTATACGGCGTAGAAATAGAATTTACCTAAGGCTTTTTAGGTATATATACGCCTAGAGAACTCTTTATCTATACCCGAGACTCGGGCTAGGAGCTAGGTAAGAAGTCTTCAATAGAGATTACTTATATCCTTCTCTACCTTACCAGATCGTAGTATCGTCTATTACGGATAGACGACGTGTACTAAGACAAATACCTATCCAGCTATCTAGTCGTATATAGCAAACACCGCGGTATTTCCCTACGAAACAGTAGAGTCGAGGAGAACATGCGAAGATTCTTATAAGCATAATAAGAAAGAACAGACAAGAACACATATACAAAAGCTAAGAAGATAAGCTAGAAAACTTGGCATACAAGCAAACAAAACTAAGACTAACCAAACAACTCTAACCCGCAATCTTACAACGAAGCGCACAAAACCCACAAACACCAAGCCCAACTCCTACCCAAAAAAGCCAAATCCAAACCCCTACACCTATACCTATGTTTGTTACTTCTTAGACAAAACAAAAAGAACTCTCAAAGCCAACGCACTCTCAAAGGACACCGACCCTCCGTCCCCTCCGTTCCAACACGCCCGCCAACCCCTCAACCCCCATCCCAATCCCTAGACCCAACCCCATCATCCCCACACCAAGCCCCAGCCCCAACCCCAGCACGTCCTCAACGCCCAAATCCCACCCGCGCTCCGCACAGTACCACGCCAGCTCCGCAGCTCTGAACGCCTCATCCCCGCCCTCGCTCTCACCAACAGCCCTCAGCGCCGCCCTCGCAGCCGCAACCGCCTCCTCGCTCTGCATGCCCCCCCTCTCGTTAGATGCAGGCAGCAGATGGCTCGTCCACGCCGCAGGGCCGAGGCAGGACAGCTCCTCCTGCGACGAGCTCCACGAGCCTACCGAGAGGACTTCGTAGCTGGACTGGGTGAGGGGGGAGGAGAGGATCGGGGACGTGGCGGCCGTGGAGGAGGCGGTGAGGGGGCGGCGCGGGGGGACGGCGAGGGCTGTCCCAGCCGCAGCCGCAGCCGCAGTGGTCGTGGTAGTGGTAGTAGTGGCAGCAGCCAGCAGCGCCGCCACGCTGCCCTCGGGGCTCTCGCACAGCGCGCGCACGTTCGCGCACAGCGCGTCCAGCAGGCGTTTAGCCAGCGCAACGGGGACGACGTCGTCGGCGCACAACGCATCGACGCGCATCTCCCCGCGGTCAGGCGTGCTCGTGAGCTGCAAATCGGCCGCGTCCCAGGGGGCGACAGCCCAGCCGAGCTTGCATTCCCTCTCGCCCGCAAACGGCGGCAGCTTGCCCTCGTCGAACAGCGCCGCGCCCGCAATCGCGTTGTGCACGAGGACGGAGGCGAAGCGCGGGCCGCGGGGCCAGGCGGTGCTGGAGGCGACGAGGCGGCCCGTCTCGAGGTGTTCGTGGGGGAGGGAGGCGAGGTGCGCGTCGTGCAGGGCTGTGAGGAGGTCTTTGGCAGTCATGGCCTCCTCGCCCAGCCTCACGCGCACCGGCACCGTGTTCAAGCAAGGCCCGACGACGCTGTCGGCGCCCTCGATCGGGACGCCGCGGTTCGCGACGCCGCGGCCAAATACGACGTCCGTCTTGCCGGTGGCCTGGGCCAGCGCGAGCGCCCACGCGGCATGCAGCACGGTTTCGGGGCTGTGCTTGCAGCGCGCGAACAGTGCCAGCGGCACCTTCCGCACCATGTGCTGGTTGACGACGGCCGTAAAGGGCACCGCCGTCGGCGCCACCAGCTCCGTCATGCTGGACCCGGCGAGCTGGGCCTGCCAGAAGGCTTCCGCGCCCGAGGAGGCTTGCAGGTACCGCCACGCGCGCAGGTACGTCGCGAAGCTCTGGGCCGGGGGGAGGGGTTGGGTGCGCGCGTAGGCGAGGCGCAGGTGCTCGAGCACGAGGGGCAGGCTGACGCCGTCGTAGAGGGCGTGCGGGGTGCGGATGACGAGGCGGGCGGCATGGCTGTCCTGCTGGTGCAGCAGCGTGAAGCGCATCCCGAAGGTGCCGAAGCGCTCGCGGCGCAGCTTGCTCTCCTCGACCACGGCGGCCGTGGCCGTGTCCATGTCGTCGACGGTGCGATCCTCGACGTCGACGGCCCGCTCGCGGTACACGACCTGGAACAGGCGGCCCATGTGCGGCACGAAGACGGTGCGTAGGATGGCGTGGTGCGCTACAATCTGCGCGCACGCCTCCTTGACTCTCTGCGCATCGATGCCGTCGACAAAGTCGAGCCAGACGTGGTTGACCGTTCCCTGGCTCTGCAGCATCGACACAGTCGTCATGGTCTTCTGCATCGACGTCGCCTCGACCACGTCCTCAATCTCCTCCCTGCTGGCTCCCAGCGCCTCTCCCAAAAGGCCATCCACATCCAGCACATCCTCGACCGACTCGAACGGCTTGAACACCGGCATCGGCTCCGCCGCCACAACCGGCTTGCAGCACGCAGCCATGGCCGCAAAGCCCGGGTTGCGCATGACGTCGGCCACGCTGAGCCCGACGCCGGCCTGTCGTGCCTTTGCCGCCAACCGCATCGCGACGAGCGAGTCGCCGCCCTCCTCGAAGAAGTCGGCGTCCGGGTGCACGCGCCCGACCTCGAGGCTCATGACGCGCACCCACAGCGACTGCAGCGTCATCTCCATGCCGGGGGCAACGGCGCGACGAGGAGCCGTCAGCGCGTCCGTGGCCGCCAGATCAATCTGCGAGGACATCTGGCGCAGCGCCTTGCGGTCGACCTTGCCCGAGACGAGGAGCGGGAGGCGCGGCAGCGGCACGAACAGCCGCGGCACCATGTGCGAGGGCAGCAGCTGCGTGAGCTTGCTCTTGGCGTCGCCGAGGGCCGCGTCGAGGTGCTTTGTCTTGTCCTTGTCCTCGCCAACCGCCACAAACGCAGCCAGAACAGCGCCAGCCGCGCCCTTGTTCTGCGGGATCAGCAGCTCCACAGCCACGTCCTTTGGCATCGCCATCGAGCGCTTAAGATGGTGCTCAATCTCCGCGAGCTCGAGCCGCTGCCCTCTCAGCTTGACCTGCGAGTCCTTGCGGCCCACAAACTCAATCGTGCCATCCGCACTATACTGGACGAGATCGCCCGTCATGTAGAAGCGGTGCACAGGGCCAGGGAAGTCCTTTCGCCACGCAGGCGCCGCGACAAAGGCCTGCTTCTCCTTCTCCGGCTCGTTGATGTAGCCCCGGCCCACAGTCGGGCCTTCGACTACAAGCTCGCCCGCACTGCCCATCGGCGCCAGCCTGTCCGCGTCGCTGGGGTCGACGACCCACGCTCGCACGCCGGGCAGCGCTGCGCCAATGTCGCGGGGGTTGGTGCCTCTCGCGAGCGGGCGGACCGAACAGCACGCCACGGGCGTGCATTCGCAGGGCCCGTAGGCCTGCAGGAGACTGACATGCTCGGACCAGGTGTTGATGAGCTCGGCCGTAGCCGCCTCGCCGCCCACAACCAGCGTCTTCAACATCGGGACAGACGCAGGGCGCACGAGGTTCGCAAGCGACGGCGTCATGAGCGCCCAGTTGATGCGGCGCGCGTTGATGGCGCGCTCAAAGTCGTTCTTGCGCTCGTCTTCGGACAGGATGCAGCTGCACCCGCCCGCGGCCCACACCATGATCGTCTCCAGCACCGACAGGTCGAAGCTGTACGACGCAAACTGCATGGCCCGCGTGTTGCCATCCAGGTGTGCCGCGGCTGCGAAGCCCAAGGCACCGGCCACGATGGACCGGTGTTCGATGATGCAGGCCTTGGGCTCGCCCGACGAACCGGATGTCGTGATGACGTACGCAGCATCCGTCGGCATGACCTCGAACGAGGTACAAGACCCTGTGAGCTTAGCAGCTGCGTCCGCATCCATGACGAAGCTTTCCCGAACCGCGCCCGCCAGGCGTTGACAGAGTCCAGGCGAAACGACGGCGAGACCAGCCTTCACCTTGCGGCAGATGGTCTCGAGCCTGGTGACCGGGTAAGCGGGGTCGAGAAGGACAAAGGCCGCTCCAGCCTTGAGCACGCCCAGCATCGCAACGGCGGTCCACTTGGTCTTCTCGAAGCAAAGCGGCACCGTCTGGCCCGGCCGGATGCCCTTGGTCATAGCCAAGTAGTTCGCAAGGCCTCCGGCCAGAGCGTCAAGCTCGCCGTAGCTGAAGTCGCCGTCCCAAGAGCAGACAGCGGGGGCGTAGGGGCGAGTACGCGCATGGCGCGCCACCACCTCGTGAAGGCAAGCGTTGGTATCGGGCAGCGACGCAGGCAAGGCGTTAAGCAGGCCGATCTCAGCGCGGTCCTCGGGGCTAATGAAGCTAGTCAGGCCAGCAAGCAGGTCCTCGCTGCTCAGCTGGTGCAAGACATGCTCGAACTGGGCAAGCAAACGGCCCGCCTGTCTGGGCGCCAGGACTCTGGGATCGAAGACGATGCTCGCCTCGATGGCGCCGCCGGGCAGCATCTGGCACAGCAGCACGAGGCTGTAGTTTGTGAAGCCAGACACGAGGTGCGAGTCGTTTTCGCTGAGGAAGAAGTTGTCGTTTTCCTCGTCGCTGCTGGCCGGCTGCACGACCAGCAAGCTGTTGAAGTCGCACGCGGCGTACGCGCTCGGGCTCGTCGCCCGGATGCGCTGCAGGCCGATATGCTGCGCCGGGTTGACGGCCAGCGCTTGGGCGTCGCGCAGAAGCTCGCCCACCGAGCGCTCGCCACCGAGGCTGAAGCGCGTCGGGATCGTCGTGAAGGTCGGGCCCGCCATGTCTTCGATGCCGTCGACGGGCGCTGTGCGCCCCGACAGCGTCACGCCGAGCACCACGTCCTTGGAGTCGGTGTAGCAGCCGACCAGCAGCGCCCACGCCGTCTGCACAATCGCGTTCGTCGTGAAGCTCGCCGTCACGTCGTTTCTGGCGAGCTCGATGTGGCGCGAGGCGTGCGACGTGGCTTCGGGCCGCTGCACGCTCGACGGCATGTGCGGGAAGACGGTGCGGTCCGCGCCCTCGAGGTACAGGCGCCAGAAGTCCTCGGCGCCCGCCACCTGCGCGTCGTGGGCCAGGTACTCGATGAAGCGGCTGTAGGGCGGTGGGGGCGGCGGCGTCTCGCCCTGGTAAAGCTGGTGCAGGCGCTGCAGGAGCAGCTTCCATGCCCAGCCGTCGAATAGAGCGTGGTGGACAAGCAGGACAAGGTTCGCCGTCCCGTTCTCTGTGATGCAGCCGGCGCGGACCAGGCGGCTGCCCGGCATCATGGGCGCGGCGCGAGCCTCGTCCAAGTACTCGGTCAAGTTGTCTCCGGTCTGCAATTCGCCCTCTTCCCTGACCACGACCTGCACACAGCCCCAGCGGTCCGTGTGGACGATCCTGGTGCGCAGAATCGGCGTCGTAGCCACCAGCGTCGTCCACGCTGCCTTGAGCCTCTCCGGGTCGGGGACCGGCACGACGCACTCGGCGACGTACGCGCCCGTCTCGACGTTCGACAGCGCCATCAATCCCTCCTGCAGCGCAGTGCATGGATACGCGTCCTCGACGCTCTGGGCGTCAATCTCGCACGCCGCCGCGACCTCCTGGGCAGCGCTGGATGCGTCTTCGCCCAGGAGCACGAACGGCGCCGCCGCCTCCTGCGGCTTGCTGTCGTCCTCCTCTTTTAGCTGCGCCACCTGCGCCATATCCGCCAGGATGGGGTGGTCGAAGATGTTCTTGACAGTCAAGACGACGCCCTGCCGACGCGCCGCCGCAGCCAACTGCATGGCGTCGAGCGAGTCGCCGCCGAGGCGCAGGAAGCTGTCGTTGACGTCGAGGCCATCGAGCTTGAGCACCGTCTCCCACAGCCCCAACAGCCGACTCTCCATATCCGACACAGCACGCGCAGCATCCTTCATTGCTTCCACCTCTTTACCATCCTTCTCTCCATTCTGCTCCTTCTCCTCACACAAGACAGCCAGCTCCCCCCTCTCAGCCGGCAAGCTCCGCACAGGCACAAACTCAACCGGCACCATAAAAGCCGGCAGCACGCGCGCCAGCCGCTCTGCCACACCAGCACTGAGCGCGGCCACGAACGCGCGCGCCGCCTCCTCGCCCGTGTAGCAGTGCTCGAGCGCGACAAAGGCCGCCAGCTTCCGCCCGTGCTCGACAGGCTGCACCGCGATGGCGCGGCCCCACATGGCGGCGCTGACGATGCGCTCGACGTCGGTGGCCAGGAAGCGCCGGCCCGAGACCTCGATGAGGTCGGCTTTGGGGCCGACGATCTCCAGCGCGTTGGTTGTTGCGTCGATGCGCGCGAGGAGATCGGTCGTTTCGACTTGGGCGGTCGTGGCGAGGCCGGCTTTGCTGAGCCAGGAGGGGCGGATGCAGGCGCTGTTGTTGTTGCTGTTGTTGTTCTTCTTCTCGATGACGAGCTCGCCCATCACGCCCTTGGACGCCAGCATGTCGCTGCTGCGGAGGTCGACGACCCACGCTGACTTGGCGCCTTGGAGCACGGGGTGAGCATCGCCCAGCACAGCGCGCACGCCCGCCTCCCTCAGCGCGGCATACTCTTCCTTCGTGAACACGTCAAGCTCACGCACCGTCTTCGCCTCCCCAAGCTGCTGCAGCACCCTCTCCATCTGCAGCAGCATCTGCTGCGCCTGTCCCGCAGGGATAAGGCGCTCATCGTGCGTCGCGGTAACCCTGACGACCTTGTCCGAGAACTCGGCCTCCGCGAGCAGCGGGTACGTGTGGAACTCGCCCTCGGCGTCGGGGAGCACGCTCCCCATTGCGAAATCAAACGGCCTGGCCTCAGCCTCGGCTTCATTCTTCGAGGCCGGGAACAGCGTCAGCAGCGACCGCAACTCGCACGCGGCCTTTGCGTCCTCGCTCGCGCGCTTGATCAGCCCCATGCCGCGGTGGTAGTGCGCGATCGCAGCCACCTGGGCCGCCTGCACGCGCTCGAGCGTGCTGGCCAGACTCTCATCCGCATCGAACACGACGCGCAGCGGCGCCGTCGCGACCAGCGGGCCCGGTATGCCCGCCACGCCCGGCACGGGGACCAAGCGGCCCGAGTGCGCGACGCCGAGCACGACGTCGTCGGCCCCGGAGTGCCGCGCTAGGACGTACGCCCACGCCGTCTGGATGAGCGTCGCGGTCGTGGTGCCCAAGGCGCGGAGAGCGCTGCCCAGCGCCATGGTGCGCGTGGCCTTGCCCGATGCGCGCGGCGTGTAGTCCAGCGCGCGGGGGAGCGGGAAGGGCATTGCGCGCGTGCCGGCCAGGTAGGCCCGCCAGAAGGCGTCTGACGCGGCGCCGTCCTGCGCGGCGAGGTACTTGACGAAGCGGGCGAAGGGCGGGGGCGTGGGAGCCGGGGCGCCGGCGTAGGCGCGGCTGACGGCCTCGGAGAGAAGCGCCACGGTGGCGCCGTCGTAGGCCGCGTGGTGCGCGGTCCATACAAAGTGCGTGCGGTCGCCGGTGTTGACGATGGCCCACCGCACGAGCGCCGTCCCGAAGCCTATTGCTTCCTGCCTGTCGCGCGCGACGTAGGCGCCGAGGTCCGCGCTGCGCTGCCACTGGATGCGGGCGTGCGCGGGCTTCAGCACCAACTGGAACATGCCTGCCTCGCCGAGGTGGACGACACGGGTGCGCAGGATAGGGTGGGTAGCCACGACGGCGTCCCACGCGGCCTTGAAGCGCTCGATGTCAAAGTCCGTAGGCAGATCGACGACCAGACGCGCGACATATGCGCCAGCCTGCGTGTCAGCGGCAGTAAGGAGCCCCGCCTGCAGCGGCGTCGCGAGATACATATCCTCGACGGCAGCGGGCGAGACCTTGGCATCAGCCGCAGCCGTGCGTAGCAAAGCGGCAGGGTCCTCGTCAGCGGGCAGCAGAGAGAAAGGCGCAGCGTCTGCTTCCTCGTCTTCCCTCTCACCCCCAACAGCAGGCGAAGAGCTCGCCAGCTGCGTCATCGCGAGCGCCATCTTCCACAGCGCAGGCTTCTCCATGATGTCGATGACACGGAGCGTGAAGCCCTCGCGTTTCGCGATGCCAGACAACTGCATCGCGGTGATGGAGTCGCCGTCCAGGCTGAAGAAGTCGTCGGACTGGGTGATGGCGTCTGCGTCGTCGAGGCCGAGAGCTTCGGCCCAGAGGCTGCGGAGGAGGTGCTCCATTGGCGTCAGGCGGTCTGCGTGGCGGGGAGCCTCGTCTTCCATGGCGTCTTCTTCTTGCTCTGGGGCCGGCGCGCCAGCCTCAGCAGTGGCGTCCACTGCTCGCGCAGCCACATCCGCGACAGTCAGGTCCTTGTTCTCGCTCGTTAGAGCCAGCAGCACGTCCTCGAACCGGCGGACCATGCCCTCAACCTGCCTGGCAGACAGAGCGGCAGACGCATACGTGACCTCGAGCTCGACCATCCCCTCTGCATCCAACACCTCGGCCACAACCGTCAGAGGATAGCTATACGAGCCCTCAATCTCGACAGCGCTAGACTCGACCTCGAACGCCAGGCCCTCGGCACCACGCGCAGGCTGCACGACAAAAAGATTGCGGAACGCGCACGCGCGCGCCGCGTCCCGTCCCAGCGCGGCAATCTGCTGCAAGCCCAGCGCCTCATACGGGATGCGTTCCGCAGCCTGCGACTGGACGCGCAGCAGCAGCTCGCGGAGCGAGCCACTCTTGGGGCCGAGATTGACGCGCACGGGGATGGCGGCGATGGTCGGGCCCGCGATGGCCTCGACGCCGGCGAGTGGGGCGCTGCGCCCGTTGACGATGGAGCCGAAGACGACGTCATCGGCGCCGTTGGCGGCCAGGAGCGCCCACGCCGTGCGCAGTGCTGTTGTTGCTGTCACGTCGCTGCTGCTGCTGGGCATGCGGAGCTGGAACTTGGCGACCGTGTCCGCGATGCCTGTCACTGAGGACGGGGGGAAGGTAGGCGCCGGTGCGCTCGAGAGCACCTTGGTCCAGTATCTGGCTGCCTTGCCCGCCTTGCGCAGCTCAGCCAGGTAGGCGACGTAAGCGCCGAAGCTGGGTGTTGGGGCCAGTGGCGCCGTCGAGGCATACGCGGCGTGCAGGCGCTGCAGCATCAGCGCGAGCGACCACCCGTCGTAGAGGCAGTGGTGCGCGATCCAGACGAAGCACGTCCGGCCGCTGGCCTTGTCCTGCACGAGCGCCGTCCTCGCAAGGGGACGCCCATACCTAACCTCCATGGCAGCAGTTGCGCGCTTCGCCTTCTCCAGGTACGCCTGCAGGCCTGAGGCGCTGTTGCCCTCTTCCCATTCGGGCGACACAGTCCGCAGCACCACCTGCAGCAGGCGCACTGGCTTCGTGCGAACAGTCTGCATGATCTGCGTGCGCAGCACCGGCGTGTCGGCCACAAGACGCGCCCACGCCGCGCGGAAGCGTGCCATGTCGACGCCTAAGGGCAGCGTGATGACGTGCTGGCCCGTGTAGGCCGTGGGCCGCTTGGCCGACTCCGCCATAAAAGCCTCCTGCAGCGGTGTCGTGGGATAAATGTCCTCAATGTCATCAACAGAAGCCAGACGGCAAGCCTCAACGGCCTCGGAGCGGATAGCCTCCGTGTCAGCAGCAGAGGTGTCGAGGAGCTGGAAGGGCGTCGAAGTCGAGATTTGAGCATCCGGAGCAGAGCCTGTAGGCGCAGAGGTCATGCACCGCGCGAGGTCGCGCACAACAGGGTTGCGCAGCACAGCCGCGACAGAGAGGTGCAGATCCCTCGCTCTGGCAGCAGCGACCAGCTTCATCGCGAGGAACGAGTCGCCACCAAGGCGGAAGAAGTTGTCTTCCAGCCTGATCTGGGCCGGCGACGGCAGACTCAACACCTGCGCGAGCATCTGGCGCGCCGTGTTCTCAATCTCCGTGCCGGAGGGCTGTTCGCCCTCTCTCTCAAGCACATGCTCATGCTTCTTCGGCCGCTGCACCGCCAGCTCAGCCGCCAGCTTCGCAACCATGACGCGCAGTTGCTTGCGGTCGAGCTTGCCGGACGACATGCGCGGGAACGGGCCGTACACGGGGAAGATAGCCGAGGGGATCATGAAGCGCGGCAGACGGTTCGGGAGCTGCGCGTCAAGCACCGCGAGGGCCTCCTTGGCTTCGTCCTCGCGCACGCCGTTCACGTCAACAAGCATGTACAGCTTGGCCGCGACGACCTCGGCAGCGAGGGAAAGTGGCATGGGCAGCGCAAGCTTCGCCTGCGCCTCGATCTCAGAGAGTTCGACGCGCTGGCCGCGAATCTTGACCTGCGTATCCTTACGCCCGCAGAACTGCAGGCTGCCATCAGGCTTGCAGCGGACGAGATCGCCCGTACGGTAGAACCGGCGCGTCTGCTCTGGGTGCACCCAATCCGGGCGCGTAACAAACGCCGCAGCGGCCTTTGCACCGCCGTTCATGTAGCCGCGTGCCAGACTGGGACCCTCAAGCCAGAGCTCGCCCGCCGCACCAATCGGCATGATGTGCTTTCCATCGACGCTGACGACCCACACACGGCAACAGAAGCTGCGGCCAATGCAGTAGCGGTCCGAGTCTGGGCCAATATCTGTCTGGAAGGTAGCGTAGACAGCCGTTTCGGTAGGGCCGTACGCCTCGACAAAGCGCGTAGCCGGGGCCCAGGTACGGAAGATAGACGGGTCGAAGGTCTCGCCACCGGCAATGACCGTCTTAATACCCGGAATGTCGCGCGGGTCCATCATGCTCAGCATCGTCGGCGTCATGAACATGGTGTCGGCGGCGAGGCTGTTGATGGCGCCCGTAACGTCGTTCATGCGCTGCTCTTCTGAAATCTGGCAGATGCAGCCGCCCGAAGTCAGCGTGCTCCAGAGCTCGAAGATGCTGGCGTCGAATGTGTAGGCTGAGAATTGCAGAACGCGTGAGTGCGGCCCCAGCTTCAGCACCGGACTGTAGTGCATCGAGCTCGCGAGGAATTGCGAGTGCTGCATCATGACGCCCTTAGGCGTGCCCGTTGAGCCAGACGTGAACAGTACGTAAGCGAGGTTGTCGGGCTTGACAGTTTCTTTGAAGGTGCTCTTCGACAGGTTGGTGACGAATGAGGGCGAGACGACGAGCTGCCCCACATGGCCCTGCATGCGAGAAACCTTCTTCGGCGACGTGATAACGAACTGTGCGCGACTGTCCTTGACCAGCTGCATGAGACGCTCAATTGGAGCCTCAGGGTCGAGAGGGACGAATGCGCCTCCGGCCTTCAGCACGGCGAGCATCGACACAACAACCCAAAGCGACTTTTCCATGCACACGGCGACGACGCCTTCTGGACCGACACCCATACCGTGAAGGTGACCTGCCAGCTTCGAGGACAGCTGGTCAAGCTGTGCGTACGTTAGGCTGCCATCCCACGCATGAACAGCAGGACGACTCGGTTGCTGCATGGCGACTTGCTGGATGATATGGTGGATGCAAGAATCGACCGGGAGGCATGACTCCAGCGCGCCATTCCAGCGCATCATGCTGGCCATGTCCTGCTCCGTGAGCAGATCAAGCTCCTCGACACGAGTTTGCGGCGTGTCGATGATAACCTGAAGAGCCTTGAATACAGTAGCAGCGATGTTGCGTGCCTGGGCCGGCGCGATCTTCGTCGTCCAGTACTCGACAGCAAGATCAATGCGCGACTCTGAGACGTAGCCCAGGAACGTAGCGCTATACTCTGTTGGGTCCGCCTCGCGCGCTATGCGGACAGACAGTCCGTACTTGCCTTGGCCATGCTCCATCTTCTGCAGTGACATGGCCGTGTTGAACAGACCCTCACGGCCTACATCAGCGAGGCCCAATGCGTGCGTGACGTCCGTCAGGGAGCACTCCTGGTGCGGCATTTGCTCGAGACCATCATCTTGTACCTTGGCGAGGACATCCAAGACGGTAGCCTCGGTCGGCATGCGCGCATGGCACGCGAGGATGTTGGCAAAGACGCCGACCGTGTCGTCGTGCGCGGCTCCGCGTCCACTGCTCAGGTACCCGAAGACTGGGTTTGCGCTACCAGTGTAGGTGCGCAGCACCAGACTCCAGGCAACCTTGAGTAAATCAGACAGTGTGACGCCGTGCTGCCTGCAGAAGGCCGTGATGCGTTCCGTGTTGACGGCAGGTACATCGGCGAACTCAAGGCGTCCGTCTTGCTCTTCGCTCCATAAGGGCAGGTGGCAGGGCTCCGCATCGGCTAGATGCTGCTTCCAGTAGTCCACCGCGGCGTCGGTCGAAAGAGTCGAAACATGCTCAATGTAGCTGCTGTAAAGCGGGCGGTCATTGGCCAGCTGGTCGGGGCTGTCGTATCCCTGCCTGAGATCACGGATCAGCACTGCCGTCGAGCTGCCGTCGATCAGTACGTGGCTGATGTCGAGGCGCAGCATCGCACGGCGGGCCGGCTGGGCCGAGACAAAAAGACGGTGTTCCGGTTCGTTCGGGGCCCATGTGGGGACGGGTTGCTGCTCCAGTTTGCCGTCCACGAGCTTCAACACTGCCGACGCGCGTCGCAACACCACCTGGTCAAAGGTGCCATCACCCCTGGGGCTTTCGACTACAATGGTCCGCAGGGCCGCGTGGCGATCCACAACTGCCTGCCAGGCTCGCTCAAGCCGCCCGAACTCCACTGTGCCGTCTTCGACTCCGGCCTCGAAGAACAGCTGCGAGATGTAGCTTCCGCGCTCGCTGGCTCGGCTCAGCAACATGCCGTGCTGCATCGGGGAGCAGGGATATACGTCCTCGACATCTTCAGCACGCACACCAAGCTGCGGCAACGTCTTTTCCAAAAAGTGCGTCGTCGCGGCAGCCGGTGCCTTCAGTAGCGGAAACTCACGCTGCGCCTGTGCGAGCTGGGTCACCATATCCTGAAGTGCGTATTGGCATTCTTGCATCCACGAGCGCACGCGGTCCTGTTTCGACATGAGCTTATTGAACGTGAACGAGAGCTTGACGCGCCCGTGTTCAACATTGCCCAGAATCTCAACGAGTCCGAAGCGCGGGAGGTTTGGTCCGAAGCCGTCGAGATGCATGAGAGTATGCTCAGGAACCTCTTGGAAGAGGCCGCCACGCCTCTCCAGCTGCTGGTACATGCCTGCGTAGTTGAAAGTGACTTCCATAGCACCATCAAAACGCGCGGCGGCACGCTGACGCCCAAAGTACGCCGCTGCGAACTGTGCAAGGCCCTTGTCGGGGAACTTGGCACGGAGCGCTTGTACAGCGCGCAGAGCATTGGCCGGATTCTTAACGCTATCTTCGGCAATCAGCATGGGCAGGATGGTCGTGAACCAGCCGACGGTTGACGAGAGATCGATCGACTCGTCCCAAGAAGGCTCGCGGCCGTGACCTTCCATGAAAAAGGCAGGAAGCTTCCGTTCGGGGAACGTGCGAGAGAAGGCGTGCATGACACCAGCCAACAGCATGTCCACTGCCTCGGTCTTGAGCTGGCTGTTGCAGGCGCCACCAACAATGGTTGACGAGAGTCCCTTGTCGAGCAAGACGATCTCCGTAGTCGAATCACCGTAAGTGTTGGCCTCGCCCTGCATTCCCCAGAATGCAAAGTCAGGCTTCGGCAATTCGAATGGCAGCTCCGGGTAAGGGATGCTGCGAATGTGCTTCTCTTGCGCCTTGCACCATCGCTGGAACGAAAAGCCCTTCGGCGATGAGATTGTGCCCGTTTGGATGTGCTCCTCGAGCTCTTGAATAATGATGCGCCAGGACACGAAGTCCGTCACGAGATGGTGACCACAGAGGAAAAGAAGCCATTCGCGTCCGCCCTGGACGGAGAAAAGGTCAACACGGACGAGAGGGCCTTCTCTGATATCGAGTGTCCTCTGTGCTCTCCTGACGATGGGCATCAACTCCGAAGATATATCATCGATGGAGTGGAAGCATAGTCGGAATGAGCTGCGGGCGTCCTCCGAAATATACTGGAACCAGTTTCCACGCCTCAGTTCGAAAAAGCGGGCTCTCAGCATGGAATTGCGGGAGACGATGTCCTTGAGCGCCTTCTCGATGGTCTTTTGTGAGACCTCTTGCTTCAAGCGCAGAAGGAAGGAGATGTTGTCGCGGTTCTCTCCTTCCGGCGCAAGGTGGAAGAAGAGCTGCTGGACGGGGGAGAGCTTGAATGGCACATCCACCTCGTCCTCTTCTTCCTCAACTACAGTCTGCTTAGTTACTGCTGAACGCTCCACCGTGACGCCAGCAGTGATCTGCTCAATCGTCTTCTTTTGAAGGATGCGCTGAACAGTGAGACGAATACCGCGAGTAGCCGCCTGCGAGACGACCTGCATCGCGGAAATAGAGTCACCTCCCAGGCTCTGGAAGACGCTGGTACGGCTGATGTCGTCTTCAGGGACATTCAGGACGGCGCTCCAGATACGGCGGACCTCAGTCTCAGCCTCGGACGCGTCGCTGTCTCGCTTCTTCGCTTCATTGGAACTGCGCCGGGTGTGACGTTTCGTCAAACGCGCTTCGCCTAAAGCGCGAAGAGCCTTGCGGTCCACCTTGCCGTTGATGGTGACTGGAATTTGGTGAATGGCTAGGAAAGACGCCGGTATCATGAAGCGGGGAAGGACGGAGCGGACTCTGGTTTCGGTGGCCGCCATCTCGGCGTCCAAAAGGCGCTGAGCGGCAGCGGGGTTGTCGTTGCTCCAGTCATCTTCCATGGCGATAAAGGCGACGAGGATACCGCGTAGCACACCGTTTGCCTTGCGCTTGACAAGCTCGACGATCATGTCACGCGGCGGCTGCATCGCCAGTTTAAACTGGTGCTCGATCTCGCCGAGCTCGATGCGTTGACCGTTGACCTTGACCTGCTCATCCTTGCGACCAGCAAACGTGAAGCTGCCATCAGCCTCCTCGACGACCAAATCACCCGTCCTGTAGAAACGGAGCGCGCGGGGATCGCTCTCGGTCGGGAACATGCGGGCGTGCCAGATCGGGCGCGGGATGAAGACCGCTGCCGTCTTGGCCGGCTCATCCACATAGCCGCGGCCGACATGTGGTCCTTCGACCAACAACTCGCCAATCTCACCCTGCGCGGTCCGCCTGTCGGCATCGTCCGGGTCGACGACCCAGCAGCGTCCCGCGATGGCCTTGCCGATGCTCCGACCGTTTGACTGCCGGTTGATCGGGGCCGTGCACGTCGAGACGACCGAGGCCTCAACTTGACCGTAGGCATTCATGAGAGTGACTTTATCGACCCAACGGTTTAACGTGGCTTCCGGAAGCGCCTCTCCACCCTGCACCAGTGTCTTGAGCCCAGCCAGCGCTTCAGCCGGCAGGGCGTTAATAAATGAGGCCGTCAACAGCGCAAAGTTGGCGCGCATCGTGGTGGCGGCGGCAGCGAAGACCGACGGGTCGAGCCGCTCCGCCTCGGCGATGACGCAGACTGTGCCGCCGACGACCAGCGTCGTCAACATCTCAGTGATGGACGCATCGAAGTTGTAGGATGCGAATTGAACGACGCGCGTGGTCGTGTCCATGTGCATCGCCCGCGCGTGCCCCAGTGCCCCGCTGCAAAACGAGCCGTGCTCGATCAGCGCACCTTTCGGCTGCCCCGTGCTCCCGCTCGTGTATACCACGTACGCAGCATTCTCCGGTTTCACGCCCGTTACTGGGTCGCTCGTCGCGGTTGCCGCGTCCAGTCGTTCGATGGCCTGTCTGTCCAAACTTAGTGCCGTTGGCACCAGCTGCGACAAGCGCTCGAACGACGACGGGGACGTTATTGCGATCTTTGCTTTTGTTTTGTAGATTATAGTTTTGAGCCTGTCGGTGGGGTGGGCTGGGTCCAGAAGCACAAAAGCGGCTCCGGCCCTTAAGACTGCTACTATAGCGACAACTGCCGGCGATTTTTTTTAGCCCATGAACCGTGCTTCTTTGGGGCGAATCTTACCTGTCCAGATGGATTTCTCGAAACATAGCGGCACGACCATTTCTGGCTCGACGCCGAGTGCGACGATGTGATGTGCCAACCGCCGGGAGGCATTGCTAAGCCCGCGGTAGGTCAGGGTATCATCATTAGATGAGCATACAGCTTCGGCCTCTGGCTGCTGCTCAGTGTGCTCCTCGATCAAGTTGTGAATTAAGCATTCGTAGGCCGTTCTTTTGTTAGGTGCCGTCATGTTGGCAGAGGTGAGGAATAAACCCAGTTGAGTGGTGGGCAGTATTATGTTCAAGTAACGAATGTTGATCTCAAGGAGCGGATAAGCCGTCAGGACTGCTGCGTAACCGCCCTCTTATATCCCAACGACTACTGCACTGTAGTCGTCAGTGTGTACCTGACTGCCGCGTGAGGCATACCCCAGCTCTCGCCTCGGGATCCTGGACCGCAAAAGCGGATGATCTCAGGCGACGCCGCAATAGCTTAGAGACCCGATGTTGAGATCATGTCTAAACAGGCCATAACCGGCTTGGGCAAGATCTCCAGACCGAGGCGCGAAGGAAGGAAAACACGGCAAGTCTATTTGAAATCTAGAGCCGAGCCGTTGCGCCTCGACATCTGAGGCTGCGAATTAAATGTTCATGTGGAGCCGGGCTCGACCATATGGGATATGCATATCTCGTACTGTGCAGACTTAACTCCCTACCGGTGATCCAAAAGGCTGGCTGCTGCAGTGCTGCAGTTGGGCATCTGGCATGGCGATTGGGCATGCTTCTCATCTTGCTGTTTTGCTTCTGCCAGCGGATACCCACTGAGCCGGGCCCAGGAAGCTTCGAACAGGGAAGATTTTTCTTCTCTTGCAGCAGTCTTCGAACCTGCTCAGTCTCGGAACCCTGCTTTACGGCAAGGACGAACACGGTGGACGCGAGCTGCATGCATCGAATGACCAGCTCGAGCTCGCCCAGTGCATTTGCCACGACGTTGAGCAGACGTGAATACAGCACCATCGCCCCAACACAGCCCATGGTTGGTGTGGAGGTCCCGCAAGGGTACGTTTCTGTGTCACCGCGGCCCCATCGTTACCCGAAAGGGTTAATTTCCCGATGGAGTCGCCAATCGTCGTGCGTTCCGGTCCGTGGTCGTGCCCTCCCATGGTGGCTTGCACGCTAACGACGGAACTGAATGCGATGCATCCGTCAGCCACTTTGCTATTCTCGGACTTGCGAGTATCGTCCGTTCTGCCGTCCGATGAGTCCACGGAAATTGGGCTCCCTCATCTGTGCATGGGGTTGCTTTTTCGAGACCCCCTGTCTTCGATGCATCTTCCGCGCTACCCGGCAGTTGCAGAGTGGCACGACGTCCGCTGGCAGCGCACTGCGGCGGGATCCGGGCTGGAACCTTGCCGAGAGAGAAAGACTTACACGGTCAATGCTGTCAGGTGCAAGGCCACATCTATTAATTTTCTTCTCTTCATGACCTGGAGAGTGACCCCGCGTCATTCGTTCAACCTATTCCTACTCTTCTTTTTTTGGTTATTCCACCATCCACGCTAAAGCAGCGGCATTATGAGCAGCAGCCACGATGCCGAGACCGGGAATGAGGAGGTCATGAAGGTCGAGTCTGTGTCCGAAGTGGACAAGGCAGAGACCGAGAAACCGAGCGGAAAGAGCGCTCTGGCAATGGTCAGACCCATTGGTCCTTTGTGTCACCTGCGTAACTGACATATGGGAGAATCTTAGGTCTATGAGGCGGCATCTGGCTTTGATGTCTTTATCATGTCAGTGTCTCTGATATCCTCGATAATCGGAGGCGCGTTGATGCCGCTGATGGTACGTTGCGCCCAACCCCCGCATGAGACGCGCACCGCTCACGCGCTCGCCGCAGACGATTGTCTTTGGAAAGATGACTGGAGAATTTCAAAGCCTCACCAACTCGCGCGGCGGATCGAACCGGGTGAATGAGATGACCTTGTATTTCGTGTACCTGGCCGTCGCCGAGTTTGTCACGGTGTACGTGACCACGGTGGGTTTCACATATGCTGGCGAGCGAATCAGCTGCAAAGTCCGGTGAGTGGAGACGTCGAGGTTCAGTCAGCCCGGGAGACGGAAGCCGCTAACAAGCAACAGCGAGCAATATTTGGCGGCGTTATTGCGCCAAAGCGTGGCAGTCCTCTCCGACAAGCAAAACTCTGCAGGGGAAGTATCGACGCACATCACCAACGATGCGAATCTGATCAAAAACGCAATTTCGGAGAAGCTGGGGCGATCGTTTGGCGCCATCTCGACCGTTGTGGCTGCCTTTGTGGTGGGGTTCGTCTACTCATGGCGTCTCACGCTGGTGCTGAGCTCGAGTCTGGTGGCCTTTGTGCTGATCGTCGGCGCGGGATCCCAGGGCATGATCAAGCATTCGAACGACAGCTCCACGGCGCAATCCGAGGCGGCGACGGTGGCGGCCGAGACCATCAGCGACATGCGTGGGACGGTGTCCAACTGCGCGCAGGACAAGTTGGCAGCCAAGTACGAGGCGCGGCTGTTGGCGGCAAGCCGGCCTGGCGTGCTGGCCAAGACTTACGGCGCTGTCATGATGGGCACGGTGACGGGGGTCATGCTGCTGGCATACGCGCTTGCCTTTTGGCAAGGCTCCCGGTTCCTAGTGGCGGGTAATTTGTCGTTGGCCGAGGTGCTGATCGTACTCCTGGGTAGGTGTTTTGCTCCGATGTGCACCCACAGTTTTGCTAGTTGGCTGACATGCGCGCAGCGGTCCTACTGGGCACCGTGTCGTTGGGATTTGCGGGCCCGCACATGCAAGCCATCGGCGACGGGCTGGCGGCTGCCGCGAGGATCGGCAGCGCCATGGACGCACCTCCAGGCGTGGATCCTTTTGCGCCCACCGGCCTCGAACCGAGTCAAGTCGAGGGCCGCATCGCCTTTGAGGCCGTTGACTTCCATTACCCCGGGAGGCCTGAGGCGCGCGTGCTCGACTGTTTCAGCCTCGACGTGGCTCCTGGCCAAACGACGGCCGTCGTGGGGCCCTCCGGGTCGGGCAAGAGCACATTGGTCAGCTTGCTTGAGCGCTTTTACGAGCCGACGGCGGGCCAGGTCACGCTTGACGGAGTGCCTCTAGATGAGCTGAGTGTGCGCTGGCTGCGGCGACAGGTGTCGCTCGTTGGCCAGGAGCCCATGCTGTTCGACGCGACCGTCTTCGAGAACATTAGCCATGGCCTGGTGGGCTCGCGCTTCGAGGGGGCCGATTCGGAGACTAGGCGGACAATGGTGCAGCGGGCAGCGGAGATAGCGCACGCGCACGAATTCGTCGCGCAGTTGCCGGCGCAGTACGAGACGCGGGTGGGTGAGCGCGGCGCGTTGCTCTCAGGTACGTCCACACTACGTCCGGTGCGGCCCGGGCCGGCTTAGAAAGAAAGTTACTAACACGCGGCGACAACAGGCGGACAGCGCCAGCGCATCTCGATTGCCCGCGCCATCGTTTCAGACCCCAAAATCCTGCTTCTCGACGAGGCGACGTCGGCCCTTGATCCCGTGGCAGAGCGCGCCGTTCAGGCAGCGCTAAGCGATGCCATGCGCGGACGCACCAACCTGGTCATCGCACACCGACTGGCGACTGTCAAGGACGCCGACTGCATCACCGTCATGGGGAAGGGCCAGGTGGTGGAAAAGGGCGGCTACGAGGAATTGGTGGCGCGGCGTGGCGTCTTCTTCAGCTTGCTGGAGGCGCAACGGCTGGGCGACGAGGACAAGGACACAGCCGACGACGAAAAAAGCAACGACGTTGAAGGCGCGGAGCCAGCACTGCCGAGCGCCGAGGGCGAATACGGGCAGTCAACGGCGAATGTGGGGATCGGGGAAAAGGGAGATGCGCGGGTGAGCGACGAAAAAGACAAAAATCTCGACGACCAAGGCAAAAGGTGGGTCGTGCGTCTGGGGGCCAATGACTCGCGCGTCATAGTTGCGGGGCTACTGCTGTCCATCCTTGCCGGCCTTCTCAACACAAGTCAATCCGTTATCCTGTCTGCGGTACGTCTTCTTGCTTTTTCGAGTTGGCACAACACTAACTTCTGTCGTTAGTGCATCGCTGCCTTTGGCAAAAATGCGTACAACTACCCCAAGCTGCGCAGCGACGTCAACTTCTGGGCCGGCATGATGCTAATGCTGGCCATCATTGGCATCCTCATCCAAAGCGCCCAAGGCGTCGTCCTCGCCATCTGTTCCGAGCGTCTCGTACGCCGCGCTCGTAATGTCCTATTCCGTCATATCCTGCACCTTGACTTGTCCTTCTTCGACACCCCCGCTCGCTCCGCCGGAGCTCTTGGCTCCTTGTTGTCCGCTCGCACCGCCGACCTCGACGGCCTCAGCGGCGGCACCATTGGCATGCTGATCGCCGGCGCCACCACCATCATCTCGGGTATCATCGTTGCCATATCCATCGGCTGGAAGCTTGGCCTTGTCTGTTCTGCCACGACGCCCCTTTTGCTGGCCGCCGGCTACCTTCGCCTGGCCTTCCTCACCACCAATGAGAAGCGCTCTGCCCAGTCGTACGCTACCTCGGCCTCTTATGCTTCCGAATCAGTCCGCTGTATCCGTGTTGTCGCCTCTCTGACCCTCGAACGCACCGTCCTGGCCCGCTTCCACGAGTCCGCTAGCTCCCGTGCCCGTGCAAACACCATCTCCACATGCAAAGCCACTGTCTTCTTCGCTGCCTCACAGGCCCTCGTATACTGCTCCTTTGCGCTCTGCTTCTGGTATGGCGGTCGACTCATGGCCCGTGGCGAGTACACGATGCTTCAGTTCTTCATCTGCTACTCGACGGTCATCTTCGGTTCCCAGTCAGCCGGCAGCGCGCTGTCGGTGGCCGCGGACATTGCCAAGGGCCGCGCCGCCGCACGCGAGCTCCGTGCTGTCATCGCCGAGCGCCCCTCGATCGACCGGCCCGGCTTCGACGCCCTCCCGCCCGTTAACGGCGCCATCGAGTTACGCAATGTGCACTTTAACTACGCCACACGCCCGGACCGGCCCGTACTGTGTGACATTAGCTTGCGCGTTGAGCCCGGACAGTTTGTCGCACTGGTCGGGTCTAGTGGTTGCGGAAAGAGTACACTACTGGCGCTGCTCGAACGCTTCTACGACCCGGTAAGCGGCGAAGTTCTCATTGATGGGCGCAACATCCGCGACGTTGATACCACGTCTCTGCGGAAACATATCGCGCTTGTTGCGCAGGAGACGGCTCTATCCTCTGGCACAATGCGAGAGAACCTGCTCCTGGGTGCAGAACCTGATGTTGGGGACGCAGCACTCGAGCAAGCCTGCCGCGATGCTGCCCTCGAGGACGTCGTAGCGTCACTCCCCGAAGGCATGGACACGCACGTCGGCGCGCAGGGAGCCGCTCTTTCTGGCGGCCAACGGCAGCGCATGGCCATCGCACGAGCACTGGTGCGCGATCCTCGCATCCTGCTCCTCGACGAAGCGACTTCTGCGCTCGACACGGCCTCGGAACGTCTAGTGCAAGCGGCGCTGTCACGCGCGATGAGTGGACGCACCACTGTCGCAGTCGCGCATCGCCTTAGCACGATCCAGCACGCTGACAAAATCTTCGTGTTCGAGCGAGGCCGCATCGCCGAGGCAGGGAGCCATGCCGAGTTAATGGCGCGGCATGGCCTGTACGCCACGATGGTGCGGGCGCAGAGCCTGTAGATGCATCTAAGGACGCCCGACTAGCGGAGATGGGACGGAGATGCGAGAGCAGGCTTAAAGCCGGCCGACACGTAGAGGGAGAGCGAGCGTGTGAGGCTTCTCCGTAAGTGGAAGGCCAGATACGGCGGGGCGCCTGCCTCGGCGGGCCTAGCGCCGTCGCCAGGCTCGGAAGGCGCGATATGTATCGCTTTCAGCCAGCCAGCCAGCCAACAGCCACGACATTTCCGCCTAAATTGGAGCGCGGCAATATACCTAAGGTTGCTCTTACCCGACCCAACCCGCAGCTCCATCGTATAGGATCGCTCCGGAACGGGGACGGGACGGGTTCCGGCTCGGCTCGCTCGGCTGCGCGCTAGGGGGGCTAGGGCTGCTTGGGTGGTTGCCTGTTTGGGCGGGCTTGGGGCGCCTCGGTGGCTGGCTGAACAGAAACAATAGTCTAACGGTCGGCTGGTGTGAGGGTGAGGGAAGGGATCTTCCTTGCTCGGTGACCTCGATGGAGGTGCCGCCGCCTCCGCTGCCTCCACCGACGCGTGACAAGGCAATACAACACCACGCCATTGCCTTGACTGCGCGCCCGCGACGCGACCCTCCACCACCGCTGCAATGTATATCAAAGCGAGCTGGCGAGCTGAGCTAAACCGCACGTACTCGTCTGGGCTGGGCTGTGTCGTGCCGTCCCTCCGCTCTCTGCTCCCTCGCTTCGTCCTCATTCATCGCTTCGCTGCTTCCTCGCCGTCTTTCCGTCAAGCTGGCTAGGTAGGTAGGTGGTCATCTGCCCTCCGTTTTTGAGCAGCGCGGAAGCTGCTCCGGCACCTCGGCACACGCGGCTCGTCGTTCTCCGTCTTTCGTCCTTCGTCTTTCTTCGCCCTCTTCCACGTTCGTCCACCTCCTTCTCCTCCTTTCTCCTCCTTCTTTTCAGCGGCTGCTGCTGCTACTACTGCTGCTGCTACGTAGGCGAGTGGCCTCGCCGCTTTTTCGCTGGGCGGGGGTGTGCGTAGATGGTAGAACACACACGCACACGCACACGCACACGCGCGCCCGCGAGCGAGAAATTGAGTGCTTGGGGCAGTTTAATGCTACTGTGGTGCTTTCTGTATGTATGTGCTTTGCTTTGTGTGCGTTTTGGGTGTTGGCACTGCGTGCCTGGTTTTGGTGCGTGTGAAAGGGATGGGAGGGTTTGGGGGGAGTTGGAGGTGGAGTTGGTGTTGGTGTTGGTGTAGGTGTAGGTATAGGTGTTGGGGTGAGTGGTGGGTTGGGCCCGTTGAGGTGGCTTTTTGGGTGAGCTTGATGTCTATGAGTGCGTGCTTGGGCGATGGGGGTGGGGTGGGTAGATGAAGGGAGTGGTAGGTGATCGTGTTTGCTATTTCTGATAATAGACATACTTGAGTCTGTAGAGTTCTTTTTCTTTCTTGTTGTTTCTTCTTTCTTAGTTATTGTCTTTGAAGCTGCGGAGGCAAAGTAAGCAAAGAGTCAACTAATAGTCGTTGTACTGGTCCAAAAAGTCTATTGTTTGGCGCTAACTGCACCCTGTCTCAAGCGTATATACACCATAGAGGAGACGGATGTAGGGGAAATATAATGTGAAGCTGGGCGCGAGGAATTGGACGCCGCTCCTCCCCCTAAATTCCTACTACCTATGGAGGTATATATGCTGCTATCTAAAAGAACACGTTTTCTCTTTAAGATCCTTATTCCCTTGCAGTGGATAAACGTGTGGTGTAAGGGGTAAGGGCGTAATGTAACAACTGACTGTAATAAGGCTGGAAAAACGAGAGTTATCGGAGTGATCCTGGCTGACATATAAATAAGGTAGGTTATGTGGTTATGTGGTATTTTCCAGTGGGGTGTTGCCCTAAAGACGCACTTCACCCATGCTAATTTATGACGCTAGCAGCCGGACGTGGGGACAGGGTTTGGGGGCCGGACAGTTGGCAGCGTGGCAGCCCACAGCCTCACGTGATACACAATTCTGTAGCCGCCAGCAAAACCAAACCATCTCAGGAAACACAGCAACTCCATTCTGAAAGCTCTATAGGACTATGGATCTCACCTCTGGGGTGGCAGGTCTTGTCAGCTTCACCATCGAGCTCGCTCAACTCACCTACAACTATGTCTCGGGCGTCAAGGATGCAGACAGAGCCTCCACCAGCGTTCGAGATGCTCTGAACTCCCTACTGGAAACCCTTCTTGCGCTGGAATCGAGCGTGACAGGCCAGTTTCTCCCAAATCTTCCGTCGCATCAGTCGGATTTGCTTTCCCAGAGCCATATCGATGCATGCAAGCAGAGATTGCTGATCTTGTTGGAGAGACTGCGGGCGCAGCTGAAGCTCGATGGCACTCTCAAGAAGCGCCATTCGCTTTCTTGGCCGTTCAAGAAGCAGGAGACGCTGCAGTTGGTTTCTGAGCTCCATGATTCTAGAGATACATTTCAGGCTATGTTGGCAGTTGATACACGGTAGGTTCGAGTGCTATTTAAGTGTTTGCTGGAATCTAAACTGTAACAAGGTCTATCGCCATCGACACAAATCAGCAGATAAACAAGATCAAGAATGGTAAGATGATGCCCGATTATAACGGCACAGGTACAATCTAATACAAGCACAGATCAAGAGTTCGAAAAAGTGCTGAGCTGGCTATTGCCCAAGGCCACGTCATCTTTGAGATTCTCAAAACGGCGAGAGCATTGCGCAAAGACAGAAAATTGGATTGTCGAGGAACCAGCAGTGAAGGCCTGGACCCAATCGAACTCTGGGAGCGTGCTCTGGTGTTATGGTTCTCGTAAGCTCTCCACTAGAAGATACTCGTAAGAGACAATATGTTGACTCCATGAGCAGCTGGTTCTGGGAAAAGCGTTCTCATGTGAGTTTCTAACCTCGTTGTGATGATGTTAGGATTATCTCTGAACTAACAAAAGGTCGCGGCTTCTCCATTATCTCGAAGAGTGCTCAGAAAGCCTTGATATCGTTCCCGTTCACCACTTTTTCGATCACCAAAATCAAATCTCTCAGAACCTTGATTTTGTCGTAAGGAGCCTTTTGCAGCAATATGCAACACAGGAGAAGTCTATACCCTCGGAAGTTGAAATTTGTACTCCAAAAAGCTTGGAGAATCGGGACCATCAATCGACTCGAAACAGATTCAAGATGCTTTCACAAGCATCTGCGCCCGGGATAGACGACCAATCATTGTCCTCGATGCGCTTGACGAATGTCCGGAGAGGATGAGAAAGCAGGTCTCACAATACTTCCTTTCGTTGGCATCCCAGGGAATCCGGATCATATTCACAAGCCGAGATCTCCCTGATATCAGAGAGATATTGTCATGTGCAACAAGCATCGAGGTAAATGCTCGGGATTCCGATTTACGCAAATATGTCACTGGGAGGCTGCAAAAGCTTGAGGATATCATTGATGAGGACCCATCCCTCGAAGATCAGGTCACTACCGCAGTTATTCATAAATCCCAAGGGATGTAAGTCACGTCTAATCTTTGTGAGATTTAGAGTGAAGACTAATAACAGTCAGATTTTTACTCGCGAGGCTGGTTATGGATTGCCTAGAAAATGCCATGACGCCTCGCGACGTAGAGGAGATATTGGAAGAAGACTCCTGGGGTCTTGAACAGATTTACCAGCGCACGTGGCAAAGAATATCTTCTCAAAACGATAGAGTCGCGAATTTGGTGAAGAAGACTTTGCTCTGGGTCTGCTATTCAAAGAGACCACTTCACATAAAAGAGCTGCAACACGCTCTCGCAACTCGGCAGGGTGATGCAGAATTTTCCCCAGAGGGATGCCCAAGCATACAAGCCTCAGTACCATCTGTATGGGTCTACTAGAGATAGACGACGGAATCTGCAGGCTGTTTCACACATCGGCCTACGATTTCTTGACCACCCATCCCGATTTTGAGGCATGTCACAGTCATGAAATCCTATTTAAGACTTGCCTGACTTACCTCTCCTTTTCTACGATGAGAAATGGACCGTGTTCCAACTTCAAGAGCTTCCAGAAGAGACTTGAAGACTACGCCTTAGCGGCATATGCCGGACAATTTTGGGCCACTCATGCTCTAGAGAGTAGCACTGCAGTCACCGAAAAAATCGAAAGCTTCCTACTAGATGAGCACTTGCGGGCCTCTATTGTCCAATTGTTCTACCACAAGGACTGGAATGACCCGGAACTTCAAATCCAGGCCTTTGAATCTCTTCCAACTGGCCAGTCTGCTCTCCAGGTTGCTTGCTGTGGTGGACTTGTCGATGTTGCCAAGGCACTGATCGAGCATGGTGCGGACTTATGCCAGGCAGATGACCAAGGCTGGTTCCCGGCTATAACAGCTTCGTCTTACGGACGGATGGATGTGCTCGACTTGATTCTTGGCCCGATTGGAAGCGAAAGGCCAAAAGAGCTATCAGGAATTAACCAAGCCGACGCTCAAGGTTGGACACCGCTGTTCTGGGCCGTGACGAAAAGCCACCTTGATATAGCACAACGACTGGTCTCAGCTGGAGCAGATCCATCACATAAAGACGTCAACGACTGGACATCTCTAGACTGGGCGATCTGCAAGAATGACAAAGCAATGGTAAAACTCCTTGTACGATACCTTAAGTCTATTCAATTCAACTACACAGGCTCGGAATCCAATAGGGTTCGACACATGTACAGCGGGCTTTTTGCTGCAGCAAGCCTCCCTAATACTGACGTTTTGGACAAATTGCTGGAGTTCAATGGCTGGGAAGCTGCACAAGGAACTGAAATCCCCGATAAAAGGCGCCGCATCCCTATCCAGGCCACATGGAAAGCTCAACTTAAAGCGCCAATACACGATTGCTTGAGGAATATGATTGGACCGGCCAAGTTTCCGGTCGAGCTCAAAGATGCCATCGGAAGGCACCGAACAGCCTTTAGCAGGAGCATAATGATTGGACAAGATAATTTTTCGGCCAATTTGCTCAATGAAGCCATCAGGACGGGGCACTCGGCAATGGTGAAGCTACTGGTGGAAAAAGGCGCTAGTCTGGGCCCATTTAAGGATGAAAGATACTCACGAACCCCTCTTCACGCAACGGTACTTTGCCCTGACTATGCGATTGTCCGGTTTCTTATATCCAAGGGAGCGGACATGTCGGCTGTGGACCAGTGCAACTTGAATCCACTTCAGCTTGCAATAAAATCCCAGAGCTACGAAAGATTAAAGGCATTGCTTCAAGAGCCCCTTGACTCATGGGCCGAAGTTGTCAGAAAGGGTCCTGAAAGCCCTCTCCATCTGATCTGGAAAAACAAAGTACTGAACGCCTCGGACTCACCAGAAACGTTGGATCAGCCATCAAACTCCAATGTTGACCAGCACTTGATGTGCGAAAACCAGCTTGACATAGCTGATAGGCTCATTGCACTTGGTGCAGACATTGATTAACTGGGTCCTAAAGGTTTTACGCCATTAATTTACGCTGTGGCGGAAGGTTACTACGATTCAGTGGACTGGTTTGCATGCCATGGTGCAAACCTCAGCGTCCGAGACAATAAGGGAAATTCTGCGCTCTACTCGGCTATGCACCCCTGGGATGATAAAGGTCTCAACCAGGAGCAGGCCATTTATGGTCTGACAAAACTGTCCGTATATGGTTTCGACATTAGTGATCCAGAAATACCGCTTTTGAATACGGCATTAAAAAAGGGCCTAGAAAAGGTTGTTGCGTACCTCATTCAGAACGGAGCAAACATGGAAACGTACGACAATGACACCGAACACCCTTTGATTGCGGCAATCCACTACGGGGAACAAGAACGCCGTCTGGAGATAATTAATCTGCTTCTCTCCCTCATGAGCGAAAACTCAAAGTCAAGGGAAGTTGAAATTGAAGATGGCACGAAAGTGGCCGCACTCTCCGCCGCACTTTGCCGTGCGATTCGGTGCGATAATTTGCAAATAGCGGATAGGCTGATCCAAGAGGGGGCAGTATTCGAGAACAAGCGAGTTGCCTTCAAACAGCTGGAGTATGCTGCTGGTAGCGGCTCCATAGAAAGAACGGAGGATTTACTTCGCCTCGGAGCCGATCCTACCTACGCGTTGAGCAACTCATCTAAGCCTCTTCTTCACACCGCAGCAAAGCACTTGTCTGGGACGTCGCTCATCGAGAGGAACGAGACCGTGGTTTTACTGATTAGAGCTGGCGTAGACGTTAACGCCACTTACGGAGAAGACGGCTCCACAGCCTTACATAAGGCGGTAGAGCATTTCCATGGCCTCAGCACAGTGAAGATCCTTCTGGAACACGGTGCTGATGCCTCCAAACAAGACAATGAAGGGAAAACTCCGCTTGACATAGCAACGACATATTGCTACAAGGACAGTGCGGCGCTGCTTCGAAGCATATCGGAGAAGTCATGATGAGAATACAGGAGCCGTTACCGTCAAGCGAGATCTGTCATCTTGCGAGAAGACAATCACTGTACCTAGAAGAAGAAGAGATCCAGTTAGAATATATCAGTATTTGTGTGCTCTAAGATCTTCCCACTTATACCTAAAACTTAGGTAATTAGCTAGATAAAAAGTACAGTGTAGAGATTACTTATATTATTACCTATCCCGCTAGATGGTAACTTTCGGTTAACGGTGACATGATGCCTATACGGAGTAGAAGAAGAAATCTAGTTAAGATGTATTAGTATGTGTATGCTGTAAGATCTTCCCACCTATACCTAGGATTTAGTCTTATAGCTAGACAAGAAGTACTCGGTAGAGATTGTTTGTATTGTTCTCTATCTCGCTGGAAGATAAGTCTTGGTAGATAGTGACGGACGTTATTTCCACAGAATCTCCCTACCTTAAATTACTATTTATATCTTCCCAGTTCGGTTAGCGCGGACTAGTCGGCTTTCTTTCTATATCCAATCAGCCCCCACCCTCGCTACCCTGGTCCTCCCCTATAAGACCACCAATTGTGAGTAGAACAACAAACTCAAATCCTACGAAATGATAAGAGACGGAGTCGAGGGTACGCAGCTCGGGAGAGTGTCTCCCATCAACACACACCAGCACGATGTCGTCATCGGCGACAACTTTGGGGGCCAAGAAGAGAGAAATCTGCGTGAAAAAGTATATCCAGTTACTGCTGGTTACAGTCCGGATGACGCTGCATCTTCTCCCTTAATGCCGTCTTTATACGATTTTCAGAACGCCCCGCGGGCCCACAACACAGACAAGTCACAGTCAATCATACATCATGGACAACCAGATGATTCCCAGCCCTGGACCACCCCCGAAATCAAGGGCATTCGCCCAGCTGCAATGGCTGGACACACCAACAAGATGAGATACTACAATGACTGGTGGTTTTGGGAGACGTCTGGCGCCATCCTAAGTATGCTCTGCATGATCAGCGTTATAATCATGCTCCGTCAAGTCAACAACACGCCACTCCACCAATGGAATTTTTACTTCCAACCAAACGCTGTCATCTCCGCTTTCGTTGTGGTCTCAAAGACAGCAATGCTATTAGCTGTGGCCGAAAGCCTTAGCCAGTTGAAATGGCTGTACTTTTTCAAAGGCACCCACAAACTCAAAGACCTGGAAGCATTCGAAGAGGCAAGCCGAGGCCCATGGGGCGCTTTTGTGTTTTTGTGGCGCTTGAAAAAATGGAACCCGCTTGCGCTGGTCGGTTGTGTGGTTATGATCGCAGCGCTCGCAATGGACCCTTTTGCCCAGCAAATTGTCTCTTTTCCGGTCCGTTATGAGCGTGACGCGAACGCTACCGCCTCAATAGCTGTCACTAATGCTTATCAACTCGTTGTTTACCGCAAGACTACATCTTCTGGAGAGATTGTTTCGAGTAAGCTTCTGATATTACAGAATCCATAGTTTTAATTATGCTAACTTCTGAAACTAGCCTCACAGTATGATGTGAACATGGTCGGAGCATTTTACAGTGGCCTTTTCAACAAGAGTGCACCACTTGACTTCCTCTGTCCGTCTGCGAATTGCACATGGGACCCGTTTTACACACTTGGATTGAGTGCTGAGTGTAAAGACGTCAGTAGGAGCACTGAAATACAACCTAATAAATGCTCTGAAGATGATAGTAGTGCAAACGACGATGAACGCTGCACCAGGTTTACTTTGACTACTCCGAGAAACATCAGCGTTTCAGCCGTTGCGTATAAGAAGCCACTGGAATTCAACAGCACGCGTTTTTCTATATCTACAATCTCACCATCGGCAAGCGATTGGTCGAGGTCTGGCGTTGTTACGCAAGAAAATAATACTATTGCGTTGGTTGCGCTTGCATATCTGCCTTACGACGAACTTCAGGACCGGGCTACAGCAACAAAGATGTACAAAACCCTTACCAACGTCACGGAATGCAAAATCAGATGGTGTGCAAAACGCTACACGAACATAGCTGTGGTAAACGCCTCCCTTACCACTATGCACCGATACCTACCACTGACTCTTATCAGCTCAACGGTGCTCTCAACAGCTTCACAGTAGAAGACATACCCTTCGCCTCGGTATCATATGCACCGCTCGAATATTCCATTCGTGGTACATTAAATCCCAACGCCCATTCGTCCTTCAAGGACAACATCTTCCACATTGACACCCGCAAAACAACTGCGCTACAAGACCTCTTCCTCACATCACTTAATCTCAACTCTACCTTGGGCGGAGATGATAACTGGAGCAACGCGCTTACGCGCCTTTTCTACGAAAGCACCAACACCACCGGGGTAATCCAAAACATTGCCGCCAGCTTGACGGACAACTTACGGCACAACGAGAACAACACAACAGCAAAAGGCCACGTAATCAAGCCCGTTGCATATATAAAAGCACACTGGGTGTGGATCTCCCTCCCTGTCATGCTTGTAGTTATCAGCATGGGTTTTCTGGGATATACAATTTGGGCAACCACCCATGCTCGGGCACCACTGTGGAAATCTGGCCTTCTTCCGCTATTGTTTCATACTTTGGAGGGATGGAAACGTGAAGAGTTAGAAGCCGAGACTAAACCGCTTATTAATGATGCCGCGGAAGAGATGCACGCAAGGTTGGAGAAGAATGAGAATGGGGAATTGAGGTTTCGGAAGAGTGAACTCTTGTAGAACTTGCGGGAAATTATCAAGTTGACTACCCTTTAGTATTATTTTATGCTTACCGGTCACTGTTATCTCCTTCTCGGGGGTTTAGTTTTGTATCGTCCGGAATATTTTGCCCACCCCTTAAACTATATATTAGATAAAATCTTCTAAACGTATAAGATACTTCTTGGATAGTTGTAATAAACTGTTACGCTACGGCTGTTAGTCGCCATGTAATTATATAGACGTTAGATTGTACAGGGCATAATAGCATTTAAAGATATACGACGGTGTAAATGTATGTGAGTACTAAATAATTTTAGAAGGGTATAAAAACCGAAGTTTCTAAGGGTATAGAGGTACTTATAGAGGTATGAACACATAGATGATTTGACAATAGAAAGCACAGCATATGATTATGCAGGCATGTCTCCACATGGTGTGATCAAACTATCTGTGGCCATGCTATTTGCCCCCTGAAATGCAGCAATGGCATGACCAGGATGAAATCTTGTGCACTTATTGACTCTAACCAAGAACACCAAATCCGCGTTAAAATAGAGTTACATAATAGTAACATCTGAGTCCGGAGCCTCCATTAACCAATTTAGGTCACCACTTACTTCAAATACCCCAACTCGGCGATAAACTGGCTTTATAGGCCAATGAAACGGAGTGAGTAGAAGGCCTGAAGCTGAAAATCTCCATTTATCGAGTTTCCATGTGGTAGAAAGAAGCTGAAGACGATTCTGGAGAGCTCTTTCACTTGAGGCCTCCACGCTGGGGACCCAATCCAACCAAAAACGAAAATGCCCGAATTCGGAACTATCAACCTCCCATCTATTATGCAATCCATCCGCATTAGAGCTGAAAGCTCCGTCAAGCGGCGTTAGGGGAGATTGTCGAAGCTTCCCACGAACAGTAATGGATGATCCAAATTTAACAGCAACCGTTGCGTCAGTTTCAGCGGGTTGCAGGTCATGAGCGACGACTTGGCATTCGGTCGAGCCTCCGAAGTGAAGAAAATCCACACCTGTGTTCCTTGAAGCCCAGCTCCAAGATGGCGCAAAATACACCTCCTTATCCCATAAGGATGCCATCATCTCATACGAGAACTTAGGTCTGTTGCAGACCCAGCGCAATTGTTTCTCGAACGAACGACCAAGCCATAGCCCTGCAAGGTATTTTTGTGGAACACGCGCTTCTGTGAATGCGTTGCTCATGAACTTGGCTATGCCAGAAATGGCGCTTAGCCTATCACGAGTGAAGGTAATGTCTCTCGCAGAGTAGTCGGATATCGCCTTAGACCAAAACCACTCATTAGTGGACTCCTTTCTTAAGCACAGACTTGGGCTTTTAACGTGTCCATCTTCGGCGCGGATTTCCTCTTGGCACCGGAATTGCAGCATACTTTTGCCAAACATGAGCGCTCTGGTTGCCATAACTTCCTCTTGCCACACCCATGCGCGTGATCGCCATTTTGAAAACCTTATGTCAGAACCTTCTGGGTATTCCGACCATCTTTCCAGCCGAATTGAGTATTCTCCAGATATTTCGGGCCTAAGCGATGACTGGAAAGGTACAATTAAAGAGTGATCGATAGACCTTTTAAGAAAGCTTTCAGAACATGAGTTGCTTGCAGCCGCACAGATTGTGATAAACGAATAAGCAAAGATATCGCTCATCTTCACCGACTCTGTTTCCCAGTCTTCAGTGCTATCCTGAATGATACAGAGCGCATCAATCTATAGATAGCGAATTCCAAGTATCCTTGCAATGTAAACTGCTTCTTGAAATACCTGCGGCATGTTATGCAACGGGATCCCATCTTTGTGGTCGGCCAAAGTCTTTGATGTGGTTCGTAATGGAAGCGCAGGACCCCAGCAATAGCTCAGCGTCGCGTATTTTAACTGAGACTCAAAAGGTTCTTGAAGTCTCATCTCAACAAGCCTCGGGTTGAAGCTCGTGTCATGCCCAATATCCAATAAGCGAGTTGGAATGAAGCAAGACTCTGAAATCTTGGCTCCGCAAGATTGCTTATGGCCATTGACGCAGTAGTCGATGCGTTCTTTTATAAATTGTATATTACCCTCGGACGCCGGGCCCCTGGGATCCAAAGGCCTGCCCCAGATTTTGAGCCAGTCTCTACAAACCCCTTTAAGACTTTAGTGTATGACCTCCAGATTTGGATTCGTAGAGTTACCTGGCCAAGCACACACCGTGAACTCGTAAGTGTCTACACAGCCCTCCTCGAGCTCTGGACGATAAACCATAACCGTTAAGCAATTGAAGGAATTGTATTTCTTTTTTCTCTTGGAATGATGTTCCGTCCACTCATATTGAATCCAGAAGTAAAGCTTCGAATCAGGGTTCTCCCACCAAAAGTCTTCTTTGTATTCCTCGTTGAAAAGCTGCTTGAGCCTCGAGCAAAACACACATCCTTCTGCCGCCGGAGTGGAGAATTCGGGCATTGCAGGAGGCGTAACACATCTCTGGAGATTATTGCTCACGCAACAGAGCCGTTTATTGTGATCTGGGCCGGGTACCCGTCCATCTTCGGGGTCTGAAGATACTTCCTGACGATTGTTGCGAGAGCTTTGACCTAATCGTTGTCGAGAGCCCTGATCTAATCGAGGTTCCCATTCGCTGGTGCTGAACCCCGAAAGATTTAAGTCGACAGTACCATCACTGAGTGATGTATCTACACCACCACCAGCAAGTCGATCATCGAGAATCAAAGATTGCGAGCACGCGTCGCAGAGGGGGGCCATTTAGTACAAAATGTTTGGTTGACGTGCCACTATTAAGTAGACTGACTAAATTTGGGATCAGTTTTTATCATACGTAATTACTTCTCCACATTAGTGGGTCGCATGACACAAAGGGTTGGAAACGCACTATATGGCCATTCGAATATTAACGTCCGTTACCGTGAAGCGAGATAGTCATATATGTACGGAGTAGAAGGAGAGACCTAGTTTATAGAGGCTCTACACGGAGGAGAAGAAGCATCCTAATTACGATGTATCAGGCTTCTATATATTCTAAGAGCTTTTTATCTATATCCAGGACTAGGGACAAGAGCTAGGTAAGGCGTGTTCTATAGGGACTGCTTATATCGTTATCTACCTCGCTATAAGGTAAATCTCGGTTCGCAATAACGGACATTCTGTATGCTTCGAGACCTTTTTATCTATATCTAGGACTCGTACTAGGAGCTAGGCAAGGAGTAGTCTGTAGGTACTGCTTGTATCGTCCCCCGGCTCGCTAAATAGTGGATCTCGGTTCGCGGAGAGGGAAGTTATTTTCATAGAATGTCCTACTTGTATTAGGTAAAAACTTATGTCTATATCAGTAGAGCCTATAGTAGATCCACGACGCAAGCTAGAATATCCTATAAACCTATTAAGATACTTATTATATAAGCTTGCGGGTAAGTTATTATGTGGGGTGGGCAATTATTTGGATTCAATCTACTAAAACATCGCGTTTGTGCTACCGCTGCTCCGCCTCACCATCCTCCTCACTCACCTCGAAATCCAACCCGAACCTCCCGCCCGGCCACCACCCCAAACGAAAATTCAATCCTTTCTGGTGATCTCCACTCATGAGTTCGGAACCCGGTGAGAAACACTCTTCTAGCAATCTTGACCCAGCCAGCAAACTCCATACGGCTGCCACGCTGCACGAATTTTTCGGTAATACTTTCTTCGTATCCAAGGTAAGGTATGTTAGTAGTGCACACAGCGAAATGGCTGCGAGTAATGCCTCTAGGGCTCTTGTGGAGATGAGGTTCTGCTTGAGTCGCATGTGATCGGGCACTGTCAGTGTTGCATTGATAGGCTGTTGAGTTGTTTGGTTTCTTTCCACAACCCGCTGCGTGTTCAAGACCTGCGCGACGACTCGACCGTACAAGCGATCAATAGCAGCGTGCAGCCGGGCGTGCGTAGGATCATTCTTAGGGAGAAGGTCAGCCGGGGCAATAGCATCCACGCCGTCGATTAACGTGGCGAAGAAGCCATCGACTTCGGCACCCTTGACTCTCTCTATTCCAAATCTCCTAAACCAGCCGTCATAGAGGTTTATATCTATGTTTTTGAAATACGTCAGGTTGCGGACAAAAGTAGCTGTAGAGTCGATGGGTGTTGGTGGGGCGGCTGTGAGGTTGAAGGAAAAGTCGGCGGCGTTAAGTACGACATCGACTTCAACCGTCTCAAGGTACGGTGTGCAAATGAGGACGTCGAGATCCTCAAGAGTGTTGTTACGGACATAGCTGAAGCTGACAACCTTATCGGGACAATGCGCACAGTAGGGTGTGAAGTTTCCTTCATTCCAGGAACCAGAGTATAAACCGCTGGTGTATGCACTATCATCGCCGTCAGAGACTGTGAGACTAAGGCTTGTGTTCTCCGGGCTGCAGGCCTTAGGAAGCACTATGTCGAAGGTGACGTATTTTATGGTTTCGTTCTCGTTGACAGTTGACAATTGCTCGCTGTATGTGAAGTTGTATAATGAAGCGGATGAGCAGTTGGACTGTGCCCGGAATGCGGGAACGCGTGTAGCTATGGAACCTTCTCGTATAGTATCGGATGAAAGGCTAGATGGTAGAGGGGATAACACATCCACTGCCGGGAACAGCAGATTCCTGTACGTAAAGAGAGGCTCGTCAAGTCCCGCTCCCAGAACGAGATTTGCCATAGCCCAGCCTAATCCATGATAGTATTCCCATGATAGAAAGGTGTAATCAAACGAGTCCACGGTAGTGAGCTGAATATCATAGCTTTGCGGTAAAGTCTCAGCGTAGAACAAACCGCTTGCAGCAATGGTAAGAAAAGGCACGAGCAACATGCCCACCGAAGAGCTTGCCACGGCGACATGCTTTCGTGCGATGGCTCTCCAGATACAATGCAAGCCGAACTTGCTGAGGTAGTCTTCAGAAAATGCATCGTTGGCGGGTGCACCGCCTCGGCATAAGAGTTGGTATGGTTGGATAATCTTGGCTGAAAAGTCGAGGCCGGAGAATAGGAGACCCATAGAGACGAGTATGACGGTTGGGATGTATGTGTATATGTAGTGTCCGTACTCGCTAGATGGGAGGTTATAGATACCTTTGTGCTTATGACTTTTCTGGTATAGCACCTCAAGCGCAGCCACAAGAACGAGGGGGAGTAGGACCATAATAAGCTTTGTTGGAAAGGCTACCGCTGCCGGTCGGAACCAGCTGATCTCCTTTCCCTTTTCCGATTCTTCGACTTTCTGTATCTCTTGTCCGTTTGGACTTAAAGGCTCCTCTTGCTCTTCTGTTTTTCCACTCGGTAAAGGTGTTTGTATAATGCTGAAGTCGGAGAGAGAATGGTTCATTTGGGTCACGTATCCTGACGTAGCGAGTCTTGTCCGAATTGTTGTTAAGGTAGAAGCCCCTGTGCCATGCAGCGTGCTTGTGATTTCTGGTGATCGAGCTAGGATGGTTGCCATACCTGCCATTGGGCCAGGATCGAGTGGCACGCATCTTTTCGGAACCATAAACATTGAAGTGATTGTTAAAATGATCATGATGGCTAGGAAGCCAACTACAAGCCCAAATGAGAGCGGCCGTAAGACGAGACGATTTTCCGTGTAAGTTATTGACCCCTAAATACATTCAGTGGTAGGCTGGAAGAAGTATAAATCGGCAAGCTGAGCTGCAAAAGCTTGGAAAAAGGCGTCCATTCCAATAGCAAATAGTGTTGCGTTCGTCGTTAAAGCGTCCCGAGTTATATTAGGTAGAGTCAGAGGAATGTAATCGGTTAAGTGGTTAAGGAATAGGTCCTCCCCTGTATTCATCCAGCTGTGGTAGATTGCGTCAAGGATAGCGCTTGGGGTAACTCCGGAAAACCCCTCATTACTACTATTCGCCGCTATACTAATAGTTGGGAGCTCAGAGGTCGAAGAGTTGGTGTCCAAAACTACGAGGCCGGGTGATATTCCATAATCCGGGCGGCAAAGGATAGTGGAGGAGTTGATCATGTCGAGAGGAACGGAATCTGAGCTCTCGTTCGCAGCCGTTACGCCGAAGGTGGTTATTAACCGCCGATCATTATCCGCACAGTGCATGTCCTCTGGTTCAAGAACACTGAACAGTGAAAAATAATGACCATTCAACCTAGGCCAAAATGTGGTCCACTGGTTGAGCTCGCCACACGCATCGGAAGTAAAGCGAAAATCCATATATTTGTCATTCCCTTCACCACGACTCTCCATTTCGGCGTGGCTAAGGGATAAAACCTCGCATTCGAGGCTGGAGTGGAACACGCTTGCCTGACCGGTTACTTTCACAGCCGATTGCGGTACTGTGGACAGTTAGCCAAGTTCTCGATAAGCTTGGATTTATATGCTGCCTTACAAGAAGAGGTGTTGAAGCGTTGATAGGCATGTTGTAGTGTCGTTCGAGGAGGGTAAGGTAAGCTGAGATTGTGTATAGCGTATAACCTAGCCAAGGCTTGGTGGTTGACGGCGTTATAATCAAAGTGACTGGCGTTTGGCCCACCGAACTGGTCCGATAAAACAATATCCGCTGGTCGTTCCAAGGCTGTGTAACGTAGGATAAAGAGCCCCGTGCTCAAGATTGTAACCAGCTTTAGCATGAACCCTCCGCCGACCGTAACAGCAACGGGAGTTAAGTCAGGTGATTTTAAAGAGAAAATGAACGACGTGATGCTCAAGGGAGATATAAAATCTAGGAGCAGACTGCGGTCTACCGATCTAGGTTTCCGAAACATCAATTTCCAAGGAATGAGTTGCTTGACTCTGTGTTCAACTTGGCCCCAAAATGCCGCGAGAATATTGAAGACTTTTCGTGTCAGCCATTACAGATAGCGAACACAACTATGTGCCTTGCCTACCGGCAGTTGGACCATATTGCCATAGAAGATATCTTTTTGGGTGGGACGCCACAAATCCTTGATGGGTACTTGAATACTGGCATAATGCGGCGAGCGCAGCGATAATGGTCAAGTAGGCTAACGAGAACACAATAAAGACCCTCCGCCGAAGAAATGCGGGGGTCCACAATTGAAGGTTTCTATCATCCATTGATTTTGAGCAAAGAAGATGTGAGCAAAGGAGATGTAAGCAAACAGCAACTCATTGTTGAAAGCCTTTCAATTTAAGGAAAGGCTGCGGCTGAGAGCTTCTCTGTACTTGTTTGGCAATTCTAGACAAGGCTGCGATCTAAAAATGGACGGCAGCAGCTTATCTTGGCCCCATTGTTGCACGAAAGGAACTAAGTCCGGTCGTGCATTTAAACGACCCCACCTTCAACTGCCCACTGCCCTTAGCCCGCCAAGATAATAAGCTAACGGAACCCACTTCAAAGCTACATAAACCAAACTCGGCTTGTGTATAGAGCAGGTAACTATCTTGCAATCAGACAAGGATAATTTCTACGTACGATCGAAGCACAAGTAAAAGTATCATACAGGCAGAGCACACTTGCCTAATATAGCTTAGTGCTTGCCTCATTAGCTAGTCTCGCTTAGTCAACAGCGCTGCCTCTCATTGGTGTCATCTCTTTGCCGGCAGCGCTCGTTGATCGAACGACAATAAACTCTCTTCTCTGCCTCGTTGCTGAACAACGTCGTTTCAATAAGTGGATTGCGAAAAACAAAACACCGAAACACTGATAAACTTTATAATGGCAATAGCTTATGTATCTACATATGCATAGAATCAATGCATACACCAGCAATATTCACACTACAACCAAGCACCACAAGCATAACCTAACAAGCCCCTCAAGCCACTTCACACCCATGTATCGATGACCGAGACACCCATCTCAGCCTCATAGCAGATGTCTATGGTTAATCAGAGCGCATAAATGCACTTAGAAGAAACACACACACACACACACACACACACAGAAAGACAGCGACTGAGAGACTAAGAGGCAACAAGACCATACGCATCATTCATAACTATCTATCTAGCAGCAGCAGCAGCAGCGCAGCCAAGCCAAGCCCAGCCCGCCGCTCGCAGTATCAGTATCAGTATGTATGAACGACTCTTAGCCCATCCAAAGCCCGCAGCCCATCCAGCTTGCAACCGCGCGCACAGTACCCGACCATGCAAACGCTGGCTCGCTCTGTGCTCAAAAGGAATGTGAACGGTAAAGGTAAAAGAAAAAGGTCCAACATCGACAAGAAGCCAAAAAAGCGCACCCCATCATCAATGAAGTGAGTGAGTGCCTCTCAACCGTCCAAAATCCAAAAATCCAAAAAAGCCAAAACAGTAAACGATAAACGAAAAGAAGGGTATAATAGCTTTCAAAAAAACACAACCCACAACCCACCAAATACTTCCCGCCCATTACCTATCTATGCAATCTCATCTCATCTCATCTCGCGCTCACGCTGACCCTACCTCCTCCTAACCAGACCAACGCCCCTCCCGCCCCGCACGCCCCTAACCGCGCGCTCGAGCATCTTTTTCTCCGACGCCTTCTCGCCAGTAACAGGCTCGCCCCTCTGCCCAGCCTTGAACCACGCGCTGGGCGCAGGTGCGGGCGTAGCCGTAGTCGCAGCCGTAGCGCTCTCACTCTCCTGCTCCACGTCCTCGGCCTTGACGGCCTGCTTCGCACCAACATCGACCTTGACGTCCAAGCCCACAACACCAGCCAAAGCCGCAGCAGCGTCCACGATCGGCGCCGTGGCGGCCGGTGCTGGGCCCGTGGCCGTGATGGTTATGATTTGCGTGGAGACGCTTTGGACGACGTCGGTTTCCATGACGATGTCCGTGGTTGTGGTGGCGGGGGAGAGGATGGCGGGGGAGGCGTCGGCGTTCGCATTGGCCTGCTGCGGCGCAGTGGCTGAGGGGGAAGCGGCGGCGGCGGCGGGCGAGGAGACGGCGGGGGACGAGACGGCGGGCGCGGAAGCAGCGGGCGCGGAAGCGGCAGCCGAGGAGCCAGCGGGCGAAGAGACAGCAGCGGCCGAGGAAGCGGCAGCCGAGGAGCCAGCGGGCGAAGAGACAGCAGCGGCCGAGGAAGCGGCGCCCGCGGCCGGGGCGTTCGTGGCGCCGATCGTGGGCGCCGTAGCGGTCGAGGCGTACGGAAGCGGGACGCCGCTTGCGAAGACGTGCGTGCCGGTGCTGGTGCTGGACGCGGCGACCGGGGCAGCGGCGTCGGTGCTTGAGGCCTGGGCGGCGGGGGTGGAGGGCGTCTGCACGGGCACGGGCGTGGTGACGGCGGGGGCCGAGGGCGTATTTACTGGTGCGGTGGGGGCGGCGGGGGTGGAGACTTCGGGGGTGGAGACGGCGGCGGGGGTCGAGACGACGACAGCGTCAGAGGTCGAGGTCGTGATTGCGGACGTGGCGGCCGAGGCGGCTGTCGAGGTGCCCTCGGGGATGAGCGGGATCGACGGGAGGCCCAGGCTCAGGCTCAGGCCGATGGAGGGCAGGATGCCGGCGGCGGAGGACGTCGGGGTCGTGGTCGAAACCGGGGCAGGGGTGGAGACGGGGACGGAAGAGGTCGTGGGCTCGCTGGTCGAAACCGGAGCAGAAGAAGACGCGGGAGCGTCCTCGCCAGTCTTGTAAACCTTGAGCGAGTTGATGCTCCAGTAGGCATCCTTGAACGCCTCCGGGTTGTTCGCAACATAATCATCGCACGAGTCGGCCAGCGCGCTGCACTTCTCGTCCGTGCCCCACGTGTTGCCGGCCCAGTCGCCGCAAAAGTCCGTGTTGAAGACGATCTGCAGGTCCTTGAAGTGCGACGAGATTTCGCAGCCGCCCTTGAAGATGGCCGTCGGCCTGCCCCAGGACGTGGGTTCGGGGCTGCCGCTGCCAATGTCCTCGGGGATGGAGTCGCGCGCGAAGAACCAGACGTTGATGACGTTGGACGTGGGGTCGATCTCGGTGGCGAAGACGCCGCCCTTGTTCTCGTTGAGCCCGGAGAAGGATTGCGCCTTGCCGTCCGAGACGCCGCAGCCCGAATTGTCCTCGCTGGCTTTGGCGTCGCAGTTGGTCTCCAGGATGCTGCCCGACATGGCGGTCGAATCGGAGATCTCGCAGCCCGTGCCCGTGTGCAGCGTCATCTGGTTGGCAACCTGGCTGTTGGCGCCCTCGAGGATGTCAATCTCGCCGTCCGTAGGCCACTTGGGTCCGACCATCCAGAAAGCAGGCCACGTGCCGCAGGTGCCGCCGGGGAAGTGGTTGAGGTCGAGGATGAAGAGGCCCTCATTGTAAGACTCGTAACTGAAAAGGCGCACGCTCTGCCTGCCCTTGGGGGCCTTGTTGGTGTGGTCGACGCCAAGGTAAATGGTGCCGTCAGAGGTATCGATCAAGCTGGAAGCGTTGGCGGCATCGTGCGAGACATAGTCGACGAAACCTAGGGGCAGTCAGAACATGTTGAAAGACAGCAACCGCAGACCGGGCTTACCGTTGGTGGGGTCGTCATTAGTGAAGAAGCCAAATTTGTCGAAGAAGTTTTCGGGGGAGTAGTCATCCTGCACGACATAGCCAGCTATGCCGAGGGAGACGAAGGGGAAAAGGCCAAGGAGAGTGGAAGAAAGCATCTTCAGAGAGTGAATGACTAGTAGCACGGCGCTTGCGCTCGTGCGATAAACGGAAAAACAGAAGAAGAATGGAAGAAGGCGTTGATGCGCAGATCAACGATGGCGCGCGAAGAGAAGGTGAGAAAAGAGGTCGGGGCAGGCCTCATATGTATATCCCCCGTGGGCCATGGTGGAGCATCGGAAAGGACGACCTAAGTGGGCTTGATTGGCGATCAGGACAGGAGTATTGACAGGGTTTAGACTTGTGCTCGGGCTGTCGCGCAAACAGAGACCAGCTCCGCAAGCGCTCGCTGCCGTTGCATGAAACGCACGCGTGAAAAAAGCGCACCAGTTGCGCGTCAATGCAGGAACAATAGATCTTCGCTGACTAAGTGTTTCATGCGAGCCGCTCCGGAGCCTGCCAGCCAACGACTTCTCTGCACCCGCGCACCCTGGGGACAAGCGGGCAAGCCACGCCGTCGCACACCGTAGATCGTCGCGCCTCTGCCCGCCCGCCACGCGCCACACATGGGCCTGGCCTGCCACGACACCAAAGGCCTGAAGCTGTAAAAACCATCGTCACTTTTGTCAGGCCTCATCGCGAGCCCAGATCGATCGCGCACGCACGCTCCCCCTCGGCTTCTTTCCCGCCTGATGCCATGTTCATTTTCTCTGAAACCCGAGCCCGCCCTTCTGGCCTCCGCCGAGCAACCACCAACACCACCTTATCGCCTCCATTATACCTGCCTGCGTCGCGCCATCTAGCCTCCATCACGCGGTCGCGCACGTTTTCGCCCACGCATGTCCGTATCCGTCGCCGGTGAGAGCACCCTGTGTGAGTGCGACCTGTACCTAGGCCCACCTGCCCCGTCCGTCCGTCCATCCGTGCCCCAGGTCCCAGCTCAGCCCGCCGCGGTAATGCCTCCGCATCTAGATGGCCCAGGTATCCGTACTGCGTAGAGCTTACGATGTCGAGGCAATCGCACGCGCGAGATAGATCGATAGCCCTGCCCTACGGGCGAGAGAAGAGGGAAGATGCGCGCTTCGCGTGCCTGCCGAAACCGCGATCGGCACGCAGATTATAACCGTTGTTATGATAGCGATGGCGATTTACTCCCCACAGAATCTATTCAAAGCACACTGTCTCTATGTAGTACAAACCCCATGCTCTGACTCCTGAGGCTTTTGCGCCAGCTCGATACAACGTTGTAAAAACCCCCAGCTCTCCTGGTTTTTCCCCCGCTTTCTTGCCTAAACACCACCAACCCTGCCCATGTACATACGGACTACAGGCATGCAAACGCTTCCGCATCCGCTCATTCGCTCCCCTAAACCCGTTTGAGACATCACTAGAAACAGAACGCCCGCATCTCCATGCCCCACGCATGCTCCTTGCCGAACCGTACTTTCGCTTTCTCTTTGTTTCCTATGCACTCATCTTCACACAGCACAAGCAAAAGAAAGAAGTGAAAGAGGGCGAGCGTAAAAGGAAGGAGGCGAAGAAGCCAGCCCGCCACCGGCACCCACCAGAGCGGCAGAGCAGCTCGACCCCCCGGCCAGCCCAAGGTCCGTTTCTGCATTCTGCAAAATTCGGTGATGATCTTCATCACCGCGAAAGGGACGAACCGACGGCGAGCGACGAGCATCACCGAAATACGGCTAGAACGATGATGGACCATCGCCACCAAAACCCTCGATGGCGATTATCACCAAAGCGGACCTTCGGGTTATGTCGTGTCGGCTTTCAGCCGCTTGCTGCAACAACACAAAACTAAAACAAACACACACACACACACACACACACGGCAGCGGCAGAGCGCCACGCTACCGAACCGATCACGACGACATTATTGATTATTGACTGCTATAAGCCACGTCCGGATTTTGGTTTTGCTCTACTCACTCTACTCCGCGCTGGCTGGATGGATGCGTCGCCTTCTGCATCCGCCGGCATCGTAATCTCCCCGCACTTCTGGCGGCGTGCCGTGCCGTGCCGTGCGTGCGTACTGTAATTACCCGTTGCTACCTAGGTATGTTGCCTGCTACGTGCGGTTAGTCGTTGGTGTCACGGCGACGACAATCACGACAACAACGCAGCGTATCTCATCTCGCCTCGGCTCGGCTCGTTGGAGCTACGGCTCGCGGTACTGTGTATAGTGTGTAGACGGGTGTTTTGGTATCGGTATTGGTGGACGTGGCTGCGTTTACGCACAGCTGTGTTCGTGCTCTTAGGTACGTCTACACCATTCCTCCGCGCTCTCGGCAGTAGGCGTAGGCGTGTATATGTACCGTAGATACGTACCTACCCGTCCGTACCTCCGCCTGCTCATATGGCGTGTGTATGTGCCTCCCCGCGTCCCAGTCCCATCGACACAAGACCCATTCCATCCCACCCCGTCCCGTCCCACTCATCTCATCTAACCTCACGGCAACCCGCGTACTCACATATCCACCACCCTACGCCGGTCCGCTTCTATCCGTCGTCGCACGCCTCCATCAACCGGGCAACACGTCCGCCCCGACCGTCACCTAGGTACAGTGGAATAGTGCAAATGTAACAGGTACAGCGCCCGCGCAGCGTCGTATCCACGTAGGTAGGTAGCAGGTAGTCTTTTATTGTTCCTTCTTGCGCGCCCACCCACCAGCAGCGCACGCAGAATCCTCTTTCTCCTCTGCTGCGCCGAATACATACTTCCATACATACACAACATACACGCACGCACGCACGCATCAGGCGCAGGGCGCGGCGCCCGCGTGCCCGCCTCCCAAAAAAGAAAATTACAGCGCCGAAAACGCCAACCACCAAAAAACCACCCGCTGCCCATGCCCTGCAGGCGATGCAGTATCCGGCCGTTCATCCCCACGACGGCACAGCACAGCGCAGCGCAACAGAGCGCAATGCGCGCTGCGCTTCTTTTTCCTCTGCCATTTCCCAGCCCCAGGCCCAGGCCCAGCCCCAGCCCCAGCCGCAGTCCCAACCTCCTTCACAGCACCTACGCTCAACCATCCAGAATGCCGCTATCCTTCAAGCTCCTAAACAGCTCCGGCTCCAAGAACTTCGAGATGGTGACGTCTTCGGCCAGGCCCTTGCGGCGCCGCGTCTTGAGCACGAAGTCGCGCGCCGTTGCCTGTGCGCTGGCTGGCTCGAGCGGCCGCAGCTTGATGTCCTTGTCGAGCGGATCGCCGGGGACGATGCTCCAGCGGTCGAAGACGAGGGAGACGGTTGCTTGGCCTTGGGTGTGGATCTACAGGGTAGGAAGTTAGCTTTATGAGAGAAACATATATAATGATGGGGGAGATTTGGGGGAGAGCTTACTCGAAGGTCCGTCTCGAAGCCAAACGAGTCAATCACTGGAATGAGGCCCTGCACCTTGTACAGCGGCGTACCAGCGATAGGGCCGTCCTGGAGCACATGGCCGCGCCGCCTCGCCAGCACAGTGTACAAGCTGCTAACAGCGTCAGCGGGGCCAATCATGCTGCAGTTGTACACAGGCTCCATGAGGCGCGGGCTCGCCATTAAGAAGGCAGAGTAGCAGGAGCGGCGCGCGGTAGGGATGATCTGGCCACCGCCGCGGAAGATGGGCTCGGGCGCGAGCGACACGTCCATGATGCGGAACTTGGCGTTGCGGATCGGCTCCTCACAGAGCGGGCCTTCGCGCGTCGCCCAGCTGAAGCCTTGCCGGATCGTGTCGCGCACGCTGCGCAGCTGCTTCTGGTCCACGTCCGATGGGAGCGTGTCGTTTTGCAGGATGTTGGGGCCCATGTCGTCGGGTCCAAAGGCCCAGATGTTGCGCGAGGCGAGCAAGTCGTAGCCGTAGTTCTCCTCGAAAAATTTACCAACCACCCGAACTGGGTCCTTGATGTTGACTTTGCCGGCCTCGATATCTTCCGCAATGCCAGGATCCAACGGCTCCGCGACCATAGTCAGCTTGTTCTTCTTGTTCGGCGTGAGAGCGTAGCACTTGATGGCGGACGTCTCGACGACGGTCTCGCAGAAACGGGTCACGGGGTCGGAGACCTTGATCTCCATTTCAGCGTACAATCGACGAAGGTCGTGCAGCACGCAGTCCATGTACAGTTCGCCGGTACCGAGGATAACGTGCTCACCAGACTCCTCCACCTTGGTGGTGACGAGAGGGTAAGATTTGTTGATCTTGCGGAGACCGTCAAGCATCTTGGGAAGTTCAGATGGGTTGATGGGCTCAACGGCGACCTTGAAGACGGACTCGAAAAGGTGTTTGACTGGCCGGAAGATGTACGCATCTTCGTCGTCCGGAAGCTTGGGCGCCACTATGGTGGCACTCTTGACAATGGAGTTGTCTACGCCTCCAAGCAACACCCAACTACCGGCTGGCACACCGCTGGTCGGCACATTGTATCTTGACTCGGCAATCCACACATCACTGATGGTTGCCATGACCATATCTTCCTCGTCCTCGATGGTGTAACCTTCTCCCAAAACCCTGACCTGATCACCAGGCTTTGCGATACCACTGAGCACGCGACCGAAGGAGTGGAAAGTCTTTGCGTCGGTAGAATTGAACAACTTCGTGACGTGAACAACCAGCGGGCCATCCTGGTCGCACTCTTCAATAGCCTTCGCCGTCTTCGTGTCAAGCGGACCAGTGTAATACCTTTCCAGCATTTTCCTTGCTCCCTCTACTGGCGAGGGAACGTGCTGTGTGATCATGTCCACGAAACCTGTGGCGGGCCCAAAAAATTGCTCGCACGCTAGCTTGAGCAGCTGACGAGCATCGGTCTTGTACTGGGAGGGTTTGAGGTGGATTCCGAGACTGGCTAGCGTTCCTTTGAGATCATCTGGGCTCTCACTGATGGTGTGCGAGAAGAGCTTGTAGATGGGCTCCAACACCCAGTTAACGAATGACCGCTTCGCACCCTCCTCCTTCGGCTTCCTGGTGAACTTCCGACTCCGCGGGTTGAAGTAGATGTCGCCCCATAGACGCTTGCTGAAATCCTCGGCGTTGATACCGGAACCGGGGTAGCTGTCGACGTACATCTTACTAAACGAGGGGAGAGTGAAGCACCATCCCATGCTGCTGCAAGCAAAAGCAACATTGCCCTTTTCGGGGCTGAGACGGTACTTCTCTCCTTGGCCAGGCAGAGTGTTTTCGATAACAGTGTTGACCTCCTCGACGACGTGCTTGAGCTTGAAATAAGCATCTGCGGGGGGAAGCTTGAGTTCCAGGATTAGGCGGTCCATCTTGTTGATGACCAGGGTGAGCGCCTTGCCCTCCAACACGCAGTGCTTAATGACTTGCTCAGTGTTGATCTGAACGCCCTCGACAACATCCACGACCAAAACAACACCGTCCGCCAACCGAACAGACGAAGCCACTTCATCGACAAAGTTGACATGTCCGGGTGTGTCCAAGATGTTGACCAGGTGGGACTTGCCCTTGCTGTTTTGCAGAACCAAGCTCATTGGCGCCGATTTGATTGAAACGCCGCGCTCGCGCTCCAACAGATGTGTGTCCGTGTACCGCAGCTGTTCGTCCCGGCTCCGGCCTGTCCTCTTATCCAACCTGTCTTGAATTTCGTGCGTCTCCATAACCAGCATGTCCATAAACGCCGTCTTTCCGTGATGCAAGTGTCCTGCCAAGGTGACGTTGCGCACTTGGTCGGGGTAGTTCATGAGGTCGGTCATGAAGTCGCGCGCAAACCGGACGGGCGGTAGGTCGGCCTCCTCCACGGTGAACTTCTTTTGCACTACGGGCGCAATGATGGGTTGCGCCAAGGACTGCGTGTCCTCCTCCTGCACCATCGTCTCGACATCGGGACCGTAGACCTGTTGCGCCGTGGGATAGTACTGCTTGTCCTCGTGCAGGATCACGGCATTGGACGGGCCTTCGTCGTCGAGCTCCATGAGCTGCTGGTCGTTGACGGGCGCCTCGTCGTCCTCGGGCTCCTCATCGTAGACGTAGGCGTCGGCCGCCGCGGCGCCATGGTCGGATTCCTCCTCGGACTCGACCTCTCCAATAAAGTTTCCGAACCTGCGGCGGGCGTTAGCATTGGGGCGATTGGCCGGGGAAAGAGGGAGACGGACTCGTCGTAAAGGTCATCCATGGCGGCGGTGCAGGGCGACTGCGCGACGAGAGAGCGGTTTAGGGTAAGGTGTTTGGCGGTGGTGATGATGCAGCTTTTGGCCTGGGCCCAGAAGTTTCGCGACGGACGTGTCTTGGCGCGCGAAGCTAGTGTGGCTGACGAGCTGAGTCGAGTGGCGGTGCGGCGGGCGGGCGGTGAGCAAGCCGCAAGACCCTTCGGTGGCCTTCCGTCGCCGCGATTCATGCCGCAGCCGGCATCGCTCTGATCGCTATCAACCCTTCTTATTTCTTCTCTGTCCCGCTCACTCTCTGCTCACTCTCGCCATTCTCTCTTCCTTCCACTCCCGCTTATACCCCCTCGCCCTCAATTCTTCAAAATGTCTGGCCTCGCCCCCGTCTACATTGTCTCGGCTGCCCGCACGCCTGTGGGCATGTTCCAGGGGTGCGTATCCGCCTCAACAAGCTCAACACTTGGTCCAAGCTGACAACAAACAGCTCTCTCTCTTCCCTGAGCGCCGTCCAGCTTGGCTCCCACGCCGTCAAGGGTATGTTGGCACTTGTCCACCTCGCATTGTCTCGCGCTGACCTGTATTGCAGCCGCTGTCCAGCGCGCCGGCATCAAGAACGAGGATGTTGAGGAGGTCTTCTTTGGCAACGTTCTCTCGGCCAAGTAAGCCCCCACGCTTCCTGCACACCACAACTCTGGCTAACGTTTCCCCAGCCTTGGTCAGAACCCCGCCCGCCAGTGCGCCCTCGGTGCTGGTCTCCCCGAGGCCACCATTGCCACGACCGTCAACAAGGTCTGCGCCTCGAGTGTCAAGGCCGTCGTTCTGGGCGCCCAGACCATCCTGACTGGCAACGCTGAGATTGTCGTTGCTGGCGGTACCGAGTCCATGTCGAACGTCCCTCACTACCTCCCCAACATGCGCACTGGCGCCAAGTTTGGCCACCAGACCCTTGTTGACGGTGTCCTGAAGGACGGTCTGACGGACGTTTACAAGACCGAGCACATGGGTCTCCAGGCCGAGGAGTGCGCCGCGGACCACGAGTTCACTCGTGAGCAGCAGGACGACTACTGCATCCGCTCCTACAAGAAGGCGCAGGCCGCCGCCGAGGCCGGCTGGTTCGGTGAGGAGATTGCCCCCGTCGAGGTCAGCGGCGGCCGTGGCAAGCCCAATGTCACCGTCGACAAGGACGACGAGCCCAAGAACTTCAACGAGTCCAAGACCAAGACGCTCCGTCCCGTCTTCGACCCCAAGAACGGCACCGTCACCGCCGCCAATGCCTCTCCCCTCTCCGACGGCGCTGCCGCCCTCGTCCTCGTCTCCGAGGCCGCTCTCAAGAAGCACAACCTCACGCCCATTGGCAAGATCCTTGGCTGGGGCGACGCTGCGCAGAACCCCTCCAAGTTCACCACCGCCCCCGCTCTCGCCATCCCCAAGGCGCTGAAGCACGCCGGCATCGAGCAGAGCGCCGTCGACGCCTTCGAGATCAACGAGGCCTTCTCCGTCGTCGCCCTGGCTAACATGAAGCTGCTGGGCATCAGCGAGGACAAGGTCAACCTCCACGGCGGTGCCGTCGCCCTCGGCCACCCTCTCGGCGGCTCCGGTGCTCGCATCATCACGACCCTTCTCGGCGTCCTCCGCGAGAAGAAGGGCAAGATCGGCTGCGCCGGTATCTGCAACGGCGGCGGTGGAGCCTCTGCCATTGTCATCGAGTCCCTGCAGTAAGCGCGAGGCGCGCTGACGTCGCCCACGGCGGCGATTTACGGATTTACGGATCATGTTGGGTTTGCACGCTACATAGACATGGTGGCCGACGCATCAAAAAAAGATGACATATACCTTTCTTTCTCGTCCATAAAGCTTTTGTAATACCATCCACGCATAGCCAAGGCGTTGGAACCAAATTCTACAAAGTCCCTCAGACTCAAAGTGTGCACTCTGTTGTTGTGGTGATTGTGTGCGGCTGAACGAGCTGAGGCTTACTATGTCTTTGTCTGCGCAGATCTTTTCGCTGCGGGTATGTGCTTGGTGCGCGTACGCGTTTGTTAATGCTTACATTGCATGCTGCGCCGCTGCAGGGCTGCCCCGCAGCCGCTACTACGGCCCCCACGGCTGCCAGGCAGCTGCATCGCACACGCGATTTCGCCTCAGCCTTCAGCTGCTTTGTCATGATGAAATAACATTAGCTACTCCACTACACCCCTAGATGCCTCTTCCTTAATTGCCTGGGATTAGTACATACGTAGTAAGCTCTACCTTACTCGTAGAGATATATGCTGGTGCAGTTAAAGCACATGGTTCTGCTGATGACTATGATGACTGAGTGAGCGCGACGTGTACATACAGTGTGCGAGACGCGGTATCGGAGGCGGGTTTGGTGCTGATGGAGTTGGTGTTGGTAGGAGTGCGTGGAGGCACAGCCACAGCCACTGCTGCTGCTGCTGCTGCTGCTGGGGGTGAGGGTGGGGATGGCAGAACGGGGGTGTGTGGTTGGTTGAGCTGGGCAGGGTGGTGGTCGGGGGTGTTGACTTTCGTAATTGAAATGCTAGGGCTTGAATTTGGCTCTTTGAAGCCATTGAGTCTGCTTGTGCTGCTCTTGCTGCTGATGCCCATCAGTGATCGTGTGTAGTGGAGTACTCTGAGCTTCAACCTCTCTTCTACACCTACTTCCACCAAGGACCTCACGGCCGTGTCAATGACCAACTTGGACAGGCTTGACAGTTGCCGCGATTGTGACTCAAGATCATGGAGCAATAGGGGTCGGTAGGAAACTTGTCGCTTGCTCTTCAACTACTGGCTGTGGAGCGTTTGCGAGAGGCGGAGACGTGGGGATGGCTGTGCTGGTGCTGGTGAGTATGAGGTTTGTGACCTGCTGCGCGTCATCGTCACTGCGAGTTGTTGACCGTCAGCATTTGCGTGGGTCGCTGCGCTGCAGCTGCGCTCATGGGAATGTAGGTACAAAACGACGCCGAGAAGGCCTTTAGAGAGGAGGTAGTTCTTGCCACAGCTCCCGCAGGTGGGCTGAGAAACTTCCAATCCTTTCACTGAATGGGCGAGGTGCCGTGCTCACCAGCTCCGGTTCTGGGACTCGGTATCTGTCTCAGAGATGGCCACGGTTTTGTACGCCATAGGACATAAGAGCGTTTGTAGCCACGCATTAGCCTTTAGTTGGCACCGTGTGAATACCTAGGTATCTGCTCAAATTTCCACTCAGTCAACTCGAACGGCTAGACTACAAACCTTGCCAATCTTGAGTCTCGAGCCCGTCCATCCATCACCTCTATCCGCAGTCTGGGAAATCCATCCCGCCGCGCTGACTTCCTCGAATGTATCTGCTTCCTGTGTAAACAAGCATTCTGAGCCGAGAACGCGTCCACGCTAGCGCAAACGCTGCAGTGTTCTGCTGGAGACTTACACCACCAAGCTGTCTTGGTCGTTTGTGACGCAGTGCCGGCCTATACCGAACTATAACTGCACATGCCTCTTTTACGAAGTCTACGCGCCGTTTTTCTCTATCGATCTCTAAACCCACACAAAGACATCTACACATACACACAATCGCATATCCGCATCTACACCCCTAGCTGCACACAACCCACACACACAGAGACAGCGAGATAGACAGACAGACATACAGACAGGCAGCGAAAAAGCAAAAGCTGACAAGTCCACAAAAGCACAAGCGCACACGAGACAACACAACAAAGCCACAACACAACCAAAGCCAAAACCGAACAAACACAAACACAAACAAAGACATAGACAAGAACAGCATCGAACCGATATGCACAGTCAGTAATTATCAGACAGGCCATCATCCACAGATCAAAGCGCAAAAACCACAAAACACCTCCCCAACCCCCCAGCCCCAAAGCCCGCCCAAAGCCCAAGCCCAAGCCCCAAACGCACAAAAACAAAAACAAAGCCCATATTTATTTAGTCTTGAAGGAAGGATGCATCTAACAGACAGCCCTAGTGGATAGTCCTCGCGGAAAGTCCTCACAGAAGGCCCTAAGAGTGTAGTCCTAGCGGCCTACCTCACAGCTCGTTCCGCCAGCCCGGGAAGCGAACCTCCCAGCCACGCGGCTTGACGGGCAGGCCCAGCCAGTAGTCCCAGAGGCGGCTGATCTCGAAGACGGCGATGTTGAAGCTGTTACGAAGAAAAGGGTTGGTTAGCACGCGTTCGTTCGGCATAGTACACATCACCACCACCAAGAAGGAGAAAGACGGGAGGAATGGAAAGACGGGAAGAAAGGGAAAAACTCACAACTTCGCAGGCGCATTAACCCACTGATTCAGCACCCAGCACGTCGCATCCCACACAAGCTGCGACTCGACCTTGATGCTGTCCCACACACCCGTGGTGCGGCGCATGCGCCTGCGCCTTAGGAACTCGGGCTCGTCGCTGTCGTTGTCCAGGTACGCCTGGCGGCGAGCCGCGGCCTCGCGGTCGCGTTGCTCGCGCTGTTGCTCGCTTGGGACGGCGGGCGCGTCGGCCAGCGCGTCGCGCACGTGGGGCGGGAGGGGCGCGTCCGCGTCCACCTCGGACTGGTCCTTCTTCGCCTCAGCCTCAGCCTTCGGCGTCGGGTTATCCCGCTCCTCGATCATCTGCCTGAAGTGCTTGATCGCGCCCAGCGAGTGGCTGACGCGACCGAACGTGTTCATGAGCGCAACGAGCTCAGTGCGGCGCAGCGGCGGGTTCTTCGTCTGGTCCAGCTCGTTCTCGTCGAACTCGAAGAGGACCTTGAGCGCGGTGCCGTAGCCCGCCGTCTGCAGCTTGCCCCAGAGGCGGCACTTGTCGCAGCCGACGCAGTCCATGACGCGGGAGACGTTGCGGAAGCGGTCGCGGAAGTCCTCCTTCAGCAGCGCGTGGTCGCCCTGGAACATGACGCCCTCGTCGAAGATGCTGTCTTTTTGGTTTTCGGGGATGGCCGACGAGAGGCTGAGGACCAGGTCTTTGGTCTCGGCGTTTTGGGAGGGGTCTGCGGCGCAGAACTCGTAGTTCTTCCAGTAGTTTTGCAGCTTGCCTACGGCCCGCAGGACCAGCGCGTAGTTGAAGTACAGGTTCGAGATGCGGTCCGGGAAGCCGTGGAGGCGCTTTTCGTAGCACGCCAGGTTGGGGCCCCAGGTGCCTGTCGTCTGGTTCATGTGCTCGTAGCACAGGTGCGTCGTGATGGATGCGTGCATGCCGCTGACGACGCGATAGAAGACGCGCTTCTCGACGCAGTCGTCCTCGAACTCGAGCTGGTCGACGCGCGCAGGCGGCTTGTTGCCCTGCGCGATGGCGGACTGGACGTGGCGCTGGAGCGGCTGGCTGCGCATGACGTTACGCAGGTCCTGAGCCGCCTGGCCCTGGCCACCCGTCAAACCACCACCAGCAACGCCAAACGGCGACGAGGAGCCAAGTCCCATGCCGCCAACCGGGCTGATCTGCTCGTCGCCCTTGGGCTTGCTGAAGCAGTTCTCGCGGTAAATGGCCTCCCAGACCTGCTGCGAGCCCATGCCGGCGTAGCCGGTGAAGCGCTCCGGGTTGTCCAGCAGCGAGACGTAGTCGCCCTTGCTCGCGGCGCTCTCGTCCTCGGGCACGCAGTAGTCGCGCTCGTCGCACTCGTCGTCGTACTCGACGACGCAGCTCTCGCCCACGCCCTCGCCCAGCTTGCCCTGCAGCGGCTTTTGGTTGCGCCGCTCCTCGCGCACCTTGCGCCCCGGGTGCACCGCCTTGGGGCCCTCCAGCTTGCCTAGCTCTTCCGCCCGCCACACCAGCGGTATGTCCTCCTCGTTATCGAGCGTGTTGACGGCGCAGGCAATGTTGCCGCACATGCCGTTCTCGTCGGACCAGAAGGGGCATTTCTTGTTGTAGAGGTTGAGGCGGTAGTAGGAGAAGTAGTCGGTGCCGCGGGTGATTTTCTGGAGGTGGGGAGAGAGCTGGTCGTTCAGCTCCTCGAGGGATGCATACGAGGCGCAGGCGTCCGAGACGATGGCGCCGGGTTCAAACTGTGTCGATGGTTTAGACGGCGGACTCGCGGAGGACGCAGAAACAATAGCAGAAGCAGAAGTAGAAGAATACGTGGGCGCGCTGGCGTGGGAAGCGGACTGGCTTACTGCACACTCGTCGGCCTTGGCCTTGGGCTTCGCACTGGAATGCGAAGCGCCATTGGAGGTGCCCAGCAGCGCAAAGACTGCCAGGTAGAAGACGTGTGCCGCTGGCCGCATAACTAGAAAGAGAGCTTGGTGATCGATACTCGTGTTAGCAGCGCGCCCCTGCAGAGACAATGGAAGCGGGGCGGGCAGGCTCACTATTTGAAGGACAGAGGGTCGCATGCCACGGGACGTTTCAAAGAAGGAGGGTCGAAGCTTTATCTGAAGCAAACACGAGTCGGAGGAACAAAAAGGTGGAAGAGGCCAGGTATCTATTGGGGGCTTACGGCTTACACTACCACCGTCTGCCCTACCCGGCTGCGGAACAAAGGGCCGTGAGTCTCAATCGGAGCCCCGTGCAAGCGTGGTCAGCCCACTGTCGTGCAAACAATAGACTATTATTACTACCTGTCATCCCACTTGAGTTTGACACAAAGGTGTCCTTCTTGGCCTCGCCATCTCCACGCCGTTTCAGGCCTGTTGCAACGTCAAGCTGAGTAATGATTCGCCTGGAGGCCTAGACCTGCACCGCCACTCTTTGCCACACTGTCTACGCACCGCCACATCATACGTGTTTTCCCCTCGACATCTCCGGTTTACCCTATCATGGACTCAACAACGTCGTCGCGGAACTGAGGATCCGGTATATCCTCTCCCCTCGGATCAAAGCCCACCCTTTCGGCGTTAGTATCGAACTGCTGCTGAAGAAAGTTAGGAAGAGGTGAACCCGGCATGACGAGTATCTGGAGCTCGGAATTCTTGATTAGGCGGTCGGTCTTCGTGTACGAGCACGGAATACCTCTGAGGTAGCATGATATGCACTGATCCGTGCCCTCCTGATGCGGGCAGTTGGTTGGTTCATCATCGCCAAAGCCCTTCGACACTCGGGGGTATGCTGCCAACTTTTTGAAGCTCGGCTCATCTGAACGTAAGCTGTTCAAATAGCAGCTGTCGCATTTAAACACCTTGGGTCTGTTCGACCTGCCTCTCATGGCAACATTGTTCGGAGCTTGACCCCTTGGGATATTAGCATATTGAGCTCCAGCATCCAGTAAGGTCTTGGCCAGCTCCTCCAGCGGAACTCTCTTTGATTCCATTGCGTTGGATTCTGGGAGGTATCCGAACGTCCTGGTTTGGGTCAGGAAATCGCGTTTCTCCTCGACGACATCTACCTTGCCCAAGTTGACTTCCCAGAGAGGAGATTCTTCCGGATATGGCATATCTTGTCTCATGAACCGGCTTATGATCGCCCTGGGTTCTGCGTAGAATTGCATCGAGCCGACTCCTGGGGGTTCCGTGTTTCTCGGTGGAGCTTGCAGGTCTAGCTGGCCTCCAGGTCTCTGGAAGTAGTGTTCTTTCCAGGTGTGTTCATCTTTGATTCCATCTGGCCCTTTTACCTTTTTGACATGGTCAACCTCAATCTTAAAGCCAACTCTCCGTCCCAAATAAGAGTCAGTCCAGCAGCCCAGTTTCGGTTGCGGGTATAGAGGCTTGGGATGGCCGCCATTCATCCAAATCTCAACGACGGGAACGAACTCTGTCCCCAGTTTCATGTCTTTAGGCAAGAAGTTTGGCGTAGCTTCGATGATGACCGAGTCGCCCATAGGCTCAGTACCGCCAACTTCTGGAATGCTGACTTTGATGCCTGCCTTATTGACCCTCAATTTAGGGCAACGGAACTGGAAGGCATTGGGCGTCCGAGTCATTGCCCAGAGGTAGCCACGAGTATCGGAAGCCTCACCCGGGATGGAGCTGATGTTCTTCCTAGGTTTGAGTTCGGTCTTCCATGTTCCCCATTCTGCTGTTCCGATCTCGATACAGTCAAGCCTGGTCCAACCATTTCTGTTGTCCTCCTTGGTATTTTTCTTGTTGTTCGACGCGCGGAATGGTAAGTGGACAAGGACATAGCCGCCATATTCAAGGGAACGCTTAACAGCAATACCCACTTCGTCCTTTATGATGTCGATACTCTTCTGATTTCCTCCCATTTGTTTTAATTCAAATGCCGTATCGTAGCTGCGTTTGGCGATGAATGCAAATTGCGTAATCCGAATGTGAGTGGATGGGAGCCAAGTAGCGGTTTGGCTGTTGCTGAAGAGAACCTTTGCTCACCTACCACCGTCTTTCGGTTTGTAATCCAGTATTTGACCACGCAAGCCTGTGCTCGAAAGAACTCTCTGTATGGCTTGGTTAGGTCCGTCTTCGGCGCGAAGATCTATTTTGCCTGGAAAGGTAGACTCAAGGATGCAAAAGTGGCCGATGTCCTTTGGAAGTAATCCTTTGCTATTCGGAGACCATCCTTCACTTAGTATACGGGATGGAACATATCCTGATGACGTAGGCTCCTCCAAAGTGCTAACGTGTGTCCAGGCTAAGTTATCATCAACCCCCACAACGTAAACGTTAACGCCACTAGGTAAGTCGATTTGGCTTTCAAGGACAATGAGTGGGTAGAGATCACCCGAATCCCTCTTTGTGTGTTTTGCGGTCGTGTGGAAGATCTTCCCTATGTCCGAAGGATGGGCAACCGGACCCTGTTCGGTGGTGCCGATACGGATATAGTTAGAGGGAACATATCCCGTTCTGCCTTCTTGATTCTGAACTCGAGTCCATTGTAGGCTGGAATGTACATCTAGTACCATGCCGGTTTCATTTACGTGTAGTTCGACCCAATCTTCAGTGATGGGGACCTGTTAGTGGAAAGGCCTTTCGGATGGTATGCCTTGTCGGTTGCAAAGTTGTAGAGCGCGGTAAACCGCTTGCCGCTGTCATTGCTATTTCCAAGCCTGCCGACGTAGATTTTGATGTTATCCGTTGGAATATATGAGCCGAGATTCCGCTCATCGGTGAGACTCGATGTGACCAAAGCCCAGGGTGCCTTCTGCCAGAACTCTCAGACGTAGCCAATGTTATCCTTTTTCAGAGATGTCACCTGGCGTTCCTCTTTCATGAAGGGATTGTTGCTAGCAATAAAGTCTTCAGTGACGCGGAAGGGCTTGCCAACGTCGAACGGTTTGACCAGTCTGGACTGGAATGTGCCGATGCAAGATGAGGGGACAAACCTCCAACGGCCTTGAGAGGGAATGAGAACAAAATCCCAGTTTGGGTACTCTGGGACGCTTGGAGATATCACTAATCCTGTAGTGACCCCGGCTCTCAATGCTACCTGGGCGCTCTTCGGAGGCTCTCCTTTAGCAGCTTCCTTGGGGCCCCAGTCACTCTTAGCAAAGAATGGCTGGGGGCCGAGCACGGGGTAGTCTTCGTTACTGGGTCCGAACTTTTTTTCTGGCAATGCGGGCGGGTTACCAGCCATTTTGGAGCTTCTTCGCCCTCAGGTTCGTTTGAGCTTTGTTGTTTCCCGGTGAAGTGCTTATTCCTTGGTAGTCTGATAGTGTCAGTGGGCTTAGCAGGCATAAGATGCCCTAAGGCGACTTGATTGAGAGACTTACCTTTGAGGACTTGAAGTGAACTTCACGTTGTTGTGCTTGCAGAGGTGTCGTTTTGGTGGCTTTGAAGCGACTTGATTGAGACCGATTATCTCCGAGGACTTGAAGTGAACTTCACCTTGTTGTGCTTGCGGAAGTGTTATTGTGGTGGCGTCAAGGCGACTCGGTCGAGACCGGTTACCTCGTGAGTGTGTAGAGTGACTTTCCAGGCGGAGTACTGACAGCAGTGTTGTTATGACGGCTTCGGGTTCCCTCCTACAGACAGATGACAGCGGATCTGTAGATGGGGTTGGAGAGGAGTGGCCGAAGGCTGGTCGTCAGCCGAAAGGTGTCGCCGTGTCGCAAGCGTTGTGGAGTTGACAAGGTCAAAGAGTTTCAAGATTTGAACGAGAAAAAAGATGTTGTTTGTGGTTTGTGGGAGGAGAGTGCACCTGCTGGGACAAGGTTAAGCTTTGTTACGCCCTCCACCTTTAACACATTTGTTTGCCCCAACTACGTAATTTGACTAGCTAACCTACCTTTCTTATAACTTTCACAGTTGTGTATATCCAGCCTTGGCTATTCAACCCATCAACGCCGCCTACTTACATATGCGTAATTGCGACAAGACACCGGATAATTTGCCCACCCCACGTAATAGCATGTACAGAGTTATATGAGGTGTTTCCTACTCTTTAAAATTCTAGGTCTCTATACCCTTGTAAGTACCTTAATACTCTTCGAATATTTTGTTTTTATACCCTTATAGATACTCTTATAGTCGTATATATCTATACCACTTTACCCTTAAAGAATATTTCAGAACTCGTATATATTTTTAGCGTTATATCTTCTTAAGTACTATTATACCTTATATCTTTTTAATTTTATATAGTTATGCAGTACCTACTAGCTGTAGCATTATAGTCTCGTTATAACTACCTAAAGAGTACTCTGTAGGTATTGTAGATTTAACTCAACTTGTAGTTAAGGGGTGGGCAAAATATCCGGGCCTTGCGACAAGCTTTGGACCACATCCATTTTAACACATGAATGTCTCAAAATTTAATGCAACGACTGTGTGTGTACGTTTTCGTACATCGAAAACAACCATTCCTATGAGAAGCAGTTATTAACGTCAATACGCCGACCATCAAGTTTCATGGATTGGTAATGTCGTTAATCAGGTAATAGCACTTCCAGACAAAAAGAAAACTAAGCCTTCTGGAAACGACAGGCACGTGGTGCCTATTCTACATCGGGGTCGTCATCGTCGTCGTCGTCGTCGCCGCCTAGAGGCTCCTCTTCTTCCTCCTCTTCCTTGTCCGAGCAAGCGACCTTGCGCTTGCGGGCCGCGGCCTTCCCCTTGCTGCTACTGCTGCTCGCTGCCGTAGTCTTGGTAATAACCAACATCTTCGTTCCATAACGAAAAACGCTAGCGTTTTGCTCAATGTAGTTGAATCATCATTTTCTCGTATTGGTTTTCAATCCACTTACTTCTTGGGAGGCTCATCGTCCTCGTCTTCTTCCTCTTCATCCCCCTTCTTCCCCTCCCTAATCTCCGCCTTGGTCTTGCCCCTTCGAGGGCCTCGGGCATGGCTATTTGCCCATTCCTTGCCAATCCAATACGCCTCGCGCAGCCTCGACATGTTGTTGAGGGCATGAAGTGGAGAAAAAGAGTTGATTGTTATGAGCGCTGCAGTCGAAGATAAGGCAGCGCTGCTGACTAAGCGAGTCTAAGCTAGTCTAAGCGAGACTAAGCTACATCAGGCAAGAGAGCTCTGCCTGCTCGACATATGTTTCAGTTGTGGAACAGCTTCGTTCGGATGGTGGCAGCAACTGTCGAGCCTGACGAACCACTTCGTGGGGCTGCGCCTGAGGGAGGAAGGGAGGAGAGGGGGAAGCTTTGAAGCGGGTCCAGGACCCCGGTCGTAGGTCTGGAGCTCAGCGGAGGGATCAAAGACTCCTGCGGCGTCGGAAATTGGCCCGGAGGCGACAAGAAGAGATCAGTGTTGATGCAAATGTCAAACTCATGCTCCACTAGCACCTCACTATATTGATATCGTCCGATCAAAGCCGTGGATATGATATACTTCGGGGGTACATCATTGAATACCGTTAGCAGAGAGACCCTCCATGTCATGTGAAAATGGCAACTCGGTTTCGTCACGGCCATAATAAGCTTTATATCCTCGCAGGAAAGAAGTACTTTGATAAATCTTAGTCATACTTCATCTGCACGATCAATCACAAATCATAACATCAACCACCGCGTCACGTACTGATGGCAACTCAACCCAGTCGCGGGGATTGCCAGCGTTTTATCTTTGTAGCAAAGAAGTATTTTAAGCAACACGAATCCTACTACATCTGCACCAGTAATCACAGATCACAACATCCCCAATCACTTCAAATGGCGATGAAAATGCAAGCGTTGAAACCGTAGTTCGTATCTGATATCGTACAAATAATAATCGCCGAAGCAGACAAACTCACCTATGAGTATCTACAAGCAGACGCAATCGTAACTCATCGCTAAGCCCATAGCGCGAACCCAAGCAATCCATTAATAGCGCACCATGCGCAACAAAGTCAAAGAACACACAGACACCTTACAGTTCCTGCTTGAAAGGAACATGGGTGACAGACCTCTTGCGGTTAGCGATGTTCTCGACATCGCCAAGGCTCTGGCCAGCACCGACGCCAACATCCTGGACCTCCTGGAAGGAGACGGTGGGGACGAAGCCGTTGGACTTCCACGCGCAGCTGACCTTGCTGTAGAGCTCGTCGACCTGCTCGAGCGAGAGACCTTTGGTCTCGTAGATAAGGCCCCACACGAAGAAGATGCAGACGAAGCAGGCGCCGCCCCAGATGTAGAAGACCTTTGCGCCGAGATTGGCGTTGCCAGGGCCGCTGTCGACGAGGTAGGGCGTCATGAACGCGATGGCCCAGTTGAGCAGCCAGTTGGAGGCCGTCGTCATGGAGAGAGCCTTGGCGCGGACCTTGAGAGGGAAAATCTCACCGGTCACGACCCAGGCGACGGGTCCCCAGGAGCAGGCGAAGAAGAAAATGTAGATGCAGACGAATGCGATCATCGCGCGCTGCGCCGGCATATCCTCGGAGCCGACGACCGTGCCGATGATCGCGACCAGGAGCTGAGTAATCGCCATGCCAACCGCACCGAAGAGGAGCAAGTTGCGACGACCCCATTTCTCAACCAAGTAAAGGCCTGCAGGAGGAATTAGTACCATATCACAAAAACAAGATAAAGAATAAAAATAAACAAATAAAAAAAGGGGGGGAGGGGTTTGAAAGGTAAAATAAAACTCACCTGGGAATGTCGATCCAACGTTAATGCAAGACGTAATAAGAGAGATAGTGAACGGGTTCTGGAAACCGGCGTTCTGGAAGAAGGAGGTTCCGTAGTAGAAAATGAAGTTCACACCGGTGAGTTGTTGCAGAGCCTGGAGACCACATCCGGTCAAGAGACGCTTGAGCATGCCACCCTTGAAGCAATCAAGATAGGACGCCTTGCCTAGGGACATCTCGTATTCGTGGTTTGCCTGGATCTCGCTAAGCTCCTCGACAATGGCGGGGTGCTGGATATCGAGGCGACGAAGGCGTGCAAGTGACTTGGCCGCCTCCTCCGGACGGCCCATCTTAATCTGGTAACGAGGCGTCTCAGGCAAAATAAGCATTCCAACGACAAGAATAATAGCCCAGGCGAACTGCACAGCGATCGGGATTCTGTATGCTGTTGTTTTTCTACGTTAGTATCGCGAAATAATAGTAAAAAAAACCTCAAAAAAGCTCAACTTACAGCCAGAGTCGTTGCGGCCCTTAGTAGCATTACCCACAATGGATGCAAGCAACAGACCTATAGTAATACAGAGCTGATAGCTATATTTAAAACGCGTTAGTTTAATGCCTATAACATTCCTAAATGTTGAGGTATAACTTACCAACCAACAATTGCACCGCGGATCCATTTTGGCGAAGTTTCGGATTGGTAGAGAGGGATGATGGCACTGATCATGCCGACGCCGTAACCAGCGAAAAAACGACCCGCTACAAACAGGGGGATGGCAGTAGCAATAACTTGTAGGATGACACCGACGCAGAAGACGACGCAGGACACGATCAGGCCCCAGCGACGACCCAGCATATCAGCCGTGGGAGCAGCCGTCAGAGCACCGAAAAAGGTTCCCGCAGACAGAATAGAGACGATCTCGGACTTCTGGTTCGAGGTAATGCTGAGCGCTCCCGTTTCGTCGCGGTAGCCCGTTGAGAAGTTGTCCTTCCAGTACGTCATACCAAGGATGTCACCGATGGTACCAGTGTCATAACTGCATTTTCGTCAGTACAGACTGATTATTTCTCCGTTAATAGATCCTTACCCGTAGAGGACACCACCAAAGGAGACGAAAAGACCGATCAGGATGGCAGGGACCGCCGAGCCAGCGGCCTCCTCGGGCTTCTTGAGCATGATACCCATGGCGACAGGTGTTGATTGTCGCTGATTAACTAAGAGAAGTGATAAGTGAAGAACAAAAGGCAAGAATGCAGGGCAGCCGAAGGGTATTTGAAGGAAGCGGTCCTGTGGGCCAGGCAGCGGTGGCAACGTAATGCCACTACACAAGCGACTTCTGGGGAATGGTTAGAAAGCTGGAGGAACAAGGATGGGGGCATCGGCGTAAGGATGCTAGCTGGGGGCGTCAAGGGTCTAGTTGCTGGCTAGCGTTGCTTCATCCGCAGTCCGGCCTGGACCTAGAGGCCTCCGTCGGCGGCAAAGCTCTGCACGCGCCATTGCCTGGAACGCTGTGCGATTTGGAGGGCTCGCCGTGACCGCGGCGAGATCATCACGCTCGACCAAGTCCACGCGATGAGCAATGTTCAATAAGATCGGGTGTGGCTGGCTTGCGAGGACACGAACACGTTCGCGTATGGCCGCAAGCGAGTATATCCAAAGAGTGCTATGGCACACCGTCTATTCAGAACGAGCCGGAATACAGCTCCATCCAGTGAAGTGAGAGAGCGTTTTCTGTCAACTTCCAAATCTCCACGCCCACATGCGGCTGAGACACGCCACGACACTTCCATCCACTCACACCTTACAAGGGACAGCGAGTACGACGGCAAGCGGAGCCTCCCAACCATCCCCGCAAGTGCCGGAAAAGCTGGAATCTCGGCGCGCCTCCGAAGCATCCATCCTGCCCACACCGCGCGGCGAAAGCCGGTGGATGGGGAGACAGTGCGAGAAGGGCCGATCTTCTCCATGGGCGCGAAAGCCGGGGCCGTGAAACGCTCGAGGACCATCGCGGGGAGCCGAATCAGGCATCGTGGCGTTGCTGTCGCTGGTTGTTGGGGCTCGTGGGAAAAGGTTGTTGTGAGCACGCGAGCTGCGTTGCTTGGCGACGCTGAAAACATCCTCTCGGTCCTCAAACAAGATTAGCCACCAACTTCATCGGTCATCGGTCGACGGCTGGCGCAGCGGCTCAACGGGTACAACCCTCATGACAGCTTGGCAGAAAATAATAAAAAAAATCCCCATGTTCAGGACGTCGTACGTTCCCCAATCTCCCCCATTCAGGCCCCCCTTTTTCCCCATGGTTCAATGGCGCCGCGCTCGAGCCTTCCTCCGCGTGAATTTTTTTCTGCGTGGTCTGGAGTCTGGAGAGAGGCGAGCAGTGTGCGCCCCTCGGCACCGATGCGGCTCCACTAGCTCGCATCTGGCGCCTTGCTCCGGTGGAGGATGGGCGCCGCAGGATCTTCTGACCAATCCTGCCATTCCAGCCACACTGGCCAGCGTCACCGCTGGCACCGCAAAATCCGGCACACCGGCTCGTCGCGCTTCCAGAATCCCACTCGCCGCGGCCTCGACTCGGCGTCTTCGCATCGCCTTGTGGCTGCGAAGTCTGCCAATGGTTGGGCGACGTGGCGCATGCGGCTCCAAGAAGGCCATGACCTTTTGCCCCGGATGACTTCATCACGTTTATGATCTTTGATGTCAGTAATCAGTGATGATGAAAAGTCTGGGGTTTGGGGTGCTTGTTCAGGGTTTATCTTCCCCGCATCTGCGTGCCGATCTGATCGACGACGACATCTCGATTGTCGCTTGCTTCCAACCAACTTCTGACGTTACATGTGTCGTATCATGCTTCTGCAACGACGTTTTCCGTGCCCCTACGCTACGTGAAGCTACGCCATGTTCTCTGCAAGGCCTCGAGTCAGCCCTGCCAATTTTAGAGAGCCGTTTGAGACTCTGCAGTGGCGTGTTTGACGTCGCGTCTCACGCTATGAGTGCCACCATCGATGGACTCACTGAGCTGGCTGAAGATAATAACAGCAAAGCCGATCCGGTTTCCCCGGTCATCACCCCATGTTTCTGCGATGCCGAATCCTGCAGAACTCCTTGGGCGAATCCACTGTCCGGCCCCAGTTTCGGATCTGATGGCCTGACGCCAGGAAGCGAAGCTGCGGGGTCTCCGCAGACCTACTCCTATCGTGGCAAGAAAAGGCGACAAAACGACGATCAATGTCTTCCGTGACCTGGTCTTTGTCGCCGTTGCTCTTGGGTATCGTTGTACTTTGTTGTTTCACGTCACCAGCTCATGTCTCTACGATGCGCCATGGATTCTGGGATGAAGCGGCATTCAATTCAGACTTATTCAGAGAACCGGGAGCCAGACAAATGCGAATCAGTTACACATAGGAGCGCGTTCGAGCCCCGCTCGCAAGCGGTGGGTGAAAGATGTGAACCATGTTGCGGCTTGGAGCCAGAACAGTGCAGTCAGTAACCGGCACAACCAGAGAGAAGCCGTGAGTGTGCCAACGGTACGCATGTTTCAACGTACAATTATTGACTGAAGTGAAAGGTGAACTGCATCATCTATTGTGGTAATGGATAGGGCTGAGCCATGGACCAATCAGCGCTGAGTCACGACGTGAAGCGAAAGTCTTGGCACAGCTTCCTCTTCAGCTTCCCGCCGCCCGCTTCTCTCTTTGACCTTTGCAACTCCGACCACCGCGACTGATCGTCAGCCTGCCTGCTCCCTCGCTCGCGCCTCACCACCAGCTACTGCTGCGGCGTCCCATCGGATCGCATCCAACCCGCTGCAACCTACTGCGGTCGAAGCTCTACACCCCCCACCAAAGCTACCAAAGCTGTCAACCCACTCTCAACCCTCTCCGAGCTTCCGATCGACAAACTCAATCCAACCGGGTCGGCCGACAAATCGCTCGCTTTTGCGATCGCACTACATCTGCGCGCAGCACCTACCCACCTACGCCACCTTCACAGGCAGCAATCAGGCAACAGCCAGGCCATCGCCTACATATACCTCCCCCCACTCGGACACTCCCCGCAGTGTCCAACTACCACAAACATGGCTTCCGCAATGAAGCGCGGCGACCCCTTTGGCAACCGCGGATCCGCGGCCAAGAAGCGCCACTACAACAATCGCTCCGACAGGGACGGCGATGTCCTCATGGACGCCCGCCCCCGCGACCAAAACCGCATCGGAAAGAACAAGCCTCGCGGAGGTTCTGGCAGAGGTCCCTCCACCCGCGGCAACCACAATGCCGCTGCCCTCGAACGCGGAGTCATGCGTTCTGTTGCCGCCGGCGAAGTCATCCCCAAGGCTCCACGCCCACCACCTGTCGGCAAGAAGGAGATTCGCATCTCCAACTTAGAAAACAACAAAGCTTCTTCAGACAGTGATGACAAAGGTGTCAGTTCTTTGATCGACTTCATCCAGAAGCGAGCTACCAACACCATGATCAAGCGGGGCAACCGTCGCATCACCACCAACAACCCCGTTAGGATCAAGAAATACACTGTCGAGAGCGATGACGCTGTCGTCATTTCCGTGCCTTCGGATGAAGGCGCCCAGATCCTCCGTATGAACGGCTATCAGTGGGCTGGCAAGACCCTTGCCATCAAGGAAGTCGGCGGCAGACGCTCCTCATCGCCCACCCAACAAGAATCGGCTCAAACTACTCAACTCCGTGCGGCCTTACAGTCCATGCTCTCGCGCCGCTACGATCCTGAGAGCAAGCTTCTCAACCTCACCAACTTGGGCCAAGACCCCGACCTCAACGCGCTCGGTTTGTTCGACATGGCTGTCACCCAGTCAAAGCTCTTCCCAGCTCTCATGAAGACCTGCGACGACGTCTTCAAGACCCGAGAGGAAAAGCGTGAGAAGTTTCTGAGCGTCACTCTCGCCAACAACGAGCTCACGTCTGTCGCGCCCGTCACCACTTTGGCAGCCACTTTCCCTGACCTCAAGAATCTCGACTTGTCCAACAACAAGCTAAACGACCTGGCTTCCCTGGAGAGCTGGAAGCGCAAGTTCAGACACCTTGATCACCTTATCCTGAGCGGCAATCCTATTGAGCAATCCATTCCGGACTTCAACGTCGAAATCACCAAGTGGTATCCGAGTCTCCGTTTCCTTAACAACATCCAAGTTCGCTCCGACGAGGAAGCTGCTCGTTCGGGACGCGGATCCAAGAACCCACCTCCACCCGTCAAGGGTTCCACTGTCAACGATCCCAGCGGCATCGCACAGACGTTCGTCACCAACTTCGTCGCCGGCTTCGACGGTGATCGCAACGCCATTCTCAACACCTACTACGACGGCGACTCCAAGTTCTCTTTCGCCGTCAACAGTGTCTCTATGCGGGATCCCGCCTCTACCGAAGCCTTCACCAAGGCGGAATGGGCCGACTACATCAAGCGCTCCCGCAATCTCAAGGCGATCACGACTCTACCTGCGCGCATGTCCCGCATCTTCACCGGCGTGGACCAGGTCCGCTCCGCCTTCGAGACTATCCCGCCCACGAAGCACGCCGACCTGATCACCGAGCCCCAAAAGTGGGCCATCGACTGCGTGCCTATCCAGCCTGTTCCTGACCCCACCGGCCAGTATCCTCAGGGTGTCAGCGGACTCCTTGTCACCCTCCACGGCGAATACCACGAGATTGACGTCTCGACCGGCCAGTCGAAAAAACAACGCTCTTTCGATAGGGTCTTCACCCTGGGCCCCGGCGGCCCCACGGGCGTCCGTGTCCTCAACGATGCCCTGACCCTCCGCGCCTACGGCGGCTTCGCGATGTACCAGCCGGAGCCGGAGCCGACCATGGACCCGCAGCAAGCGATGCTGATAGCGGAGCTGAGCCGCGTCACGGGCATGAACGAGACGTACAGCAAGATGTGCCTCGAAAACGGCAACTGGGACCCGCAGACGGCGCTGGGCCTATTTGAGCAGGCCAAGCCCACGCTCCCGGCCGAGGCATTCGTTGCTGCTCCCCCGATTTGAAAAAGTTTTCTCTCTTTGCATCACCTGGCATCAGCGCGGCCGCTTTTGGCCGATTTTGACGATACCCACAGTTTCCATTGGATTTGCATTGCATAGCATTGGCGTTTTTTACAATCATGTTGCGAGTGAGGAGTGGTTTTTTAGTTTTCTTTTTTGCTCGTTAGAGCTGCATAAATCCTCACTGCTGCGAGGGAGGGGGTTGAGAAGGGCGGGCATGGGATCAGATCAGATTGTGGACTAGAAGGAGCTCTCTCTCGTTGCTGCATGGGTATTGGAATGGGGTTTCTGTGGCATTGCGTTGCGTTGCATTGCATTGCGTTGCGCGGAGGAAACCACTACGGGACTATGGAAATGCAAGTAGTAGTCGTCGGCCTCTAGAGATTGTGGTTGTGCTTGTCGTTTGATTGATTTTGATTTTGATTCTCTGCTCTTTTTTCTTTTCTTTTCTTTTCTTTTCTTCGTTGCAGTATGCTTTTGGGAAAGCGGACATACATTTGCATGCTGATGCTGCTGCTGTTCCTGCGATGGGACAGGACAGGACAAGGCGGGACAGAATAGGGCGCCAACGGGGCAGCTACACGGTAATAGCTCAAGCCCATCCTGTTGGTTCTTTCTCTACTCTCTACTCTCTTCTCGTTTTATTCTTCACAAGCTTCGCAAGCTTCCAAGCTTGCTTGCACACAAACAAACAAACAACCATGTATCTAGAACCAGAACCAAAGCGCAAGCACACAGCGCACAGCGCCGCTCCAAAACCGAACATCGAGCAGCTAGCTAGCTATACACGACACTACCATACCACACTTCAATCCCCCCTCCTTCTCATAAAAACGTGAAAACGTGAAAACGTGAAAACGTGAAGACCATCATCACAGCCTCCCCCTCCCCCTCCTGCCCTGCAGCTCCTGCAGCTCCTGCCTATCGGCAGAAGCAGTCCCAAGCAAAACCCCCCTCACAGCGCCCTCGTCCCCAACCCGCCCCTCGTGCTCAAAGTCCGGCGAGGTCCCGGCATACGCGATGCGTGCCGCGTCGAGCAGGATGCGTGCGGTTAGGCCGAAGACGAGGAAGCCTGTCTCTTGGCCTTCTTCTTCTTCTTCCAATTGGGAGGGTGTTGTGGGGGAGGGGTTTGTGGAAGTTGATGAAGAGGAAGAAGAAGGCAACGCGCGCGCGGCGCGGGCTTGGTCGGCTGCGGAGGGGGGGATGCGGGCGGGGCGGGGGGCTTGGGTGTCGTGGGGTTGGGGTGGGGTGGAGGATGACGAGGACGACGAGGAAGAGGAAGAGGAAGAGGACGAGGGGGAGGAGGACGAGCGAGGGGTTTGTGCCGCGTGCTGGTACACAACCCTCTGCCCGCGCCGCGGCACAAAGAAGCTGTGGGTGCGCCAGCGCATGCCGCGCCAGGTGGTCCACTCGCCGCGATACCAGGGCGGCAGTGCACCTTCTCCCTCTCTCCCCCCTCCTTTCTCGGTTTCTGTACTGGTGGTGGTGGTGGTGGTGTCTGTGGCATTCGTGATCCCCCGCCCATCAGCGCGCAGGAACGCGTGCAGCGGCGCGGAAAAGACGGCCGAGACTTCGTGGGCGCTGAGGCGGGGGAGGAGGACGTCTTCTGCTGTTGGGAGGGGGGGTTGGGGAGGGTGTTGTGTTGAAGTTGGGTTTGAGGAGGAGGAGGAGGTGGTGGTGGTGCGGTCCGCGACTAGCACTGCGACGCATGGCTTTACGGCCAGCTCGGTGCGCGCGAGGTAGGTTGGCATCTCGCAGAGGTGGACGACGCGCCAGGGCCTGGGGAGGCGGCTTCCCTTCCTACCACCATCCTTCCCACGACGGCTGGCTCCCGGGTCACTCTCACCACCATCATCACCACCACTATCCAGCGGCAGCCCCACCTCCTCCCACGCCTCCCTCCTCGCCGTAACCCAAGGCCCAGTCTCGCCCTCGTCCGCCCGTCCCCCCGGCAGCGCAGCATGTCCGCCATAGGTGCGCATGCCGGCGGCGCGCCGCGTCAGCAGCACGCGCAGGGAGCCGGCCGCGTCGGCGAAGAGGAGGAGGAGCACGGCGGCGCGGCGGGGGTGCGGGAGCGATGCGTATACGCTGGGTGCTGGGGGGGTGTAGGCTTTGAGGTTTTGGAGGGCGGCCTGTGGTGGGTGGGGGTGGTGTTAGTGTGTGGTGGGGAGGGTTTGGGGGTGGGGTTTGAGAGGGGGACGTACGACGGACGCGGGACTCAGGCCTGCGGTCATGCTTGCTGTTAGTGTCGCTGTTGATGCTGTTGATGCTGCTGCTGTCGCTGCTGTTGCTGCTGTCGCAGCCGTCGCAGCAGCCGCCGCGGCGACGGCAGCGGGTTTCGCCATCTCGGCGCTATGTTCTTTCTCCTCCAGTATCGCTATCGTCGAAGCTCTCGTATAGTCGCGTCGTCCCGGTACCTATCTGTGCCGCAATCTCTGTCTATCCGGGCGCCAATTGCCGTCGTCGCTGCCGTGTAGATTGTTGTTGTCCTGATGTCTGACATCACAGCCGCACCCCCCACGCTTGCACAGGCCAGTGGACGCACTCGCTAGGGCGGGGGAGGGAGCCGGAGCGGGGCGGGGCGGGAATGCCGCCCGCTGGGCCAAGGGCCAACCTTGCTACTCTACAGCGACCAAAACAACCACACAGCAGAAGAACCCGGAGTCCGTCAAACCCATGGAGCATGGAGCATGGGCCGTGGACCGTGGACCGTTCCGGGGACGGAGCTCGGCGAGACACAGTCACGACAAGCAACGGCCGCACGGGCTTGACTCAGCACCAAAGACTCAAAGCGGGGTTTAGAGACGAGGATCAAGCACTGTGGCTGTGGCTGGTGAGCAGCCAGTGTCCTGACCGAGACACTGCGCGATTATCCAGCGCAGCTACGTGCTAGCTACGTACCATGTACATGTGCATGTGCGGTGTACCTCGCAGGTACGTGTACACACAAGACAAGGGCTTCGACAGGAACGAGGCAGTGCGGTGAAGAAGCGCGAAACTTGCGCACAGGCAGGGAAGTACCACGTAGGTACGTGGTAAGTGATGTGATGGGATGGGGTGTGAGGTAGCCAAGCTGTCAGTCTGAGGTCACTGGTCAGTGTAGGTGTGTTGTTGTTTGGGATCTACGCATTACCTACCATAGTGCAGTAGCCGGTCGATCAAACAGTCGGCTGGACGGGCAAACAACCAACCACCCAGCCATCCACTCCACGTAAAATCCGAAAATCAAAAGCTGACAAGATCCGCCATCCGATAATCTAATCAACAATTAATCAAATAATCAACAATCAATCAAATCACCCAACTCTCATTGCTCTACATGCGTGTACGCTCTATCTATCAAATGGCAAACCCAAACCAAGCACCCACCCACCAGCCCATACGCCTATTGTATTCCAGTATCTAAAGCACCAACGCCAATCCGATGCCTACCTACCCGTTTACGCCAACGACAAACGACCAACTACCACGTTCTGATTTGTGTATTGTTTCTCTACTCTCGTGCGGATGGATGGATGCTCTAGGACGTGCTCGTAGTCGTAGTGTGACAAGCAGCCGTGATTTAATGAAGCCAAGAGTCCGAGAGCTCGTGCAATGCTATGCAATGCAAGCAAGCAAGCCAAGCAAGCCAAGACGCCGCACTGCTCTAGTACTCTAGTATGCGGGCGGGATGAGAGGCAGAAAATGAAATGGAAGAAAGCTGAGGAAGGAACCAGAGAGAGAGAGAGAGAGAAAGAGAAAGAGAAAGGGGAGGGAGAGAGAACAAAGAGAGAAAAATTAAACAGAAACAGTTGCGTAAAAACAGCCACCTGCAACAAGTTATGCAAAGCTATATCAGACTCCCTCAATGCCGCTCAGCTCAACCCAACCTAACCCAGACCAACCCAGCCCAACCCAGCCCATCTAATCTCATATCCCGATCTCAGCACTCCACTCACGACTCTGCAATGTCCAGCCCCGCCTTCTTCAGCCCATTCAAGTACTCGTTCTTCAAATCGCCCGCAGTCTCCGCCTCCGTCTCCGCAGCCCCAGCAGCAGCACCCTCCCCCACACCCTCACCCCCCTTCCTCTTCAAATCCTCCAGCATCATCCTCTCCACCAAATCCACGCCCTCCTCCTCCGCCTTCGACAACGCACCGCCCTCCTTCTCCTTCTTCGCGCTCTCCTCCGCCTCCCCTCCGCCAGCAGCACCGGCGACGCGCTCATCCAGCGCGAGTTTACTCTCGCCCAGCGCATGGATCTGCTCTTCGATCGTGCCGCGCGTGACCAGACGCACCACGTCAACTGCCCGCTTCTGGCCCACGCGGTGCGCGCGGTTCTCCGCCTGGATGTCGTCCTGCGGATTGAAGCTCGAGTCGAAAATGATGACCTTGTTCGCGCACGCCAGGTTGATGCCCGCGCCGCCGCTGCGCGTCGACAGCATGAAGACCGGGATGCTGGTGTCGCGGTAGAACTCGTCTAGCATGTCTTGGCGCTTGGCGATGGGCGTGCCGCCGTCCATTCGGAAAAAGGGCATGTCGATCGTGTTGAGCACCGCTTCCAACACGTCCATCACCATCGTGAATTGCGAGAAGATGAGCGCGCGGTCGCCGTTGGCCTGGAACCCTTGCAGTAGCTCGACTAGCTTCTTCACTTTGCCAGAGTCCATCCATTCTTCGTCCTTGAGCACGTATTTGCCTAGCACCGATGGCACGTCTTCGCATATCTTGCTAATGTCGAAATCGTTTCGCCACTCGAGATCTTCGTAGACAAGGTCCGGATCGCGGTCGGGAAACTCCTTGACGTACAGACGGACCATCTTGCGAAGCTTTTCATCGTCGTAGATGCGCCGGAAGAGCAGCGGATGAATGGCGGCCTGGCGAAGCTTCATCATAACGTTGGCATGCTCCTGGTTGGGCCTACCCGCCAACCTGTCCTCCAAAACCTTTCGTTGTCTTTCTAGATGCCCCTCGTAGATTGCTTTCTGGCTCGGTACCAGATCGCAGTATTCAACTCTACACGTCTTTGGCGGAAGGTGTTTGAGCACCTGCTGCTTCTTCCGACGCAGAATAAAGGGCGTCATCATGATCCTAGCACGTTCGATGCGTTGTTTCGAAAGAAGCGCGGCGTGATTAGCGTCGGTTGTCTTGGCCTTGTTTTTGAAAATGTACTGAAGATTCTCCTTTTGTTCCTTGAATATGTTGGGCATCAAGAACGCCAGCAGAGAAACCAACTCCTGCAAATTGTTCTGCAGCGGAGTTCCGGTCAACAAAAGCCTAAACTCGGCAGGGATACGCATCAACTCGTTGTAGCGCTTGGATTCGCTGTTGCGCAGCACGTGGGCCTCGTCATAAACGCAGACAGTAGGCTTGAGATTGCGAAGGAACTTGTTGTCGGCACTGTTCCTACACGCCGTGTCGTAGGTAGTGACAATCACATTGATGTTGTCAATGTTCTCTTCAATGTTCATCCTGAGCTCTTCTCTTTCCTTCTGAGAGCCATAGTAAGGCTCAACAACCAGCTTGGGCGAGAATGATTTAAACTCTCTCAGCCAGTTTTCCAAGGTTGATCCGGGAACAATGACCAAGTGCGGACGGTCGGAAGCGCCGGTTTCGTACAGGTGTGACAGGAAAGAAATAACTTGGCAGGTCTTGCCCAGACCCATGTCATCCGCCAGAATACAGCTTAGCTTCTTTGACCACAAGAGATTCAACCAATTCAGTCCCACAATCTGATAGTCCTTCAAAATCAGACTGACGGCCATGACCGATGGCTTCTGTAGGAACTGCGGCTTCCTCGTGGTGATCTTGATATCGCCATCCTCTTCTTCATCCAAGGCTGCAGACGAGCTCGGTGTGCCAATTCCACTGTCTTTTTCGCTCTTCGCCTCTTCCAGACTCAAAAGGTTTAACTCGCCACCCTCTTTTGCCGCACCAGACACATTTATGCCCCATCTCTTCATCTCTGCGGCTAGAGGCTTTGCCAGACCATTGCAATGAGCCACGAGCTCATCAATAGCTTCGTAACCAGTCCACATCTCCTCGCATATATCCATGACCTTTTCTCCAATAGGCTTCCTGGTCGTCTTCTTTTTCCCAGCTTTCGTGGTTGCAGTCGGTGGGTTGAGGTCGATTCTCCGGACTTGGTCTAGGTTCTTGAACGGCCTGCGTGCAATGATTCCTTCGGCAATTTCAATGGTCTGGTTAGAAATATCTGCCAATTCTTTGGCAGGACACGTATTGAGAAAGTTCAAGAGGTTCCCCTCAAGTTCAAGATCTTCCTCTTCCTCTTCCTCTGCGGTTTCAACACCAGGATCAGACTCATCGTCAGATTCTATAGTGATAGGCTTCCTTGCCGCAGGCTTCACTACCGGCTTCTCGGGACTACCGGGCTCTGAAGTCAAAGGTGCCGCAGACTTACGACCCTGAACAAGTCGCCTACGTGTCTTTGGTGGTGAACTCTCTACCGGAGAAGAACGGTCCTCCACAAAATCAGAAAGACGTTGTGGCTGCTTAGCAGACCATTTCTCTTGGATAGACTTGCTAGGCGCAACGTCACGCTTCGCAGTTTGCGTGGAGCCCCACTTGTCTTGGATAGATTTGGTCGTCTTAACCTCCCTCTTGGCAATGTTCTTGGGCTTGATTGGCTGTGGTTTGTCGTCGTCGGACGTGAGATCAATGGTGTTCTTTACTTTCGAAGCCTGTTCCTTGTCCTCCAACTCACACACGTACACCATAGCATCATCAAAGTTCCCTTTCTTAGTGAGAAGCGCATTGTAGTGAGTGGTAATGGAAACATGCGGATAGACGGCTTGCATCCGCTTAACCTTTTGCTGAAGCTCAAAGTCCGGAATGTCATCCATGGTAATTTCCACAGGTTGAGCGCGCGCGGGTCCTTGCTGGCGCGGCGGTTGTTGTGGCCTCCTTCGACCTGCCGCATATGCGCTCGCCGAATCATCCGCTGGTCGCTTTTGTGAACCCGATCCTTTAAACTCAAACTGTGACATGATCTGCTTGAAAGCAGAAGGAGCTTGATCCCCCGCAATATCCGCTATGCGACGCCTCGAGAAGGATGACGGTTTTATGTCGGCCTTGGACAGCTCATCCTCGGACGAGTCGGCGACGGGTGGATCGTCATCGAAGCTGGCCTTGGCCGTAGGCCGTGCCCGGGGAGGAGGACGGAAAATCGTACCAGGCGGAGCTATTCCGGCCATGGACAATTTTGAGGGAGGAGAGGACGAAGGCTGCGCATAGTGGAGCGGAGAAGAAGCGGCGACTTGGACGATGGAGTTCGGATCCGTACGTGCGGCGATGGGAGTGTCAAGGATTTGCGTAGGTTGAGTGACCTCGGGCACTTCTGAAAAAGGAGGAGGCGAGAATCGTGAAAGTGCCGTAGAGTCGTTGTACTGGTTAACAGGAACCGTGGCGATAGTTTCATGAAAGTCGTTAAAGAGGTCGTCACCGCTGTCGTCGGCGGAATTGTAACCGCCCGGCACAGAGCCAGTTTCAGTCTTACGACGCTTGGCGGGCGTGTCTACTATGGGATCTGCATCCATAGCGAGAGGATCTAGAGAGCGGATTCGAGATCTGTGCTGGGTCGGTGAATAGAAGCGGCTCTTTCCAACACGGCGAACAGCAACGAGGTAGGCCAAAGGCCGCGAAAAATCGAGAGCGATGCAAGAGAGACAGCCGAAGAAAGCAAGGACAGTAACAGGGTAGTGAGAGTATAAGTTGGGTGGACAGGATGGCGGGCGCCGCAAATTTCAGTCAAAAAGTGACTTTCACTCCAGAAACAAAGACGCGAGCGCGCTGGAACAACCTCGACGTGCCGGCAGGGATCGTGCGTCAGAGGGCTTGGCAGACGCCTGCCGTTCAACTCGGCTGCACCTTACCGCGGATCAGAACGACACCTCCACACCATCCACCATGACTTCAAGAAGGATTGTCTCGAACGAGCAGACGCTGCTGGAGAAGGACGACGGCCCTTCGGTGCAAGACTCCAGCGTTGCACCCGCGGTCCCTTCGTAAGTGCCCCACGACTTCGCGTTTGCCTGCAGTAAGTAGCTAACCGGCCGTGCAGGTCAGTCATTATCAAGCTGCTTGGCTTCACGCTTGCCATGGTTACGCTTCCCATTGGAACTTACTTTCTCACTGTCAACTCCGTCTTCAAGGGTAGATCTGTCCCGATTCCTGCTTTTCCACGTTTTGCTAAATCGTCCAGGAAACTCTACGTTTGCTGGCGGACTGGCAGCCGTCGTGGCCAATGTCGTCTTGATTGCCTACGTAATTGTTGCAATGAAAGAAGACCAGTCGGAAAGGCTGGAGGTTGAGAAGAATGCGAAGAAATCACGATAGGCATCTATGTTGAAGCCGATCACAAGGCAGTTGAAGCCTGATCAATGCCAGCATTAGGATCTCATCTTAACGAAGAAATAAAAGCCGGATGAATTATGCCCATCGTGTGTATCTACGGATGAAACTCCTGATAGGCCGAAGTGGAAGCCTTGCCACAACGCCGCGAATTAACCCTCCAGCTGAATCCAACGGCTCCGTTCTCACGAACGGAGTCTCAGAAGACCAAGTCCATCGCCTAATAAATGAAACCCTATTGCCGGAACGCCTGCCGTAATGCAGAACTTATCGCTTATTGTGCCATTACGTCCTGCGCGCTCATACCGTCATTACATTCGCCATCAGATGACACGGCCACTCTCACATAAACACCGTGGCCAACTGCGCAGACAATCACTTAGTCTTTGCTGAATTTCCGCTTGAACCAACTCTTCCTCTTGTCGCTATCCGCAGTCTGTACTTGCGGACGACGTGGAGCGGCGGCAGCACCATTAGTTGCTCCACTAATTGGCTGGGGTGGTGGGCCGTCGCCCAACTTGATCATGTTGCCGTTGGGCCTAGCAGCATGCGGTGGCGGCTGCGGGGGGCTCGAATAGTCTTGTTGAGGATATCCGCCGTTGCGGTAACCATTAACAGGCGGAGCATAGCCGCGATTGGCATAGTCGTATTCCTCCGCGATGGGGTCTCCTCCGAAACCATTGAAGCCATACTGCTCGTTGAGGTCTGGCTTAGGGTTAGGCGTAGTCCTCTCGATGGAGCTGTTCTCGCTGCTCGGGTCGGTCGAATTACCCCAAGGCTCCCCACTGCTGTTCGAGGCGCCGGTGTTCACCGTGTCGCGAGAATGCTGGTAATACTGGCTGGGGTATGGCCCCTGTCCCTGCCCCTGCACCGGGCGGGGCACTGTGATGTCGGCTTGTATGCGCTGACCGTAGCGATTGCGCGTGGGACCAGCGACAGGAGCCGCTCCATAAGTGTCATTGTAACTGTCACGGCCACGAGCATAATAGCCGCCATTAGAAAACCTGTCGCTTTGGTCGTTTCCTGTAATATATTAGCCTTTGTTCCAGTGCCGGATTCGTCAACGCCAAGCCGGCCTGCGCGGGCGCTCGCAGGTCGAAATGACATATGCAGCCTTGTCCCTGTCGCCCCAGTACGACCAAGCGACAAAAAGACAACCAAGACTGCGATATCGTCTCAACGCTCGAAATTGCAAACGTACCTCCATAGTAGCTGCTCCTGCGGCTCGTGTACCCGCTGAATTGCGGCGTCGACTCTGTAAACGCCATTAGCCTCCGCCGCCTAAAACTAATCTTGCATGTATTCGTACCTGACTTAGGCATCGGCGTCCGCTTGTGACCTCCATCGATAGCTGCCTCAAATGATCGAATAGTGTCGAGTGGCCGCTCCCACCGTGGCCGCGTGGGGTTCGTGAGATCAGGCTCCGCTATTGATCGATCAGCATGCAATGTCAAATCACATAATTCAGAATCAGTGCTCACTGATAAGGTTTCCGTTAGCATCCTTGTGCTGGATGGCTCGCAGCGAACCTAGGGTCGCTTTCTCAAATTGCTGGGCAACTAGAACGATTGTCAGCCTAGGGGAACCCTGCCAGTCATGAAATGTCCTTACTTGGCTGAGCTTCTTCCATTGCGGCAAGCGGATTGGCCTTGGAGGTGCTGCTGAGATGATGCTTGTGCTTCTCGGCGGAAGTCTCGTGGAGGTCCTTGATCTTCGGTCGGGTGATCTTCTCACTCTTCTCGCTTTTCTCGCTCCTCTCGCTCTTAAAGCTGAAGCCGCTCTTTGAGCGCGGGCGCTGGTGCGAGCGGTGCTCCATGTTGGTGTCTCGTTTCAAATAGGCAACCGTGCTGTTTAGAGCCCGAAAAACGGGTAACTATGGGCCTGATAGAGGCGGCAGACGGAGTTTAGAGGGTCTGGGGGCCAAAGCGCGAGTCAAAGACGGGTGCTGGTTCGTTGGCGACGAGCGAGATAGTGGACAGTGCAGCTAGGGCGGAGTGGTCGGGCCAGACAAAGGTGGATGGAAGGATGTTGGCAGATTGCGGTGGACTAGCGACGGGAACGGGAGGAAAGTAGCGACGGCAAGGCGAGGGGAGGAGGAGAGGGGGAGAAGTAGAGTGAGCGGGCGTCAAGGGAGCGAAAGTTGGGGGGGAGTGAGCAAAAGTACGTTTGGCGTGGCCTGGCCTGGTTACGACAGCTCAGCGCAAGCGACGAGTCGACCCACGACAGGGATGCGTGATGTGCTTGTCTGTTCGCGGAGCCACCAAGCATCAGCAGCACCAAGCAGCCGCCGGCTTGCAAGCTGCCCGCTACACAGTACGTCGCACGTCTGCACCTGGCTTTTCGCTGCACGGCGTCGCCCCTCCCGCTGCCCGCTGCCCGTTGCCCGTTGCCCGTTGCCCATTAGCTGCTTGTAGCTACCTAGAGTACATTACTGCTGCACACCCCGATCGCCCATCACCGCATATCACGCCTCTCTCAGGCGCATGTAAAAATAGTGCGTGCGCTTCCCCGCCGCCATCCGTCTTGCCGTGCACGGTTAGCCCCGCTGCACCGCCAATCGAGCGTGTGTGGCTTGAAGAATTCCTGAGCCTTCCGTCATGCTCCATCGGCTGCCGGAGAGGCTTCTTTCCCGCGACTGCCGCTGCCTCGGCTGCGCCGCAGAACCGTGTCCGTCCTCCCATCCTAACCAAAGCCATCCGTCAGACTTTCGGCGTGCCAGTCGATCCTTTCCTTTGCCAAGTCGGTAAATCGCGATCGAGCTACGGATGTCGCTCCGTGTCCTGCCAGCTTGCGAAGATGCCAGCCCCAATGACTTCAGATCTGCGCTCATCATTGAGCTAATCGGGTATCAAGTTTAACAACGAACGCGCACCTCGACGCGCTAGCCTGCACTGCCCCTACATCTGATAAGATGGGGGAGGAAACTCGAATACGACGACGCGAATACTAGCTACCATGTACGCGTACTACGACGTTGTGGCGACGCAAGCCACAATGCCAAATACCTTGGACGCGTCAGCGCATGCCGCATGCGATTTGCGGCCGCATGCAATTCACACTTCCCCATATACTCAACGTCCCCGCGTGCTGCCATCACCTTGGTCCCCCACCCCGTTATCAGCGACTGGTTTATCCCGCACCCACCTGCACGCGAAGACACTGCAGATCTGACAGGTACTGGGTGCGTACAACCCGGGATACCGGCGTCGATGATGCCCGAAACCTGAAACATGAGCAACCACCACCTCTTGGACCCTATCGGCTTACACGATAATGGCTAAACGCACAACTTGGCTCATGCAGAGTGCCAGATGATGCGACAACCCACCCACGCAACACTTCAGCTGGAAGCACAGCTAATGCAGCAAAATTATTCAGAGAACATTAGGGTCTGCATCTAACAGCCGTGTGCGCCCAAGCCCTTCCGATCTGTCAGGTACAAAGAGTTGCCCACTAATGCAGCGAGATAACCTCCAACTTGGCAAGGTGACACGGGAGAGCTTACCTTGCCGGTTGATGACAGGGGCAACGTGCATATTCAAAGACACCGGGTACTTGATTACGGGAAGGAGTTCGCCCGCTAAACCGGAGCCAATCTTGGAGAAGACGACTATGTCGCCTGAATTCGGAAGACCTGGACAAACGTGACTTCCGTCCCTGAGCATAAGAAAGAAGTATTGATTTAGAACTACCTTGGATCTTGCGCCACCGTACAGACTAATCCGTCCTGAGCAAGGCAAGGAAGTATAAAAGGAGGATGGATCTGCTGTTTTCCGCGCCCAGCATTATGGATGTAATTCCCAGCATCTCGTCGCCTGCTATCAAGAGCAACTAGCGCTTTAACTCGGCATCATTTGCAGCCATCATTCTGCCCGCTCCTACACTGCAGAGTCGACCCAACACCTGTACTACCGGCCGCCTCACATGCTCGTTTCAACCTGATGCATCCCACCAGCTTCCAATCCGCCACTTGTACAGGACAACCATAATAGCAAACCGACATCTTCCCTAATATACTCCATGGCCCTATTAATCGACTGGATCGACCGGAAGTCGATGTTGAAGACCAAAACGTGGATTAAAACCAAGGAATTATACCATACAACCTTCCTTGTAACAATTGGGCCAACATGAAATACCTCCATCAGCTCGGAACGGCCGAAGATACAACCCGTTTATTGAAGGATGTACCCTGTCAAATTGCTGAGGGTACTAGGTAAGCCGGAGCAGTAGGGCAGGGATTTCCCGACAGAAATGACCCACCCTTAACTTACTTTGGACCACCCCTCAAGTTAGCTGCTGATATAGACTGGAAAATACTAAAGAACAGCACGCTTTGTCGACGAATTCCCGGTGTAGTTCAATCTTGTAAGTGTTCATGTTTCAAAGAGAAATTACTAGCACAGCCTCAAGTCAAATTTCTCTTGTGCTCGGGAACGGAGACACAGTTGCCGATGCATGGGTCCTCTGCACGGGTCCTCGGCACAAAGTACGGAATCAGTCGCCTAAGTCATCCATCCGGAGCATCCGGAACTGCGGATCTTTCCATCCTTGGTGGACACGGTATCACGTTGCAGTGGGAGTCTCAGCTTTTCCCCCATAATATCTGAAGTTGGTCTGGATTTTTAAGTCTAGACACACGGTCTTCAGATGGTTGTGGCTGCCTGGTTCTGGACCACCACTTCAATACGAGAAGCTTCTGGAACAGGAATGGTGCGTCCATGAAAGAAGAAAAATTGTCACGCGACCTTTGCGAAAATGGCAACGGACCGAGGATAGTATGAATCGACGATGGTGGCTGGTCGCAAATAATAGGCGTTCTGAAGGCGAGGATTGTGCAGTCTTTGCAGGATCCTCTTCGCAAAGCCTGCAAAGAATGGCAGAATGGGCGCCGACCAAGGCACCAAGGTTTCGGAAGTACCCCTGCGGCGACCGGTGAGCACGGGCCTGCATGCCGGGTGGATTTCTCACTTCCCCAGCAGTTCGGGCTACCCGTTGATTGCACGCTTCGAATACGAAAAACGTGGCGAGTCGGCTTGCAATTCACATCTCCAAAACGGGAAGGAGACATGCGTCGCTGCGCCACAAACGGTAGCACCAGTGCCTCTAGTGAGGTGCGGCTCTGCCGTGTACCAACAATTGACATAGAGGCTCTCGCCGCAAACGTTTTCTCATTGTTTAAATTTAACAAGTAATGTTTGTCTTTATGTTTGTTTCTTTGTTTGTTTAGATCTCTCAGCTATGGATTGTCAAATCGCGGCCGATGCCATGAGCTGACGTTAGCAATAACAAAATATAGCTGCAGATCATTGCGGGTAAGCACTACCCTAGCATCAAATAGTGTCGATCTATAAATACTCGTACGATACCTCCGTCAGCTCACTTCAAAGGTTTGCTCTGGCCCCAGCTGCCTTGTGTGCAACGTCTTCATACATATCATATCTGTTCAGATCAGCACTGGGCTTCGTCATCAACGTCTTGGCTACTTACAAGTTCATTTCGTCAATTGTCAATTTATCCTTTTCATTCGCAACTTTGTAAAAAGGATTCGTTGTGTTGCTCGAAAAACCAATGCGCTCAGCCATGTTCAAGCGGGCTCTGGCGCTTGCTGCTTGCACCTTTGTTGCTCGAGGCTTCCGCACGTCTTCGTAAAGTTGCAAGATCGATTTGATATCGCCACGGAAGTGTTTCTTGCTGAAGACAATGCCAAGAGCAGCAGCATCTTCGATCGCCATACAAGCTCCTTGCGACTGGTCAGGCATCATAGGATGTGCCTGTAGGCCTGTTCGTCAGTGATGCCTTACTTTAGCGAGATTAGAGCGACTCACGGCATCGCCCATGATGCAAGCTACACCCTTTTGCCAATACGAATACGGCCGATGCACCCACAGCCTCCAGGGACGAATGTCGGTTGCCACTTTCAAGCTAGGAAGAGTCAGCTCAGCCTCTAGATTATACCGATGGATATGCTTACTGATCCAAGACGTCTTTATCCAAGTCAGGATACGGTGACAACAGCTCTTCTCTTGATGCTTCGTACAGCCATCCCTCATCACCAAACTTGCCCTTCTCGCGCGGGAAAAAGCAGTAGAATGACAAGACTTCGCCGCCTTTGCAAGGGGAGAAAACGATCTTATCAATACCCTGACCGCCCCAGTACTCGATGCCACTGTTCGCAGCGAAGTCTTTCAACCCTAGCTTTTGCGCTAAACTCCTATCCACATTCGCGTGGAGACACGTCGAGGTCGAAGGCTTGCGGTCCGGGACAATACCTATAATTTTTCGGACGGCAGACTTCACTGGTTAACTTGAAGCTGTTTTCACAAAAAAGAGTCACTTACGCCAATGCCGTCTGCTCCGATAATGCAATCATGTTTGACCGTCTTTCCGTTTTCAAACGTGATGACGCCCGTGTCAAGGTCAATGTCCTTGCATTTATGATCAAGCACCAACTGCGCCGGGACGCCTTCGCCGTCTCCCACCGCAGCATCCATCAGCATCTTATGCATATCCTGGCGGTGGAACATATTGTAGACCTATAACCAATCAGCGACATCACGAGACCAGCCACACATCACACTCACCTCGCCCCAACGCTGCTCATAGTCAGCAAGGTCATAGACGTTGCCCTCGGCGCCCGTCCCCCATTCATGCCAAATTAGCTTACGCAGGACGACGGGTCGGCCCGCCGCAACATCAACGCCCCACTTGTGCAACCAGCGCGTCCCGTTTGCGGCGCAACTAATCGAGGCACCGACCTCGCCGGCGTAGTGGGCGCGCTCGTAAACGGTGCATCGATGCTCAGCGCGCCGCAGCGCCGTCGCAGCCGCTAGGCCGCCGATGCCGCCGCCAACGATTGCGATCGACAGCTGCCGCCACGCCGCGTGGTCTGGAGTCGAGTTCGCTTCTGTTGCCATGGTCTGTGTGCCGGGTTTGCTGCTGCTGCCGCTCAGGGCCGCCCCACGACGTAGCCTGCTATATACATCTGACTAGAGACGGATGCCCGGCAGGGTTCCGTCGGAGGCGGGTCGGCGCGGCCCGTGTCCGTGTCCGCGTCCGGATGCGGGGTCGCGATAAGCTTACACCCCCACTCTACTCTTTCGTCCTGACGTTTCACTTGTGTAGATAGCACGGCTTCGGAGGGCTGAAACGAGATTTCATCCAAGCATATCACCAGTATCTATACGCACACACTACGACAACAATCGGACGATCATGGAGCGCGCTAAATCTCCCATCCCGCTCCCGTCGGCGCCGTCGTTCGAAGTGGGCCCTAGCATAGTTGTTCAACCACCGCAGTCGCGGCGGGGATCAGGGCCTGGGTTGGTGCTTTTGGTGGATGAGGGATTGCCGTTGGGGCACGGAGAGGGAACATTGGATCCACCGCCTTTGCTCAAATGGGCAGAGGAGGGATTCGCGGTGGCTCAGGTCACGTTATCTAGGGGAGAAAAGTTTGAGGAGAATCTTCGACGAGCATTGAAAGAATTGAAAGAGCTGGATACATGCGACCAAAAGGAACGGTTTGGGTTTATATGTGAGTCGTGCGTTGGCCTGATAGCTTGCGAACATCACTGAGTATGCACAGCTTATTGCTCAGAATTGGAGGACCATGTTGTCGAAGCAATCAGTGTCTCACCAGCCATCGCCGCCATCATCACATATGCCGGGCGCATGCAAATGCATAAGCAGCCCTACCTCTCCCACACCAACGACTCCTCGGCATCTTCCGCACCATCCACCAAACACTACACCTACCCCGGCATAGGAAAGCACTTCATCCTCCCCGCCCACGCCTCCTACGACGGCGCAGCCGCAACGCTCGCGCACACGCGCTCGCTCGCGTTCCTGAAGCCCCTTGTCGGCGGCCCGTGGTTCGACCTCGAAGCCATATGGGAAGAGCACACGCGGTACGAGTTCGGCGAGCGGGCGGTCGCGAAGACAATGTCGACGATGGTCGCCGAGCCGTATGTCAACGACATCCCGAATCTGACGGGCGGGATTGGCCGTGACGCCTTGACGGCGTTTTATGCCCGCCATTTCATTCATGTCAATCCGAAGGATATGGGTCTGAGGCTTGTGAGCCGCACTTTGGGCATTGATAGGCTGATTGATGAGTTTGTGTGTGAGGGGATGCATGATCGCGTTATTGACTGGCTGTGAGTCTTTTCTTTTTCTTTTCTTCCTCATCCTCGCCCTCCTCGTCTGTCTTCTTCTTCTTCTTCTTCTTCTCCGCCGCCGCCCTCAGGGTCCCTAGGTTTCATCCCCTCTCTCTCCAAGGGCCTGCCACATACATGCCGTACGGTACAGTTACACACCTAGCTAACGCACACCCCCGGGTGCCCCAGCCTCCCCGGCGTCCCGCCCACGAACCGCAAATTCGAGGTCCCGTTCACAGGCATCATCAGCATCCGCGGCGACCGCCTCTTCCACGAGCACATTGCATGGGACCAGGCGACGCTGCTGCGGCAGCTGGGGCTGCTGCCTGAGGTGTGTCTCCTTCCCTTCCCTTCCCTTCCTTTCCTTCCTTTCCTTCTTTCCTTTCCACTCCCTCACCATACCAGCCCGCAGCTAACAGCACGCGCAACAGTACCTCCCCTTCCCCTACCCCCTCCCCGGCCACGACCCCCCACCCCCGGGCAAGCGCCTCGAGTACCGCGTCCCCGCTGTCGGCGTAGCTACGGCACGCAAGCTGGAGAGCGAGACCGCGGTGCCGTCGAATGAGTTGTTGGAGGTGGGGGCGGAGGGGCTTGCTGTTCGCGAGGTGGATGATGCGTAGGTGTTGGGAGATGGGGAAGTAGGGGAAGTGAGGTAATTAGGGGGAAAGAAGTACGGGAGGGTTGTTGGGGTTGTTGGGATGGTTGCGTGTGTAGGTAGGGCTGTTGCTGTAAAGGTGAAAAAGATCTATATAAAAATGAACGGGAGCGCGAGAGCTTTGGCGGGGGTGTGTTGGGTGCTATGTACGGCAGTGTCGGTGTGTGATATAGGCTTAATTAGAACCTTCTCTGTGAAGTAGGCAGCGACTACTAGAAGCGGACTTAGCGAGATCAAGCCTGCCTATTAAATTACCTGGGATTTTCTAAAAGTAAATGAAATTTAAACATGTTCTGGGGCCGTATAGTACGTACCGCTTTAACTAGGATTACTTAGTTAAGTAGAGACTCTTGACACACCCGACTTAGGGAGATATATAACCCCGCGGCCGAAAGAGGTGGTAGTGGATACTAATAATCAGTTATTGCCGCCGGTTACGTGGCAGCCATTAGCTGTTGGTAGTAATAGTGAGCGTTAGTAAGAACTACTGCTGATTATCATCTTTTTCGATAAGAAATGGTGGGATTTGAAAACGTAAGTTCGAACTGTTAATGTTCCTATATGGTCTTCGCGTTGCCTTCCATCCTCCCGGGGTGGATTGTTTCTCTTCCGTGCGGGCAGCAAAACTCCATGGTCAGGAGCTCAATGACCACATCACCCTACTAGTATTATTAGCATAGGAGATGTTAGATGGGCCCCGTTTTTATACTCTATAGTTAGGTATGGGCGATAGTTGGAAGACTAAAAAGGCCTTGGTTGCATCTACTAGTGTGGCAGCGGTAGGGGTATATAAACCATATATAGTTGCAGTATCCGCCATTAACTAAATTTGTAACGGTTTGTACACTTTCGATTCTACAGCTTAACGTTGACAAAGAGGACATGAAAACATCACCTCCCCATGCAACTGCCCAAGTGCATCCCAAACACAACCCTACACAGCACCCCCCCGCTCCCTAACCCGCCTCTCATACTGCTTCCTCGGGCTCTCCAGCCCCCTCACCACCGGCCGTCTCGGATCCCTCTCCCAAGCCAACACATCGCCCGTCTCGACCAACCAGCGCAACAACACCGCTTCCATCTCCTTAACCACGTGTTCGCACTCGCTCTCCGCCGCCAAATTATGCAGCTCGTGCGGATCCGCCCTTGGCCCACTCCGGGCATACAGCTCGGGCGGCTCATAGAGGCGCCACACGAACGTCCACTCCGCCGAGCGCACCGCAACGGCCTTGCCCACCAACTGCGGCGCCGCATGCTGCAGCGTGGCTTTCTGGTCATACGGCCAGCCCGCGGTCTCGAGCAGCGGCTCCTCGGAAACAAGGAACCCGCCTTCGCTGAACGCGAAGCGTTTCGGGTGCGGAGCGGAGCGCGTCAGGGCCGGGACTAGGGACGCGCCGTTGTGCGCCCAGGTCTGGGGCGCGTGGGCGAGGTGCAGCAGCGTGGGCGTGAGGTCGAGCAGCTCGACGAGGGCGGGGTCCGGGGCGGGGGAGGGGGGGAGCCCGGCGCCTGCGACGAGGAGGGGGGAGTGCACTAGGGGGGCGGAGAGGCCGGAGGGCCATTTTTCGATCAGCCCGTGGTCGCCGAGGTGGTCGCCGTGGTCGGAGAAGAGGAACGTGATGGTGGTGGCGAAGAGGGCGGTGCTGTCGAGGAGGTCGATTAGTCGCCCGAATTGTGCGTCTAGCCTTGTTATCATCCCATAGTAGGTTGCGGTTACTTCGGCCCAGATGGCGGGGGTAGCGCGCGAGGTGTTGTACCGCGATCGGATTGCTGCCATGTAGCCTGGCTCGTGGCCCGTCTGTAGGTGAGTGTTAGTGCGTGGCTTGCTACGTACGTACTACACCGGGGCGAAAATACCTTTTCAGCCAGCAGTGCCGGGGCCGGCATGTCTTCGCGGCTGTACATTGAGAAATAAGGCTCTTCGACCGTAAACGGGCAGTGAGGGAATATCAGCGGCAAGAACAGCACCCACGGCCCCTCCGGCGGATTCTTAAGCCACGTCTCAGCGGACCTAATAGCCGACTCGTCGTAGTCAAACGCCTCGGCCTCGTCTCTCCTTCCCCTGTAGAACAGTCTCGACCAGATACTGTCTCTCTCCTCAAGCGGGACCTTGCTAGCCCACTGTCCCTTGAAGTTGGGCGCGCCGAGTTCCGGCGTCTCGAGGAAGCCATGCTCGTCGAAACTGAGCTCCGTCACCGTGGGTGCGAACAAATCGCCTCTCGGCGCTAGGCACGCGACGTGGTAGCCGCTCTCTTTCAGGGCCCGGAAGACGTTCGGCTCCCAGGGCTTGATCAGCGTTTCGATGCTTCGATGGCCGGCCACGTGCGGGTATTGCCCCGTGAACATGCTGCAGCGCGACTGGCTGCACACTGACGCCTGGGTGAAGCAGTTGGAGAAATTGGTTCCGCGCGCGGCGAAGGCGTCGATGTTGGGCGTTTTGATGATCTTGTTTCCTGAACATCCTAGTGCGTCGTACCGTAGTTGGTCGGGCATGAAGAGCACGATGTTCGGTCTAGAGACCGCGAGACCCGTGGGCTCAGGGTCTTTTTTGTAGGGTGGAGGAGTGGCATCGACTGGATTTGAGGCTCCGGACTCTGCCATTGTGCTTGTAGATTTGCTGAAGTAAGGTAAACGGACGGACTGAGAAATACTAAGAGATAGCAGAGCAAGAAGGGCTCAATGGGAAGCAGAGAACATTTTAATTTTTCAAGGCGGCACCTACCAGCACTCGGCAATCGAGGCGAGGAGATACGCAACAACTGTTAATGCGTTAGATAGAAGCCGCTGCGAGCAAGCATTGGTGCATACATGAAGGTGGAGGTGGATCCGATGGCGCCATCGCGGCTGTCGGGGTAGTAGCCGACCGCGACATCCGAGCAATGAGGAGGTATGGGCCGGGATGCCAGACGTCGTCAAGAAAGAGGATGAATAGGATGTCCGCACTTACGTGGTTGTTTCCCTTTACTGATAACGGTTAATGTTTTGGGGGTACAGTGAAATCTCTCTATCATAGAGACAAACCGTTGTAAATGAAGACGAAGAAAAGACCTTAAGCGACGTCCGAGGAGGTCCGCATCCACAAGCAGCAAACTGACAAGCCTGTAACACAAACAAGACCCAATTACGAAGGACAGACAAAAACACACACAACAACAGCGCCCAAACCCCCGCAACGCGCAGAAATACTCTGGATATCCATCCATTCAGCAGCAGCTACATACCAATACCCACTAACCAAATATCCCAAGTCCAAAGTCCAACGACAAGAACCAAGAGAAAGAAGCGACTACCAACATAGGCGCCGGACCAAGGAGAGATCAACGCCATGCTGTATGCTGCCTGCTTGCGTGCTCCAGAGCGAGCGAGAAAGAAACGACCAAGATCAAGAACCCCTCATTGACAAGTGGACGGTAGTACCTAGTGTTCGCACGCACTCACGCTCGCGCTCGTGCTTTCTTCTTCGCTTCTTCTTTGCTTCCTCCATTACCATGATATGGCTGCATGTCCTACCTGCTGTCTCATTTCCGCTGACGATGTGATTGATGGCGGGTCATGACACTGAATCATGCCCGCAATGATAGAACGATGGAAGAACCTTGGCACCCCCACTCTCACCCCACCCCCACATCCCCACTTTCATTCCCCGGCTTCAACGTCCCCCCTTGGGCCTCTGTTGCTTGTCCTGCACGCGCCTGAACCCGCCCCGCAAAACGACGTACCGATCCTGCACGGGATCGTACGCGCCCACCACATCCATCGTGCACCGCGCCTTGGCGCCTTGCACCTCAATGAGCCCAGACACGATTACCGTGCCGCGCGGTGCCTCCAGAGCCATCGGCTTCCAGTTCTTGGCCAGCGTGGCCGAGAAAATGGTCAGTGCGATCGATGGTGGCGGGATGGGCGTAAAGTCCGGGAGACCTGCATTCTTCTCAGCGGGGGTGGTGGGGTTGGAGGAGTTGGCTTTCGAGGACGCGGATGAGGGCGCGCTGCTAGGCGTGTTGTCTTTCGTTGTGGGCGCTGCGACGGTGCGCTCTGACGAAGCAGGGTTGTTGGGCATCGGGTTCGCGCCTGGATTGTTGTTGTTGCTGTTGCTGCGCGAGGCCGCAAGCTGCTGCGCCCGTGCCATGGCCTCGAGCTGCTTTTCGAGCAAATCGGTTTTCGGGTCCGTCTTTGGGCTGAGCCCGACCCATTCCCGTATCCGGTTCATCTGCACCCGCCAGAGGTACTGCGTGCTCGCCCACGCCGACGAGGCGACGGCTTTCGGCCATAGCGCACGTTTTAATCTGTTGTAGCTGACTTGGTCTACCTCCCGCCTCGCCAGTGCAATGTAGTCGTCTCCGATCTCGATGCTGCAGCGCATTAGCAGGGAATTCGTGCGCTAAGCCTCACGTCGAAACTCACCCAGCACGTGCGTACTCCTGCGGGGGTCCGTCAGGGAATGTGATGTCCAACCAGTATCGGCCCTTGGTCACGTCGATAGGTCCGAAGCGACCAGCTAGGTGCTGGTCTCTCGCCACTGTCCCGCGTACCAACATAACGAGCGTGTCTGGCATCAATTAGTATGACCCTCTCGTGCTGCGCGCCATGTCCGTACGTACTCCGTATGTGTTCGTGTCTCTTGCTGTCTCCAGCTATCTTTCTGAACTCCTGCCACTCTGGATCCGATCCTCTGTAGAACCTCCTCGGCAGCGGCTTGGGCCATCCTAACGGTATGAATAAGGAATCGTCTTCATATTCCTCGTCCTCGTACTCTTCGCCCTCTTCCTCGTCTTCGTCGACTATTTCTATGGTCGGCGACAGGACGAAGATGATTGAACCGAGGACAACTGCGGTATAAATGGATCCGTGGATGACGCGCCTGGCAAGATATGCGGTCAGCGACAAGCCCGAGGCGGGCGGCAGAAGCGGGAACAAACCTCCAGGTGAAGAATGGCTGCTTGAAGCGCACCGGCTGTATCCGCACGGCGGCGGGGTGTGCATGGTGTTGGGCGATGCTCCGTCGAGCAAGCGGGGCGGCCTGGCGAAATGCGCGAAGGGAGCGGGCGCCGGTTGACTTGAACATCGGAGAGGAGTTGGAGTGCTCGCGAGGCTACCGCTGGCGGACCGGTGGCGGAGCGGGCATGAAAGTCGTGGCGCGTTGGGGTGGAAGAATGCGGGCTGGGGTATCGTTTGAGGGCGGTTTCGGGGGGGAAAGTAATTAAATTGCGAGTGAGGGAGGACGAGGGTTGAGGCGCTGCGATGGGAAGGAAGAAGCGGCGATTCGGGTTGCGCGCGGGCGAAGACCTCCGGGGCTCTGGCAGGCACATGCGCCGCCGTCATTCCATGGTTTGGGCTCGGCTGAAATAGTCGTGGCCACAAACACAATCTTTCCCTTGTATATTCCGGCCACGACTAAATTATACCACCCGGCCCCGGCGTTTCCTTTCGCCGACCGCCAGCGCCATCATCGACGTGGGCATCGTCACGCCCGCACCTATCAACTCTTCCACTGCACATCCCACCATGAGGCTTTCCGGGAGCTTCGTTGCTCCTTCGCTGCTCGCCCTCACCGGCTCTGCCGTCGCCGGCCCCGCCGTTGGCCATGTCTACATCCACGACGTCGACTCGCCCTCGCATACCGCCTCCGCGCCAGCTCAGACCCTCAGTCCGCAGGAAGCACGCCTTGTTTTTGCCCAGCGGTTGGGTTTGTCCCAGTACCACAGCCTGAAGGGTGCCGCCGAGCAGACGATCCAGTATATCAATGACTTTGGCGGAAAACAACATGCTTTGTTCGGTGATGACGAATCCAGCGACGACGCTAGGCAAGTCATGGTGTTTGTTGAGGGCGTCAAGGACTCTGATGGTACGAGGATCTCAAGTCTCTTTGGTCTTGATTGCCATTGCTAACGGGAGCTGTCAGCCCTGAAACTGGATAAGCTGTCCTCTTTTGTTCTCAGCAATTCGCCCAGCGCCGACGCCAACTCCCGGTTGTTGGAGGATTTCACGCTCCAGTCCGAGCACCTTTCATCGTCACTCCGCGACCATGACTCGCACTCTGTCCCTCAACAGGTCTCCGAGATTCTGCGTGCCATTCCCGAGGATGTCGAGACCAGGACCAGCAACGGACGCATCCTGGCGCACATCAAGAACTCCGCCAACATGGAGGCCGACAAGCTCAGCGCTACTATCCGCCAGCTGGCTGATGCTTGTGCTTCCCGCTTCCCCCTCACGCTCGTCGTGCTGCCTCCCACTTCTGGCAGCGTCTCCAAGCGTGCCTCCAACGCGTACGGCGAGTATGACGTCCCCAAGCGTTCGGCAAACGCGCAGCGCAAGAGGCCTGAAGCCATTCTGTCCGAGTCGGTCAACGACTTCATCGAATCCGTCGAGGACACGATTGCTTCTGCCAGCGAGCTTGTCAGCCACGTGGATGCTGCTAGCCCTCTGAGGGGCATTCTGCCCGCCTGCTTCGCGTCGCAAGCCGCGTGCGAGTCTGCGACTAACAACTGCACCGGCCACGGCAAGTGCTACAAGAAGTACACGGACAAGGACAACAACAACCGGGCCTGCTACACCTGCAAGTGCACGCCCGATGTCAAGCAGACCAAGGCTGGCAAGAAGACCACCAACTACGGCGGCCCCGCTTGCCAGAAGAAGGATGTCGTGATGCCCTTCTGGCTCTTCGCAGGCTTTGCGATTGCCATGTCCTTCACGATTGCTTGGGCCATTGGACTCTTGTTCAGTATGGGCAGCGAGGAGCTGCCGAGCGTCATTGGTGCTGGTGTGTCTGGCCCGTCCGCCAGGCATTAAAAGGCACGCGTGGCCCCAGAGACGTACTTGATGAATGGGGGGGGGGTGGGTGATGCGCGTCTAATCCGTAGAATGAGACGCTGTAGGTTTCAAACTATGTATAGTCACGGTTGTTTCAGGGTGATGGCGTACTGCTTGTTTCGTGTTAGATATACAGATATACAATTTTTCAATTCCTCCAGTCCGTAATGCCCGTCACCGGGAACCGAGATTCACCGCCTAGCGAGACGCGGGACGATACAAGCTGTCCCTATAGAGTATTTCCTGCCTAGCCCACAGCCCGAGTTCTGGGTGTGGGTAAAAAGGTCTTGGAGCACACACAGACTCTACACATCGTACTAGGTCTCTTCTTCTACTCAGTACATGTATTGCCATCTCGCTAAATGGTGAATCTCGCCTTATGGTGACGGACGTTAATGTCTGTCATCATTAGGCGAGATTCACCGCCTAACGAGGTAATGCCGGTTATACGGAGAGAAAAATGCAGTTAAATGTTTATAGTACGTATGCGCTAAGACCTTTTTATTCATATCCAGGACTCAGGCTTGTAGCTAGATGAGTATTCCATAGGGATTGCTTATCCATCCCTATCTCGCTAACGATGAATCTCACTTGACGGTGATGAACGTTACAAAAAGTGATATACATCAGTACGCGCGTCTGGTCCTCTGTTCCAGAAAGCCCAGCCCCTTCACCAATCGACAAACCAAACGCCTCGACACCGGCAAATGCATACTTGATCATATCACACTCCTCTGGAGCGCAAGGCTCTATTTCTTGCCCTTGCTCTTCCTCTTGGGGGTGCCGGGGCTGCCGGTATCAACCAAAACAGCGTCGCTACCGCTGGTGGTCGGTCTGCTGCCAGCGCTCGTCGTGGGCCTGCTGGTGGGGGCCGAGTCTAGCTCTTTCATAAAGTCCTCGGAAATGGCGGCCTTCTTCCTGCTCCACCACTCCTTCTCGGCCTCGGTCTGCGCCTGCAGCTCGTCGACGCGGGCGCGCAGGAGCTGGTTCTGGGCCATTTCGGAGGCGTTCTGGAAGATGGTTTGACCCCAGCCCGGCGCGAATGCGTTGGCCTATACAGAAAAATATCAATCAGAGCGAAGCAAGGGAGAATTGGAAATCGCTAAGCATACCTCACTGACGACGTCCCTCAGCTCAGCCTCAACCTCCTTCTCGGCGCGCTGGAAGCGCTGCCACAGGTCGTCGCCGACGCTGCCCCTTTGGAGCAGAACCTGAAGGGCTTGCTTGGAGCTGCGGAGCTCGACGATGCGGTGGATGTCGTCGACGGCGCGGCGGAGGAGAGCGGCCTTGAGCACGCTGTCGGGCACCTTGGGCTCCGATTCGATGTGCAGCAGCGACAGGTAGATGTTGCGCGTGAGGTGCGGCGGGAACCAGGGCGCGAGCGAGGCGGCTTTATGGGCCTTGCGCGCACGGTAAAGGTGCGAGAAGGTGGCCAAAGAGCCGATGAGCACGCCTAGGTAGGCGAAGGGGATCGCGAGAGAAATCCAGTCGACCATGATTGCGGTTGCGGTGTGGTTATGCGGGTGTCCGCGGCGAAAGAGGGTATGGGCGGCGAGGTTGCTTGGCTAGGAGACGGACGGGTCGACTTGGTGGCTCGCGGAAGGAGTGGATGGCAGCATGGAAGTGCACCGGGCTTTGTGGGTATAGCTGGCGCTGAGCAACGCAAAGGAAACCGTGTCGAAACGGCCTTTCTAATTATGTGCCGCGGTCCACCGCCTTTGGGGCATTGACGTAGCACGCACCGCACGCACCTGGCACGCTGGAAGAGCTTAGGTCCGTTCGGAGCTTCCACCTTCGACTCTTGACTGCTCTTGTCGCAACCGTCGCAACCGCGCCGCTTTCGCTCTTAAACAAATCTCCCTGCACCTTCCCGTTTCCCGGCACCTCGTCTTTTCCACACCAACCCCGCTCCGAGCTTCTGTCTCGACTCACCATCCGCGCGCCACCGACCGCCCGCCCGCTGCCATGATACTCCGCTTCCAGAGCCGGAACGGCCAGTTTCGACTCACCGTCGACCCCAAGGATGACTTCACCTCTGTCGCCTCCCAGATCGCCGAGAAGCTTCCTCCGTCGGTCGACATCGCGTCCATCACTATCAGCCCCAAGCCGCAGGACAAGACGGCTTCGCGGGCGCTCAACACGCTCAAGGGCGTGAGCTTCGAGAAGATCGGCTTGACGTGAGACCATCACCTCTTACACTCCTATACCCCTACGCAGAACTAACGCTGCCCAGGAACGGCTCGCAAGTCTTCCTCGACTATCAAGAACAGGACGCTGCGACCAATGGCCAGGCACCCGCCCCCACCGCCGCGGCGGCGTCACATCGCCTTAACGGCAAGGCCATCGACCCTTCGGAGATTCCAGCAGCTGCCAAGCTCCACCTTGGCCAACACGCAAAGCTCATCAAGAACCCTTGGGAAGTCGTGAAGCAGTCTCCGCTGGACAACCGGTTAGACAAGCTCGATGGCAAGATTCCCAGGCCCCGCGACCAGAAAATGTGTAGGCATGGACCGAAGGGCATGTGCGACTATTGCATGCCTCTCGAGCCGTACGCACCGGAGTACCTGGCGGACAAGAAGATCAAGCACCTCTCGTTCCACTCTTACTTGCGGAAGATCAACTCCGGCAAAAATAAGCCCGAATCCGGAAGCTCATATATGCCGCCACTTAGCGAGCCGTACTACCGTATACGTCCCGACTGCCCGTCCGGACACGCGCCGTGGCCCGAAGGTATTTGCAGCAAGTGCCAGCCGAGCGCTATCTCCTTGCAGCCTCAGGAGTACAGAATGGTGGACCATGTGGAGTTTGCCTCGCCAGATCTCATCAACACTATGCTGGATTTCTGGAGGCATTCAGGTTGCCAGAGGTTAGGCTTTTTGTATGGTCGCTATGAGGAGTACACGGAGGTTCCACTTGGCACGAAGGCTGTGGTAGAGGCGATTTACGAACCTCCGCAGATTAACGAAATGGACGGCATTTCGCTAGGCGAGTGGGAGAACGAGAAGGAGGTGGATGAGGTTGCGCGTTTGTGCGGTATGGAAAAGCTCGGTGTCATCTACACAGACCTTTTAGATGCAGGCGCGGGTGATGGATCCGTTATTTGCAAGCGCCATGCCGACTCGTACTATCTCTCATCGCTGGAAATCGTCTTCGCAGCGAGATACCAGGCAAGGCATCCTAGGCCGACAAAGTGGAGCGACACTGGCCGATTTGGATCGAACTTTGTCACTTGCGTCATCACTGGTGATGAAGAGGGCCAGATCGCCATCTCTTCTTACCAAGCTTCGAACGCTGCGGTGGAAATGGTGAGGTCCGAAATCATCGAGCCGTCGGCAGACCCCACGGTCATGCTGGTGCAAAACGAGGAGGAAGACAATGCTCTTGGACGGTCACGTTACATTCCGGACGTGTTCTACAGGCGGAAGAATGAGTATGGCGCGAACGTGCAGGAGAGCGCGAAGCCGGCCTTCCCTGTCGAGTACCTCCTCGTTACGCTCACGCATGGTTTCCCTACGGCGCCCAACCCGCAGTTTACTCAAGGTTTCCCGGTGGAGAATCGCGAAGGTTTGGGTATCACCCAGGAGATCGGCGCGCTGGCGAAGCAGCTCAAAGCAAAGGACAATGGTCTGCAACTTAGTGAACCGACCGGCCTTGCTGCAGTGGCAGATTTCCACCTCCTCTGCTTCGTTCACGGCCTCGATATCCTGAGCAAGGTATGTTGCGAAATCACCGGTTCATCCTTCTCTACTAACCTATTTTCCCCGCACAGGACGAAGAGCAACTCCTCTGCCGCGTAGCAACCTCGCACGACGTGTCTGTCGGCACTCAGCTGCAGTTCACGCCAGGCTGGGCGACGCTATTGACCATTCTGAAAGAGACTGGTGAGCACTCCTCTACATCCCAGCAATTCACACGACACGAAAAAGACCCTTCAGTTCGCGCAGGACCGTCAATGTCCGAGGCAGGCAGCCGCAGCCGCAAGCGCGGCTTTGCCGAGGTTGACGACGGCTCCACCATATCCTCCCAACAAAGCCCCAACGGCACCGACAGCGAACAGCTTGCTAAGCGCGTTAAGGGCGTTAGCTTGAAGTGATTTGATGCCGATTTCTTGCAAAGGAGGTCGGGGTCGAAGCACCTGTCTTGCAGCTCGCTAGGTCCTCTTCTCCTCGTCGTCGTCGGCTTCGTCGTCCCCTATTATACATATACAGCACCCACCACCACCACCTTGCAAACCCTCCTAGCAATACACTAGTACCTAGCCTCGCCGCGGCCCTCTTGCTGCTTCTGCTGCTGCTTGCACACGCTCGCCAGCCGTCACTCACACCTACCTTCCTTCCCTGTACCGAGCCTTCAGCCAATGCCGAACACACCCCTTACCCACCCATCCACCTACCCATTCTTCCAAGCGCGCCTCATTGCGCATTGACTATCTACTTCTCCTTTCTGGTAACGCGGCGTTAGATACGTGGAAGACGAGCATGAGCACGGAAACACGGCCTATGACAGCAGGGGGCGGGGGGAATGATCAAGACGATGCCTTGCTTCTTTTTCTTTTTCCTTCTTCTTTCTCTGAGAATTCTGCGTCTTCTGAATCTTCTGAATCTTCTTCGGAGTCTTCGTTTCTTGCTGCTAGCTCTTGGCTTCCTGGCTTCTTGCGCGCTTGCTTGCATCACGGGCTCTGGACTGGCGATGGCGATGGTGATGGTGATGGCGGCGGGAGTGGCCGTGGCCGTGGCGGTTTTGTGCTCGTTCTTCTCGCTAGGTTGGTCGGTTGGTGGTCGGTGCCGTAGTGGAGTGGAGGTGCGGGTGCTCGGTGGCGTATGGCTGGTCGGGGTGAGCGGGCGTGCGTAGGTAGGTAGGTAGGTAGGTAGGTAGGTAGGTAGGTAGTAGGAACGCTGGCTGACTGGCTGGCTTGGAGTCGATGCGCGCGCGGTGCGTGAAAGAAAGTGCGTTGCTGTCTGCTGCCTCTTGGGTTTTTCTACCATCGCTTGCTCTGCCTGGCGGTGAAAGCTCTTCCGTTAAGCATGTATGTGTTTACCTCGCGGGATCTAAGTCGGTGCCGCGCTTCCCTGTCATCTATTTCTACCACCGCCACCACCACGACATGAAGATGCGGTTCTTGGCCTCGCCTACTAGTTAACTAACATTTACGCATGCGAGTCACGCCACCCGCACACAGCACTGGGTGTGGGATAGGTAGATAGATTAGGATAGATAGGTTAGGTTAGGCCGATCCGATCGGCTCGGCTTTTGCGCCTAAAGAGGTAGGTAGGTAGGTAGGAGGGATTGGGAGCGGACCAATCGGAGCAGGGGAGGAGTGAACGTGGAGAGGATGCTTGCGCGTTTGCTTATATATAAGTAAGTTGTTTGTTCTACTTTGTTTTTCGAGTCTGTTGCGTTCTTCCCTACCTAATCTCATTCAGTTGTCGTCTCCGTCGTCTCTCCTCTCGAAAGTCCGCCTAAAATGAAAATAAAAAAACTCACCCCGCGGCTCTGGTCCGGGGTTTTGCTCCTATGGGCGACTGCTGCTTTTGCTGTTGCTGCTGCAGAAGAGGGGGCAGCGCAATTCAACCCCCTGCACCATCTAGGCGGCAATGGGCAGTGGTTCCCTGGCCCGGATGTCTGGGGCTTAGGCTCAAGTCTGCCCGCGGGCTGTGGGGTGCAGCGGGTGGCGTTTCTGGCGAGACATGGGAGCCGGTTTCCTGATGCGGGGGCTTGGGCGGAGTGGGTTGCATTGGGGGAGAAGGTGAGATATGGTGTTTTTCTTGATCGTTTTGGTTGATTTAACAAATGTTTGTCACGGTGATGGGAGGGGAAAAGGGAGCGGGAGTGAGAGCGTAGGAGCTGGAACTAACCACTCTCTCACATAGATCCACGCCGCGAACTTCTCGACCCGCACCCCAGAGCTCCACTTCTTGCACACCTGGCACCCCGTCCTGACGGACCCGGCTAGCCAGCTCACGAATCTCTCCCGCACTGGCAAAGCCGAGCTCAGCGCCATGGGCGCCGCGTACCGCGCGCGCTATCCTGCACTGCATCCCTCTGCTTTCTCCGCTAACAACAACACCACGACGCCGCCACTCGCCCTATTCGCAAACGCCTACGCCCCCTCCCCCCGCGTCCTGGACTCAGCGCAGCTGTTCGCACGCGCGTACCTCGGCCGCAGCAACACTAACAGCACCCACGCGGGCACGATCTACCTCATCAACGCGACCGCGCCTTACCCCGCGCTCTCCGGCAACTCGCTCGCCCCGACGGACGCCTGCCCGCGCTACGTCGACAACAGCGGCGGCAGCGCCAAAGACGCCTGGGACGCGGCATGGGCGCCACAAGCCGCGGGACGGCTGAACGCGCTGCTAGACGGGGGGTTGGCGTTTGCGGCCGAGGACGTCAGCACGATGGCGTATCTGTGCGGGTTTGAGAGCCAGATCCTCGGCCGCGTGGCCGCGTGGTGTGGCGTTTTGACGGGAGAGGAGGTGCTGGCGTATGAGCGCGCGCAGGATATTAGGTATTGGTTTGGTTCGGGGCCTGGGAATGGGGTTGGTAAGGCGGCGATGAGGGGCGTGCTTGGGGGGGTGTTGGGGTGGTTGGGGGGTGGGAGTGGTGGGGGTGGTGATGGGAGTGCGGTTGGAGGGCAGCGTCTGCTCCCCCTCTTCGCGAACGATGGCCAGATTGCGCAGATGGTCGCTGCGTTGGACGTGTTTGCCGATGGTGAGGCGCCAGCGTTAAACACCACAGTGCAGAAGCGGGGAAACGGCACGTTTCGCTCGAGCCACTTCGTCACGATGAGGGGGACTGTGACGCTGGAGCTGTGGGGCTGTTCTGCCTCAAATTCCTCCTCCTCCTCCTCCTCCTCTTCTTCTTCTTCTTCTTCTTCCACCTCTCCGTCCTCTGTCTCAGCACTACCAACCTTCGTGCGCGTCCTGCTAAACGACGCGCCGTACCCGCTGCCCTACTGTGCTGGGGGTCCGGGGCGCACGTGCGAGCTTGCGGAACTGGTTCGTTATGTAGAAGCGAAGAGGGCGGCTGAGGGCGGGTTTCAAGGTGTTTGTGGGTTGGATGATGAGGGGGATGGCGAAGCAGTGCCGTTTTTTGAGGATGTGGAGAGGGGGGTGGGCGAGGGCTGGATGTGGGGGGTTGGTGTTTAGTGCGAGGGGGAGGAGGGTAGTTGGGGTGGTGTGGATGTGTGTTGTGTACTGTATACTGTGCTGTAGTAAATCGTACTATATGAAAGGATTTTAGAGCGGGTAGAAGTATCTTTTCCGCTAGCCTAAATATAATACAATATCACTGAAGAAACAAGATCTGCTTTCCAGGAAGTGGTATCTCTATCTGCTGACTGAGGAAATTATAAAGCGCTAATTTGTGGAATCGGATTCAACATGAAATGGACTTCCTATTGTTTCAAGAAGAATCCCCTATAAAAACTCAACTAACTGGCGGACAAGAAGCTCCACATCTGGGTCCTCTGCAAGATCGTCCTCATCTAGAGAGATACCATAACCAGCTGCTTCCTCCTTGGCCTCTTTGTATGGTCGGAGTATATCAAAGAAAGCGATCAATCCCTCTTTAACACGGTTGCTGGCCTCAGTAAGCTGCTGGCGTGCCATGTCTTTCTTGATCCGCAACTTCCAGTCTGCACACGGTTGGTAAGATTTTCGCAACACTTGACAAAGAAGGTCCTCGCGCTGGTCCGATATTGAAGCATCTGGTTCTCTGAGGAAATAGCATGGATGAAAGCCTTTCACAACGTGGACCTGGCGAGAACGAATCGTCAACCGCCGCACTTCCAAACGACAAGCGCCGTCCACTGATGAGCAAAGGTCGCGTGCAATGGGATGGTCGAAGCGGCCCCAAGTCTCGTCGAGCTGGCCTTTGGTCAAGCATTGACAAGAAATTATTGCGTTTGGCTTGAAAATGTCGAGAAATTCGATTGCCAGATCGAAGGCTTCGGGGATGGCTTTTGACAGTTCTTCGAAGGTCATAGTATTGCGTTTCGCTTTACTCAGGAGAGGAATAATGTCAATGATGACAATGTCGTCCAGCGAAAGGCCTATACTGGTGAAAAACCAACTCAGCCAGTCGAGGGTGGGAGAGTGCTCAAGCATTTGGTCGTAGTCCTCATCGTGGAAGTTGCAGGGATTGATCAGTAACAAGACTGGGAAAAGCAGGTTTCCTCGGAGAAGCCTTTTGAAGTTATCGGAATTTTGTTCGGGAAGATTCCAGCGGTCGCAGAAGCGTTGAGCTTTTGCGAAGTACTCATGATTTTCTTCGATAAGAAGTTCTTGATGTGTTTGGTCCAACTTTGGATTCAAACATTCGTTGACGAATTCATCTGTGGAGATAGTAGTTGGCGGGCGCTCCTTGAGGTAGAAAGAGCTGAATCCGACCGGGTCCTCGATTGTGTTTTCGAAATCTCTGCGGGGGGCATCTTTGTCTCTTCCTAAGGACAGGCGTTCCAGTTCTGTAACCAAATTTGGAAGAATAGAAGTCATGGAGGCAGACACTGGCAGAAGTAGATAAAGTGCTTCGTTATGCCGGGAAGAAGCTGTATAGATCAGAACATTTATAACCTAGCGCTAAGGCATCTAATCCCTCACTGAGATAGATAGCATGCGAGAGCATAGCCGGAGTTCTTGTTTCTATATTCGCTTGCAGACCGGCAACTGAAGGTTAGTTTATAATTTATCACTGCAAACGGTCCACATAATTGCGTCCGAAGGGAAGCTAAAAACTATCGGTACATTAGATAAATTTAAGGTGCTAACGCCTTTCACAACCGACTGCCGTCTTTTTGAGCTTTTACTCACCCTAAGTAATAACAGACCTGCAAAACCATACGGTATACTTTCTACTCCTAGATAGTATATATCTTTATTCTTTATAAGCACCTTTAAACTCTTCGAATATTTTATTTTCGTGCCCTTATAGTCTACTCTAGGACTTGTATATATCTTTACCTTTATATCCTCATAGTATACTTTAGGACTTATATGTTTATTTACTATTATATCTTTCTAAATACTATCGTATCTTATATCTTTTTACTTTTATATAGTTATATAGTGCTTACTAGCCGTAGCATAATAATCTAATTATAACTAGTTAAGGAGTACTCTATAGGTATCGTAGACCTTACTTATTATATATTTAAGATGTAGGTAAAATATCGAGAAAGGGTAGGTATAATATATGTACAAGCCGTATATATCTATTTATAAATACAAATACATCTAAATCCAGCAAAACACAAACCCCCTATTTCGCGCCCACCACACCACCATCACCAACCCCAACACCAGCCCTCGCCTCGACCTCTCTCCCCTCGAGCTCTCACACCAGCACCTCACAGCCCTGCAACTCCCTCACAGGCGCCGCCGCAGCCAACTCCACGACGCCGACGCCCGCGCGCTCCTTGCCCCCAATAGGCGTGGCCGCAAGCTCAGCCGGCAAACCCGACAGCTGCGACGGTGGTGGCGCAGTGCCATTTTCGCGCCCGCGAAGCCGCCGCCGCCGTCGCTTGCATGTCACTGCGGCCAAGACGCCCAGCGCCGCGGCCGCTGCCGCGCAGCCAATTGCTATGTCGGCGACGGCGCTGGGCGCGAGCTCGCTGCTGCGGGTACTAGCATCCAGAAGCACGAGATCCCTCGAGCGGATGTTACAGCGGACCCACTGGTCCGAGGCGTTATAGCCGTCGGCGCAAGTAGTGAAGCGAGGACAGCAAGCCCTGGCCGTGCCGGGGGCGAGCTGGGCGCAAGGCACGGGGGCGGGGTCGGAGGCGCCGAAGGCGGCGTTGCAGACGTCGGATTGGCGGGGGAAGAGCTGGAGGAGGGGCGGGATGCTGGTGGTGAGGATGAGGGTTGGGAGGGTAAGGGAGAGCATGGTAAGGTTAGAGAATTGTAGATGGCTGAACTAAAGAGTAGAGAGAAGAGAGAGACAGAGAGAGAGAGAGAGAGAGAGAGAGAGAGATACTGAGAGACACAAACTCACTTAAACAAGCATGAGCACGCTCCCGACTTGCCAGGACCAAGTCTTCATGCACCAGTGAGCAGGTCCCTGGGCGGTCTTGCCGACCTTATACTTACTTACTGCTTCCTCGTTGTTCTCAGCAGCCAACAGCATGTCTATACATGCGATGTGGCAGCTGCGCTGGCGGCGGGTCTCACTTCTTCTCTTCTTCTCTTGTTTCTGTCTGGCAGCGAAACACTCTTCTCGACTATGGTTCCTGGAGCAGCAATGTACCGGAGAAAGCGTTCGTGGTCGCAAGCCAGAAAGGCGACAATACCAGCTGGTTCGCAGAGCAATTCCCGGACTGGGCGCGCTACATCTACGTCGTCGACGACGCAACAGCAAGCCTAACCGTGCCGGCAAACAAAGGCCGCGAAGCCATGGTCGACCTCACGTACACAATCACCTTAGGTATCCTAACTCCTCTCCCCTTCCCTAGCTTCCTCATCGACAACTACGACGCCCTCCCAAACAGCATGCTCTTCCTGCACGCGCAACGCTACCAATGGTACAACGACGACCCCGACTACGACGGCGCCTACAGCTGCCGCACCTGCGCTGCGCCTGGGTGCTCGGCGGTGGCTGCTGGAAACGGAGCTGGAGGACGCGATCAGTGGCCGCTTGCTCGAGTATAGCTGGCATGGTGAGTGCGTGTGGGCGTTGTGGCACGCCCCGGCGTGTGGTGATGGTTGTCGCGCCGTCCCGCTCCAGCCGATCACATCCCTGCTTCCCGAATCCTCCCGTCCGTCCCGCCCGCCCGCCCGCCCGCTGACGAGTGCGCTAGTGCTTTTCGGCCAAGAGCCCATCCACTGTCACTGCGAACCGAGATCACCGTCTGGCGAGATAGGAGATAATATAATTAGTCCCGATAGAGTACTCCTTGCCTAGCTCCTAGCCCAAGTCTTAGGTATGGGTGAAAAGGTCTTAGGGCACACATAGGCTCTATATATCTTAACTAGGTATCTTCTTCTACTCTATACAATTATCACTATTTCGCTTTACGGTGCATCTCGCTTCACGCTGACGGACGTCAACGCTTTTAACCATTTTACTGGTTTTCTAAACAGAATCAACTACACATTTTGACGTGTAGTGAATACAAGGAAAAAACATAGTACGGATATCTTAAGACGGTAAGGGTGTAAAAGCAAACCAAGTATCTATTCAAGTTAGCTTTGCCAACTTAAAACAATCAAAACGCGAATACATAGCCGCAAAAAGCATCACTGACTCACCACTGTGTCAATCAATACTTAAGGCTACTCCAATAGTTGGAAGCAGCAACACAATCAGTGCGTGGAGCTGATCAGCAGGCTCGAACGGCATATGGATGAGGCGTTGAGAAGAGTAATCAATGGGAGGATACTGAAGGCAGCAAGGACTGCAAGCCACAGCAACCACTCAGCAAGCCGAACCGCGCTACCGTAGCACACCTCAGCAAAGCTCGTCGCTGATACCACTCAGCACGTTCTATCAACGACGCTCAGCGCAAGCGATACCAGTTCCGATGCCGCGCCGTTTCCCCAATCCCAATGGATATTTGCCTCCTTGACTTTCGCAGCCCTGATGCTAAGAGCCCCTTTTTCGCTATCGTTTAACTCCTTTTCTAGGGCTGAATTCATTGTAGAGATTAGTAATGACGATTGAATTAGGATGTGCTACTACGCCTTTGATGGAGATGGGGACGTCATTTACTCGTTACGGGATAGTTGTCTTGTCAGTATGCTCTGAAAGGCTTTGTGTAGTTACCGCCCGGTGTTTGAAAGCTTGGTGGAACAAGAACAGGGATATAGTTGCGATGGGTTGAGGAATCACTGTACCAGAGGCCTTGATATTTTTATTAGGCTTGAGGTGATGGAAGAGACGTATATAAGGGACTGCCTAGTGCCTACCTCTGCGTAAGTCTTCACTGTTAACTCTTCGAGGCAGGTGTTGCCACTGAACGGAAAGGTGGTCTCCAAAGAGCAACTTCCGGTGTCCGAGAGAGGCATGATGAGATTCGGGTGTGGTACATACAAAACACACGAGTGCTATTTTCAGGACATCAAAAGTCTCCACGGTCGATAGACTCCGCTACATGTTGCAGCGTATCCACTTACATCACTGATGATGGAGCTCATCCGTACCTTAAACAGTTGAACATTATCTTCTTAGCATGACATACCTCTATTTTTTAGTAAGTAAAAGGAAACTAGAATCTCCAGTGTGTGCTGGCCAGACCAAATACAGTTGTTTGATACGGCTTGGCCCGAACGGTGGATTCAGCTTTTTGTTATGCCCAGATGAACCATGCAATTAATGCAAGCTCTGGTGGCCTGTAAATCTCACCAACCGTCCTCCTTATACACCTCGATCGGCGATGTCCAAGGCGGACAACCACGTCCGAGAACCAGTCAGTCAAACAGTCTGTTTAGGATTTCCTGTTTGGGTTTCCTCCGATCTGAACGCTATCAATCGTCTGCCCAAGTAAAGGGATACTTTTTCCTCTAAAGCCGAACCTGGCCCCTTCAGCTCCATACCAAACAGCTGGCAGCGCAGTGTTCCTTAACCTACTTCAGCTACTCAACCCGCAAGACACGAGTAAAGCGCATAGCCCTAAGCACGAATCAGCCAGCTCCAGCAAATCACCATCTGCTCACCCATCTCCGAGTCCCCACAAAAGCGCACTTGATCGGTCCTCACTCCAGCACCCACCATCAAACCCATCCACAAAGCCCCTGAAACTCCCAAACCCATAGAGCCCAATCGCAATCACTAAGCCCACACCCCTGTGTCTCCCTTCTTTTCCTGGACACCAACCACATCCCACACACCCTACTTTGCATCCTTGCACCCACAAACAGTCGGATCCTTTGTGTGCGTGTGCGCTGTCGTGCAGCACATGGAGCAGCACGAGTTGACCGGTTCAGCCGCGCCTGCAGCCATGACAGCGAGGCGTATGTACACTGTGGCGCCACAAGTGATAGAGAAAGCGCGAGCGGGGTTGGGCCGTCACAAGTGTGGGGGGAAGAAGGACGCTCGGGAGAGGGGAGCGGTACCAGCAGGTTGGGTAGGATGCGGTTGGGCTGGGACGGGCTTCTGGTAGGAGCAGGCCGAGACCGGACGGACGGATAGCGTGGGATAAGTTCAGGTGCTGGCGCGAGTAAGGGTGTGTTTGTTCTGGACCGTGACAGAAGGGCGATTGCCAGACGTTAAAAGGAACGCCAAGTCAGGCAGCGACGGGCAGGAGGCACCACTGCGTGCACTTATACCCCCGCTCTTCCACCCCCAGCTTCCCCAGCGCAGCCCAAGCTGGCGTCGCTTGCGTGCGCCATCCCGCCAACCACCCACCCACCAAACCCACTCACACGCCCAGCCCGCTCCACCGCTCTGCATGCATGCGGGGTGCGGCGATTTGCAGCGGGGTGCAGCGCAGCCGCTGTCTGCAGGCGCCTGTGATTTGGCGGCCCGACGCACTACCCCGCCTCCGTGGGGTCGCGACCATGCTGCACCGTCGTCTTGTTCATCAATGGCGTGCTTGGCCTTGCTGGGCTGTGGGTGGGGTGCCCATCGTGGCGACTGGAGAGCAGAAGCATGTGGGGCTGATTAGTGAACGTACGTGGTCGAGGTGGGGTTGGGTCGGCTGGAGGACGAGGTTACACAGCTTTCAGCGCGAGCCTCGACGACTGCCCTTCTTGTCTCGAACCGGTGAGGCGAGCGTACTATTCCTGTGACGAGGCTGCGTGCCATTTCTGGAGTCCAGGTGTCGTGTGCATGCGGGGCTTGTGGTTCGCCGTCCTCGTGTTTGTGGTTAATGACTTTATGCGTTAGTCGTAAATAGTTGGCGTCGCGGTACAAACAATGTCTAAAATTAACCCGATGAATTAGTGCATGAGATTGCACTCCTGTCTGGATAATTGCAAGGCGCAACTGCATTCTGGCCATTTCTTTTTTCTCTATTCGCGCGGTTCCCGACAGGTGCTGGTGGCCCTACTTCAACCCCACCTGAATTCATAATTAATTCGGTATCAGAATACTCGGAATAGGATCCTATGGGAGCACAACGGAAGGGATCGATGGGTCTCGCTGCAATTGCTGTGATAAATGTGATTTAAAAACGCGGCCAAAGCAACGGCACTCGTAGTAGGGCCGTCTGGTGCGGGTCCGCATATGCAGGATGGCATGCGAGTGTTGCCCGAAGTCGGTGGGGAGCTCGTGAGCCTCTTCCCCTTCTTACGATGGATGCCATCGGCTGATGCCTGGGCATGGTATAATGTAGGATTCGGAAAGTTTTTCCATGTCGATGCCTTATGGTGTCTTGGGGCCACTTTTGGGTTGCGGGATCTTATCTCAAGGGTCTTCGGGCACTACTTGTTAGCCTTCCAGTCTGATCTCTGGCAGGTGTCGATCCTTGGTCATGGACCATGAGTTGAAAAACTAGACCGTTTCGGCGAGAGTGCCCCTTGAGGGAATTCAGAAAGCCTCCGAGGACTTGCTTGCTAATAAAATTGCTCAAACAGGGTTGAGTGATCGAAAGCGGGAACGGACTTGCATACTGAATGTTTTGCGGCTGGGTACCCACCGGTTTGTGCTCGCACAACATCCGAAGACCAGCAGATACGATATAGCGGAGATAAGCTGTCGTGGGCTTTATCTTGCCCCAAGGACGATCGCCGGTATGATCTGACACCGACGCACTGGTACCTTCCCAGTTCTCCGCCGTCGCTTCATCGCTAAGCTCCGAGAACTTCAGACGTCCTACACCATCTTCTCACATCCGGCCCCTAGCGTGAAGCCCTTGCACGGACAAAAAATGTCTTTAAAAACGCCTACTGATTTGGCTGTAGCCAATGTTTACCGTGCCTTTTCTGGTCTTGGCTACCTCAGAGGTCCTGGTACCCCTGACCAGCTGGCAGTCGGGCATGGGCAAGTGGTGCACAACAGTATTTGGCAGCCTCATCTTAGGGATTTGGATGCGGGGGAGGGACGCAATCTGCTCGACCGAGAAGCCTCCGTTTTTTGTGCTTTTTTCACTTGCGTCAGCCTGGCAAATCCACCAATGGCACAGGACGGCTCGGCATACGGACCGTAATCTCTTGCCGCGACAACTGCTGATCGAAGCCTAACGTTACTCGTTAGGTGGGTTGTAGGGAGTACCCTTGCAATGGTTGCGGAAGATCGCCAGGCACGGCAGACGGAAGTGTGTTGTGCCTCTTTCAACGCGTTGCTACCTCACACTATAAGCACTGACGGTCGGGCTCGCATTGCAGGATTAAGCCGCGTCAGGGTCCCAAGGATCACCTTAGCCTTCGAGAGCCCAGGTCTGCCGTGAGTCGTTCACCGTAGTATTGCCACTGTCACTTTCGTCCGGGGCCCCTGTGATCAGCAAGACGGAAAGGAAAAGATACCCACTTGCGTTCTTCATCTTCACCGAGTCAAACCTGCTCAGAGGCCGGCAATATTTAAGCGTCTGCGCCTGGCTCTCTTTCTCTTTTGTCTGCAAACTATCCGCCACGGGCCCACACTCGTTCCTACCTTCCGCGGCATCAGCCTTCTTCGGGGATACCCCTCTGACTCTTTGACACCGACGCTCGCTACTCTTGCAAACATGCGCACCTTCGCTTGGAGTCTCGCCGTCCTGTTTGCTGTGGGCGTCATGGCCCGCCCCATCGAGGGCTGCGATCAGAAGTGCGATGCCGCGTACAGCGACTGCATGACTGTACAGGAGGGCCTCTTTTCATCCTTCTGAAACAGAATCATGCTGATCTGGGACCTCAGGGCTGCGCCGGCAACCCTGCTTGCATTGACCCCTGCAAACGTTCCACCTGTACGGTATGTCAGAGTCTTCGTCCTGTGGGGTCGACGGTCCAAAATGAAGTAGAGCGGTGAAGGCAGGTTTGCTAATGTGTCACATCCTTTCCTTAAAGATCACGATGGTGAGTGATGGAGCCGCCGTGAGCGTTCCCGTCGGAGATTCTTCATGCTAACCCCACTCTTACCAGTGCTCTGATTGCTGGGCGCCATGCCTCTAGACGCACTTCGTCCCGCGGTCCCGGTAGCTTCCCCATTCAGTACGTGTCAAGCTCCAATCCGTGAGCGGCCCCAATCGTGTGGACCCTGACCGTTCGCAGGCTCTGGCCCAGACAACAAGCTCTTGATTTTCTCAAAGGGCATCACCGGCCTCGGCACCGACGGGGTGGGAAAAGCGCAATCGACAGTGAAAAAAACGGGCAGAGCAACACATGTACGACGGCTCATGTACTTAGCTTAATTTTTTTTTTTGTCTTCTTTTTTTCTTTTGTCCTGGCCTGGCGGCCGCAGAGCCAAGCGGAATAATGAGAATACAACGGTAACTTCAATCGGCGACATTCGTGTCCATTGGCTGAGCCGAGTGTTATGGCTCAATATCGCCCTGTTTCGCGTGCGGCCTTTACGGCGGGACTAGAAGATGGGTGGCATGCAGGTGTAAGGCGATGGCGGGGTGGCCAGCCAATACGATACCCTGCAGATGACTTGGCGACACAGAGAAGCAGCGAGCTTGCGCCGAATGGGAAACTTGGGATTGCTGCTGCGACCTACGGACGCGCCCGGCAGCGGCGAGGTTGGAGGAGGTGGCTATCGTGGCTTGAGCCGTGCTGTGAGGGCGCCGATTGGCCCGTATACGTTAGTAGGCCGGGAGCGGGGCCACTCCCGCGAGGGCCGTCAAAAGCCGAGGCAGCGCGCGCCGCGCAAACCAGCGGCCGGAGATTGCTTTCCAAGAGCTTTCCTCTCGCCGCTGCCGTGAGAGGGGGAGTTAGAGAGAGAGGAGAGTGCGGAGGAGGCGTTGCCCAGCCGCGTCCCTTCTAGAGGCTTCCGAAACAGGCGGGTGCGCACGGCCCCGAGCCGTTACTGCCACCGCCCCCGCGATACTGCCACCTGGTCACATCGCGAGCGCGAGCTAGCTATATCAACCGATCTTCCTTCCTCCGCACCCTTTCCCGCCAACCTTTACATTTCAGCCATTGGTCCCCCTCCCTTGCTTCAGCTTTAGCAAGAGGACTCTCCACCATGCGTGCTGCCTATCTTACCACCGCTATCCTCAGCGCCGCCGCTGTGCGCGCCAATCCCGCCGACGATCTGGAGGATGTCGCTTCCACCGTCTCCTCTGCCGTCGAGTCAGCCAGCTCGTCGGCCGTCTCCAAGCCCACTTTTACCGTACGCAATCCCGTCCGCCGCACGTTGCTCCTTGCTAACTCTGCGAGCAGCCTACCAACCTGAAGGCGCCTTTCCTCGAACAATTCACCGACGACTGGGAGTCCCGGTGGCAGGCTTCCCACGCTAAGAAGGACGACAAGTCCACCGAGGAGGAGTGGGCCTACGTCGGCACCTGGTCCGTCGAGGAGCCCACCGTTCTCAAGGGCATTGACGGCGACAAGGGTCTTGTCATCAAGGACAAGGCTGCGCACCACGCCATCTCCTCCAAGTTCGAGAAGCCCATTGACAACAAGGACAACACCCTCGTTGTTCAGTATGAAGTCAAGCTTCAAGGTACGCTTTGACTGAATCGCGCGACGCGGCTGATATGCTGACGATGACTGCGCAGACGGCCTCGAGTGCGGTGGTGCCTACATGAAGCTCCTCCAGGACAACAAGGCTCTCCACCAGGAGGAGTTCTCCAACGCCTCTCCCTACGTGATCATGTTCGGTCCCGACAAGTGCGGCGCCACCAACAAGGTAAGCTTGTCAGTGAGAATTTGCCAGGAAACAATCGGCTAACGCGGCACAGGTTCACTTCATCTTCAAGCACAAGAACCCCAAGACTGGCGAGTACGAGGAGAAGCACCTCAAGAGCCCTCCCACGGCCCGCATCACCAAGGCCTCCACTCTTTACACCCTCATTGTCAAGCCCGACCAGACCTATGAGATCAAGATCGACGGCAAGTCCGTCAAGAGCGGCTCTATCCTCGAGGACTTCAACCCCCCCGTGAACCCTCCCGAGGAGGTTGACGACCCCAACGACAAGAAGCCCGAGGACTGGGTCGACGAGGCCCGTATTCCTGACCCCGAGGCCTCCAAGCCCGAGGACTGGGATGAGGACGCGCCTTTTGAGATCATCGACGAGGAGGCCGAGAAGCCTGCGGACTGGCTCGACGATGAGCCCACCTCTGTCCCCGACCCCGAGGCTGAGAAGCCCGAGGATTGGGATGACGAGGAGGACGGTGACTGGGTCGCTCCTACTGTCCCCAACCCCAAGTGCGACGAGGTCTCTGGCTGCGGCGAGTGGAAGCGTCCTACGAAGAAGAACCCTGCCTTCAAGGGCAAGTGGACCGCTCCCATGGTCGACAACCCTGCCTACAAGGGTGTCTGGAAGCCCCAGAAGATTGCCAACCCTGACTACTTTGAGGACAAGACTCCCTCCAACCTTGAGCCCATGGGCGCTGTAAGTTTCATGTATCCTGTGGTAACATTCTTCGCTAACGCCAGCATAGATTGGTTTCGAGATCTGGACCATGCAGAAGGACATCCTCTTCGACAACATTTACATCGGTCACTCCATCGAGGATGCCGAGGCGCTCCAGAAGGAGTCCTTTGACGTTAAGAAGGCCGTCGAGACCGCTGAGGAGGAGGCCAACAAGCCCAAGAAGGAGGACAAGCCCAAGTCCGCTCTTGACATCACCTTCGCTGAGGACCCCGTTACCTACGTCCGCGAGAAGTCTGCTCTGTTCTTCAGCATTGCCAAGCACGACCCCATCCAGGCCGCTAAGTTCGTCCCTGAGGTCGCTGGTACCCTTGGTGTTCTCGTCGCCACCCTTCTGGCTCTCATCATCGGCGCCGTCGTCGGTGGTGGTGCCAAGGCTGCTCCCTCCAAGGAGCAGGCCAAGAAGACGGCCGACAAGGCCAAGGCTGCGGCTACCGACGCCAAGGACAAGGCGGCCGAGGCTGTCAGTACTGGCGCGGAGAAGACCAAGGAGGAGGCCAACAAGAGGTCGACGAGGTCGTCTGCGCAGTAAGCGGTTGTAAGGATGTTGGAGGGGGAGAGCGTGCGTGCTACAAAAGGAATACCAATTGATTGCTCCATTCGGAGTTGGGGAGAACGGGGTTACTTGAATTGCGAAGGGAGGTGTATAAGCTATACCTGATCGCGGGCTTACCTGAATTATTGTAACTGAGTTGTTTTCTGCGCCTAAAGTATGTTGCTGTGAATACATTGCGCCAAGAGTTTGTTGCAGGGATGTAGCTCTGGCCGAAGGCGGAGAAGTTGTGGGGTTGGTCGGCAGGTGACCCCGCGCACTGAGCTTCCTAGCCGGCAACTGTCATCGGCCAACTCTCTTCCGCCACCTTCGCGCTGCTGCAAGGGGAGCATAAGTCAACCATCTGTCTTCTTCGCTGCTCTCTACATCCTTCTACTCTTTCTTTCCTTACTACCGCATACCGCGCATTCGATATGGCCGCTCGCCGCGTCTTGTCCCGCAACATCCCCACTCTTGCTTCTCGCACCAGTTTCCCCAGAGCGGCCGCAATCTCCGCGCGGACAATGTCATTGCCAAAGCCTACACCGAACAGGATAGCCACTCGGCGCCTGCATGCTACCGCGCAGCATCTGAAGCCTGCTGCGACCACGACGGCTGCCTCAACAGCCGACTCTTACCCCACAACGCATGAGCAGATACCCGAGCCGCAGGACACACAGAACTTCCTAGATAACAAGTTCACTGCTTCCCAAGCTACGCAATGGATCGACTTGTATGACCCAGCAACGAACAACCTCGTGACGCGCGTGCCGCAGTCGACGGATGCAGAGCTCAAAGCCGCGGTTGACAGTGCCGAGAAGGCCTTCCCCGCGTGGCGGAACACGAGCTTACTGGCCAGGCAGCAGATTATGTTCAAGTTCGTCGCGCTGATCCGCGAGAACTGGGACAGGCTGGCGGCTAGCATCACGCTGGAGCAGGGCAAGACGTTTGCTGATGCCAGAGGAGATGTGCTGCGTGGTCTGCAAGTGGCTGAGACTTCATGCGGCATCACGACGCAGCTGACGGGCGAGGTGCTGGAAGTCAGCAAGGACATGGAGACGAGGAGCTATAAGGAGCCATTGGGTGTCACGGCGGCTATCTGCCCCTTCAGTGAGTCGTCCGTACAGATTAATGCCTGAACGCTGCTAACCAGTGCCAGACTTCCCCGCCATGATCCCTCTTTGGTCAATCCCAATTGCAACTGTGACTGGTAACACTATCATCGTCAAGCCTTCCGAGCGTGACCCTGGTGCCATGATGATCCTGGCCGAGCTCTGTGAAAAGGCCGGCTTCCCTCCCGGTGTCGTCAACGTGATCCATGGCTCGGCCAAGACCGTCGACTTCATCCTTGACGAGCCGCGCATCAAGGCAATCTCTTTTGTCGGCAGCAACAAGGCCGGCGAGTACATCTACAGCCGGGCCTCGGCCAATGGCAAGCGCTGCCAGGCCAACCTCGGCGCAAAGAACCACGCTGCGGTGCTGCCTGACGCCGCCAAGAACCACGCGATGAACGCCATTGCTGGCGCGGCCTTTGGCGCAGCTGGCCAGCGCTGCATGGCTCTCAGCACCGTCGTCTTGGTCGGTGAGACCAAGGACTGGGTGCCCGAAATTGCGGAGATGGCGAAGAAACTGAACGTCAATGGAGGTTTCGAGAAGGGCGCGGATCTGGGTCCTGTGATCAGTCCCGAAGCAAAGAAGCGGATTGAAGACGTTATCAAGAGCGCCGAAGAGGAGGGCGCGACGATTGTTCTGGATGGACGTGGGTACAAGCCTGAGAAGTACCCGAACGGCAACTGGGTAAGCAACGGCCTCACTGACTGACCCCTGCATCAGCTAATCTCGTGCCACTCAGGTTGGGCCCACGCTCATCGCCAACGTGAAGCCGCACATGCGGTGCTACCGCGAAGAGATCTTCGGACCAGTGCTAGTGTGCATCAACGTGCCCACAATCGACGACGCAATCAACCTGATCAACGCGAACGAGTACGGCAACGGCGTAGCCATCTTCACGCGCAGCGGCGCGACGGCCGGCCGCTTCCAGAAGGAGGTCGAGGCCGGCCAGGTGGGCATCAACGTGCCCATCCCCGTGCCTCTGCCCATGTTCAGCTTCACGGGCAACAAGCGCAGCATTGCCGGCGGCGGCTCGAACACGTTCTACGGCAAGCCCGGCATCAACTTTTACACGCAGACGAAGACGGTGACGTCGTTGTGGCGGAGTGAGGATGCGTTGGCGACGAAGGCGAGCGTGAATATGCCGACGCATTCGTAGTGTGGAAAGAGGGGATGGATGGATGGATGAGGAGGGAGATTGCTGACGAAATCGTTCGGTACTTCTAGCGTTTGAGGTTTGAGTAGGTGCGGGCGTGTGGTTTGAGATCATGGTGCATGATAAGACGAATGACGGAAATTGGACTTGTATTGACGGACCTGTACTGTACGTAGGAGTAGGGAAATTCAAGGCGCGTTAGTATCTAGACACTCGTTGGTACAACCCTTGCGCCCAACGCCCGCTGCTCGACCGGCGATGCCTCTCGTGCTTGCCTGCTTGCCTGCCTGACGGCACATCCGCACCAGGATTCTCGCCGTCGGCAAGGCTTGCCCGATACACGCACCGCACCGCGCCCAAACCAACCAACCAGCCAGCCAGCCACCACTCACTCACTCATTCATTCGCTCGCTCAAGCTCCAGCGCCACACCGCGCCGCGCCGCGCCAGCACCTCCTCCACGCTCTTTCCCCCCTCTCTCGCGCATCCACCGCAACCGCAGCATATACGATCGACATCATAGGTACCTATAGCCAGACGTCAGCACAAAGCGTCCTCTCAGGCAATTATGCTCGTCTGTGTTTAGCTCGCACGCGCTCGCACGCGCTCGCACAACCCGCATCAGAGACCCGTGGTAGTAAGCACCGACAGCACCCACAGCAGGTGTATCCCAAAGAAACACCTCGCAGAGCGTTTGGCGACGCAGCTGCGCGGTCCTCCCATTGGGCTGCTGTGGGGCCATGCCTTTTCCGGCTCTTCCTATATTTGTGTTTTGGGTTCTTGAGATTTTGACTCATCATTTGCGGGTGTGGCGTGCGCGCTTGTGCGTGTTGTGTGTGAAGCTGTGTCTGTTGGGGGAAGTGGGTGGGAGGGGAGCTTACGCTGTGGTTGTGGTGGTGCGCGGGTGTGAGAGAGCGGGTGGGGGGAGTGAGTGGTGGAGGTGCTGCCGCTGCTGCTGCCACTGCTGCTTGCTTGCTTGCTTGTCTGTGTGCCTGTCCGAAAGACAAGCAAGCAAGCAAGCAGCAGCGGTGCCGTCGGCAGGCGTGGGGAGTGGTGCTCTTAGGTCGTCGTTGTAGTCGTGGTGGTGGTGGTGGTGGATTAGGACAGCGAGCGCGAGGCGAGAATTTCTTGATGCGCGCGCGCGCGGGCCCCCTCGGGGCGGGGCGGGGGAACGTTGGTGCGGGCAGCGGGCTACCTACCTCGGTAGGTTCCGGGCATCATCCATCCATCAACCACCAATCGTCAAGCCATTCCCCGCGCCGTGGCCTACCTACATTAGGAGTACGTACTTACGGGAATACCCTCAATCTTCCTGTGCATCTGTTCCCGGGTGCATTGGGCTGCGGCTGTTCCTGTTACTGTGGTGGGCTGCCGTGCTGCTGTATGGATGCTGCGCGCGTTGGCCGCGCCATGACGCACGTGCGGGTTTGCTCTAATGCTGCAGCTGTGCTGCGGATCCGTGGTGAGGAGGCGGGATGGAGGTAGTCCTGGACGGCTTACTCGGCCCGTCCGTGTTGTGCTAGGTATATCTGTATCGGTGTGTACCCGGCCCCCGATACATTGCCCATTCCCCAACTGCATATCAAGTAAAACCTACTATATACCTAGAATACTCCTTAATGAGTTGTGATAAAGCACTACGCTACAGCTTGTGGTTACTAGGTAGTTATATAAGGGTAAAAAGATGCTGGGTATAAAACCATCTAAGAAGGTACGAAGTTACATATCTATTCAAGTACTGGAGTACTCTTTTAATATCTAAAGGTAGAAATATACGCAAGTGTCGCTATGCCCTACGAGGATACGAAAACTAAAAGCGATAACGGTGGAGAGTAAGTCATATACTTTTTTATAGGTATATCATCACGTAGGGTGGGCGGCACCTCACGTCCTGTAGCTCTACCTACTCATTAAGCGCACTGCTGTATCATGACAACAGGTAGCTATGACTTCCACTCTAGCACAAACCAAACAAAACCCAGAAACTCCGCCCCATGCAGTCCACCATCCCCATGCCCATTTTTTAAACCGCACCCAACCCCTGACGCAGCCTTCCCCCCACGTCCACCTCCACCTCCACCGGCACCGGCACCGGCCCCTCACCCCCAAACGCCACAACACCGCGGCAGCGCCACCTCGCCCTTCTTTCGCAAACCTAGCGCCTCAACCACCGCGCGGGACCCTCTCAACAGGAACCCTCATCGGGATTTTAAAACGCAAGACTCAGCTGAAAGTTTCTATATCTAATGGAATGTACGAGACTGTGAACGGGTCAGAAGACAGTGAGACGGTACTAAGGCAGTCAGTCGCTTACAAGGCTCTGCAGCGTCGTTATGTTAAAGACTGAAGCGAAAGAGGATTAACTGAGGGATATATCATATAGAGCGTGGAATACAAGTAAGAACTGACTGCATACGCAGCTATACTAGCATTGTTTAGTGGACGACACGTCCCGAGGACTGCCTCGGATGACCAACAGTGTTGATTTACTCCGTTTTGCTGGAAGTGATTTGCGCCGTGAAGAAGTACGTGTGTTTCGTACATTGATGCTTGGTGACACTGCGGGTGAAACTTCGTTTTCCTTCGGGTCTGGTTTGGCTGTTCCGATATCGAGCAGGCGCCTTTTCCAAAAAGGGGCTGGAACACGAACTCGACGGGTTCGGGACAGGGTGTGTAGGCATTCTGATTGGGCGTCCTGCTATGGAACCGTGGACCCTTGCATTAGTCTGTGCTGATGACATCTATTAGGTGTCTCATTCCTTTTGGAATCCTCACTCTCGTTTTTTCTCTGGTTCGCATCGCATTCGAGTCCACAGTCACCAGCGCGCTACACAGCATAATCACTGTACTATGCTAATGAGAGCAGCCAAGCGAACTCGCTTGGGCCATAAGAAGTCCAGGAATGACTGCATAGGTTGCAAGAATTGTCATGTTAAAGTGCGTCCATGCAACACTAAACAATTCGCAGGCACACCATCGAATAAAATCCACTACTATCCATAAAGTCTGTTCATGATGGACGTGCAGGATTAAGCCTTGTGCTGTAATTCATCTCCAAGTGCGGCCCTAAACTCGAAGAACAGTGCGACAAACAGCCTCCATGTGGCAACTGCACAGTGAAGAGCATCAATCATCCAGGATCTGGACCTTGATAGCCCTCGCCGACGGCGTGGAAGCAGTCTTGAAAGCCTCCAGGCCGTCCTCGAGCGCGTACCTGTGCGTGACGAGCTTCTTTAGATCGACCAGGCCGGCCTCGGCCAAGCCGATAGCCCTGGGGTAGGTGTCGTGGTAGCGATACTGGAAGCGCAGATCGATTTCCTTGGCAGAGAGATGCATGAAGGGCACGTTTTGGAAGTCTTTTCCAACGCCGATGACGAATACTGCCCCTCCGAAGCGTGTGGCCTGGATGCGGGTTAGCATTTGGGGAAATAACTGGAGGGGACTGGCGTACGTAGATGCCGGCGTGGATGCTGCTCTCAACACCCGTGCACTCGAGGACAAGCTTCGCCTCCTCGCCCAGCGCAGCCACAATCCTGGACCCAAGGGCCTCGGGGGTGTCTTCACGGGTAACCTGGACGGTACGCACGCGCGGCACAAGGTCCTTCGCCATGGCAAGGCGGTGCTCGTCCAGGTCAGTGATGACGATGGGCTGGGCGCCGGCAGCATGGGCAGCGAGCAGAGTGACGAGGCCGATTGGACCCGCGCCACAGATGACCAGCGGATCGCCCAGACGGAGGCCGGAGCGGTCGATGCCGGCGAAGGCTACCGACAGCGGCTCCAGCAGCGAGCCCTCTTCGAAGCTCAGGCTGTCCGGCAGGCGGTGCAGCCATGCCTCTGGGTGCACGTGATAGCGGCGCAGCGTGCCGTGGTGGGGCGGCGTGGAGAAGAAGACGACATCCGGGCAGGCATTGTAGCGGCCAGTCCTGCAGAAGTAGCAGGTGGGCTTGGAGCAAGGAATTCCGTTCTCGAGTGCGACGCGGTCGCCTGTATCGGGGGAGACGGAGGTCAGCTTGAGGAGCTTCGGGGGCTTTCGGGCGGGGCGAGACGGAGATGCGCACCAGGCTTCCAACGCGTCACGTCGGCGCCCACACGGACCACGACGCCCGCCGACTCGTGCCCAAGCCCGTTTTCATCCCTCACAACCATATCCCCAATGTGCCCGTGCTTCCAAAAGTGCACGTCGGAGCCGCAGATGCCCGTCGCGCGCACGTGAATCAGGCATTCTCCCGGCCCGGGTTCGGGCACCTCGCTCTCGACGACGTGCAGCTCGTGCTGCGGATTCGTGTGGATCGCGACGTTGGTCGGCTTGCGCTGGAGCACATTGACTGCGGAAGAAGGAGAAGAAGCCATGACGGATTGATGTTTGGCCCTGTTGGCGTGTGTGCGCGTCCGCCTTACTTAAAAGCACTTCGGGGCAACTCCGTTCGCGAAAAGCTCTGGTCGGCCACTCGCCGAGCCATATGCCCTCATCGTCTATTGTCCCTCCCCCGAGCCGCAAGATGAGCAATCCCGGATCGTCGACCCGTCGCACCAACGCCTGCGACGAGTGCAAGCGCCGCAAGGTCCGTTGCAACAGCCTCGATCCCTGCCGGAACTGCTCGAAAGATGGCAAAACGTGCATTTACAGCTCGCCACTCCATATCATCCGCATCCTCGAAAAGTACGCCACAGCCCCGCGTTGAATTGATTTCTGTCTTACCTCTAACCCGCTTGGTAGGCGCCTGAACCATTGCGAAAAATTGCTCGGAAGGGTGGAAATGGTCTGGCGCGCTTACGTTCCTGACGTAACCCTACAAGATGCGCTCCAAGGCATGCCTCTCCAGGAGGCACCTGCTTCCACATCGCTGCCACTCATACCAACCCAGAATTTTGGCGAGACGGAGCCATTGAGTGCCGACGACCTGGAGTTTGATGAATCGCACGGGTTTTCTGACCTCGTCGACGGCATGGCCTCACTCACCATGGTGCCGCACCACGCCGGCTACATGGGCAACGAGTCTGGTAGCACGGCATTGAAGTTTCTGAATGAATTAAGTGCCTCTACACCGCGGCCAAGTACTGCCAGGAAAGCGAACGGCGCTGAGACTGATGCATTGGCGGCGCTCACTCGTCCACCTGAGCTAAACCGCCTGCTGGACGACTATTTTGCCCAGTATCATCCCGCATATCCAATTCTTCACGAGCCAACTTTCCGCGCACAGATTGCCGGTAAGCGAGATGATTCAATGAGCTCCATCGACCATCGTTCTGTGCTTACCTCTTCGTAGGCGCTGTGGCAAAGCCTCGAGATGGCTCCTGGCCGCTTCTGTATCATATTGTGCTTGCTATCGGCTCGTTCGTGGGTGCCTCCAGCTCGCATAGACAGGACATACAACTTTATCAAGCCGCTCGGACCCATTTGACAGCTGAGATCTTAGAAAAAGGATCGCTACCGTTAGTCCAAGCTCTCACTCTGATGGGCAACTATCTGCAAAAACGCAACAAACCAAACGCCGGCTTTAATATTCTTGGCATTGCTGTCAACATGGCGCTTGCTATCGGCCTGCATCGCGAGTTCCACCCTTCCAAGACAACGCCTTTTGTAATGGAAGTCCGGCGCCGGACGTGGTGGACACTCTTTATTTTTGAAGCTGGGGCTCGCCTGACCTTGGGACGTCCCGTGGTGTCGCTCTCCGGAGTGACCGTAGAATTACCCGCAAATATCCACGACACCGATCTAGCAGTCGATATTGACTCACTGCCAGCCCCGCAAAACGAACCTACAGTAACGTCCTGTCTACGAGCCCAGGTAGGACTTGCCAAGATCGCCAATACTGCGCACATCAAACTCCATTCAACGTGCAATTTGAGATCTTCAGAGGTCCTGCAATTTGATGCCGAAGTCCGCAACTGGCTCGCATCTCTCCCTTATTACCTCGCTTCTGGAAGCCAGTGGACCTCAAACGCGAAAATGGTATTGTTGTGGCGGTCTTCGCATCTCCGGATCATATTGTGCCGGCCTTTCCTCTTTGCCGCAATCAGAGCTCGCTCCCTTCTTGACATTCAAACCGTCGATGGCCGGTACGCGTCGAATCCGGTCTCGATATGTGTGTCTACCGCCTACGAGTGCATAGTGTCTATCTGCGACTCTTGGGCCTCGAATCCGCAACGCAATCGAGGCATTGCCTGGTATGCTGCATACTGGCTTACAACTGCAGCTGTGGTCCTGGCGACCTGCCTGATATATGACACCACGCATGCTCTAGCTGACCAGTGGCGTGTAGAGTTAAATCGAACACTGACAACACTAACAGAGCTCGGTGATTACTATGATATGGCGCTCAAGGCACGCGATATTCTCGGTGGATACGTAGGTAAGGAGACACGAGCATGCCCGGAACTCAAGGAAATTAATAACAGCTCCCCAGAAGGCTTCCTCACGCACTCTTCCACGGCCGAACTGTCGGCGCAGAATACCGTCGAACAGATCCTGGAGACCATCGGCGCCCGGAGTGAGCCATTAGAGCTTATGGGCGTGCCGGGGTTTGACGATTTTGCTATGGATCTCTTCGCCACGAATTTTGATGCTGGAGACATGTGACCAGTTTCTGGGTGGAGAATAAACATCAGAAGACTCGACAAAAAACAACAGTTAAACGCGAGTGGGACTCGCCGTCGGTGAACTCCCGAGTGGCAAACTATTTTGGCCGCTAGTTTTTGGCGCAACGTTATTGATTCCACAACGTCCCGACGCCGAACGCCCGCTCGGCATTTGGCCGACCGCTGCTCCACTTGAGTGAGTATTCTCTCCACACCAGCTTATGGATCCTCTCTCCACATTTCACGTCCACTGTTCTGGACAATGTGATCATCCTCGGCCGTCCCCCGCCCCGGGTTTCTGGGGGCTGGGGAATCAAGTATAGGCCGTCTGGTGCTGCTGGAGACCCAATAAAAACCCGACTTTCTCTTCGTCTGTCTCTTCGTCTCATTCAATTCAATTACTATCCGAACTCCTTCCAACCATCATCACCATGTCTCTCCAAGGAAAGACTGCGATCGTGACAGGCGGCGCCCGCGGAATCGGTAAAGGCATAGTAAAAGCCCTAGCAGCAGAAGGCGCAAAGGTAGCTACGCCATATCCCACGCCAATCACTCAACTACACACACTAACCACCCTTAGGTGGCATTCACCTATGTCTCGGACAGCTCGCGCGCGCTCGCCTCGACACTGATAGCGGAGCTCGCAGCGCAAGGAGGCACAGCCATCGCCATCCAAGCAGACATGGCGTCGCCCAGCGCGCCCGAAACAATCGTGCAAGAGACACTCTCACAGCTCGCAACCGCGCACATCGACATTCTCATCAACAACGCCGGAGTCGGGGGCAACGCGTCGCTCGAAGCCGTCCAGCCCAGCGACTACGACAGCATTATGAGCGTAAACGTGCGGTCCGTAATCTTCATGACGCAAGCGATCCTGCCCTTCCTCCGCAGCGGCGGGCGCATCGTCAATCTGTCGTCCATCTCGGCGCGCGGCGGGTACGCGACGCAGACGGTGTATGCGGCGTCGAAGGCGGCGGTGGAGGGGCTGACGCGCGTGTGGGCGCGCGAGCTGGGCCACAGATACGGCGTCACGGTTAACGCGGTGAATCCCGGCCCTGTCGACACGGATATGTACCGTGCGGCGGGAGAGGTGCATTTGCGCAGGATGGACGAGGAGAATACCAAGGTCCCGGCGGCCCCGAGATGTGGTACTGAGGCGGATGTGGCCGGTGTAGTGGTGTTCTTGGTGGGCGAGAGTGCGCGCTGGGTTACGGGGGATGTGGTGTGTGCGAATGGGGGGATGGTGTTTGTGTAGGTGGGTGCGGGAGTGGTGCGAAGGGATTGTTTTACCATGTAGCTAGACAGGGAAGGGTACAAGTAGTCCCTATAGAATGCTCCTTAGTAAGCTACATATCTGAGTCTTGGATATAAGTGAGGAGATCTTCAGGCATATATATACCTGCAAATTTCGGGACTATATTTCGTTTCTACTCCGGATGGACGTTACCAAGGTTGAAGCTGTGTATAATCGCTGCCAGATCACTGTCCTCCCAAGAGACTTACGACAAGCTCTCATTAGCTATTTCGCAACAACACGGTGATCTCGTTCCGCGGTAGATGACGATGTGCTCTTAAGCTCCTATTTTCCTGCGTAGGTCGGTCATCGTCAGAACATGTTAGAGTCAGTGTTGTGCCAAACGTCCCTCAGCCCCAACCCACTTCCCAAAGCAGTTAGCGCACGCTTAGCCTTCCACAGCACCGGATATCCTTTCACCCTCCTCCTCACCCGTTTACCTCCCTCCACTCCCGCAACCACACCACCAGCAAACCCGCAGCACAATCCACGCGCCCACGCCTCTCGCACAATGGAGCCGCCGCCCCGCCCCCCGGAGCGCCGCCGCTTCTTCCTGCACTCCACGCAATCGGAAAGCCGACTCCGCACCGCGTCCACAGAAGGGCAGAGCGCGATCCGCCTCTTCAGGCTCAACAGCGGCAAATGTGAAGACCCCCTGGCACTGCTTGAGCTTGAGCTTTGATCTAAACCCCCCTGTCTTTGGGGCACGCCTACACTTACGGTTTCTTGTTGTGCTTAGCGACGCGTGCTGTTTCTAGTCCTGCGGGTCCTGCGGCTGGTGCTGTGGGACAGCGGGGTAATGAGGGGGTTGTGGAGGAGGCGACGCCGCCGCTGCCTGAGAAGGGAAAGGGCAGGGGTGAGTTAATGTGTTTGGTTTGAGGGTGTGTTGGGCTTATAGTCGATGGTTTCTAGCTGTTGCTACTGCTGCTGCGGCCTCCGGCACGTCGAGCGGAGAGGCACTGCACGGGAAACAGAAGAGCGAGACTGCTCGAGAAAAGGACGAGACGCCGCCGCCGACGCCTTCGAAGTGTAAGTGCATGGGCAGGGCACTGTCCTGTACCTCACTTTTCCTGCAAAGCATATGCTAACAACCGCCTTCCACAGCAGCATCCAAGACAGAGACAGAAAAAGCCGGCTCCGCGCAGCAGCAAGTTCAGCCGACCATCCAGGACGATTCATCGACCCCTCCGGCTCCGCCCAAGAAAGACAGCAACGACACCATCACCGGCGCCGCGGCCAACATTCCGCAGACATATCGCCCACCCCGCGCATCCAGCCTCGCGAACTTGTCAGGCAGTCCACGCAGCCGCAACCCCAACGCCGACACTGACGTCGATACTAACCCCCTGCCCACGCACGTCAGCACGAGCACGACCACGCCATCCACAAGCGGTGCCAGTACCAGCACTAGTGCCGCAACGCCCACCCTCACTACTGGCAATGGCACAAGCACTGGCACAAGCACCACCGACTCCGCCGGCGTCGGTATACACAGCTTCCCCCTCCCCCCCAAATACACATACACCTACTTCCCCACAATCACTAGCACGCGCATCCCCACTCCGCTCTTAAGCAACAACCCCTGGGCCGCAGCGCCCGCAGCGCCAGCCCAACCAACACAACCAACGCAAGCGCAACCAGCCCAACCACAACCAGCCCAACCACCACCACCGCCCCGCCACCCATCCCACTCCCACTCCCAACGCCACAACCGCTCCGAATCAGGCAACACGGCGCTGAGCCCGCGTGCACCGAATCTGCGCGGGGCGCAGCAGCCGCCGAACTTCAGCTACCCGCGGGCCGAGTACTATGTCTTGCGCGGGGTGGAAGTGGGCGGTGGTGGTGTCGGTGCTGCTGGTGGAAGGGGCAGAGGAAGAAGAAAGGCGCCACTGCCGCTGCCGCCTGTGCCGAGGATTCTGTCTGTTTATACGCGGGAGGGGGAGGGTGTGGTTGAAGGCGAGAGTAGTGAGGTGGAGGAGGAGAAAGGAGGGGAAGAGAGAGGGAAGGCGGAGTGAGGCGATAGGATGTGATGGGATGTGGTGGGAGGTTTAGGGGTGCAGCGTGTGTATGTGTGCAGAAAGAGAGTAGTAGTTTTACGCACGCGTATGAGGATGAGTGTGTGGGTGAGTAATGCTGCTTCAAGGAGCAGACACTCAACTCAGCTAGACGGTACCAACGATGAACATTTGCTTAATCACTTTACCAAGTAGGTAGATCTCCCCTCCACTCCACAATTGTAATAAAAACACTAATACAATAAATACATCTCTCCTCCCTACTGCCCCCTCGCCCTTAAACCCTTGCCAGTATTAAATAGAAATTGACATACCTCAGACACGTCTTTGTTTTGGACTACGTTTTTGTTTTAGGGTGGCTAAATCCCGCCACCTATAAAGTAGTTATAAAGTAGGTAGCATATAAACTTCTATCGCATGTAGCATGCTCCTGTTATACTTCCTCTTTTAGACCTTGTAGTATAGACCGTATAGTATACCTACCTCTTGGAAAGCTAGTGCTGGATGGGCTGATAAGGAGCGGGTATAGACTTGGAATCTAAGGGGAAAGAAAGAAAGAAAGAAAGAAAGAAAGAAAG